GTATAATATCAGAGTTTTTCGCCCAGTGTCGGCGTAGTTTGATTCCAAAAAAGCTGAAACTTGCCATGCTAAAATCTCAGGCGATTACCTTTCGAATGGTGTATGTCCTGTCAATTCACTCCGACATCACTAATTCACTTTTTTTTCAAACTGATGTCTAGTGTAATATCAGAGTGTTTGGCCTCGGGCGGGCGTAGTTTGGTTCCAAAAAAGCTGAAACTTGCCGTGCTAAAATCTCATGCGATTACCTTGCGAATGGTAATTTCATTCCAAAAAAGCTGAAATTTGCCGTGGTAAAATCTCAGGCGATTACCTTTCGAATGGTGTATGTCCTGTCAATTCACTCCGTCATCACTAATTCACTTTTTTTTAAAACCGGTGTCTAGTATAATATCAGAGTTTTTCGCCCAGTGTGGGCGTAGTTTGATTCCAAAAATGCTGAAACTTGCCATGCTAAAATCTCAGGCGATTAGCTTTCGAATGGTGTATGTCTTGTCAATTCACTCCGTCATCACTAATTCACCTTTTTTCAAAACCGGTGTCTAGTATAATATCAGAGTGTTTCGCCCAGTGTGGGCGTAGTTTGATTCCAAAAATGCTGAAACTTGCCATGCTAAAATCTCAGGCGATTAGCTTTCGAATGGTGCATGTCTTGTCAATTCACTCCGTCATCACTAATTCACTTTTTTTAAAACCGGTGTCTAGTATAATATCAGAGTTTTTCGCCCAGTGTCGGCGTAGTTTGATTCCAAAAAAGCTGAAACTTGCCATGCTAAAATCTCAGGCGATTAGCTTTTGAATGGTGTTTGTCTTGTCAATTCACTCCTTCATCACTAATTCACTTTTTTTCAAACTGATGTCTAGTATAATATCAGAGTGTTTGGCCTCGGGCGGGCGTAATTTCATTCCAAAAAAGCTGAAATTTGCCGTGGTAAAATCTCAGGCGATTACCTTGCGAATGGTGTATGTCTTGTCAATTCACTCCGACATCACTAATTCACTTTTTTTTCAAACCGGTCTCTAGTATAATATCAGAGTGTTTGGCCTCGGGCGGGCGTAGTTTGGTTCCAAAAAAGCTGCAACTTGCCGTGCTATGTCTTGTCAATTCACTCCGTCATCACTAATTCACTTTTTTTTAAAACCGGTGTCTAGTATAATATCAGAGTTTTTCACCCAGTGTCGGCGTAGTTTGATTCCAAAAAAGCTGAAACTTGCCATGCTAAAATCTCAGGCGATTAGCTTTTGAATGGTGTATGTCTTGTCAATTCACTCCGTCATCACTAATTCACCTTTTTTCAAAACCGGTGTCTAGTATAATATCAGAGTGTTTCGCATAGTGTGGGCGTAGTTTGATTCCAAAAATGCTGAAACTTGCCGTGCTAAAATCTCAGGCGATTAGCTTTTGAATGGTGTTTGTCTTGTCAATTCACTCCTTCATCACTAATTCACTTTTTTTTCAAACTGATGTCTAGTATAATATCAGAGTGTTTGGCCTCGGGCGGGCGTAATTTCATTCCAAAAAAGCTGAAATTTGCCGTGGTAAAATCTCAGGCGATTACCTTTCGAATGGTGTATGTCCTGTCAATTCACTCCGTCATCACTAATTCACTTTTTTTTAAAACCGGTGTCTAGTATAATATCAGAGTTTTTCGCCCAGTGTCGGCGTAGTTTGATTCCAAAAAAGCTGAAACTTGCCATGCTAAAATCTCAGGCGATTACCTTTCGAATGGTGTATGTCCTGTCAATTCACTCCGACATCACTAATTCACTTTTTTTTCAAACTGATGTCTAGTGTAATATCAGAGTGTTTGGCCTCGGGCGGGCGTAGTTTGGTTCCAAAAAAGCTGAAACTTGCCGTGCTAAAATCTCATGCGATTACCTTGCGAATGGTGTATGTCTTGTCAATTCACTCCGACATCACTAATTCACTTTTTTTTCAAACCGGTCTCTAGTATAATATCAGAGTGTTTGGCCTCGGGCGGGCGTAGTTTGGTTCCAAAAAAGCTGCAACTTGCCGTGCTATGTCTTGTCAATTCACTCCGTCATCACTAATTCACTTTTTTTTAAAACCGGTGTCTAGTATAATATCAGAGTTTTTGGCCTGGGGCGGGCGTAATTTGATTCCAAAAAAGCTGAAACTTGCCATGCTAAAATCTCAGGCGATTAGCTTTTGAATGGTGTATGTCTTGTCAATTCACTCCGTCATCACTAATTCACCTTTTTTCAAAACCGGTGTCTAGTATAATATCAGAGTGTTTCGCATAGTGTGGGCGTAGTTTGATTCCAAAAATGCTGAAACTTGCCGTGCTAAAATCTCAGGCGATTAGCTTTTGAATGGTGTTTGTCTTGTCAATTCACTCCTTCATCACTAATTCACTTTTTTTCAAACTGATGTCTAGTATAATATCAGAGTGTTTGGCCTCGGGCGGGCGTAATTTCATTCCAAAAAAGCTGAAATTTGCCGTGGTAAAATCTCAGGCGATTACCTTTCGAATGGTGTATGTCCTGTCAATTCACTCCGTCATCACTAATTCACTTTTTTTTAAAACCGGTGTCTAGTATAATATCAGAGTTTTTCGCCCAGTGTCGGCGTAGTTTGATTCCAAAAAAGCTGAAACTTGCCATGCTAAAATCTCAGGCGATTACCTTTCGAATGGTGTATGTCCTGTCAATTCACTCCGACATCACTAATTCACTTTTTTTTCAAACTGATGTCTAGTGTAATATCAGAGTGTTTGGCCTCGGGCGGGCGTAGTTTGGTTCCAAAAAAGCTGCAACTTGCCGTGCTATGTCTTGTCAATTCACTCCGTCATCACTAATTCACTTTTTTTAAAACCGGTGTCTAGTATAATATCAGAGTTTTTGGCCTGGGGCGGGCGTAATTTGATTCCAAAAAAGCTGAAACTTGCCATGCTAAAATCTCAGGCGATTAGCTTTTGAATGGTATTTGTCTTGTCAATTCACTCCTTCATCACTAATTCACTTTTTTTCAAACTGATGTCTAGTATAATATCAGAGTGTTTGGCCTCGGGCGGGCGTAATTTCATTCCAAAAAAGCTGAAATTTGCCGTGGTAAAATCTCAGGCGATTACCTTTCGAATGGTGTATGTCCTGTCAATTCACTCCGTCATCACTAATTCACTTTTTTTTAAAACCGGTGTCTAGTATAATATCAGAGTTTTTCGCCCAGTGTCGGCGTAGTTTGATTCCAAAAAAGCTGAAACTTGCCATGCTAAAATCTCAGGCGATTACCTTTCGAATGGTGTATGTCCTGTCAATTCACTCCGACATCACTAATTCACTTTTTTTTCAAACTGATGTCTAGTGTAATATCAGAGTGTTTGGCCTCGGGCGGGCGTAGTTTGGTTCCAAAAAAGCTGAAACTTGCCGTGCTAAAATCTCATGCGATTACCTTGCGAATGGTGTATGTCTTGTCAATTCACTCCGACATCACTAATTCACTTTTTTTTCAAACCGGTCTCTAGTATAATATCAGAGTGTTTGGCCTCGGGCGGGCGTAGTTTGGTTCCAAAAAAGCTGCAACTTGCCGTGCTAAAATCTCAGGCGATTATCTTTCGAATGGTGTATGTCTTGTCAATTCACTCCTTCATCACTAATTCACTTTTTTTTCAAACTGATGTCTAGTATAATATCAGAGTGTTTGGCCTCGGGCGGGCGTAATTTCATTCCAAAAAAGCTGAAATTTGCCGTGGTAAAATCTCAGGCGTTTACCTTTCGAATGGTGTATGTCTTGTCAATTCACTCCTTCATCACTAATTCACTTTTTTTCAAACTGATGTCTAGTGTAATATCAGAGTGTTTAGCCTCGGGCGGGCGTAATTTGATTCCAAAAAAGCTGAAATTTGCCGTGGTAAAATTTCATTCTGTGCTCTGTCCAATGGTTAGGGAGATACGTCTCGTCAATTCTGTCCGACATCTCCAATTCACTTTATTTTATAGGTTCCAGTTTTCAAAAAAAACTTTGTAAAAAAACTTAAAAATAGTTTTGCATCTTCTCTAACAACCCCCGATCCATTTCAGTATTATCTTTACATCTAATTTCCGCCGGTGCCACCTTAATTTTTCCGTCGATGGTTCCCTTCGGCTTCGGCGCCGTTTTTATTCTCCGGTTCTTCCAAGGAGTAGCTGTCGCCACTTCGTGGCCTGCACTGGGTGCTATCATCGCGGAATGGGCTAGTCTCCAAAAGTCTGTCACTTCTGTGGCTGGGACTTCAGCCCATCTTCAACTGGCCCAGATATTCACGATGCCCGTGGCCGGAGAGTTATGCGAAATTGAATGGAGTTGGCCGGCGTTGTATGTATAATACTTGCAGGGGACTGCGACTGTTATTTATTTTGTTATGTTCTGGTGGTTCTTTGAAGATTCTCCGACCATGCATCGGTAAAATTAGTTGCCGCATCTTTGATGACATTACTTTAGACATGTCAGTGAAAAAGAGCTAAAAACTGTGCGGGAAAACAAATTGGTTTTGGAGCTGATAATGACAATCACGAGGTCCCATATAAGGAGATTTTAACCGACCAGTCAGTTATGGGAATCCTGCTATCATTGTTCGGGCTATTTTTTGTTTTGAGTTCTTTTATCAGTATGGTCCGGTCTATTTAAATTAGGTAAAATTTGGCCACTTTATTATCAGAAAACCCTGTCGTCTGATATGTTTCCACATCTCTATAGGTCCATGGTCTGGACATTCAGAATTCGGGATTTTCGACCGCTTTTCTCTTCGTAATCTCGATCACAGATTGCCACGGTCAAAATTTCGGCTCCGGCTCTTTGCTCCCAGAGCCGGAGCCGAGGCCAAATTTGCAGCTCCGGCTCCCATAAAAAATTTAAAAAGGCCTTCGGCTCCGAATCCCGGCTCCCGTGCAAAAAAGTTTTAAAAAATATTTTTCCAGAAATAAACGTTATTAGTGCAAGAGATCATACACCCAACGTTTTTTCAAGCAAGCTGTATGCAACACATCCTTCCCAGTACTTTTCAAGCAATTTGGTTTAACAAGATCATGAAAATTTTACTTTTCTGAACGCTGACAAGCCTGGCTCCGACTTTGGGCTCGGGAGCTGGAGCCGCACCCAAAATTTTCGCTCCGGAGCCGTGGCAATCTCTGATCTCGACCGTTGTGAAGTCTATTGTGGGACCATTCAGTGATATTCCATATGTTGGTGACAAGATCCGAGTTATTATTCTTGCATCAGTCTCCTTGTACTCCATGGGCGCTTGTTTCATCACCCTGGCCTTTCTTTCGGCCGAACAGAAGATTTTATCGCAGGTTTTCTTCACCGCGGCCATTGTTTCATGCGGAATGGATTCGGTGGGAGTCTCCAAGAGTTGTCAACTAGCAAGTTACTTCTTGATTATGTTTTTCAACATTTCAGAAGTTCTTTTGCTATTTTTTGACTCCTTATAATACAAAATAATAATTTGTATTACACTTCAAGAGCAGTGGCGGCCCCTCAGGAGTCACTGAATCCAAGAGTCCCCCCCACGTCGAAAATGACAGGTAAATTGATTAGCGTCGAGGAGTCGAACAAACCGGGGCCGCAGAAGACAAAACAGGCCTATCAAGCGATGATTGAAGAAGGAATTGGGGATCTGGATGCGGCGTTTAGTTCGGATGATAATGAAATACCAAGAGAATTGCTTTGGTCAAACCCTAGCATCCAGAGATCGGGCAGGTCAGAAGTTCTAGGCCCTTTGAATCAACCTTCGACATCCAAGTTTCGCACGGTGCGAAAATTGTCAGGACTTTTGAGCGCGCGTATTATTACGCTTTTTCAAAAGTGCAGACACATTTTGTCGTGGGCCGCACCGTGCACAAAACTCCCTTTTGCGGGGTGCATTTCGACCTTTTGCACTGTGCAACCGGATATCGCTGCGACGCAAGCTTTTCTCAACGGAGCCGGCGCGAATTTTTTGAAATTGCACAGTGCAAAATGTTTCGAATCGGATCGCGTCGCGCGGGGAACGCGAAACTTGCACTGTGCGGTGCAAAAAAAGCCGGAAAATGTGTCTGCACTTTTGAAAAAGCGTAATACTAGGCGGGCCAAAAAGTCTTGACATGTCTGCACAGTGCGCCGTCGTGCATGCAATTTGTCGCGCGGCGACAAGAAAAATTTACGGTGCAATGCGACACCGCACAGTGCAAAAAGATTGTTTTGAAAAGGGTAAACAACGCACAGTGCGTTCTTCATTCGCACCCCGCCAAAGGTTTTATCGCGCGACACCTCGTCGCGACACCGAATTCATGCGCCCGCACGGTGCGAAAACATGTCAAGACTTTTTGGCCCGCCTAGTAGCATTTTGAACGAAGTGCCTGGACATCATTTCGCTTTCGCACAGTGCAACTTTTGTCGCCGATGCACTGTGGATTTTTGCCTTTGCGCACCGTGCAAACCCCAAAAAAGCCGATTGCACTGTGCACATTTTTGAGCCAAATCGCGGCGGCGCAGTTGAGAAAAAAGCTTACGTCGCAGCGATATTTCAAATGCACAGTGCAAAACCAAAAAGCAGGTCAATGCACGGTGCAAAAAATTGGGGTCTTTTGCGCACAGTGCGCGCCGCGACAAATATCCAGGCACTTTGTGAAAATGCTAATAGTACCACTAGTCGTCCTAGGAAGTGCGCAGACGTTTCCTTCGCGGCGCATAGTGCATTTTTCTTCTTCTTTTCTTGCACCGTGCGATTCTTGTCACGCGCGAAAAATGCGCCGCGATACAGTTTAAAAAAGCCTACGTCGCTGCGACTTTCGAATTGCACGTTGTAAAAAGTCAAACGCACAATGCGGAAAATTTGTGAAGAAAGGTCCACGCACTTTCTGCAACGACTAGAACTCCTCCAAACATCACTTTAACACCTGGCCGCCGGATTCCGGGAACTTACCAACCAGGATCAGCCCATAGGGAAAGTACCCCACATGCGACGCTCAGAATTTGATGAAACTTGGCCCAAATTTAGAATAATTTTTTCTAAATTATATGCGATTTTCCTAGCTCGCACTTGGCAGAAACTACCGAGATTTTTAAACCAAAAGTCGACAAAAATTTTAGACGTTTTGCCAAATTTCAGCACGAAAAGTTTCATACCTATTTCTAATATAGAGGGTAAAAAAGAGGCAAAACATTCAGGAATCGATATCTAATCTACGGCCGACGTGTGCGCAAAATTTGAAAAAAAAATCCGAGCGTGACACTTGGGGGTACTTCCCCTGCCTGATTTCCCATTTTCGGGAAATCAATACACGTTTCAAACAACACAATACCGATAAAAAATGGCGCTTTTACGGCCGAACAAAGGATAAACAACCCTCACTAACCCAACTGTTCTTCCTGGCCCTATTCCCCTCCTACGTATGAATCCTACCCTTATACGATGCCAGTCTCTTAGGTTGAAAACGCCCAATGTCCCAGAGGATAGAAGTATCTAGGTCGAGCCATAATTCAACGCATTTCAGAGCCAAAAACTAGAAGAATTCTAGTTACCCCTCACTTCCGCGTCCTAACATTTCGGGTCAGCGACAGATCGGATCAGCGAAATTTCGGGTCAGCGACAGATCGGCTCGTTGTCTCGACTTGTCAACGACCAACGATACGTCAACGATACCGTTTAATATCTTTGCTTCAGGACTTGGGAAAAAGGATTTTTTGGAGAATTGGAACAAAATTTTGAACTGTTTTCGCTTTGTTTCGCTTAATCCCGTGCTTCCAGTTAAACACATAAACAATGGATACGATTTTCTTATTTGCTCGTCGCTTATAGACACTATTTTCCTAAAAAAATTCGAAAATAAGCCTCAATTCTCCAAAAAATCCTTCTCCCCAGTGCCGAAACGAAAACAGTTCAAAATTTTGTTGCAATTCTCCAAAAAATCCTTTCTCCCAAATCCCGAAGCAAAAATATTAAACGGTATCGTAGACCCGACCTGTCTCGACCCGAATTGTCCCTGACCGAAACGTCACTTACAGACTAAACCATCAATCTCTAAGATATGTGCTCTCTACCGTCCCAGTAATAAAAATTTCGTCCTAGGCTGCCCGCCTACAGCATCAGCCCAATTCCGATTACTTACCTTCTCCGCCCTTTTCTCCCATTTCCCCTTCCCCTTTCAAAGCAAGCAAGATAATATAAAAAAGAAACAAATAGATCAAATTAAAATCGTAGATTCTTCTTCTCGGCTGGAAAGTTGCTCGGACAGGTTTAGTGTGACTTGAAGGAATCTGTAAGAAAATGGGGATTAAGACTAAAAAATCAAAAATAAGTTCAACAATCTCATGAGTAATACGGAAATGCGACGATTGGTTTGAATATAATTACAATAGCCGCTTTGCCGATGCATTCCTATGGGTCTAACTATGATATGTCAAAACTAAAGACACTGCCTTACACTTAGCTACCCGTCCTTCGCCAATTGTTTTACTGCGTGACATGGCACAACTCAATGACTTGTTTTTCAAAAACTCGCTGGTGAACTATCGGAGCAATTCGTAAAATTCAAAAAACAGGCTCAAAGCACTTTTCAAGTCCTCCTTTTCTAGGGTGGAAAACGGAGCCTCTGTATCGTTCTACTACTTTATGAAGCATATCATAACAATAACCGCCACTTACCTTTGAATTTCTCGCATTGTGCGGACTAAACGATGATGATTTTGTTCTTGACGCCGCTCCACACTCAAATTTCTTCAAGCTAATACCATTTGTCATTCTTATACAAACGTGGACGGGCGACCTAGAAGCAATGTTTACTACAAATGGAAAAATTTGAAACGGAATTTAATTATCTCATCAACAACATAAATCCCCTATTAAATCTTTCATAATCAAGTCCTTTACCACTAAATCAGACAATTCATGGAGCAAAAAGTGCATTTATCAACTTTTACCCTCAAACAGATTAAATATTACACCAGAGAGCGAAAAAATCCATCATGACGACGAATTTGGCAATCTACAAGGTGGTTCAGCGTCCATCCTTATTTCAAGTATTTGGCTATAAAATTTATACCAAATTGAAGCTGACGTACCCCATTTTCTGTCCACCAAATACGACGGGCCCAAGTTCAAGAGGGCTCCCATTCTGACCCTTGACATTTTCATTCCAAATTTTGGAGCCCGAAATCGGTGAAACTTGGAAAATTTTTGCGATGATTTTCAGTTGAGTTCTCGGGCTTGGGAAATATTCGAGTCTTTGGCTAAATAGGACATTTAGAAGTGGATGAAAAAATTGACGGTGAGGTACCCTATTTTTCGTCCACCTAGTACTTTCTGATTCCGGCAAAAACGAAAGTCACCAAATTTGATGAAAATTTTTTTTAAAAAGTAAGGTTCACAGACAAGGTCCAAGTCCCTAAAAAGCATATTTCAATCCTGCGAGGTAGCAAGTCGAACAAATAGAAAAAAAGCTCTTTTCTCGGGCAATCTAGGCCTCACAACTTGTTATTTGTCCTCGGGGCAGACGTCATGAATATAGAGAGTCCCGCTCATTTGATCAAACTTTTTTTAATTAAAAAAAAAAGTTTGAACAAATGAGCTAAGACTGTTACCCCAAAAATAACCAGAGTAATGCCTTGAAGAATAGTTATGACTGTTCCTTGCCTGCGGTCAACTTTTTATGCTACTTATAAAAGTTTCACCTAGCGAGAGACTCGAATATTTCCCAAGTCCGAGAACTCAACTGAAAATCATCGCAAAAATTTTCCAAGTTTCACCGATTTCGGGCTCCAAAATTTGGAATGAAAATGCCAAGGGTCAGTACGGGAGCCTCCTTGAACTTGGTCACGTCATATTTGGTGGACAAAAAATGGGATACGCCAGGTTCAATTTGATATAAATTTTATAGAAATTGGTGCATTACTGGCGGAGAAATACTTAAAATAAGAATGGAAGCTTCGGCTGGACCGCCCTGTACATCTTTCAAACCCACATTAACACGGATTTCCAGCCTATGGATCAACCGAAGTCACCCTCTATTAACGAAACTTCACTTACCCCCAAACAAATTGAACTGTTCCTCTTCAAACAAGCCGCCCGTTCCATGGAAGGCATGTTTCGGCAGAGTGACTTGTTCCTTGTTTCCGATCACTCCAGCTTTCTTGTCGACCATCAGGCAACCATGCAGGATGAAGGCCATTCTGAAAGAACAATGCATTAAAAAGCGAAAAACTGGAACAATATAAACCTAATAAACAATATAAAAATTTCTAAATACCACCATTACGACATGTCTAATGGCACTAGTCATTAGTCACCATAAAATTGCTTCTACAGCCCTCAGCAGATTTTATTTCCCTCAAATACCCTAAAAAAACAAACAAAATCAAAATCAGCCTAACAGGGGAATACGTGCGACGCCCAGATTTTAATGAAACTTGGCATAAATTTAGAATATTTTTTTTCTAAAATATATGCGAGTTTCCTGGCTCGCGCTTTGCAGAAACAACCGAAATTTTTTAGATCGAAAGTCGGCGAAAATTTTGACACTTTTTGCCGAATTTCGGCACGAAAAGTTTCATGCCGATTTCTACGATAAAGGGACATTACCCTTTCTAAAGTTTCCAAAAAAATAAATTTTTTCCAAAAAAATAAATTTTTTCCAAAAAAATAAATTTTTTTCCGCGCGAAACAAGCGAAGTTACGGCCAAAAAGATTGTTTTCCTCTTTGACCGCTCTCCATGTTTAGTGTGCTCTCTCGGCGGCAAAAAGCGTTCAATATCTCGGTGGCGCCCGCAAAGCGCGAGCTAAAACTTTCAGGAATTGACATTTAGTCCATACCCGACATGTGTGCCAAATTTAAAGAAAATCTGAGCGTCGCACTTGGAGTACTTCCCTTGTAAGCTCTTTTTCACTTAAAATGCTCGCAGTATCCCTTCTAGATCTCGGTCCCCTAATTTATCACTCCCAATCGACATACCTTTCTGATCTTTCCGCGGTGGGGACCTCCAGGGCACCATTGATTTCTCCAACTTCTCCAGGGCTCCAAGAAACGGATTCTCGATGATTTCCATGAAAATAGATACGATTAAAAGTAGAACGAGTAGTATCTGGACTTATAACAAGAAATGAAGGCCTACAATTGGGGAAAAAACAACTTACTTTAATCACCAAAGCAGGCTTTGATGATTGGGTGAAGGGGAGGGAGTGGGAGGGGAAAGGGAAAGGGAAAGGGAAAGGGAAAGGGAAAGGCGGGTGGTGGGAGTGGTAGAAGAAGGCGAGTAATGGAAGTGGTGGGAGTGGAAGCGATGAGGCTTCTTCTTTTATTTTTTTGCTTCCTTTTTTCTTTTTTTTTATTTTCTTTTTCTTTTTTTTTTTTATTTTTTCATTTTTTTTTCTTTTTTAAAGCTATCCGTTGCATGGGGCTTGGAGATCTCTGCAAATTAAAAGAATAAATTCAAGAACCCTCAAAAAGAATTGACAATAATCTCAAGCTATCCGTAATTTCCCCCAACTACCAATAAACCACGAAACTTACATTCTGAAGAGAGTGTGATGGGGGAGGAGTGAGGTGGGAGTGGAATGGAGGAGGGGTGCGGTGCGAGTGGGAGGGAAGGATGAGTGTTGCAAATGGAACGGGGAATGTGGCGTAAATGAAGGTGATGTTTATGTTTCTGAAAATATACACCATATAGTTTGAGAAAAAACCAGGCTAAAACCAAGGGTGAAACAACAACTTACATAGTAAAAAATGGGTAGTAAACATTTGGGGTAGGGCAGTAAAATCTTGGAGCAACATCTGAAAATAAAATAATCAATTGAAGAACAACCAAAAAAACAAGCGACAACAATCCGAACAGTTCCCTAATATCCTCAACTACAAAAAAACCATCAAAACTTACATTCCATGTTGTCTAAGTCGTTGGTTAGGGTCTCGGCCATGTAGGTGCCGTCCTGGGCCGGAATTGGGACATTGAAAGTAGGGTCGGGAAATGTGTTCCAAAGATTCACTGATTCGAGAGATGGGTTTCTGAAAAGATAGGTCATATAATTTAAGAAAAATCCAGGAAAAATTCAAGAATGAAATAACAACTTACATTGACACAAATGGATGGTAAACTATTACGAAATCTAACATTACAAGAAAAAAATAAGAGTCACTTTTAAAAAATAATTTTTTTCTATTTTTCTATTTTTTCTTTTTTTTGTTTCTTTTTTTCGTTTTTTTATTTTTTTCTTATTTTTTCATTTTTTTTCTTTTTTTTTTATTTTTTTCTTTTTATTTTTTTTTTATTTTTCCATTTTTTTTTCTTTTTAAAGGTATCCGCTGCATGGGGCTTGGAGATCTCTGCAAATAAAAAGAATAAATTGAAGAACCCTCAAAAAAGAATTGACAATAATCTCAAGCCATTTGTGCAGTGAGAGACCGGATCCAATGGCAAAAAACGTCTCATTTTGCATCCCGAAAGGCACCAAAATGTCTCCAAACCCTTAACTTCTCTAAGCTAAAAAACCCCGCTTTGAAGAGCCTGCCTTGAAGGAAAGGGCGCGCTTTTCAAAGCGGAGTTTTTTAGCTTAGAGAAGGCAATGGTTTGGGGTCACTTTGGTCCCTTCCGGGATGCAAAAGGAGACGTTTTTTGCCATTGGATCAGGTCCCTCACTATAATTTCCTCAACTACCAATAAACCACGAAACTTACATTCTGAAGAGAGTGTGATGGGAGAGGATTGTGGTGCGAGTGGAATGGAGGAGGAGTGCGGTGCGAGTGGGAGGGAAGGATGGGTGTTGCAAATGGAACGGGGAATGTGGCGTAAATGAAGGTGATGTTTAGGTGTCTGAAACTATACACCATATAGTTTGAAACAAAACCAGCCTAAAACCAAGGGTGAAACAACAACTTACATAGTAAAAAATGGGTGGTAAACATTATGGATACGGCAGTGAAATCTTGGAGCAATATCTGAAAATAAAATAATCAATTGAGGAACAACCAAAAAAACAAGCGACAACAATCCGAACAGTTCCCTAATATCCTCAACCAGAGATTGCCACGGTCAAAATTTCGGCTCCGGCTCCCATTAAAAATTTAAAAAGGTCTCCGGCTCCAAATTTCGGCTACCGATTTTTAAAAAAATACATTTCCAAAAATAGAAGTTATTAGTGCCAGAGATCATACACCCAAGGTTTTTGCAGCCGAGTCGTATGCAACACACCCTTCCCAGTATTTTTCAAGCAATTTGGTTTAACAAGATCACGAAATTTTTACTTTTCTGAACGCTGAGAAGCCTGGCTTCGACTTTGGGCTCGGGAGCCGACCCCAAAATTTCCGGGTCCGGCTCTGACTCCCGGCTCGGAGCCGGAGCCAAGAGCCGGCTCCGAAGCCGTGGCAATCTCTGTCCTCAACTACAAAAAACCATCAAAACTTACATTCCATGTTGTCTAAATCGTTGGTTAGGGTCTCGGCCATGTAGGTGCCGTCCTGGGCCGGAATTGGGACATTGAAAGTAGGGTCGGGAAATGTGTTCCAAAGATTCACTGATTCGAGAGATGGGTTTCTGAAAAAATAGATCATTAATTTAAGAAAAATCCAGGATAAATTCAAGAATGAAATAACAACTTACATTGATATAAATAGGCGGTAAACTATTAGGCGAGTAAAATTAGAAGAGAAGAAGAGAGAAGAAGGATACGGGATACTTAAAAAATTTTTTTTTTCTTTTTTTTATATTTTTTTTCTTTTTTTCCTTTTTTTATTTTTTTTTCTTTTTTTTATATTTTTTTTTCTTTTTTTTCCTTTTTTTTTATTTTTTTTTATTTTTTTTTTTTTATTTTACATCCGAAAAGCAGTGAAGAAATCTTGGAGCAATATCTGAAAGTACAGTGATCAATTGAAGAACCACAAAAAACAAGTGACAACAATCCGAACAGTTCCCTAATATCCTCAACTACAAAAAAACCATCAAAACTTACATTCCATGTTGTCTAAATCGTTGGTTTGGATTTCGGCCATGTAGGTGCCGTCCTGGGCCGGGAGTGACGTTGTTAAATTGGTGCAGTTTTCGAAGGATCCATTGCTTTCCGGGGTCATTTTCTGCAAAGATGAATCATATAATTTGAGATTAAAGACTACGCTAAAACAAGTATAAACCGATAACTTACATGTTAAAAAATCGTGATAAATTAAATACAAATATTATACAATAGATGAGACAAATACAATAGATACAATAGACAATAGAAATTAAATACAAATGCAATAGATAAATACAATAGATGAGGGGTCAAAATTAAATACAATAGATGAGGGGTCAAAATTAAATATAATACAATAGATAAGGGGTCAAAATTAAATATAATACAATAGATGAGGGGGCAAAATTAAATATAATACAATAGATGAGGGGTCAAAATTAAATATAATACAATAGATGAGGGGTCAAAATTAAATATAATACAATAGATAAGGGGTCAAAATTAAATATAATACAATAGATGAGGGGTCAAAATTAAATATAATACAATAGATGAGGGGGCAAAATTAAATACAATAGATGAGGGGTCAAAATTAAATATAATACAATAGATGAGGGGGCAAAATTAAATACAATAGATGAGAGGTCAAAATTAAATATAATACAATAGATGAGGGGGCAAAATTAAATACAATAGATGAGGGGTCAAAATTAAATACAGTAGATAAGGGGTCAAAATTAAATACAATAGATGAGGGGTCAAAATAAATACAATAGATGAGGGGTCAAAATAAATACAATAGATGAGGGGTCAAAATTAAATATAATACAATAGATGAGGGGGCAAAATTAAATACAATAGATGAGGGGTCAATTAAAAAAGCTTTTTTATTTATTTTTTTCATTTTTTACTTTTTTTATTTTTTTCTATTTTTTTTTGGCCTTCTCAATTTTTTTGGCTCTTCTTTTTTGTTATTTTTTTTTGGCCTTTTCAATTTTTTTTTTGGCTCTTCTTTTTTTTTGCCTTTTAATTATTTTTTCTCTGTCATCCTTTCGGTGGTGGGTATCGAGAGAGGATCTCTGAAAAATAAAAAATTAACACGTAAAAACACCAGTGACAACACTATAAAAATATCTCTAAACACCTTGACAAAGGTGGTCAGTGCTTCCTAAAGCGTATCTGTCCCGGATAATCATCCGAAAGCCGGCTCACATCAACCACAAACAGAATGCCAAGATTTTTGGCATTCGGTTTTTTAAGGAGCTCTAATGTTTTAGCTGACTGTGCAGTGGGTAATGCACAAAATAACATGAACCTGCGATTAAAATATTGCCAAGGCCTCATAATTTTTAAATTAGTAGATCTTGGCGCCTTTGGGCCACCGGGTTCGCGGAAAAACGCCGGAGAAAATCGAATTTTTGCGAACTTTGCGGCCCAATAACTTGTCTAAAACTATTGAAACATGAAAAGCGATTGCAACGATCTTCAGAATATCGTATTCTAAGATAGCATGAAAAGTTTGAAGCAAATCGGTCTAATAATAAAAAAGTAGATTCGGTTTTAAATTTTTTACCTTATGGATCATATTACTTTATTCAAGTTTTAATGTCCGACAGCGTTAAATAGTCAAATAAATGATCCATATTATCTCATAACAATGGAGAATAATTGCAAAAATTTCAACTCCCATGCCGAGAAAAAAGGTTTACCTTATACATAGTAGCATACCTTATCTTATGAAAAAATAACAGAAGTTTAAGCCTGATCAAAACTATCTATGTGAATTGAGATTGCTTTCTAAGGCTACGCTCAACTTTTGGAGCTGGTTTCAACCTTGCTGCGCCGATTTCAAAAATGGTCACTATCACCTAAAGCAACGTTCTCACAACAGCTTCCAAAATGTCGCGGATGCCAGAAATTATGCTCTTACTGACTTTTTAGATCAAAGTGGACCTAGCTGAGTTAAAATCTACCGATTTTTAAAATATTATTTTATTCACCTAAATATCAGTTTTTTTTTGGAATTTTGAGTGAGTAAGCTAGTATAGGACATAGGGTTCCTTATTGTTCTCCAAAACTACTCTAATTATGCTCATAGGGAAAAGGTAATTGCTTCGTTACGAAACGATTTAGTAGCAAAGATGTCTAAAATAAGGTTTTCAAATCTACTATTCTTTGGTCAGTCCGGCTCGTTTCTAATTCTTTGTTTGAGCTACCCTTGGGCATCCAACAAAGTGTTGCAAACAGTTTTCCCGATTTGAAACTTTTTTTTTCTGGTTGATGTGCGTTGTAAGTTTAGGCTTCAAACAGATAGAAGACGACCGATTTTTTCCTATGAAACATATATGGTGAGGTTAAGCAGAAGTCCAGCTTCAAATTTATGTATGCAATAAACCCATTCTACACCCATCTTCCATGTGTAATCAGGTTACCTTTGGAGCAAAAACTTATCTTTCAGCTAAAACAGAATGCCAAGAATTTCCCATTGCTTGAGCGCTCTTGTTCTAGGTTTTCTTGACGTGCAGCTACTATAACATCCCGAAACTAAACCCCGTGATCAAAAAAAACGTAAAACATTGGCTGATGGAACTTACTGCTTCCATTTTTCCTTTCCAATAGCCATAGAACGATTCAAACGTCGGATTAGCAGTTGGGCCCACTGGGCCACCTTCGTCCAGGAAAATTCGGCGTACATTTCTCGTGGTGGGTGTTCTAAACGAGATCTTAATAATAATGAGGACAAACTTAAAAAAAATACAATTGACCTTTAAAAAATATCTAATTTCTACGTAAAAAGCCATAAAATCTCTCAGCATAACGTCAAGCACGACCTATGTTCTCTATTCAGCCGTATTTTTCTAAAATACGGCCTAAAATAAGCTTACCTCTCGGCCATTTTCCAATTAATCAACGACCATCCAGTGCACAATCGATCAGCCAATTTTCTCATCGTTGGAATCGTCAGCTCATTGACAATTCCAGACTGTCCCACCAAGGCTTGAGCCACCGTAATGTAATGCCCTTCAGCTCTGACCAAAGTCGTCCGCAACAAATTGTCGAGCCCATACTTTGAGGCTAAAGAAAGGTGCTCTCTCATGATATTTGTGGAGATTGGGGGCTGCATGGCAATCGCCTAAACTTCAAACAATTCAATAAACAACAACAACAACTTACTGCTTCCATTTTACCCTTCAAGTAGACCAATTCATTGTCGTGGGCGAAGATCAACATTGGCCGGATACAAGCCTCACAAATCGGCTTGTTGTAATAAACAAAGTCAACGAACTCATTGAGGAAGTGACGAAGATCAATATGGAGGTTGTTTAGGTACTCACGAGTCTCCACGGTGAAGATTGGGTAATATTCTGAAAGTATCAAAGATAAATTATATTACACATGACATAAGATCAATAATTTTAACCGAAAACAACAAAACTGATTCATAAAAGCTCCGAACATGTTGTTATACAGCCCGCTCCTCCTGCAACAAACCAAAGCTATGCAACGTTGCATTTTTCGTCTAGAGAGGAAGACTTGACCAAGATGAGTCAACTCTTTCCCCATCCAAGAAAATTCTCCGTAATTAGGAGAAAAGTTTTGAAATTTCTGACGAGGAAAGTACTTCTACGGGGTGTGGAGTTACAGGTCGAGTCATAGATCAAAAACAAACGTAAAATTTTTCTGATTCAGAATATGTAAATGTTAGCTGCCTGATTTTGGACTGTAGGGTGAAAAAATCCTCAGAACTTTTATCGCAGCACCACACAAATGCCGCTTTTTTATATTGGAACTACTAATTAAGGTGTAGTATTAATCAAATTTGATATTTTAAGGCTTGTCAAGATGCCAAGGTTCACTTTAGCTCAAAACAAAGCTTTTGATTTGGTAAAAACTTTGTCAAAAAGGCATTTGCGTGGTGTTGCGAGAAAACTTCTGAGGGTTTTTTCACCTTTACAAACCAAAATCGGTAGCTAACTTTTACATATTCTGAATCAGAAAAATTTTGCGATTTTTTTGATATATGACTCGACCTGTAACTCGATAGCCCATTGAAGTACTTTCCTTGTCAAAAATTTTATATTATCCATGGTAAGACTTACCTCGGGATGGGTTCCGAGGGCTTTGGCCAGCTGAAGAGGTTGTGTTTTCGGGCGTAGGGGCAGGCCGGGGCAATAATCTCGTCGTAGACATCCGCTAGGAACAACTGACTGGGAACATTTTTGAATCTTAGGTACAAATATAAATCGCTGGGCTTGTTCGGGGGGCTGGCTGAAAATAAAATGATCAATAAAATTATTTTACTTTAGACTAAAGTAAAGCAGTTCCCAAAACAAAAAAATCTTACCTCATTTGGTCCTGCCGAGCACCCGTTGTTTTCCACAAGGCCCTCCGGATCAAGTGGAGGGCCAGGGTGCTCCGGTCGACCAAAACGTCCACGCCAGTGACCGGGAACAAAAGGTGAGCACCCATTTTTATCTTCCAACGGCCCCCCGGGCTCATTCGGGGGGCTAGGGTGCTCCACCTTAGTTTCTTGTTCCTTCATGGACTTGTTTGGCATTGGCTGAAAAGCTTGTCGTAAGTTTTAATTGGGCAAATTGCTAAAAGATTAGAATTATTGGGGGGACGCTGCGAAAAACTTACGTTATTAGGCATCGTTATTAGGCATGAATGACTGCGCCGAGTTGGGTTTTTGACCACTTAATAGGGATTTACTGCCCTTCGACCTGAAAAAATCTTGTTGTTATTGATTAAGATTGCGATAGTAAATATAGCGTTTGAAAAAATGCGAAATTGAAAATTTTTGAAGGGCGTTTTGGGTAAAAATGGTAAAGATATCGAAAAAATTGACTTACGAGGCAACCTGGACTCCTGTGAAGTCCGATACGATCGGCTCGACATGTCCACGATGAGACGTGAAGGAGGCTTTCGTTCTCTTCGTGGACGTTGGTGTTCTTCTGGGCCATTGTCCTCTTCTTGAAGCACTGGGCCAAGTCCTTGAAGTTCCCTCGACCTTCGGTGGGGCCGAGGACGTTGAGGGTCAGCTGAGGGCTGATAACAACATCGCCTTTTGCACTTCGCCATTCTTCGCAAAGGCCCAGGAGCCTCGTGATTTTGTGCTTCTGTAGGTGGCGGCGAGTGTTGGGTCACTGGAGGCTGGGTGACGTCAAGCCTTAGGATGTCCGCAGTTGTTGGCGTTATTGACCACGCTGTCGTCATCAGCGGGCTTCTGGATCTGTCGGCCCTTGGTGGCCGGCCGTCGGCGACTGCTGTCCGAAGGTGTTGCCGATGGCGGGCTTGCAGTTCAGCGACTTCTTTTTCTGCCGCTTCCTTCAGTGCCCTTTCTTCTTCGGCCTTTTTGGTGGCGGCGGAGGCGGCTTCTCTGGCCTTCTTGGCCTCAACTTCCGCCTCTTTCAGGGCTTCTTGGTAGAATTCGACTTTTTTTCCAATGTCGCTTGTTTTTCCCAAATTATGCGGCACTGATCCTTCCAGAAGTCCCTTTGCCATCGAATGCGGGCATTTTGATCTTCTAATGGTTCTTCAGAGGCTGCATTCTCATCGAAGGCTTCAAGGGACATTATTGATGGGACGCTATGGAGCGTTGAGTGCTCCTCACTCGTACTGGAGCTGCCATCAAATCTCGATGTGGACGAGAAGTCCAATAAGTCCACCGATCCAATCGAGCCCTCAACCGCCGGCAGGTGGTCGGCCTGGTCGGTTGGGGCAGGTTCTGGGCCGAAGCCCGAGGGGCCAGTGGTACTGCTTGACCCCTCTTTACCCTCCTCTGGGACGCCGGTTGGATGCTGGCCAACCAGAGGAGGGGCCATTACCGCCGGCAGTTGTTCAGCCTGCGCGGAATGGGCTTGGCGCTCGGATGCTGGGCTCGAGCGGTGGCCGGAGGCCTGGCCGATGTTGTTTGGAGACACTGAAATCACCAAAATTAGACGAAAATTTTTAAAAAATATGGTTAAAACTGGTAACTCCATCGCTAAGGGCCCTAACATAGCCTATTCTTTCTATTTTCCCTATGTAATTTTTTGCTTTTAGGTGCAGATCCTGATGCTGGAGATCCATAATTTTGATTCTGAAGGCCACGGTGACCGAAAATTCCATATTTCACTCAAAGTCCTGTGAAGAATTGTCCATTTGCCCAAAAAACAGTCGAGTGATGTCGAAATTCCATCCAGCTTGAAGTGCAGCGACGAAAACCATATTAACCACACGAAACCCGAGCTGATTTTTTGTTGATGGCGACCGGAAGGCGTATTTATAGTGGTGATCAGGAAATCGACAGCAGAGCAGCTCGAAAGCTGTAGAACACTGAATGAACCGAAGATCGGATCAAACGACAACGTGGAACAAGGAGAACCTTCAAAAGGACCCCAGAAAATGAGATAAGAGCAAATTGATGGCGCTGATCCGGAGCTAAATGATGATTGCTCCTCGACGGAAGAAGATTAGGTGCGGATGGACAACCTTTGGATGATTTGTGGCGATGTCGACGTGAAGATCATGGAAAACGGGTAATGGATTGGATTCATGAAGAGAAAATGATCAGCTTGGTGTGCGGACGTTCGGATTGAGCTAAAATAAGGTAAGTCCAGGGGTCAAATGGGCGAAAACGTCTAAAAGTTTTTGTAATTTCGGGTTTTTCCTTGTATCCGTCTTTTTAATGTTCCATTCCAGATATCCATTAATTGTTCGATAATTTCCAAGACGATATTGATGTCATGAATAATCTTCAGGCCAAGGAAATCATTGCTGAGGCTCGTTACTCCAAAAATCGAGGCAAACATTGCGAAGATTTCGGTTGGAAATGGAGTCCTGATGTAAAAACAAATTTGATGGTGAAGATGTTGATGGAATGGAATGTTTGGGTGGTCGATGATCCTTCCCCTTTTCTTTACGAACGGTTTGAAGTCGTTTGAAGGTGGTAACTCCAAAGAATCCAGTCGAATGACGCTGAGTTCTGATGTTGGTCAAGTCGGTAAGCCTGTTTGATGGGTTTTTTGATGTTAAGATTGAGCGCAGATGATGAAAACGATGTTTTAGCCGATGTTTAGAGTCTCTGAAACAGTCCACGCGACACGAAACCGTAAATTCGACGAGCCGGAACGACGAGAAATCACGTCCACCAGGAGAACAACACTCAGAGCACAGCAAGAGGTCTTTCAACAAGATTCTGACAAGAAAAACGAGGACAGGTACCAAGAACACCATCAATAACGTCACTCCACGGACGAGACGAGCTCCCCACCCCTTGAAATTACTCTACAATAACCCTAATCCTTAGTGATGACCGTAGACATGGTCCATTTGACGTTGGTCTTCAGCAATCAGCCCAGTGATTGAATTGGTCCAATGTGGAAGGTACAGGCGGTTCATCGTGTCATCAGGTGGTGTCTCACAGTGAAAACCCCGTTAAAAGTAACAAGAAGGTCAATTTACGTGGGCAGTATAAAATGATGTAAGTATTTATGGTTATATTTAGCATAATACAATTAGAATTTTTATGGGGATATCCAATTGTAATGTTCGATGTTTTAGGGCGCCAACGGACTTGGAAATGGACTCATGACAAGGAGCGACCCATCGAGTTTTGAACCGTCTTGGAATGCCTGGATGAAACTGAAAGGCGAAGAAAGGAAAATAAAAATTTTTACCTGGTCGACGAATCAGATTGCAGATGAAGTTGATGAAGTTTATTGGCAATTTGAGTAGAACAAAACGGTAAGGCACTGTTGGCCATGAAAATGAAAAGTTTAGTCTTTTTTTTGGGAACCGACCAGTGGATTCATGGAAGGCCACCAATCGACTTCATCAGTTTTGGAAAGACGTCTGCCCGATCATGATGGGTATATCAATCCGGGAGACTGCGGGCTGGGATTGGTCGTTAGAAAGCAAAATTTCGGTAAAGAGTTGTCGTAACTTTTGGAATTTTCGTCAAAACGTTTCGAAATTTATATCAAAAGCGAATTTAGCTTTTAGCTTTAAACTCAGAATTTAGGCTAACTTGGCTTTGGTTTTATTGCCTAAAGGTGTGTCAAAAAAAGAAAGCATTTTTTCCAAAATTTTTTCACAAAAATGAAATCCGCAATTTGAATTTTTTGAATTTACCGAGGAGCGACCTTTGTGGTTCGAAATTTTTCAGTAGTTCGGCTAAAATACGGCGGTCGATCTCTCGGGGTTCTAAAAATTGCAAAACTCAAAGAATATTGACTTAAGTTTGCCCGTATTTTACCGTACTAAAATAGATTCCGGCGGGATACCACCAGCCAAAATTGCGAATTTTTATGTAATATTTGGCTTGGATATTACACTTCACGATTCAATAGTATATTTTTAAGGCCTTTAGGCCTTTTTATTGCCATTTTTTTGGCGGGATTTACGGTAGAAACCCACCAGCCAAAAATTAAATTCATTATTTTACGGGTCACAAATTCAATCTAAGGTAATTTCGAGTTGCAACTAATTATAAGGTCTTTCAAAATGAGCTCCAAATCAATTTTTTGAGCTCTTTTTTTTGTTTTTTAACTCAAAATTATATTGTTCTAGACGAGTGAAGTATTGATATTTTTGTTATATTTTTCCCCTAAGCTTAAGTTAGTCATCTCAACCCAAGTTAAAGTCTATTACCGTATTCAAAGCCGGATTTGTCATCAAAAGATCCAGAATTTCTGGCATTTTGATGACAAATCCAACTCTCAAAATCCTCAAATAAACCCCAAAAAATCCCAAAAAACCCCAAAAATTCCAACTTGACTTACCCATCGGCCGCTCCCCGACGCCAACCACCGGGACGGCAGCGGTGGAAGGCGAAGGGGCCATCGTCGAGTTGACGGCGTCGCTTGATGCGGAGTTTTGGCTCATCTTTCGATTGATAGCTGGAACCAGGATATTTCGACCGGTGAATGAGAAAATTGCCAACGAATTTTTGGTGAATTTCTAATATGCAAATTTCGAATTTTGATGCAAATTCGTGGGAAACTGACGTTTTTTTCAGATTTTCATTCAAATTTTTGCAATTTTTTGGAACGTTTTTTACAACGTGGCGAAATTTCGGACATCTTTATGGAATTTTGAAGGCTTCAGGACGGGTTTGGACAGGGGTTTTTGGCTGTATGGCATACTTTTGGTGAGTTTTGACAAATTTTATTCGATTTCTTTAGCTTTTGATGTATTTTTTGAATTTATTTATTTAATTTTAGATGGTTCTATGGCTAATCTGATACGAACTCTCCCAAGCCTTCAGCCTCGGATGAACGGTCACAGATTGCTACCGATGGTCGAAGTCGCCAGAGAGGCAAATTATAGCTGATGGGCAAAGTGGAAGAGGTAAGTTGTTTGTTGAGCTTTTTGGATTGTTCGGAATTTAGGAAATTGCATTGGAGCCCCGCGTCAACGTAAATGTCATGAAAGGCATGTGATGGTTGGAGCCTAGCAGGACTAGAATCGGCAGTGCTTCAGTTCCAGCGGACGATACAACGCTGAGAAAGTTGACATTATAGCTGATGGGCAAAATGGAAGAGGTAAGTTGTGTTTTGTTTTTGGATTGTTCGGAATTTAGGCTGTTGCACCGGAGTTCCCCGCCCACTTGAATGAGAGGCATGTGGTGGCTGAAGCCTTGTTGGGAGGAACCAGGATCAGCGATACTTCGATCCCAGCGGACGATTTCAATGATGAGAAAATTGGCAAGTTGATGGTGCACTGGAATTGGAAACTGACTCAAAGGTAGGCCTATTTTAGAAGATTGTTGTTGATTTAAAGGTATGGGTGGCAATTGGCGTTATGCTGAGAATTTTTCTGACATTTTCGGCGTAGATTTGAAGATTTACTGTAGTTGGAACGTATAGTGCGGGACATTTCACCTTTCTAGAATTCATTCGAACCTTTTCTTGGAGTCATTTTGATTAATCTTTCTTCTAACATTGTCCTGATTATTATAACGTCTCATTTAGAACTCCTGCGACGAGAAATCATTGTCAGACGCATACTGAAGCTCTCCGCCAGCAAGTATCCAATCGAGACTCCGGATTTGGGGACGATACATCGATGATGTTGTAGCAGGCACAAGTAGATGACTCCCGACCCCGATCACTGCGGTCAAAGCCCCTTACTTTGGTCTTCCAAAGTATTTCAACTCAGCCACAACACCCGATGTTATCGAAAGGCTTGAATTTTTCTTGTGTTTATACTATAAATGATAAGAATACGGTATTTTCTGTGTATTTTTTATGATTTTTGTCGATTTATTACAGGGTGCGCCAAAAATATTGGGTCAAAAATCAATTCCGTGTAGCTTCTTTCGGCTTGCCTAGAAATTAAAAATTTTAGGGTTTTTAGCAAGGGTAACTATCGTGCTATACAGCAACGGTAATGCCAGGGTTGGGGCCTATTGACAACTTGAAAAAATAATCAAAAGTTTTTGGGGGACCAAAATTTTCTTTTCAAGTGGATGACCGGGAAATCAATTTGCCCATTATTTCCGCTAAAGGAAAGTAAGGTTCTTCAAATTAATTGTGTACAAATCACATGCTATTCAATTCGTAACAGCGTATGTAGTCATCGTTGACGACCGATCTGGCGGCGCTGGTCGCAAAAACTATAAAAAAAATCCCGAAAGTTCGGATTTTTATGTTTTTAACGATCTCAATACCATAGTATCGCCCGTGTTGCTCTAAAATTTTGTGGTTGTAGAGCGTGTACATAGGGAATTGTTATACTGTAAAAGAAAACCTACACCTACAAGGGGACAGTTTCTGTATGGAAAAAAACTTTATGGTGCGGATTGGAGGCACGGTCCTTCGAAACTTGATATATTTTGGCAGTTTACTACAAGTTGAAAAGTATTTGAGCGTAAAAATCGACGTAACGCTGTACTCGGGATACATGCTGACACAACTGAATTACTTTTAGCGATTTTCAGTCCAAGCTCACTTGACGAGCAACCTTAGAGTAAACTCTACCGCTATAGTCACTATTTCGTCCCTCAGAGGCACTTCAAAAGACGACTAGTCAGACTCTCGTTGTTCTTATAAAAGTATCTTTGATGCCTAATATGCTGAGAATCATACATCGAAACTTCTACATAAAAATCCTTGATCTAACGGAAGTTTTCTGGAAGAAGGCGCGTTTTTAGGCCGACTTTGACGGGCTGTAAAAGATGTAATCGTGGTTATTCGGAAAAATCATTTTTAGTGTATAAAAAGCAACCGCAACTCTGTCCTATAAAGTGAATTTCTGCCATAGCATACAACGGTAAAACTAGTGTTTCCAATTTTTATCCATTTTGGGGTCCGTGTCTCAGGGGCCTTAGTTGTGAGCACTTATAATGGCAGAACAGGTGTCGTATATGACTACTCCGTTTGAAACTTTGAAGATAGATTCTTGGGAGCATTACACGTTTACACAAGCGACCACTTTGCTCATGTACCATTACAGCCCGCAGGGCAAGTAAAAATATTATATTTTTGGCGCACCCTGTAGACATCAATGATGACCCAAGATAAATTAGGGTGAAAGCGATGACTGACAGGGGTTATATCATTAAAAACCGTTGAATTTGTGACGAAAAGTTGCCAGCCCACCGAAAAGGTTATGGAAATCCGAATACGAGTCAATGCAGAATCCGCGTTTCAAATACCCTTTTATGATTACCCGAAAACCTTCGGATCGAAGGTCACCCGGCAGAATTCATGGAAGGAAATTCAGCGACAGTTCCATTTAGACTGTTGTAGGCTGGTCTGACAACTGCTAAATTTTCTTGCACTAGCTATTCACATCGCGGTTGGGTTTCCTGCCGGCGATGCCGTTGCTGGCAACAACCTCTCCAGAGGATGCAGAAGCTCAACCCGTCACAGGACCTTCTCGAGGATTGGCACACTGAACACAAGAGGAAAGAATCTGCTCACAAGCTCAACTTGCCGAGTTTGAGAACCAGCAAGGATGGGAATCACGTCTTCTGAATTGGAAGCCCGATACCAAAATGCCGTTGGAAAGACCAAGAACGCGCTGGGAAGACGACTTCAAGAACTTCTGTCCCACCATGTTCAACTTGTAGACTTGGAGAACCGACGTGACATCCCCACCTCGTTTGCTGGCGAACCGCTTTTCTTACACTATCGGAGCATAAAAATAACTTCTACAAAACGTGGTTGCGACCAGAAAGAAGAACACTTCCGCAACCTGCGCAGAAATTCGGGTGGCCATAAACGTCCCGGTGCCCAATTTACAATGATTCTGCAGCTGACCGGATTCGAAGAACAAAAATAGGATGCAGCACTGACGGCGTTGGAAGCCGAAGACCAGGCCAGCGGATTCCGGGAGCTTACCCACCAGCGGAAGCCTGGATACTAGCATTATCAAAGTGCTTGGACATTTTTTCGCTGCCGCGAACTTTTGTCGCCAACGCACTGTGGATTTTTGCCTTTGCGCACTGTGCATGTCTAAAACAGACCGTTTGCACTGTGCAAATTCTCGCGGCGGCGCAGTTGAGAAAAGGTTTTGTCGCAGCGATATTCCAAATGCACAGTGCAAAACCAAAGAAAGGTCAATGCACGATGCAAAAAAACGCGGGCTTTGTGCACAGTGCGGCCCGCGGCGAATGTCCAGGCACTTTGTGAAAATGCTAATAGTCCTTCCGGGAAGTCGCCGGACTGATTTTTTTCGGCGCTATGAAAAAAATTTTTTGACGCGATGAAAAAACCCAAGAAATTGCACTGCAAAGAAAACTTTTGGTTTCGCACAGCACGTGTCGCCGACTTCAGTCCGGCGGCCTTCCAGACGGACTAGTATGCGCCCAGGACCCAATTCCAGGTGTTTTCGCTGATGAATCCGCCATTTTCGGCTTCGATACACAAGTCAAACAACACAATACCGACATAAATGGCGCTTTTACGGCCGAGCACAAGATAAACAGCACTAATCCAACGCCCTTGTTGCAGCTATCCCCGCCCCCATATACATCCTACCCTTCTAGAAAATCAATCCGCTAGGCCGAAAATTTCCAACGTCCCCACGGATGCGTAATTCGGTCGATAAACCCGTGACAACCCATGCATAATTCAACGTCTTTCCCAGCCAAAACCTGTAGATATTCAGGGTTCCCTCACTTTCGGACTAAACCATCAATTATGCTATGTATGGATCCCAAACAAAAAAATTCAGCATAAATTTGCCTACAGAACCGCTCGAAAAGGCCCTTAACCCTACCCGAATAAAAAACGACATAAATTTGCCTATTGAATCATTCGGACCAACTCTTACCACTTACCTTCTTCACACGAACCCTTTCTCCCATTTCCCCTTCCCATTTCAAAGAAAAAAAAAACAATAAAAAAATAACAACAAATAGATAAAATTAGATTTGCAGATTTGGCTGGGAAGTGGCCTGGACTGGTGGAATCTAGTGGTAATTGAAGGAACCTGAAAGAAAAAAGGGATTAAAAGGCCAAAAACTCAAAAATAAGGTCAATAATCTCATCAGGAATACAGAAATCTCGAAAAAAACGTCATCACAACGCCTAAGATCAACCAAAATTATACCCCGGGACTAAAGTTTGGAACAGGCTGGATTACTTTGTGGCTTGAGATCGTAGTTTCATTTCTTTTCTATGAGAATCGGAATGTATTAAAACCCTGAATAGATGCATAGCCGTAAAAATCCGAAAGCTCATATGAGCAAAACACAAAATTTTTAAAAATGGGTGGGACAAAAGTTTGGAACAGGGTAGGAATGCGACCATAAATTTCGAGGTATAGTCAAAAACTCCTAGCCTTTGGTATTTTTAGATGCTACAAGGAGTCAGGATCTCAACGACATGCTGATTTTCATCAATAAACTCAAAATGTAAAAAATTCTTATTGAGCCGAAAATGACGGTCAGATTTGCGAAAAAAAATTATTTTTGGGTTGGGTTCTCTATGTTATTGGGTGTGTAGGCATTCTAAAATATTTAATATAGTTGTATGACCGTACAAAGACACTCAGATCTTCGCATTGTGACCTTATCCGCACAGTATAATTTATGAAAATCTTGGATTGCGCTTCGAATCTTGGTCTAATGAACTTTAGACTTTTTGTAAGGCGGCTTGATGGCTAGTTGGCCTTTCCATAGTTTTTGTGGGATGAAAAGGTTTCTTCACAAAGCAAAACATGACCGCAATTTGCAATATCCCAAGTCAGATGTTTCCAAAATTAAAAAAATTTTTCGATTACCAAGATCAATGTCTATATCGACCTGGATTCCTAGTTTAATACATTTTAGAGTTGGCTAACAAAACTTTATCAGTGTGAAAAGGATAAAGGCATTTAGGTTTGCGCCATACGGCGACCTAAAATTAAAGTAAAAAATATGGGTTGTCTTAACATCTCATATATCCGGGTTTTTCGAAGTTGTGGCCTTTCGTGGTGCAAATAGCGGTTGGTTTTTGCCTCTTGAAGATACCTTTTTGTCCCACAAAAATTATGAAAAGACCAATTAGCCATCAAGCCGCCTTACAAAAAGTCTAAAATTCATTAGACCAAGATTCGAAGCGCAATCCAAAATTTTCATAAATTGTACTGTGCGGATAAGGTCACTATGCGAAGATCTGAGTGTCTTTGTACGGTCATACGACTATATTAAACATTTTAGAATGCCTACACACCCAATAACATAGAGAACCCAACCCAAAAATAATTTTTTTTCGCAAATTTGATCGTCATTTTTGGCTCAATAAGAATTTTTTTCATTTTGAGTTTATCGATGAAAATCTGTATCTCGATGAAGTCCTGACTCCTCGCAGCATCTAAAAAAACCGAAGCCTAGGCGTTTTTGACTGTACCTCGAAATTTATGGTCGCATTCCTACCCTGTTCCAAACTTTTGTCCCACCCATTTTAAAAAATTTTGTTTTTTTGCTCATATGAGCTTTCTGATTTCTACGGTTATGCCTCCATTCTGGGGTTTTAATATATTCCGATTCTAATAGAAAAGAAATAAAACTCCGATCTCAAGCCGCAAAGAAAATCTAGCCTATTCCAAACTTTAGTCCCGGGGTATAGTTCAACACCTGTTTTATCGTATTTAGATTTACTTTATCCCCCTTATTTTACACTAAAAACGGAAACGTCGACCCAGCAGATACCTGATGTCACGAATCATACAAAAAATTCAAAAAAACATTGCCATGACGCCATAATTCAATACTAAATGACCTGATCTCTGATCCAAATAGCCCAAATCCACATTCAAACTGACTTCAAGCCCTAAATCAACCAAAGTCCCTCTTTACCAACAAAGATCCGCCTACCTCAAAACTACTGAGCATCCTCAATGAAGCCGGATGTAACCATGGAATCCAGGGCTCGGTTCTTCTTTCTTCGCTGTATTGTTCTTCGGCTATGTTGTTCTTCGATTCCGATCAATCTAGCTCGTCGACCAAATATCATTCTAAAAGAAAATGTGTTTAAACGCGAGAAATTAAGCCGGAAAGTTAATCATCTCATCAGCAATATAAAAATATCCCAATACCGTCATGATTAATGACAAAACTAGTTATTACTTTTTATAAAACTGCTTTTACGGCACCTCACACTCGGGGTCTTTACTCTTCATTGGCTGTGCGAATTTGTTTTGCGGAAATTCTGAACGTTATGAAATTTTCAATGAACAGGTTCACGTGGTCAAAGACCTCGGTTTTTTGCACTAGTTCAACCGACTCGGAACTAGTTCAGACGGTTTCGAAATCTATTAGGTCGGACGGAAAGTCTTTGCCTTTTTTATCCAATTTTGAAATTTATTTTTTTCGCGCCAAGACCGAGTGTCAACCGTAGATACCTAGTATATACAAGGGTACAGTGTGCAGATTTATGTGCTATGTGCCAATCGTTTGTTCCGCCAAAACGAGCTTAATTATAAGAGGTTTTCCGCTTTGCGGCAATTTCGGGTGGGGTCCTGAACGTAAGCTCTAGTTTCCAAATCGCTTTTGATGAAGCTCTGAAATTTTGTGGGCTGTGTCCAGTGGTCTTTCCGACTATGCTAAACACAATTGCAATTCTTAAAAAAAACTATCGGAAAAAATAATAGCTACTCTTTTAACCAAATCCTCAGCAAAGGCCCCGATTAAAAAAGTTTTCTTATTACTCCGCGCATTGCTGATCGTCTGTCTATATAATAGGGTTCCGTGAGGCACACGGGTAGCCCTTTACGTGCTACATGAGTAACTCGGATCACACACGCTTCGGACTAACCGTAAAGGGGCAAAATTGCCAAAAATATATAGCTATAGAGAAATGCGTGTGATTTGCTGACAATTAATAATGGTTACCCATTGTTTCATAAAGAAGTAGACCGATACAGGGGCTCTATTTTCCACCCTAGAAAGGGAGGATTGGAAAGCTGGTAGGAGCGGTTTCTCAATTTTACGAGTTGATCCAATAGTTCACCAGCGACTTTTTGAGAAACAATTAATTGAGTTCTGTCACGTCACACAGTAAAACAATTGTCTAATGACTGGTATCTGAGTGTAAGGGAGTGTCTTTAGTTTTGGCATACCATAGTTAAACCCATACAAAGGCATCGGCTAAGCGGCGGTTGCAATTATATTCAAACTTGCTGGGTCTCATAAAAGTCACGTTTTCTGGTTCGGGTTTGATTTAATCCCCACCACGTTAGCACATGTTAAGAGCTTCAAAAGAAGTCTTTTTAACAGTGCTAAAACAGTTTTCTATAAGGTCTTGTTAAACAAACCGGCCAATGATTTCTACTTGTAGACCAAAGATGGGTAAATGTCTAAATTAAGTTCTCTGCTTGTACATGCTTAAGATGGCTGAGGGTTGTACTGTCAGATAGGGATGCCTGTCCCCTACCAACACCATATATTAGTGTTTGCCTTTTTCCATCAGTGCAAGGAAAAATAGCAGCAGAAAAAAAGGCAAAGACTTTCCGTCCAACCTAATACAAAAAAACAGGACGAAAATTCACAAAATGAACGGCTTTTGCCATTTCCCGTTCACGAAATATCTTACAGAAGAAACTGCTGAACTGATTTCCCTTTTTACGCCTTTTTGCAAAACAAATTCGCAGAGCCGATGAAAAGTAAAGACCCCGAGCCCTATATCCCCGCGGCGACGAATGTAGCGAGGTACATCGTTCGAATCCAAACTCAAATGGATTTCTAACCCTCGATCAACCAAACCCCCTTTTGTTAACAAATTTTCGCCTACCTCCAAACAATTGCACTGTGCATCTTCAAGGAAATGGCATCTTCGAGGAATGGACCGTTTCCAGGGCTCGGCGGTAACTTGTTCTTCACTCTAGCTTGCTCTTCAACCATAAGGCAATACTGTGCACTTCTGAAAGAAAAATGTATTTAAACGCGAAAAATTAAACAGGGAAGTTAATCATCTCATCAGCAATATAAAAATATCCCAATACCGTCATGACCACATTATTAATGACAAAAACTAGTCATTACTTCGTATAAACTGCTTTTTACGGCACCTCGCGTCTTTTAATTCCCTCAAACTTCATATGTATCTAATAATCAAAAAGAAAAATAGCACCTAGCTATACTTTTAAGCTTCTAAACCTGAGTGTAACCCGTTCACACCACAGTAAAAATCAGAGTTAAAAAAACCCTTACCTCTACCGTAACCTTTCAAAAAACATATCGTGATGACGGGCTTTTTTCACAAAACTAAGCTATTTTTGAATTAAAACGCTCTCAGTATTCCTTCTAGACCTCGATCCCCTAATTTATCACTCCCAATCGACATACCTTTCTGATCTTTCCGCGGTGGGGACCTCCAGGGCACCATTGATTTCTCCAGGGCTCCAAGAAACGGATTCTCGATGATTTCCATGAAAATAGATAAGATTAAAAGTAGAACGAGCAGTATCTGGACTTATAACAAGAAATAAAGGCCTACAATTGGGAAAAAAACAACTTACTTTAATCACCAAAGCAGGCTTTGATGATTGGGTGAAGGGGAGGGAGTGGGAGGGGAAAGGGAAAGGGAAAGGAGGGTGGTGGGAGTGGTAGAAGAAGGCGAGTAATGGAAGTGGTGGGGGTGGAAGCGGTGAGGCTTCTTCTTTTATTCTTTTATTTTTTTCCTTCCTTTTTTCTTTTTTTTTCTTCCTTTTTTCTTTTTTTTTCTTCCTTTTTTCTTTTTTTCTTTCTTTTTTTCGTATGGAATTATTTTTCTTTCCTCTTTTCTTACCAATTTTTTCTTTTTTTCTTATTCTTTTTCCTTTTCTTAATCTTTTTTTTTAGTTTTTTATCCGTAGCTTGGGGCTTGAAGATATCTGCAAGTAATGCAATAAAAACCAGCTACAACTCACTAAGGGCGGAAAGGTCCTTTAAAAAAGGAAAGAGGAGGTTTCGATGGTGCTGATTTCGAAAATCGAATCCATTTCTTCTTTTTCAATTCTTCAAAATAAATGTTTTAATTGGTAAAAACTTGGTCAAACTTGTACGATCTTGTGAGAAAATTTCCGACGCTTTTTTGTCTTCACAACCAAATATTAGACACTACGGCTTAAGCAAAATCGTAAAATTCAGAAAAAATGGATACGATTTTCGAAATCAGCGTCATCGAAAACCTCTTTCCTTTTTTTAGCGGACCTTTCCGTCCTCAATCTCCACGACTTACTGCTTCCATAGACCAATTCATTGGCGTGGGCGAAGATCAATGGAGGACTCCGCGGTGGGCAAAAACTGTAACATCACTGTAGACCAGACAAACTACAGATGGATCGGTGTCATCTGTCATCCTTGGGTCTGAAATAAAGCGATCAGTAAGTCTTTCAAAAAATCTTTGGAATGACTATAAGTGTAATTACGAGAAAAGTTCTAAAAATTTTCAAAAATTTTATATTTTCCATGGCAAAATTTACCTTAGGATGAGTTCCGAGGGCTTTGGCCAGCTATAGACTTGTGTTTTCGGGCGTAGAGGCAGGCCGGGGCAATAATCTCGTCGTAGACATCCGCTTGGAACAACTCATTGGGTTCGCTGAATTCCAGATACAAATATATTTTTTTTTTGGCCTTTGCTTTTCTTGGCTCTTTTAGTTTTTTTGGCTCTTTTTTTTTGCCTTTTCTTTTCATTTGGCCTGTACTAGTCGCGCCATAAAGTCCTGACACAATTTGTCGCGGGTGTCGCGCGAGAAAAGTGGCGCACTCGCGCGAAAGGAAAACAAAAACGCACAGTGCAAACGTCTCAGGACTTTATGTCGCGACTAGTATTTTTTTAACTTTTACTTTTTTTGGCCTTTGTTTTTTTTGGCTCTTTTTTTGCCTTTTCTTTTCTTTGGGCCTTTAAATTTTTTTTTGGCTTTTCTTTACATTTTTTTCTTTTATTCCTTCGGTGGCGGACCTTGTAGAGAGAGGTTCTCTGAAAAGTTATAAAAAATTACTAAAACAACGTAAAAACATCAGCCCTATAAAAATATCTCTAAACCCCTCAACAGGGGTCACCGTGTCCTAAAGCGTTTACTGTCTATAGCTCCATACAATTCTCTGCCCAAAACTAGAGCCCTATAGTCATGAATTACACGTATTACATATGTTTGTGTAACTGTGTATGAAATGTGTATCAAAAATGGCGCATCTATAGTAAGGACATAGTATTTTTGGCAATTAAAAGGCGCAAAGATCAAACAAAACGGTAAAAGCTCATTATAAACGATGAAACCTGTCCCGGATAATTATTCGAAAGCCGGCTCAGCCACTCTAACATCCCGAAACTAACAGGGGAAGTAGTCCAAGTGCGACGCTCAGTTTTTGATGAAACTTAGCACAAATTTAGAATAATTTGCGACAATCCTAGCTCGCGCTTAGCACAAACAACCGAGATTTTTAGATCGAAAGTCGGCGAAAATTTAGGACTTTTTGCCGAATTTCGGCACGAAAAGTTTCATGCCTATTTCAACTGTAAAGGATAATGTTTCTACAAAAAATCAAATTTTTCCGCGCGAAACTGCCAAAGTTATGGCCAAAAAGCGCTTTTCTCTCTGACCGCCCTCCACGTTTAGCGTGCTCTCTCGGCGGCAAAAATCGTTCGATATGTCGGCGGCGCCAGCAAAGCGCGAGCTAAAACTTTCAGGAATTGATACTTGGTCCATACCCGACGTGTGTGCAAGATTTAAAGAAAATCTGAGCGTCGCACTTGGAGTACTTCCCCTGTAAACCCCGTGTGCAAAAAAGTAAAACATTGGCTGATGGAACTTACTGCTTCCATTTTTCCATTCAAATCACCTTGTTGTAACACGCAAAGTCAACGAACTCTTCGAGGAAGCGATGAAGATCAATCTGGAGGTTTTCAAGAAACTCACAAGTCTCCACGGCGAAGATTGGGTAATATTCTGAAAGGATCAAAGATAAATTATATTATACGTGGCAAGAGATCAATAATATTAACCGAACACTATAATACTGATTCAGAAAAGCTCCCAACATGTTGTTACAGCCCGCTCCTCCTGCAACAAACCAAATCTATGCAAGATTGCATTTTTCGTCTAGAGAGGAAGACTTGACCAAGATGAGTCAACTCTTTCCCCATCCAAGAAAATTCTCCGTAATTAGGAGAAAAGTTTTGAAATTTCTGACGAGGGAAGTACTTCTACGGGGTGTGGAGTTACAGGTCGAGTCATAGATCAAAAAGATCGTAAAATTTTTCTGATTCAGAATATGTAAAAGTTAGCTGCCTGACTTTGGATTGTCAGGGTGAAAAAATCCTCAGAACTTTTCTCGCAGCACCACACAAATGCCCTTTTTTATATTGGAACTACTAATAAAGGTGTCGTATTAATCAAATCTGATATTTTAAGGTTTGTCAAGATGCCAAGGTTCAGTTTAGCTCAAAACAAAGCTTTTGATTTGGTAAAAACGTTGTCAAAAAGGCATTTGCGTGGTGTTGCGTGAAAGCGTCTAAGGATTTCTTCACCCTTACAAAGCAAAATTAGGCAGCTAACTTTTACATCTGAATCAGAAAGATTTTGCGATTTTTTTGACATATGACTCGACCTGTAACTCCATACGCCATAGAAGTACTTTCCTGTCAGAAATTTTATGTTATCCATGGCAAAATTTACCTTAGGATGAGTTCCGAGGGATTTGAACAGCTGAAGAACTTGAGTGTTCGGGCGTAGAGGCAGGCCGGGGCAATAATCTCATCGTAGACATCCGTTGGGAACAATTGATTGTGTTTGCTGACTTCGCCGGGTATTAAACAATTTTTACTTGAATTTCAGTTACAATTTCTTTTTTTATTTTTTTTTTTAATTTTTTTACTTTTTTGCCTTTGTTTGGCTTTTCTCTTTTTTTCAAAAAATGTATTTTTTTATTTTTTGGCCTTTGCTATTATTTTTTTGGCTCTTTTTTTTATCTTTTTTTGGCCTTTATTATTATTTTTTGGCTCTTTTTTTGCCTTTTCTTTTTTGGCCTTTGAAATTTTTTGGCTCTTTTTCTTTCCTTTTCTTTTTTTGGCCTTTCGTTTTTTGGCTTTTGTTTTTTTTTTGGCTTTTTTTGGCCCTTTTAATTTTTTTTTACTTTTTTACATTTTTTTCTTTCATTCCCTTCGGTGGCGGGCCTTGAGAGGATCTCTGGGGTTGATTCAAGGCTAGGGTGCTCCACCGTTCCCTCAGTGTTCCTTTTTAGGGAATTCTGAAAAGAATTAAAGGCAAAATTATAAATTCAGCATGATAACTTACCTCATTTTAGTCCAAAATCCACAAAATCGACCATGACAAGTGGACCAAGGCACCCTTTTTTGATTCCAGAAGCCCCCCGGGCTGGTTCAGGGGGCGAGGGTGCCGGATCCACGCTGGTCTGGACCGGCCTTCGTCTGAAGATAGTAGACTGTATTACTTTACTATATTGCTAACTCAAGGTCAAACAGTTCAAAAAACAACAAAATCTTACCTCGTTTGGTCTTGCCGAGCACGCATTGTTTTCCAGAAGGCCCCCCGGATGAGGTGGGGGGCCGGGGTGCTCCGGTTTTGACCATCCAGGAAGATGTTCCACTTTGATGGTAACGGGTGAGAGCACCCTTTTATGATCCAGAAGCCCCCCGGGCTCATTCAGGGGGCTAGGGTGCTCTCTCCTTCTCAGTTCAATCTTGCCTGAACGAGATCTGCAAAAAATAAGATGAAAAATATAAATACAACACGAAAGCTTACCTAATTTCAGTCCCAATTGACCAAATCAAGGGGAAGATGGCACCCTTATTTCCTTCCAAAGGCCCCCCGGGCTCATTCAGGGGGCCAGGGCGCCTCTCTTCCCTTTGTACCGGTCTTCACCTGAAAATATAATGAAATTATAATATATTACTTTAGTCTAGTTCAAGATCAAAAACTTCAAAGAAGCAAAATCTTACATTATTTGATCTCACCGAGCACCCGCAAGTATTCCAGAGGGCCCCCCGGATGAAGTGGGGGGCCGGGTGCTCCGGTTCGGCCATGAGTTGGGCATCTGAAAAAATGGATCGATCAAATTATATTTTTTCTGTCTAAAACAAGGTAAGCAATAAAACTATGAAGCCGCCGGCAAAAAGCTAGGTTTTTAGCGGTTTGACGAGTCATTTTACCGCGAATGCTACCATTTTCTTCTACAATATGCCCCCAAAATCCAACAGCGTATAACAAAAAGCAATTGTTCTTTTATTGGGCGCAGCTCGCAAAAATAGTTTTGCAAAAAAACTTACTTTTTTCTCGTTCCAGCCGGTCGAACTAAGGTTTGAGTGCATTTAGTCAACCCACGTGGTTGCTTGTCGAGGTTGAATTGGACAAATTGCTAAAAAATTAGGATTATTGGATGGACGCTGCGAAAACCTTACGTTATTAGGTATGAATGACTGCGTCATGTTGAATTTTTGGCCACTTAGTATGGATTTACCCTTCGATCTGAAAAAATCTTGATGTTATTGATTAAAATTGCGATAGTAAATATAGCGTTTGAAAAAATGCGAAATTGATAATTTTTGAAGGGCTTTTGGGTAAAAATGGTAAAGATATCGAAAAAATTGACTTACGAGGCAACCTGGGCTCCTGTGAAGTCCGATACGATCGGCTCGCCATGTCCACGATGAGCCGTGAAGGAGGCCTTCGTTGTCTTCGTGGACGTTGGTGTTCTTCTGGGCCATTGTCCTCTTCTTGAAGCACTGGGCCAAGTCCTTGAAGTTCCCTCGACCTTCGGGGGGGCCGAGGCCGTTCAGGATCGGCTGAGGGCTGGTAGCAACATCGCCGTTTGCACTTTGGCATTCTTCGTAGAGGCCCAGCAGCCTCGTGATTTTGTTCTTGGACCTCATATCCCTGATCTGCGGGTGGCGGCGGGTGTTGGGTCGCTGGAGGCTGGGTGACGTCGATCCTTAGGATCTCTGCTGTTGTCGGCGTTATTGACCACGCTGTCGTCATCAGCGGACTTCTGGACCTCGATCTTTCGGCCCTTGGCGGCCGGTCATCGGCGACGGCTGTCCGAAGGTGTTGCCGATGGAGGGCTTGCAGTTCGGCGACTTCTTTTTCTGCCGCTTCCTTCAGTGCTCTTTCTTCTTCGGCCTTTTTTGTGGCGACGGAGGCTGCTTCTTTGGCCTTCTTGGCCTCAACTTCCGCCTCTCCCAGGGCTTCTTGGTAGAACCTGACCTTCTTCTCGAACGTCTCTTGTCGTTCCCAAAGTGTGCGGCATTGGGTTTTCCAGAAGTCTCTTTGAAACCGGAGGCGGTCGTTTTGATCCGCTAACGTCTCCTCGCAGGCTGCTCCCTCATCGAAGACTTCAAGTGACCTTATCGAGGGGACATCATGCAGTGTGGAGTGCTCCTCACTCGTACTGGAGCTGCAGTTCGAGAAGCTGGAGAAGTCCATGTCCAATGATCGTTCCGAGCCCTCAACCGCCGGCAGGTGGTCGGCCTGGTCGGTTGGGGCAGGTTCTGGGCCGAAGCCCGAGGGGCCAGTGGTACTGCTTGACCCCTCTTTACCCTCCTCTGGGACGCCGGTTGGGTTCTGGCCAACCAGAGGAGGGGCCATTACCGCCGGCAGTTGTTCAGCCTGCGCGGAATGGGCTTGGCGCTCGGATGCTGGGCTCGAGCGGTGGCCGGAGGCCTGGCCGACGTTGTTTGGAGACACTGAAATCACCAAAATTAGACGAAAATTTTTAAAAAATATGCTTAAAACTGGCAACTCCATCGCTAAGGGCCCTAACATAGCCTATTCTCTCTATTTTCCCTATGTAATTTTTTGCTTTTAGGTGCAGATCCTGATGCTGGAGATCCATAATTTTGATTCTGAAGGCCACGGTGGCCGAAAATTCCATATTTCACTCAGTCCTGTGAAGAATTGTCCATTTGTCCAGAAAACAGTCCAATGATGTCGAAATTCCATCCAGATTGAAGTGCAGCGACGAAAACCGTATAAACCACGAGAAACTCAAGCTGATTTTTTATGTTGATGGCGACCGGAAGGCGTATTTATAGTGGTGATCAGGAAATCGACAGCAAAGCAGCTCGAAAGCTGCAGAACACTGAATGACCCGAAGATCGGATCAAACGACAACGTGGAACAAGGAGAACCTTCAAAAGGACCCCAGAAAATGAGACAAGAGCAAATTGATGGCGCTGATCCGAAGCAAAATGATGATTGCTCCTCGATGGAAGAAGATTAGGTGCGGATGGACAACCTTTGGATGATTTGTGGCGATGTCGACGTGAAGATCATGGAAAACGGGTAATGGATTGGATTCATGAAGAGAAAATGATCAGCTTGGTGTGCGGACGTTCGGATTGAGCTAAAATAAGGTGAGTCCAGGGGTCAAATGGGCGAAAACGTCTAAAAATTTCTGTAATTTCCATTTTTTCCTTGTATCCGTCTTTTTAATGCCTCATTCCAGATAACCATTGATTGTTCGATAATTTCCAAGACGATATTGATGTCATGAATAATCTTCAGGCCAAGGAAATCATTGCTGAGGCTCGTTACTCCAAAAATCGAGGCAAACATTGCAAAGATTTCGGTCGGAAATGGAGTCCTGATGTAAAAACAAATTTGATGGTGAAGATGTTGATGGAATGGAATGTTTGGGTGGTCGATGATCCTCCCCCTTTTCTTTACGGTTTGAAGTCGTTTGAAGGTGGTAACAATGGAATGACGCTGAGTTCTGATGTTGGTCAAGTCGGTAAGTCTGTTTGATGGGTTTTTTGATGTTAAGATTGGGCGAAGATGATGAAAACGATGTTTTAGTCGATGTTTAGAGTCTCTGAAAAAGTCCACGCGGCACGAAACCGTAAATTCGACGAGCCGGAACGACGAGAAATCACGTACGCCAGGAGAACAGCACTCAGAGCACAGCAAGAGGTCTTTCAACAAGATTCTGACAAGAAAAACGAGGACAGGTACCAAGAACACCATCAATAACGTCACTCCACGGACGAGACGAGCTCCCCACCCCTTGGAAGTTGTCTAATGCGAACCTGACCGTAAGTAATCATCGGAGACATGGTCCAGTAGATGTCGATCTTCAACAGTTGTAAATTGGTCCAAATGAGAAGGTCCAGGTACTTCCTCGTGTCATCAAGTGGTGTCTTACACGAAACCCCGGTTATAAGCCAAAATAAGTCAATGGATATAAAGAATATAAAGTAAAGTAAGTATTTATTCAAGTATTTTATAAATTACAATTTTAAAAAGATATGGATATCCATTTGTAATGGCTGATGTTTCAGGGCTCCAACGGGACCGCTGGACATGGATGGGAGAACATGACCCACCGAGATGTTCATCTTGGAACTACGACATCTGAAACAGCTGGAAGAAGTCAAAAAAATCTTTACCTGATCCAAGGAGCATGTTAGAGATGGAAGTGGATGGCAATTGGATTAAAACAAAAATGTAAAACCATTTCTGGCCATGAAGGTGAATAGTTTATTATTTGTTTGGGGATTCTTGGCTCCAAAAATATTCCAAAATACTATGTGTAATAATAATTTATGACCAATACAGTATGAAAACGACATTTATAATAAGAAGATAGAATTTTAGGTGGTTCCCTGGAGGACACAGTGCTGGAACTGCCAAAATTGTCAGAACTGATCCATCTTCGACTTGTTCCTGAGCCACTGAAGTGATGAGAATCTGTTTGGATTGATTCCATTGTCCAGCCGAAGTTGATCATCATGGATAATATCCGATTTGACACCTCATTGATGAGAAGGATCTTCTTGATGTTGCATTTGGAGCCTTCGGTAAGATCTTTGAAGATTTCGGGACTGGGATGTTGGTCATGAGACATGAAAATTTTGGTGTGGGGCAAATTTTTATTTATTTTTTCGTTTTGGACTAAAATTTATATTAAAAATACGGTCAGAATTTATTAAGGGAGTGTAAAAAAGCTCAAGCTTGAAAGGCCGATCGTTTTTGGTTCGAGCTTTGCTGAATTTTGTATAAAATACGGCAAAAAATGACGAAAAATGCCCGAATTTTTTTCTTCCACCCACAATTTTTTTATGACCGGCGTTGCTGGTCCTAAACACTGTAAAACTCAAAAAATAGACTTACCAGGCTTCCAAGATTCAAATTTAGCAGGAATCCATCCATCGCGTTGTAACAAATGATATCTAGGCCAATTTCGGCTGTATTTCAAAATAACAAAGCGATATCCGGCGGGCTTTACAGTAATTCCCACCAGCCAGGGAATTACTTTCTATAGAAAGCTTTCTATTCTCATATTCGCCTGGAATATTACACTCCGAGGCCTATTGGTGTATTTTCAAGGCCATTAGGCCTAGTTATTGTCCTTTTTGGCGGGATTTACGGTAGAAACCCACCAGCCAAAAATGGATCGTTAAAATTTATTATTTTTGGGATGAATTTCTAATATAAAGAAGTCTTGAGTTTCAAATAAAATACATTGAGACAGTTAGAGCTCAAAGCCAACTGGCTTGAGCCCTTTTTTGAGTATTTAACTCAAAAATTATGTTGTACTAGACATCAGACATCAGGACCAAGGGAAGTTTTAATGTTTTTGCATATTACTGCCCGTAAGCTCAAAGTAAATCATCTCAAATCAACTTAAAACCATGTTGCGGGTCTCAAATCAGGAATTTCGTCACCAAAATACCCAAAAAAAATCCTGTGTCATCATCTACTACAATATCATTATTTTAGGATTTTTGGATCAAAGATGTTGTTATAAAGAAGTCAAAAGATGCCAAGAGGAAATTCCAGAGGACTGTGGCAAACCACCTCATGATGACGGATTTCCTGGGATTTTGTTGAGAAATTCCCAACTTTGAAATCCGCTTAGAATCCCCAAAAAAAACCCCGAAAAAACCCCAAAATCCCCTGGACTTACACGTCGACCGTTCCCCAACCCCAACCGCCGGGACGGCAGCGGTGGTTGGAGTTGGGGCCATCGCCGTAAAGGCGGAGACATCGCCGGAATGGCGGGAGGTGGTGCTGTCGCTGCTACTCATGTTGATCTAGCGTGAGCTTTATACCAGTTTCCGATTGGAACTTACCGGTAAATGAGAAAAATGAAAACGAAAATTTGGTGAATTTCGAATATGCAAATTTTGTTTTTTTTGTGAGAATTCGTGGCAGAATTTGATTTTTTTCTTCCAATTTTATTCAATTTTTTTGTTGGCAAAATTCTTGAAACGTTGCAACGTGTAGTGATATTTCGGAGGATGTCATCGAATTTTGTGGGTATCTGGACGACCATGGACAGAATGTTTGGGATGAATGCCACGTTTTGGTGAGTTTTTCATGAATTCTGGTTGATTACTTTTGATTTTAATGCATTTTTTAATGTTTACGGATTTTTAGATTGTTTTGTGCCCACAGTAATCGCCTATGCTCAGATTCAACACTGTATCAGCTGCTGGACGTGTGTCATCATTTGGTGGTCTAAGTCGTCGATGAAAACACATCTGACAACCCTCGAAGTTGTATGGCTTCAATTTGGATGATGTTTATGGAGATTTAACTTAAAACGATTCGATATGTAGGTAGACTTGGACTTTATTACGAATAAATTGTGAATACAGTAACTTTATCTTGAATTTAGGCAATTGCATCGGAGTCCCCAGTCCACGTGAATATCACGAGGGGCGTGTGATGGCTGAAGCCTTGTTGGGAGGAACTAGAATCGGCAGTGCTTTCATCCCAGCGGACGATTACAATTATGAGAAAACTGGCAGATCGATGGTGCACTCTTTGGTTGTTGAATAGTTGGAAATCGATTCAAAGGTAGGTCTGTTTTAGGCCTATTTTATAATAGAAGATTATGGCTGATTTGAGGGGTATGGGTCGTAATTGGCGTTATGCTTAGAATTTTTATGACATTTTCTGGATAAATTTGAATTCCTTTGAAGATTTACTATTGTTGGAATCTATGTTAGGGAAAGAGTATGGTATAAAGAGGGCATTTCATCTTCTAGAACTCGTTCGAACCTTTCCTGACAGTAATTTCGATTACAGGGTGTACCAAAAAAATGGAAACTTTTTTTCATTTGTCCTGAAGCAAAAATGGTTAGGTGTAGCCAAAGAAGTTTATTACTATAAAATTCTCTGTGTTTTTCTGTCCTAGTGGTTTGATTTTTAGGCCCATATCGATTAATCGACCTGTCTTTTTGAACTTCAAACAAAGGGACCTCGATTTTTGACTTGTTTTTGGAGCTGTTCGAACAGTTAATTTGCTCGGTATAGAAAGAACGTTGTGTCGAAAGTAATCACGAGGCCCAAGGAGATTGATACGGATAGTAAGCGCCCAGGAAGTGAAAGAAAACGCACCGCCAGCGCTTCTTTCAACCGAAAGATCCCCCACAGCAAAATCCGCGATTTTCAAGAAAAACTTGCCCTTGAGACTGACATCAGCGACCGATCGCTCGGCCGAATAGTCAAAGGCGAGCTTAACCTCATCCCACACAAGCTCTAAAAAATTCATATCTTTAAAGTCGAGAGAAAGTGCGTACAGCGCAAAAATGTCGGAAAGTCAAAGGGGTGGGCCGCAGCTCCGAGACATGAGCGCATTCAGTTCGCGGTTCAATATTTAGCGGATACACAACCACCAGAACGATAGAATCTGCTTCAATGAGGTTCCTAGCCTATTGGCCATCGTCGAATACCACCAAAATCCGGGTCGTCATTGCTTTAGGCGGAATTTGTGCCAGCGGCAAGAATTCCATGTTTTTCGTGAATAAATGGGACAAAATACTAGCGCCGCGTTAATTTTTATTTTGTCGTGCTTCCGTGAGCTCAGCAGAACCTTGGCAATGCAAAATTGGCGTTTCAGCAGGACTCAGCGCCGGCTCACAAGGCAAAATCGACTCAGGACCCGAAATGGGACCGATTTTCCCGATTTTATCCCGCCTGCGAAATGACCGCCTGCTCGCCAGATCTGAATCCAATGGACTATATATTTTTTTAAATAGAAGGCCGGCACCTGTACTATTCTCCACAAAAGTTTGGAGTCGCAAAGTAAATGATGCCCCAAGAGCGGGACCGATTTCCCCCTTAAAAAGCTGCGGCCCGGACCCCAAAATTTTACGTCACGTTTGGAGCTCTATATCGCCACCAAAGGCAGCCACTGTAAAACAGGTTGAACATGTTATAAACAATGCTCTATGTTACCAATCATGACCGTTACTTTTGCTGAATTTTGATTCTCCGAAAAAATATAACTATGAAAACAAGTTTCCATTTTTTTGGTACACCCTGTAATTTCTCTTCTTAAATTGACATGATTATTATAACAGTATCGTTTAGGACTCCTACGACGAGAAATCATTGCCTGACGCTTACTGCATTGAAAAGAACGGTGCTCTCCACAATCCCAGCAATTTTGGACTGTATCCAATCGCGACTTCAATTGCGGGGACAATAAATTGCTGATGTTGTAGTAGGTAGTTGATGACTGGTAGCACCGATCACCGGCAAGACGAAAGAGTCCTTAATTTAGCCTTCAAGGCATGTGAACTGGAAAACCGATGGTATCAGAGTTTGAATTTTTTATGGTTATATCATATATGATAAAATTACTGTATTTTTGATGAATTTTGTCGATTTATTAGATAAGGAAAGACTTATTTTACTCCTGATTGGATGTTAATGGGTACACATTCGAAGAACCCGCATACTTTTGCCTGTGGCGGTGACAGCAGCTCTTTTGTGAACTGGGAATGCATCAAACATTCCAGTTGATTCTTGCCATTAGAGGCTGATGATTATTGGATTCACAAAGCAATAAGATCTAGTCCACATATCTTCGTTGGGAGTCGCTGAGTTCCACGGGCTGATTAGAGTCGATTTGGAAGGGTTCTTGGAATGGAGCGGCTGCCGAGAGGGCTATCCGGGCCTGCAATTAAAAATGACTGAATGCGTACCGCACTGTGCGGAAAAATTTTAAAAAAATCACTGCGCAGTGCGGAGGTGAATGAGATGGAGCTGCGAAACCGAAAAAAGGCTGATATAAATGTCCCAATTAAGAGTAACTACCCATAATAAGTCGTCAGATATTCGATTGCATCGTGAAAACAAAAAAAAAAACAAAAATCGTTGCACTGTGCGAGAATTTTGAAAATGGATTGCACAGATTTTACTGTAGTTTCAGTGTGTTTCAGATAAAGTCTCCTTATCTTGGTCTCCAATGTGTGTCAACTCAACCAGAACAGCCAATGTTAAAGAATTATAGAGCTTGAAATTTTATTTTGCGTTTAAATTTTACATGACAAGAATACAGTATTTTCTATGCATTTTTGTTTAATTATGTCGATTTCTTCGATCAGAAAAGCCTTATTTGACTCCAGATTAGATGTAACTGAGTCCGCATTCGAAGAACCCGTACACTTTTTCCTCTGGCACGGGCAGCAACTCTTTTGTGAACTGGGAGTGCATCGAACATTCCAGTTTAATCTTGTCATTGGAGGCTTTTCTGAACAATTCCAATGCTCTCCCATTTGATGAAATGATCCTTGGATTCAACGTTTCCCATGCTTCATAAATACTGCTATCATCGAGAAGGCGAGCTAGCAAAACCTCGGCGATTTTGTTGGAGTCGGAATAGAAGGGACCAATCGAGCCGGCTTTGTTGTTCAACAATCCCGAGAGGCGAGCATAGCCAACAACGTTGTTCTGGGAATCGAGAGCTACCTGAAAATCAAAGGCGTTCAAATTAGTTGGTGATGGACAGTTCAAAGATTAATTTTGAGCCTATTTGGTCGTTGAAGATCTGCAGTGACGGACCTGAGGCAGTGGCAAAAAAAAGTAACATCTTGCATCCGGGAAGTATCAAAAAATGTAGCGGAATACCTCCCTCTCCAGGTGAAAAAACTCCGATTTCGAAAGCGCGCCCGCTCTTTTTGTAGCTTTTTTTGTGAGAGAAAGGGCACGTCAAGAAAAAATAAAACAAAAGCGCTCAAGCAATGAAAAATTCTTGGCATTCTGTTTGATCTCAAAGACAATTTTTTGCTCCAAAGAGAGCCTGATTACACGATGAAGATGGGGTAGAATGGGGTGATTGCATACATAAATTTGAAGCTGGGCTCTTGCTTAACCTGAACATATATATTTCATATAAAAAATCGGTCGTCTTCTATCTGTTTGAAGCCTAAACTAACAACGCCTAAAAAATGTTGCGATTTCGAGGATTTCTCTAAGATTTTCCCTCGCCCCTATTTGAAGTTTCGTGGAAACATAGTCTGGAACAAGGCGGATTTTTTGAGCCTAAAACGAAAAAAATCAAATGAGCCAGTTTCGAGATAGAAAATCTCTTCATTTAGCGCAATATTTCGCCTTTCCTCTGACCTCGTCCAAAAAAACTGTCATTGAGACGGATTTTTTGGACACTTCCATAAGCGGAAACAGAATGCCAACTTTCGTGTTGAGAGATAACCCTTTGAGCGCAAAATCTTGACGTGAAGGGCCCTTCAAAACGGAGTATTTTTATTATAGTTGGAGAGGGAGGCATTTTGCCACGTTTTTAAATACTTCCCGGATGAAAAATGGTACGTTCTTTGCCGGATCAGGTCCGTCACTGTATAAAATTCCTTGTAATTATTTGTTTTTGACTTCAACATGCTGAATTCAGAGTTTACTACGCATCTTTCGTCTAGAGCCCTCTTTAATGGCTGAAATTTTTGAATTTCCATTTGCCAATACCGGCGAGGCATTCAACGATCTTTACAGACCAGATTCCAATCCAAATGAAGAGAGTTTATGAAAGAAAACTTCAGTCATCCATCAGCCTACCTTGACAACTTGTCTTTCCGACCGATAAAGACACTGTTCAACGTATTTTGAGCGGTCATGATTAGGGACGATTATTCGGTCAAACTCCAGGATTTTGAATACATCAACTTCATTCACATCCTTCACGGTAATTCCTTTGAGGCTTTTCGGAAGATTCGAAGTATCTAGGTCACCAATGTTGATCCGTTAACAGTCAATTGTAAATTGGGAGAGTAAACGGAATCCAAACAAGTCAGCGTACTTTTGATACATTTCCTCAACTGATAACGGAAGAATTATGTCATTAAAATGAATAAAGATCAATATTTCTTCGTATTTTAGAGAATTTTTTGGAAAGGAAAATATCCACTTACCTCCAATGAGGGTTGCATTTTTATTTTCCGCCGGCTCCATGGCTTTTTTGAACAGTTCGAGTCCAAACTTTCTCCCTCGGTACTCTGGCATCACATAGTAATACCCGACGGCAATTAGGTCTTTGACCGCGCTGTTGGTGCTTTGATAAGTCGCTGTAATCACGGCTGAGATCATCTTCTTCGATTCTGCAATTGTTTTTTGATAAAAAATGAGGCAAACTTACCAATCTCTCTGTACATGTACATGTTGATCAACCCGTCTTCAAATCCGTGATAAAATTCGGTGTATTCATTGCCGGTTACCGCCCAGCCCTCAGTTTTGGCCGTCTAGAATAGAAAACATTCGTTTGTCTATCTGTTTTTTTTCGAGCAAAATATTTTTTCGAAGAGAAGAATAATTCTTCGGACTCGATAATTTTGTGGCACTTCGCAAAAAATCAATGCCCCGAGATTCCTTGTTTTTTCAATTTTCTGAAAGAATTTTTTTGGCGTGGCACATCGTTCTTTCGTAATTGGAAAATGTTTTTTTAACGGGGCGGCGCTATTATTGATTGAAAAAAGAGGGAAGAAGCGCCGAAAATTCTAATTTACCACAACCTAATTTACGCAAAAACCATCGGCACACATACTCATTGAATGATATTTTCTGAAATTTCGATGGACTAAGCTCCTTTAAGAATCAACATGACATCTGTTATCATCTTAGCCTTTCCATATTCATCTAAAACATCATGGGTGTTTCTGTTGAAGATTCGGTCATATCTCGCAGTTCCAACGAAACTTGGGTATACCCGATATGCCAGTTGATGCAGAAGAATCCAGAGAAAATATGTGTTTAGTTTCAGAATTTTCTGTACGCGATTTTTTTTCAATTCCCGGATTATGTTGGACTAAGAGGTGGTATCGCCGAATATCAGATTAATAAGATTATTAGTATTGTTGACGCTCCTTAAATATATATTCATGTATTTTTTGTTAAATATGACGCTATTTATGCTGTTACACATCACTTTATGCATGTGGCCACAAGAAAAGGAAAATTATAAAAAATGCACAATGCCACATTTTTTTGGCAAAAAATGTTTTTGTGGTGCAACCGGCAAAAATTTTTGATTGAGTACGGAAAGGTCCGCTGTGCGGAAAGGTCCGCTGGACGGAAAGGTCCGCTGTGCGGAATGGTCCGCTAAAAAAAGGAAAAGAAGAGGGTGGGAAAAAAGGATTTTTTGTGAAAATTGAAATGTTTTCGCTTCGGGACTTGGAAAAAAGGATTTGTTGTGAAAATTGAAATGTTTTCGCTTCGGAACTTGGAAAGAAGGATTTTTTTGTGAAATTTGAATAAAATTAGAAATTTTTTCGAGCTGACTGAGTATGAACTGACTGAATATGAAACTGGGTTTCTGTTACTTTACTACCTTTAGGGATTCTTGTTGAAATTTTTTCGACTTATAACACTGTTAGACGTTAATGGTGTTGTTTTAGTGCCTAGTACTGCTTAAAAAATACATTTTTAACACTTGGTACTAAATAGTACTACCTGGTACTATTTAGTACGAGGTGCAAATTTGGCCGTAAGGCGGTAATGGCGTTGGTTTGGTGCTTAGTAGAACCCAAAAACACGTTTTAACACTTGGTACTATATAGTACCAACTGGTACTGTTTAGTGAGAAGTGAAAATTTGGCCGTAAGGCAGTAATGGTGATGGTTTGGTGCTTAGTAGAGCCCAAAAACACGTGGTACTATAAAAAGTACCAGGTGGTACCATTGGTTTTAGACAAAATTTTAGTGCTGGCGGAACCACAGTTAATATTCAGTCAGACACCCTTTTTTCTACTCCCGATGCGAAAAGATTTCAAAATTTTGTTGAATTTTCCAAAAAATTCTTTTTTTCCCAATCCCGAAGAGAAAACATTTCAATTTTTTTTCAAATTTCACAAAAAATCCCTTTTTTGAAGTCCCGAAGCGAAAACATTTCAAATTTTATTCAAATTTCACAAAAAATCCTTTTTTTCAAGTCTCGAAGCGAAAACATTTCAAAAAAAATTTTTTTCGAGACTAGTCACACCTAAAAATCAAAACACCAAGTACAATATAACTTACGTCTTTTTTTAAAAATTACTAGTTAACACTACTGCCTAAGCAAAATTGTAAGATTCAGAAAAAATGGATACGATATTCGAAATCAGCGCCTTCGAAAACCTCCCCCCTCCCCTCCCCGCCCTCCTCTTTTCTTTTTTTTAGCGGACCTTTCCGCACAGCGGACCTTTCCGTCCTTCGTGAAAATTTTTAGCTTCGCAAGCCAAAAAAATTTTTAAAGCATTACGCCAAAAGCTTGTTTTTCGTGGCGATACAAACCATAATTAGCAGAAAAAAACGACGTGCGTGGCGCGCCCTTCAAAACGGAGTTTGTTTAGTTGGAGAGGGCGGCGTTTTGCCACATTTTTTGATATTCCCCGGATACAAAATGGTATGTTTTTTCCACTAGCTTAGGTCGGTCACGGTATGTGGGTGATTTTTAACAGGTTTGACTCAATTTAACGGAAATTGTTTGGAGGACAACGCTCGGATGTTGATGAAACGATTGTAAGACATGTGCAAGATTTCTAGCCTGCGTTATGCAGAAATTTTTGAGGTTTTTTAGTCCGAAAGTTGGTGAAAATTTGACACTTTTGCGAGTTTATGCGTCAAAAATATCGGCTGGAAAAGGAAACGTTTGTGCCTAAAAAGAAAGACCTTTTCGCTCTCCGCCTTTCGCGCGTTGTCTCGCCCACAATGATCATTGAATATCTCGCCTGCTCGTGCAAGGCACAAGCTAAAATTTTCTGGAAAATGTCTATGTTTGGAAGAACATGTCCACGAAAACTAGAAAAGTATCTATTTTTCCCTCGTTGAGTATTTTATCAATTCATTTTTGGCGCAAAAAATCTCTAGACGTCCGCCGCATCAGCGTATTCACTCCAAAATTTACTTACCATCGCAATTAGTTCATCGAAATATTCTTTTCCGGGATTTATGACCAATTCGAAGTTCACCATTTTGAGTGAGAAGCAAGAAACGAGCAGTTCAAACGGTTAGAGCTGTTTGCAAATGACCTTATAATGAAAGACCGGCGATTTTTTTCTGTTCTGTTTATACACAAAAAACGGAAAAGGAACGGACCGCTGACAGACTTGTTTTTGAATCTGAGTCATATTTGTCAACTATGGTATAAAGTATGTATTTTTGGTCGTCAAAGTTTCCCATTGTACATTTGTTAGATGTGCAATGGGAACTTCAAGGTTGGCGGAGGTCTTGAGCAAGCGACGAAGTCCAACGAGAACTTTTGATTGCGTTTTGGGATTATTTTAAAAATACCACCAAATACCGTAGTCTTCCCATGGATAATATAATCGTATACCAAAGATAAAAATCTTAAATAGAATTGAATCTTTATACCGTTCGACGGCGATCGGGTGCAGAATTTGGAAAGAAAAACGATTCTTAGGATCTGAAAAAACTTGTTATTTCTGTGATGTACAGTGGCTGACTTGATCCAGTGGCAAAAAACGTGCCATTTTGCATCCGGAAAGTTTCAGAAAATGTAGCAAAATACCTCACTCTCCAAGTGAAAAAAACTCCGATTTCAAAAGCTCTTTTTGTGAGAGAAAGGGCCCTTCGAAACGGAGTATTTTTAGTCGGAGAGTGAGGTATTTTGCTACATTTTTTGATACTTCCCGAATGCAACATGGCACGTTTTTTGCTACTGGATCAAGTCCACCACTGTACATGACAGAGATAAGATAAGTTTCTTCAGATATTAAGAATCGTTTTCCTTCCAAATTCTGCACCCGATCACCGTCCTCTAACGGTGTAAAGATTCAATTCTATTTGAGATTTTTATCTTTGGTATACGATTATATTATCCATGGGAAGAATACGTTGTTTGGTGGTATTTTTAATAAGATTTTTCTCTCGGACCACCCTCTATGTTTTGCGTAGACTCTCGTTGAAAAAGATGGTTGAATATCCGGAGTGTCTCTGCATGTTTCGGGCTAATATTTTCAGGGATTCATATGTGGTCTAGACCCGATTTGTATGCAAATTCCACAGAGAGTCTGAGAAAATCTGAGTGTCACTTATTATTAAGCTCACCAATGACTCTCCAACTTCCTGATTTCGACAACAAAAAGAAGTGCAAGCAAAGGTTCCAGAAGAATTTAACGATTTCCTGATGCATAAATCATCAATTGACACGCTCGTAAACCCCCTCCCGCTTTGGTTTGCATATCAATGTTGCCAGCTCGAGTATAAATTCCGGTTTTATCACCCGCATTGTTGCCCAGTATGCTGTTCCTGGTGGGCGTCTTTGGTTTTATCCTCGGCGTGTCGGCTGTGGTAAGTTTTTTGGGCGGATTTGAAAAATTATCGAAATTTTAAAAACTTTTGCATAACTTTGTGTCGAAAAACTTGCAATTTTAGACCTACAAAGGGGTGCAGATCCCCGACATTGGCAATGGAATCGTCGATCGGAGCTATAGATTCGAAAACTTTCCTGCACTCATCAAAAGCGAGCAAAATTTCAACGAATTTTGCCAGAATTTGCCAAAAATTTTCAATCAAATGAGCAGAGCTGATGCCCAAAAATATGTCATCAAATTCTGCGCGCTTCACGGAGAAGCCGACGCTTGCAACACGTATTTTGCGGACGAAGCAAAGAAGCAAAAGGAAGTGGAGGCTACAGTTGAATACTACGAGAACTTCTTCAATTATACGGATGATTTGAGGAGGAATATGGAGGAGATTCAAGTGAGTTTGGAGGGGATTCAAATAGAAATATCTCAAATACGGCAGAAGCGATTTTTATGAAATTTTGAGTGCTTGAAGACAATGGCTCCGTGAGGCTATTGCCGGATTTGGAGATCGCGTTATGCAGAAGTAACCGCGTTATGGAGGGAAATATAAAAATAGGTGACAAATAAGGCTTTTCAATGCAACGCAGAGATTTGTTTTATATTTGGCACATACGTCGGGCATAGGCCACTTATCAATCTCTAAAAGTATTAGTTTACACTTTGCAAGCACAGCCGAGGTTTTCAACAATCTTGCCGGTCGAGAGATGATGCGAAACGTGGAGAGTTATCAGAGAGAAAAACACTTTTTTTGGCCCTTTCTTTACTGGTTTCGCTTGGACAAAAATGATTTTTTTGTGGACACATTACACACTTTATTATAAAAATAAGGATGAAACTTTTCGTGTCAAAATTTGCAAACATATTTCTTTCAAAAAATGATCTTTCAGCGAATCCGCAGAGACCAATGCATCTCGATTGCCGAGGAATGTTATATCACGCAAGGCCTCAAATACACTCTCAGCTCCGACGAGCGTCACAAAATGCACTTGACCTTCGAGAACTGCAAACAAAGACTCCCGTTGAAGCCAAACTTTGCCCAGAAGACCTGTTATGATGTGCCCGACAACCAAGTCGCGAAACTCCCCACATTCCAGCAACTAACTTCGTAGAACCTACTTTGAATTGATTTTTATAGCAAGGACACGGCAATAAAGCAGTTATATATATTCAGGATGGGATTTTATTGGAAAAAATTTAAAAAAATACTGAATTTTTCGGAAACTTTTTAGTTCAAGATCTCTACAAAAATTGTGAAATATTTAAGGGAAGTTTTTCAGGACAGGCTCTAAATTTCGCACGTAGACTCTTAATTAGTCATAAATTATTTCCTGAAAATTTTAGTTCAAGCTTTCCAACGGCAGCCGAGTTATATCATTTTTTGCAAGAGAGCATACGAAATGTAGAGGGCCGGCTAAACGCAAACTTTTTCCAGGAATCCTGACCTAGAAAAGCGTCATACAATGACGGATCTGATCCAGTGGTAAAGAACATACCATTTTGCATCTGGGAAGTATCAAAAAATGTTGCAAAATACCTTCCTCCAACTAAAAAAGACTCCGTTTTTAAGGGCGCGCCTTTTCCCTCACAAAAAGAGCTGGCGCGCTTTTTGAAATCGGAGTCTTTTTTTACTTGGAAAGGGAGGTATTTTGCTACATTTTCGATACTTCCCGGAAGCAAAACTTTTGTTTTTTGTCACTGGCTCAGGCTACTGTACGTAAATTACCTGCAGCTCGCTAATCGTTTTGTTTTGATCCGCTGTATATCCCAGAGTCCCTTCGTTATATCTCTGTAAGAAAATTATGCTAAAATTTGTTTTGCATCCAGCACAAGATACGCGTAAAACATTGAAAAGGCAAACGCCCTTCTACCGTATTGCCTCTTGGTCCTTCTTTTGTTGCCGTTGCATAATCAAATTCCTTCCCACTTCCATGTATTGAGCTGGAAAACAATAAAAAACGAGAATAAAATCTTTATGACCAAGAATTTTCATGATAAAAAAAGAACACGGTTAAAAGAAGACTCTTGTCATTTTATACCCACGACGATGACTTTTTTCTTTGCCTTTATTTTGGCATCTTTTGTCCCCAAAATTGATGCGGTTGTGAGTAAAGTACCCGCTCATTCGGAAGCCCATTTTCCAGGTGTACAAAGGCATTCAAATCCCCGATCTGGGCAGTGGAATTATCGACCGAAGCTATCGCTTCGAAAACTTTCCGGCGTTGATAAAAAACGAGGACAATTTCAAGGAATGGTGCAACTTTATGCCGCACTTCTTCAACGACATGAGTCGTGCGGACGCCGAGAAATGGGCCAGAAATTTTTGTAGAGATTACGGGGAACAAGACGCTTGCAATACGTATTTCAGCGACGAAAACAACAGAATTCAACTGGTCAATGCGACCATCGAATATTACGAGGGGAATCTGGGATATACGGCGGATCAAAAGAAAACGATGAGCGAGCTGCAGGTAATTTACGTACAGTGGCGGACCTGACCCAGTGGCAATAAACGTACCATTTTGCATCCGGGAAGTATCAAAAATGTGGCAAAATGCTTCCCTCTCCAACTGAAAAAACTCCGATTTCACGCGTCCGCAATTTTGAGAGGTAAGGGACGTGCTCTTCAAAACGGAGGTTTTTTAGCTGGAGAGGGAGGCATTTTGCCACATTTTTTGATACTTCCCGGACGCAAAATGGTATGTTTTTTTGCCACTGGATCAATTCCGTGGCCGTATTTTTACTTTTAAAACACGATTTTTGAGTCAGGGCACCAGCGGTGGTCTTATTGTTAGGAAAAAATCGATTTTGAGATTTTTGGCTTAAAATAGTCGGTAGCACTTGTGGAAGAAAAGCGAAAAATATTTTTGCCCAATTGTGCCCGGAAGGCATATTTTTTTACAAAATACGTTTTTACACTTCAAAGCCACTGGAGGCCGATGTGATCCGACCACAGAGATTAAACCGGGCATACAGGGGGTTTTTGACACCCAGGAATCTGAAAATCGTAGCATTTTTACCGTCAGATTACTGTAACATGGTCATACTGTAATCCGGTCGATAAAAATCGACGATAACTTCTTTAGATCAAAAATGCCACAGGATTTTATTGCAGATTCGGAATCAGCATAAAATTCTGCTTCGGCTACATGTAAAATATGTTCTAAATTCCGTGGCCCAACCTCTGTAGTATAGTGGTTGTGCGCCAGGATTATCAATCTGGCGACCCAGGTTCGATTCCCGGTGGCTGAAAATGGCAGAAAATGGACTATAAAAGGGCGGAAACTTGGAAAAAAGGGAAAGTAAATTACAGAAAATTAATTTTATGCTACTTAGGAGCAGTTTAAAAGTTTTTGCAAGAATTCCGCATAAATTACGGTTTTTATGGAAAACGCCTTATAGCTTGCCGGAAAGTGGAGCAATCTGGTTAAAATTTACAGAAGAGGTTACTGAGGCTTCCTACTACGAAAATAAGTCCATTTTTGCTTATTTGGTTAAATTTTTGGGATAGCCTGGGTTTTCTTTCAAATTCGGGATTTTTAGAAGGCGAGCTGCGGCCGAGGTTTATCGAACCGGACAATATTTGACCAAAAAGTCATATAAGATTCACAAAAAGTCATATAAGGTTCCCTAACCGCACCGGGATAACACAGCTTGTATAACTTAGGCCGTCTTGCGCATCCCACGAAAAACGGAGCGCGTGGACGCTCTAATGGTAAATCTACATGAAGACTCAGTTGGTAAGGAACAGAGGCTAAACTACGGGGCTGTAACATGCGTGCTTCCATCTGAAAATTAAACAACTGTTTTATTTTGTTTTATATTGCATTCCTCGGCGGATATGATGAACATTGGATAGCAAGCGTTATGTAGATTCACCACAACTCTTTAGTTGCCATTTGGGGCGATCTTACGAATGCTGTGAGGCGTTTTCCATAAAAACCGTAATTTATGCGGAATTCTTGCAAAAACTTTTAAACTGCTCCTAAGTAGCATAGAATTAATTTTCTGTAATTTATTTTCCCTTTTTTCCAAGTTTCCGCCCTTTTATAGTCCATTTTCTGCCATTTTCAGCCACCGGGAATCGAACCTGGGTCGCCAGATTGATAATCCTGGCGCACAACCACTATACTACAGAGGTTGGGCCACGGAATTTAGAACATATTTTACATGTATCCGAAGCAGAATTTTATGCTGATTCCGAATCTGCAATAAAATCCTGTGGCATTTTTGATCTAAAGAAGTTATCGTCGATTTTTATCGACCGGATTACAGTATGACCATGTTACAGTAATCTGACGGTAAAAATGCTACGATTTTCAGATTCCTGGGTGTCAAAAACCCCTGTATGCCCGGTTTAATCTCTGTGGTCGGATCACATCGGCCTCCAGAGGCTTTGAAGTGTAAAAACGTTTTTTGTAAAAAAATATGCCTTCCGGGCACAATTGGGCAAAAATATTTTTCGCTTTTCTTCCACAAGTGCTACCGACTATTTTAAGCCAAAAATCTCAAAATCGATTTTTTCCTAAGACCGGGCCCCACTACTGGCTGACGCAGTGACTCAAAAATCGTGTTTTAAGCTCATTGTGTTAACAAGGGAAGCGTTCAAAGTCCGACGCGCGTTTTTTTTTTTAAATTTTGCACACAAATTGCGGATAGGCCGTATATCGATTTCTCAAAAGTTTAACCCGCCTTTTGCAAGAGCCCCCGAAATATTCAACGATCTTTGCGGTCGAGAGAGCTCGCGAAATACGGAGAGCGGTCAAAGAGAAACGCGTTTGGCCATCTGTTTGCCAGTCATTGAAAAAACTGATTTTTTGTGGAAACGTTGGCCTCTTATCACTGTAAACTATGCACGAAAAAAGTTATCTTTTGAAAAAACAGTCCCTTATTTCCGTAGGGCTAAAAATCTTCATGCATAAAATTGCAAATAGTCATTAAATTTTAGCCCAACTTTTAGAGTAAAGCTCTCCGTTTTTTCTACAATACGCTAGAATTTAGCATGTAATAGTCTGTCGGGAAAATAATGTAGATTCATGGCGCCTTAAAACGCTGATTATTGCTTCGTAACTGCTAGCGACGGCTGGAGATTTGATGTGCGACAGGACACTTTGCTGCGACAAATTCATATTATTTTCCCGACAGACTGGTGTTAAAAAAGATTCATCTCAATTTACAACAAGTTGCATTGAAGAGATTGAAATATGAGAGCCGACATTCTAACCCTTTCCTTGCAAAACTGTAACTTTTCTTAACGATTCTTTTTTTAGGAGATCCGCGCAACAAAATGCTTGTCAATTGCTGAGGAATGCTATGTCAGCAATGGCTTCAAATTCACTCTGACCTCGGCCGAACGAGACCAAATGCGGCTGACCACCGAAGATTGTTGGCATCGACGACCGGTTCAGCTGAACTTTGCAAAGAAGACTTGCTATGAGCCGTTGGCGGCACTCAATCCTTTCCAGAAACTTGAATCATAAAAGTTGAAAAAGTTTTTATTCGATAAATCGGCAGCGACATGAGTGTGACATTTCAAACAGTACCTATTATGTAATTTGCTTTCAGAGAAAGGCTTTTTTTGGAGATTTGGCAAAAAATTGGACAAAAGACCCTTAAAATTTGAAAATTCCTACGATTAGCCGAGATTTGTAAGTGCTTGCTCTACAGAGAAGCCATTGTAAGTTGGGTAAATAATCGACGCCGTTTCTAGTGGTCAGAAAATGGATTGGCCTAACATTTTGGCTCGTATCAGCCGCTCAACAAACATATTAATAAAAAAAAAACTGAAATGACTGCGATTAAGCAGGACAGTTGACCATTAGAAAACCATTTTTCTTTCTCCTAACTGCGGTATTCGTAGTGGGATTCACAGACTTGAAAAATTGTCCATTTTTTAAATCACCTTGTACAGTGAGTGAGTGACCTGATCCAGTGGCAAAAAACGTACCGTTTTGCATCCGGGAAGTACCAAAAATACAGAAAAGTACCCCTTTCTCCAAGTGAAAAAACTCCGATTTCAAAAGCGCTGTCGCTCTTTTTGTGAGGGAAAGGGCGCGCCCTTGCATTTTGCCACATTTTTGAGGCTTTCTGGATGCAAAATGGTACGTTTTTTTGCCACTGGATTAGGCCTGTCACTGTACATAGTGAGAGATTTTTAAAAGTTCCAGTTTGTGCTTTGCGAGGTAAATTGCTAGCGGTCATTGTCAATGAGAGAGTGTGCAAAATTCAGAGAGCGGTTAGAAGGAAAACCGGAGATTTTGCCATGCCTCCATCAGGTCTCCTCTCCTACAAAAATTCAATTTTTTTGAGACGTTTTCTCTCCGCTGGAAATAGGGCTGAGATTTTTACACATAAACTTTGCAAAAATGGGACTAACTCTCCTAACTTTTGCCAATTTTTGGACTCAAAATCAATATTTTCTGTAAAGCGCAAGCTGGGAATCTGGCATATGTTTTGCATGAGAAGTACAGTACGTAGTACACTGACTTGTTTCACACCTATTTCTACCATAGAGTCTAATGCTTGCACGCAAAATCTATTGCATCCATGACTTGACAAGATACGACCAAAAAAGTGTATTAAACTCTGGCCGCACTCCGCTTTTCTGATACTCTCTCCACCACAAAATATTGCTGAATATCTCGGCTGCAAAGCGTTGCGACTGGCTGACGCCTCAATGCAAATCCCTCCACAGACTTTTGAATAATCTGAGCCGCAAGAAATCGCCATATACCTACGATCACAATGGAGCGAATTAACATAACAAACCGAAATTGTCGTATTTACGATGGTCATAAAACGTTGTACGGAACAAATCTGTCTTTTTAAAGAATGGCCGAACAGTCGGAATTGTGTTTTATACTTGGAATACAGTATCGTTTGGAGGTCGTGGGAGTGAAGAGAAATCTGATTTTGTCGCGACACAAGTGTTCATTATTTTCCCGACGGACTGATATCTAAAATACAATAATTTGAGAAGTTTTTTAGGCTGATTAGAGAGCCGGTGGTTAACAAATATGGTCAATATGGGTATCAGAGAGTTGTTGGCGGCATGCCTGGTGATGACAGTTGACTCTGTGGTAAGTTAGGAGTATAAAAATACGTTCAATTGAGGCAAATTTTTTACGGCCAAGTTCCTGTAGTGATTTATTTTTATTTTGAGATTTTTTGAAGGTAAAACTTCCAAAAATTTTTTTAAAATCGTAATTTTTTATACGGCCTTATATATGGCCATACCCAAATTTTGCCCTTTGAAAAACTATCCATTTGACAGTCCAAAATGCTTGAATTTTCCCGTTATTACTTACATAATATTCATTGTTCCAGTTCTACAAAGGTTTCGAAATCAGCCCACCAAATCCGGGGGTTATCGACCGAAACTTCCGGTTCGAGAACTTCCCCACTTTCATCCAGAAGGAAGCCAATTTCAACGCCTTCTGCAAGCATCTCCCAACCCTGCTGACGGCCATGTCCAGGGCGGACGCTGACGTTTGGGTTAAAAACTTTTGCTTGCGAACGGGCGAACAGGCCGCTTGCAATAGTTATTATTCGGCGAATGCTCGGGAACAGCTGAGAGTGAACGCGCAGATTGAGTACTACGAGAACCAGTTCAACTACACGGCTGAGTATCGCAAATATGTCGACAAGGTTTTGGTAGGTTCGGGTGGGAAATTGAATCATATCGAAACTTTTTTTCATAGTGAAAAAGATATGGCCAGATCGAAAAAATGTGGCCAACTTTTATAAAACATAGTCAAGTTGAAAAAATACGGCCAAATCTTTTAAATTGTGGCCAAAGATGCTAAATTTTTGACAAATTCAAAAAAAATATGGCAAAATTGAAAAAATGTGGCCAAGTCTTATAAAAAATAGCCAAATTGAAAAAACACGGCCAAATCTTTTAAATTATGGCCAAAGAAGCCAAATTTTTGACAAATCCAAAGAAAATGTGGCCAAATCGAAAAGGCTCCCTATGTGGCCCAATCTAATTGCCAACTGTCCACATTGGTCACATTTTTTCGAAACGTCCACACTTTGTTACTCAGCCATTTTTATGCGATTTGGTCACATTGGTCACCTTTCATGAGACTTGACGATATTTCAAAGAGTTTTGCAATGGTCGCATTGCCCCATTCTGAGGAAATGAAACTTTAGGCTTAGAAATGGGGGTACTCTTGGTACAGTCCCTATTTCTCCCCCTACGAACTTCAATGATTCCATTTCAGGCCGTCCGCAAAGACCTCTGTCTCTCTGTTGAAGAAGAATGTTTCATCACGAATGGAATGAAGTGGCTCTTGTCCTACCAACAACGCGATGCGATGCATTTGGTCACCGAGAATTGTCGTCAGTCCAATCCGGTGAGCCCCGACTTCAAGGCAAAGTCTTGCTATCCCCCCGTGAAGGGGCCACCGCAACCCACCTACGAAAGTTTGCATTCGTAGACCTTTTTGATGGGAAAAATGCTTGTTTTCTTTTATTATAGTTTTAAATTGGATATTCGTCAGCGGGAAATAAATAAATTACAGCGGCAAATAGGGAAATTTTGAAGAAAAGAATCGTGTCGCGACAGTTCGAGACAACAAATAATCGATCGACACGAGGCGTAGGGCAGGTGGATACTCCAAAAACGGTTGTAGAAAGTGCCTGCGAAGCCTGGCGAAGCAGTTGGATGGTCAACGGACGCTCAGCGAAGGCTCGGCGGAGGCTTGGCGAAGACTTTCAATATGCCCTCTTTTTTGAACTTTAGCTATCACTAACGTTAGTTTTCTTTACCCTTAGTTACTGTAGTATATAGAAGACCAAAAATTGCGGCTAAAAACGAAGATGCGTAACTTTTATCTAGATATTATTGATGTGAGGCATGTAAAACACCTAAAAATAGGTGATAAGCTATCCTATCAAGGGAATGGTTTGAACTGTCCGTGAGCTTTCAACATGAGACCTCCAAATTCTGAAAGAGCGTACAAAATTTAGTAGGAATCCGCTTTCCATTTTTGCCGAATGGTCTTGGGAGACGAGAAATATCGACAGAAAGATCCGACAAAAAATCGAGAGAGAGAGAAAAGACGAACCGAAAGGCCCAGAGAAACGTCACCAAATAGTATAGTGGAAAAAGTTCCACGCACGAAACTTTTGGCAGAGGGAGGCCTTGGAGGTTCGAGTCCACCCGGAGCGGATATCGTCGGCTTGGATCTACGTGTCGTAAGTGTATTCGACAGCTATGTAAAGATTCTTTTTTTCATTTATTCGAGTGTTTTACAGTTCTTGTTGCAAAATTATGCTTTTTCTATCGACCGAATGGCCTTGGGAGAAGAGTTCCGGCCGTTTTTTATCGACCTGGTTACAACATGCTTACGTTACAGTAATCTGTGAAAGTTAACTTTCAAAAAATTGAGTACGCAATGGCCATAAAGATACATACGCAAAATTTTGGCTCATTATCCCTTTCTATGATGCCGTCAGACACAAAATTCCAAAAAAGACAAATTTGTGAAAATTTATACCTTCAAGGAAGAATTTGGGAAAAATATTTTGGGTGTTTGTTAAACACATGTCCACGGTCATTTTAAACTAAAAAACTCAAAATCGATTTTTTTCGTAAATATGCCTTGTTGGACCACACGCTGACGCAATGACCCAAAAAAATTTCTTTTGAACTTTTCTTGCAAAGCTTTAAGGAAAGGCGAAAATTTGGCAAGATTTTTCCCTGGAAACTCGAAAAATTCCGCAAGACCCATACAACCTTTCAGAACCAAGTATAAATGTCTTGCAAACACCAGTATGTCGACATCTAGCATCATCGAAAATGCAGCCAATTGATTCTTCACACCTACTTGTTCTTCCAAGCTGTTATCTTAGCCTAAAAATCCGTCAAAGCGCTTTCTTCTATGGCGCGAAACCCGAAACTTATGTATTACTTAAAATTTTTGGAATTTACTCCAAGTGGTCAGACTTTACTCGACAAATAATTTGCCTTATACGGTCATAAAAAGTGCTGTCTACGCACTTAAAGTACAAAGAGTACATCAAGTTCTTCACGTTCTCCCCACTCTATTGTCCTTACCTTAATGAAATTGCACTTCCGCCAAGTCCCGAATGCCATGTGCCGCTAATTACCTGCCCAAGTTCAGCTGTTTACCCGGCCTCGAATTTGTTGTCATACCCCCACGAAACGGGCCCTTTTCCGTCCTCCTGGTTGTCATAACGACGTCCCGGCGGCTACGTTTCATCGGAGCGTCGGGCTTTCGTCAAGAGAAAACATTCAATTGCGGAACCTACGATTCGCCTTTTTCAAACATATCCAACTTGAATATTATGCGCTAACGATAGTGTTCCGGGAATTCGAAACGTGCTAAAAATGTCAGTTGAGGGTTCGGATGCGGCGATAAATGGGCCAAAAAAGAGTGCCTCCATGGAATTTGCGTAAGGTTTTTTTTTTGCATTTTTACCAATTTTGTTGGGGGTTCAGAGATTTTTTTGCACTGAAAAACGTTTTTGGATTTTTGAAAGGCAAAATATGCCTGTTGTAATGTTACATTCTTGACAAAAAAATTGAAAAATAAGAAAAAAGCTAATTTTAAAAAATTGATTTTTTTTCTAAATTTAAAAAAAAAATCATTTTTTTCGATTTTTTATTTTTTCAATTCAAAAAATTGAAAAAAAAATTAACAAATTCGACTTTTTTTGCCCTGTGACATCCAGAAGTTTCTAAAAATACCTCTACTTTTTGATTTCAAGGGTTTTCGGAAGCCATAAAACAATACAAGCACTTTTCCATATTAGGTCTCTATAAAAACGGGGATTTCTCTTCAAAACTACTATTTTAAGATTCTGCCGGCATTCCAACGAAAAGTGATATCACAAAACTGAACTCTGAGGGCGGGCAGAGCCAAATGCGTCAATGTTTTGAAGGGATAATGCCGTTTCCTTATCCCAAACCTCATTTCCTGGAGATTTCCAGTCGAATGTCATAGTTATTTTTTGAGAAATTGTTGGCTAAGGCTAAACCAAAGGTGTTTTAGGGGAATAAAATAAAAATTGAGGCAATTTAAAGGTTTTATTATCTTGTTTTAGCAACTTCACGATTCCGGAACTACCGAAAGGAACGGTTCTACGTCTCTCATTGGCCGGGCCATGGGATGACCCCCGTTTCATGGGGCTAAATGCCGTGGAAATCTTCGAGGAAGATGGGAATCGCGTCAAAGTTGAGACTGTAAGTTTATTCTGGACCTATTTCCAACATTTCTGGCTAAAAAAGATGGGTTTTCAAGACAAAATGTTTTCGTGGCGGTACCAAAAATTTTCAAAAATTTTTAGTTTTTTCACTATAATTTTTTCTCAAAAAAGTAAGGACACCTTAGCTAGTAATTTAAAAAATTTCAGATCGAAACCGATGCTCCAGAAACCTTCGGCGACCTGAACAATCTTCTCCATTGTGGTGCTTGCCTGAGCACGGACCCTCGTGACATGTGGATGTGCCGATATCAGCGGGATTCCCTACCGGTAAACATTTCTATGACCATGAAAGAGCCAACTACTATTGCTATGATTCGGATTTGGGCAAGTTTTTTTCATTTTTTTTTTTGTTTTTCACCTCATGTACAATATAATTTTTTGCCATTTTCAGAACTACAGTGAAAGCCGGGTATATGCGCTGCGTGGAGTGCGCAGGATGAAGATTTATTTGGACGAGGAGTGTATTTTTAGTGGAGAAATTAATTGTGCTTTCATCGATTTTGACGGGAAACCTATGGGTGATGTAAGTTGAATAGAAATTTTTTGAAATCCCTTGTCTGTTTCAACAAATTACCGCCTGAATTCATTAGAAAACGCTTAAAAATCTATATTTTACGAAGTCACCGTAAACCAGGGTTTTTATATTTTTTTAATTGAAATGTTTTAAAAATGCGGGCGGTTTCTGCATAACGCGGTCTGAAATTTGGTGCTATTTTTAGAAAGATCTCTTCATTTCTGATTATTTTCACAAAACTTTAAAGAAATTTTCGGGATTTTTTGAAGTTCAAACCTTTATAACTCGGGATTTTCTGCATAACGCGGTCTGAAATTTTAGTGATATTTTTAGAAAAGTCTAGTCTTCATTCTTGCCATACGTTTTATATTAAGATTGGAACATTTTGATTTATCAATTTTTTTCCATTTCTGCACAACGCGATTAGAAAATTTTAAAAGTTAATCTTCATGCGTGTGCTAATACTTGAAAATGCCATTTTTATAAACCTCGCCCCTTATTTATCCCACCTTCCCTCCAGATCTTCGAAAGCAACCTTTTCAGACCATTCTGTTTACGACAAACGAGGATATTCTAAATGCCATCGCCCAGAATGACATCTTCCTCAACTCCAGCGACGATATTCCGGCTTTGGGGAGTCAAATGGATTTGCTGAGCGTTGGGCCGAGCACGTCCACTGGTACGTGAGGCTATTAATAATTTTTGGAAAAAAAGATTCCTTTCTTTGGTTACCCTACCCAGTCTCCATTGCTTAAATTTATCCGATAATTTCCTCGAGGAGGAAAATGTAGCTTTTGGATTAAAAAGGGGTAATTGCTAAGGAGATTACTTGCGTTATTTGCCCTTCTTTGTCGTGTAAATTGTTGATTATCAAAGGAAATTTTGGGGTATATTAGAAATCACTAAAAACCTGTCGTTTTTGTGGATGATTTATTTTGAAAAAACGTCTAAAAGCTTCAAAAAATATCTTAGGTAAAAACATTTTTTATCCAGTAGACTTTTGTTCATGGCTGTCTGGCAAATTCCCTAAGGGCAAAACTTTGAATCTTAATGAAATTTTTATAACATCAAACCTACAATTTTCTAAGAAGTCCCTAAGGACACTAAAAGTGCATTACCTTTCAAACGCATTGAGAAATAGGGATTTTAAATTCAAAATCTCAAATAAAACTTCTCCAAGTTTTCTTGAAATTTAAAATGGAAGGAAAACAGACTTTTCTAGGAGAACTCAGAAATTTTCAGGCCTGTTTTTGCTAAATTGGCGAACAGGGGAAGTACTCCAAGTGCGACGCTCAGATTTCCTTTCAATTTTGCACACACTTCTGCCATAGATTAGATATCAATTCCTGAAAGTTTTAGCTCGCTCTTTGCGGGCGCCGCCGAGATATTGAACGATTTTTGCCGCCGAGAGAGCACGCTCAACGTAGAGAACGGTCAGAGAAAAAAGCGCTTTTTGGCCATAACTTTGGCAGTTTCGTGCGGAAAAATTTGATTTTTTGTAGAAACATTATCCTTTACGGCAGAAATAGGCATGAAACTTTTCGTGCCGAAATTCGGCAAAAAGTCCTAAATTTTGGCCGACTTTCGATCTAAAAATCTCGGTTGTTTCTGCAAAGCGCGAGCTAGGATTCTCGCATATATCTTAGAAAAAATTATTCTAAATTTGTGCCAAGTTTCATCAAAATCTGAGGTCGCACTTGGGGTACTTCCCCTGTAAGATATAGGCATCTCAAGTTCAAAAAATTTCGAATTTTTTTATTGTATATTCTAGGATTTCTAAACTAAATTTGATCTCTTTTTTTCAGCCATCCGAACCTCGTCTCCCTTGACTGACTCGTCAATTCAACGGCCAATGACCGGCGCCACTTCAATCCACTCCAGCTCCAGTGATCTGGCCCAATTGGGGAATTCGGATCGCTCCGAGAAGAAAGAGAGCACTTCAACGGAGATGGAAGTCACCGAAAGTACCGACTACAGTGTGGAAGATGAGAATCTGAACGGCTCGTTGGTTGAGGATGACTATGGGAACACTTGTGTTCGAGGGAATAGTAAGTGGCCGAGAATTTTTTGGGGAAAATCGAGATTTAAGAAAAAACCTGGCTTATATATTTGGCATAGAAATAAAAATTGAGGCCTAGAATCTTAGAAATGACCTGGAAAATTTGTATTTGTTGTTCTTCCGAAATTTTCTAATCATTTTTTGGAATTTTTTGAAATTGAAACTGCTATATCTCAACGGATTTTGTAACAATACTCCTTAAACGTTCAGAAATATTTTATAAAACCTCATTCTTCATATATGCCAAATTTCGTAAATTTCTAAGGTTTTTGCCTTAAGGCAAATATCCATTTATTGGCTGAAATTCCCCAGATTTTGATGGAATTTGTCTCGAACAAAGAAAGCTTAGTTTTTCTCAAGACATATTCGAAATTTTTGGCCGACGATTGGACGAGACTATCGAGATTTTACGATCGAAAATTGCCAAAGATTCAATTAAAAACTTTTTTTTCAAAAATTTCATTATCCAAAAATACGTTTTTTCATATGAAAGGGGTCTAGTTTTTGTAAAAAAAAATCAATTTAATTTACTGCTCACCAATAAAAACTTGATGAATTTGATATTTTAAGTGTTCCACATGGAGTTATTGGGGAATTGGGGTTTTCCCGACGCAATCGGCCTCACCGGCATCCAATTCCTGGGCAAAGACGGCGAACCCCTCGACACCGCCAACTGCACAGTTCGCTGTTCCGGCGAAGAGCAAGAGGAGCAAGCGCTGAGGCTGTTGAACAACCGAAATCTGACCTGTCGCCCAGATGACATGTTCCTGACCGCGTTCGACGCCAACAAACCCCCGCCCTGTTTGAGTTTCCACTTCGAGCAGAGCGTGGAAATGTCCGGCATCAGTGTCTGGAATTACAATGCCACGCAAGAGTTGGCGTGCGCTGGGGTGAAATGCATCCAGCTGTACATGAATGGCAAGCCGATCGTGGGGATGATCATCTTGAGGAAGGCGCCGGGCTATGTTTTCTTCGATTATGTGCAGGACATCATGTTCGATCGGTGTCATTTGTTCAGACCGTTGAGCAGTCGACCGAATACCAACTCTATTAGCGCCTGTAGGTCATCTTTTAATCTTTGAGGTCCAAAAACGAGATTTTTCTCTAAAATTCTAAAAAATCCGTCATCGCGACAGGTTTGATGATTCAAACACGAAATTCAAGACGACAAAAATTTTGATGATGCTCTTATCAAATTCTGAGATTATTTTTCATCTCAGATATTCAAAATTTTAGATATCTAGGTATGTCATCATGACGAATTTTTTGCAATTTTTTGAAAAACTGCTGAAGTTTTCTTTGTGATGAATTTGAACTCCATGTGTATGACATTTACATCGAAATTTTTTTTATTTTTTGACTTACATATAGTGTCATCATGACGCCTCTTTTTATAATTTTCAAAAAATCAAAATTTCAAAAATTTTTCTAGAGGATTTGTAGTTCATACAGCTTATTTTAGCCTGGAATTTTGTAAAATTTTTCTCTAATTCATGTCATCATGACATATTTTTCATAATACCCCCACTTTCAGTCATCTTCCAAATCCGACTTCTCTCCAGTTGGGGAGACGAATTTTACATCGGACTGAACGGAATCGAACTCTACAACCGACGAAATCATGTGGTCAAATTGCGGCCGCAGAGTAAGGAACAGGTGGAATCTAAATTTAGTCTTCAGATCTGGCCGCTTTCCCCGAAAGTGTAAATATCTTGCCGGCGGTGGAACGGGACCCCAGGACCAGTGAGAAGCTTATTGATGGAGTGAATGAGACTACAAAGTAAGAAAAAATTCGATTTTTGCAGGGGTGGCCACCGGGCCGGGCCTGACAAATTTTGAAACGGGCCGGGCCGGGCCTGCTTTTTACCGGGCCGGGCCGCGGGCCTGAGCCATTTTCAGGCCCGGCCCGGCCCGGTTTTGTCGAAATGCCAAGCGTTTGGCATTCAATGTTTTCGCGCCGGAAAAATTTTTGGATAGGTTTGTATTTTTAGTATATCAAGTTCTACAATAGTTTATTACTTTATAGTACTTTTTTGCATATATGTTATAATATAAGGTCCAAATTAGAATATATAATACATATAGGATAGTTCTTAGCAGATTTTAGCACACTACAGAGGCGGTAAGATCAAAGGAAAATTTCCAGCTCGCGCCCTAACCGGGCTTTTACCGGGCCGGGCCTGGGATTTTGCCGGGCCGGGCCCCGGACCTGAAATTTGGAAAAAGAGGCCCGTTTGCCACCCCTGGATTTTTGGAAAGAAATGAGGCTAAATTATCGATTATTCTGGGGTAAATATAATAATTGATATCTCAAGTATAGTATTTGGAATTGAAAAAAAGTCGTTGAAAATAAAGTCAAGAGCTTTGAAATGGATCGGGGAAGATTTTAGACAGCGTTATGCAGAATTTGCAGAATTAACCGAGATTTTCTTCTTTCAAGTTCAAAAAATCGCAAATTTAATCCCCATATTACAAAGTTAAGAGATATAAAAATCGACCATAATCAGTTCAAAATCCCTATTTTCAGACCTCAACACATGTGGTTGACTCCAATGTTGCCCAACAGCTATGCGCGAATCTTCATCATCTTTGATATACCGACGTACATTTCTCGTGTTCGGATCTTCAATTATCGAAAGACCCCGACCAGAGGTGTTCGACATGTCGCGGTAAGGGCTTGAATAAATTTTTTAGACCTTAAAGACAATAATTTTTGTCATCACCTTGAAAAAAATATGTCATAGTGACGGATTTTAAAGAATTTTTGGTAGGATACGATGTGATGACGGAAATTGATTTTGAAATTTTTAAAATACGTTGATCGAAATATCCATTTTATTAAATAAATTGTGTCATCACTCCTTCATCAAAAAAATTTTTTTCTGAAAAAAATCTTATTTTTAGTCGCAATTTTTTAATTTTCTTACTTTTAGATCTCCGCCGACGACTTGATAATTTACAGTGGCGAAGTCCCCATCAGTACGAGTAATGACACCGGAATTTTGGACGTTTCTCTTCGCGAATTGGAAGATTATTAAATTGGAATCAATTTTTATCCCAGTCTGTATATAATACAGTACAGTATATGTTATCTAAATTAAAAAAAATTTTTTGATGTTTTTGACTGAAATTGCTTGAGGCAAAGTCTAGGGTTCGAAAATTAATTATTTATAGTTTTTTTTTATATTTGAAATTTTGAAAAATTTGAATTTTTCAAATCTCCGAGCAGGTCCCGTCGGGTTCTTCAAATAACTTTTAATTAATCCGCGTTTACCCCGAACACCCGCTGAGCCCCGCATTCTTGCGCTAATGCAAAGAGACGTCGAAAAGCATGGCGCAAAAAATCGAAACCCCCTTTTTTCCCCCTTTTCTCCTTCGTCTTCGGCCGCCCGCATGACTTGAGCTCTGTTCACGACCTCAATAGACAGCTCCTTCCTCAAGTTTTCGCAAAAGAAATATTCTTTTTGGAGGTCCGCGAAATGACGGAAAACGCATAGTTTGGGGCTTTGTTCTGGCGCTTCATTCTGCGGTGAAAAGAAAGGCTTTTTTGCTGACAACTCGGACTACTGTGTTTTGGAAAATCGGACAGAAATGTAAGTGATTCGAACTGTAATTTTTTTCAAAATGATATTGAAACATGGTTGAAAACTCAAAAAAAATATTGTATAATATATTACATACGCATATATAGGCCATACATCAAGCTCCAAAAATTTCAGCCCGAAATATACTTAAAATTGTGCATTTTTTTGGGTTATGACATTCCGTTTTTTGTCTTTCCGAAAAATATTTACATTGTGTTTGTTCACTGGAACATTATAGAGCTTTTTTTTGGTCGTTACTTTTAAGTAACCGCCAAAAATCTCTAACATAAAGCTTTGTTGACCCGCTAATGTCCAATTTATCCCATAGCCAAAACACCATTCGTTTTTTCATCCTTTGCTTACATGAGCTCTTTGGCGCTTTTAGCAGCTAAACCGAGCGGAATTTTTCTTCAAAACAGACCAAAAAAATCCTTTATTTTTCTTGACAAATGTTTTCCTGAACTTACGGAGTGTGTGCTTCAAAGTTCAATGCTCAGATTTTGATGAAACTTACAGGGAAGTACTCCAAGTGCGACGCTCAGATTTTCTCAAAATTTTGCGCACACTTCGGGTATGGACTAAATATCAATTCCTGAAAGTTTTAGCTCGCGCTTTGCAGGCGCCGCCGAGATATTGAACGATTTATGCCGCCGAGAGAGTACACTAAGCGTGGAGAGCGGTGAGAGAGAAAAACACTTTTTGGCCATAACTTTGAGAGCTTTGTGCGGTAAAAATTGATTTTTTGTGAAAATATTACCCTCTATGATAGAAACAGGCATGAAATGTTAGTTGTACTGTAGAGGCGTCCCACTTTTGGTTTAACCGTAAACTCCTATCAAAATACCCTCAAATTTTTGAAAATTTATATCCTTCCATTTCCAGATGTACGTCCAGACAACCAAACTTGGCGATGTGTGTGTGGTCTTTGCCGCATTAATCGTATTACTCTTCTTCAGTGTTGTGATTTGGCTGCGAATAAAGCAGCACAAAGCCCAGCGAATTCAAGCCATCTCGGTTCAACGGCCGAAACGAGCGTTCCAATGGAATGATGACCGGGATACACTTCCCATCGTTCAATTACCATGAAATTTGCAACGTATTTTCTCAGGCAGTGATATTGAATGTCGACGGGTTGTATATAGGTAGTATTTGTATAGAATTTGCAACAAAAGTATAAATAAATTTTGCAAAAAAATCGAAGAAATAATAAAGTTCATGTGGAGTAAACTCCGATAATCTTTTTTCTAAAAAAAAGGAAGAAGAGATAAAGACCTTCGGATAGCTCATGGCTTATTTTGAGGTGCTTTACATTTAATTATATCAATAAAATCAAGGCCTATGTATCTTTGTTTCTGTAGCAAACCTTGATCGTTTCTATTCTAAATGCAAAAGCTAAGGGTCGAGGAAACTAAAATTAGCAGCAGCTAAAACAACCAAAATAAAGTAGCGGTCATCCCGAAGGTCATCGCCAAATCCTCGCCAAGTCTCTCTATATGCTATCAATAACTCAGGGTAAAGAAAATCAACGTTAGTAACAGCCAAAATTAGAAAAAGTGCACATATAGCAAGTATTCGTCAAGTCTCCGCCGAGCCTTCGCCGAGCATCCAACGGCTTTGCCAACCCTCGTAGACCTCCTTTAGCCTTTTTCTGGGGGTTGCCTTACCCGCGTATCCATCGATTTTTTGTTGATCTGTCGCCGACTCAAAATGTCGGGCCGTGGTACAAAACACATCTAATTATTGAGCACAACTTCTCCTAAAAACAAAATAAATTTTTAGCATCAAAAATAGTCATCACAGAGCTCAAATTTCATAAAATTCCAGCGTGATATCAAATTAAAGATTACAAAATTTTTGCAGACCTTGTAAACATGGCTTACAATGCTATTGCCGATCAAAGACCACAAAATCTATCTTTGTAAACAAAAAATATCAAAGACTTGCAAAAAATCTATACAAAATGACCTTTTATTTAAAGAAAAAAAGTCAATTTTAAACAGTAACTTCGAAAAAAAACGTTCCAAAACAAACCACAGTAAACAGTTGTCGACCCAATTGGGGAAGTCACGTCATGGTTTTTCCCGACTCGAACGCTTCTTCGTCACTTTTGCGATAACAAAATTGCGCAAGTAGTTCGTGACTCAAACGAAACAACAACTGTAACTTGTTGCTCGCTGAACGTCAGAGAACGGTGAGGGGTCAACGGGAGTGCAGGATGGTCGCTGAACCTCTCCCACGCAATGATTTATAAGGCGCCGAGTGCAGAGTGTGGGTTTAGTTGGACAAGTGGGTGAATGGAAGCAGTAGTTTTTGTGCTCTTGATGAGAAATGTAACTCTGTAACTCTTAGGGAAGTGCTTGAAACAGGGCCGAGAGAATACCAGTTCGTTTGTAAAGCCGCTATATTAATGTTTTGCACTTGCAATGTGGTCAAAAGACAGAGTGCTTTTCAGCACATTGCAAGCGCTAGCGACAGCTCAAAGCAGCTTATTGCACAGTGCAAAGAAAATTTTTGTTTTCTAAAAGATTTTGTCGTTATATCCATAGTCAGGCCAGAAGAAGACTGAGCTAGTAGAAATAATATAATTCATCGGGTCCTAGGATAGCTTATCGCTTATTTTGAGGTGTTTTACATGCACTCACATCAATAATATCTCAATAAAAAGTTACGGGGTTTTTGTTTTCTGTCGCAAATTCTGGTCTTTTATATCGTGCAATAACTCAGGGTAAAGAAAACTAACGTTAGTAACAGCTAAAATTAGAAAAAGTGGACTTATCGCAAGTCTTCGTCAAGTCTCCGCCGAGCGTCCGCCGACCATCCAACAGCTTTGGCAAGTCTCGTAAACACTTTATACAGCCTTTTTTTCGGGTGTCCACTATCCTACGCCAATATCGATTTATTATATTTTTGCGTTGACCCGAACTGTCATCGACCCGAAAAGTCGGGACGTAAAAATTTTTTGGTGGAAAATTTTGCTATCTTTTCGCAAGCTGCTAGGAGATAGGCACTTTGTTTCACATGTGGTGGTAATCAACGTTTCTACAAACGATTTTTTTACATGCAAAGTTAGCAAAGATATGCCAAAAAAAGTTTTTTTTTCTCTGGCGCTCTCCGCACTTTGCGCATTCTCTTGTTGACAAAGATTGTTATCAAAGTTCCGCTTTGTTAAAATTTCTGCGAATTTTATTGATACATATATTTTTGCACGATGATGTTTTTTCGAAGACATGCATCAAGCTTGAGTGGTCGATCTTTTTGACACAGGCGCGCGCAAAGTCGAAAGAAAACAAATCTGGGCATCGCGCTTCAGACACTTCCCAATTAAATTAACATCTTTTACAGTAAACAAAAAGTAATTTTCTCGTGGTATGTTCCTGTCTATCAGATGTTTTCCCATTTTCCTGCAATTTCCTTGCCGTTAACTTCGCTTGCTTCCCCGCCCCGTTGGAGCGCAATCACTGTAAAGTGAGAGAGTTGAAATTGAGAAAACTCTTGACGGATTCCATTCCTTTACGGCTGCAATCGATCGATTTTTTTCGTTCATCATAATTTCCGTTCAACGAACAACAATTCGGCAAGCGAAAAACACCAGTTGAACGGCGAATTGAAGGCTTTGTCATGCGGTTTTTGAGGGCAATTATGATATCATCTTAGACAATTTATGATATCATTGTTGGGGGAGTATAAATGGGACGGTCATTTAGTGGGAAAGGGCATTGTTTTGTAATCGATTTTAGAGTAATATTGGATAAAGCAGGGCTCAACAGCGACGCTCAGATTTCTTTTAAATTTTGAATACGTTTACCGTCACATTTCTTAATTAATTCCTGAAAATATGAGGTTGCGACCTTCAGAAGCAGTTTATTTAACAATCTTCTTTGGCGAAAGGGCACGCGAAATCCGAAGAGCGGTGAGAGAAAAAATTACCCTATTTTTTGGCTATACCTTTGGCAATTTTGCGCTCAAAAAATGGTTTTTTTTGAGGAAGCTTTGCTTTCTAAATGTAGTCGAAATTGGGTTGCCGTTTCATCGCTACGACTTTTCGGGTCAGTCGATAGTTCGGATCAACGATACTATGGATGGGCTCGGTTCATTGTCGCATCCATGAGGGAGGCTAGGAGAAGGCATAGTTAGTATAAATAATAAGATTGATTGGGTCCTAGGATGGCTTATCACCTATTTTGAGGTATTTTTACTCACAACGATAATATCGATATATGGATAAAAGTTACACTTCTTCTGTTTTTGCCACAAATCTTGGTCTTTTATACTTATGTTGCAGTAACTTAGGGTAAAGAAAACTAACGTTAGTAATAGCTAAAATTAGCTAAAAATTTATATAGTGGACATATTGCAAGTCTTTGCCAAGTCGCCGGGGAGCCTTCGCTAAGTCTCCGCCGACCATCCAACGGCTTTGCCAGGCCTCGCAGGCACTTCATACTATCTTTTTTTTGATATCCAGCTGCCCTATCAGCCCCATATCGATCGATTTTGTGTTGACCCGAACTGTCGTCGATCTGGAAAGTCGGGACGCGGCCGTTTCTCATACTAAAGTTCATAAATAAATGTCATATTTTTTGCAAAATTTCGATGACTGGCACTGCAAAGCGCGACTTAGGAACTCCTTGTATATTCTCGCTGATCTTTGCCTAATTTACGCCAAGTTTCATGACAAATATGGGCGTCGCAATTCAAGCGCGCAATCGATGAATTTGGGAGTGGTCTGGAATGACCGTTGATTAGTGCTTCAGTCTGAAATTTTGTAATTCGAAGAGTCGGGTGATTAGATGAGACTTTTTCGAACCTGAAAGTTCAACCTTTTTATATCAATTTCCCAGTGGAAGAAGCGACTTATTTTCGATTCGTCAGACAAGCTAGCCCAAAATTATTATTATTTTTTTTGAAAGAATTCAATGTTTCCTTCAAAAAATTTGACGAAACTTGGGATAGTGTAAAATTTTTTTTACGAAAAATTGATTTTTTCCATGGAGAACTGAAAGGTTATAAATATGTAAGACTAGGCATGGCTCCGGGCCGGGCTTTGCAAAATTTTCCGGCCCGGGCCGGGCCGACAAATTTCTCGGCCCGGCTCCGGGCTTCGATTTTTAGGCCCGGCCCGGCCCGGGCCGGCCCGGTTTTTTTGAAATCTGAGTTTTGCCCGGAAAAAAGGAAAAAATAAGCTTTTACGACAAAATTTTTCCTTTTTTCGAACACACTGCTGATAGCAAACGTAAAGTGACCTTATGTACCTAGGTTTTGCTAAATTTTTCTTTACATTTTGCGAAAATTTGCCATAATTTTCCTTTCATTCCCCGCTTTCTTTCTTTCCAACCTAGTATAAAAATTTTCCGGGCCGAACCGGGCCGGGCTTTCCAAATTTTCCAAGCCCGGGCCCGGGCCGGGCTTGGAGATTTAAGCCCGGGCCTGCGGCCCGGGCCGGGCCGGGCCGGGCTGGCCCGGTTTGCAGCCATGCTTATGTAAGACCCGCTTTTCGTCTGACCGACAGTCTTCAGTTCACGTGGTCCCTGACAAGAAAACATGTTAAAGCTTTTGGCCTCGGCTGAAAAGTGGGGCTAAAACTTTCAAGGAATACTCTGTCGTTGGTTTGGAACAGGTATATTTTTTGGCAAATCTGAAAAAAAAATATCTTTTTTTTTTGTTTTTTTCAATTTTCGAGACTTCCATTTTTCTTCTACGAATGCCCCATTTTCTTCTTTCATCTATAATTTCTCCTTTTTCAGAAAGAATTTAAAAAATGACCCTAAGTTCAAGTTCATCCACCTCCTCCGAGGACCTCCATTCCGCCACATTGGCAAGAACCCGCCCCAAAACCTCGCACGGCCGCAGTTACATTGCCGGCGGCTATTACTTCTACGACGACTATCGCAACCTCACCTACTACATCCGTGCCGGCTGGGTTCCGTACAGCGAACGGAACGAAAACGAGGGCCGAATGCCGAAAACTCTCTCCCCGATCCACTACAACGGACCGGCCGTATTCTACGCCTACTTCGACGAAAAAGACAATTCCATTTACGCCATCAATTATATCGATCAAATCGCGTCCGAGGTCTTCGTTGGCGAGAAACCGGATCCGTTTGAGTTCAAGAAAATCATCAAGACATATCAGCCATTCACGTTGGAGGAAATGAGGAAAAAGGAGAATGAGAAACGAAAAAGCGTGTCAATGCCACATTTGGGAATGGAGCAGAAGGAAGCTGGTAGGTTTTGCAGTACAAATGGATCCGTTTTAAAACCATCGGGATTAAATTTAGACAATTTTTTCATTTTTTATCAAATCTTTTGTCATGGATAATATAATTTTTGTAAAATTACTTTGCCAAATTTTGTCGTATATCAAGAAATCAAAGAAAGAGAAAACAAAAAAATTATTGTGACACATTTTACTCATTTTTAAGTCAGTTTGAGCCTATTTACACACTTGAAACAGAATGCCAAAAATGGCGGGAAACCGAAATTTTTGAATATTAATAGTCATGTTTTGGACAGGACAATGTATTACATATTATTTTTAAATCAATTTTAGCTAGTAAACTGCAGAGATATCAATTTTACACGCATTTTTTTGCATGGAAACATTAAATTTTTATGGATAATATATTTCTCAACTTTTTTGCAAAATTTTTCATATTAAAATCTTCAATTTAGATCATCAAGTTTCCGCAGATCGTATTTTACCCTCTCACCCTCCTATATTTTCAGTTGCCACTCCAGCAAAGAAGTATTCAGTGGTTGAGAACGCGAAACTCCAAACAAACCCAGCCAATTTTGTGATTCGTCGAAAAATCTCGGAAAACAGCAGTACCGGCTATCCGGACGAGCATTCTACCGCGTCCACAACCTCTGTTCAATACGCTAAAACCGATATGACGATCAATTCATCGCATTTGAATCCTCTTTTTGGAAGGCAATTTGATGAGAGGTCGGTGGAAACAAACGATGAGACTGGCTACGAAAGTGGGGATTCTGAAGGTAAGAGAAGGCTTAAATTAAAAAAGAAGCTTTCTTTTCTTCGATAAAGCAAAACATTTAGGCTTTAATAGCTCAAAAACTGTATAAAATTTGATTTTTATCCAGTCATCATCCCCAAGTCCCAAGTATAATATAATTCTTAAAATTTCTTTCCAGTTTTCCGCTCCCGCCTCACTCCCGACCCCATCACCGAGCCCAAGAAGCGTCCGCCCACCTTCCGTCAGATCTACACCCCGCAAAAAGTGTCGATGCCCTCGAATTACCCCAAATCCAAGTCCGAGGAGCTCTATTCCACGCTCGAGTCGATCAGCGAGGACCCGCAAAGCGAGGAAAAAGGTAGTTCCAACCGGCTGGTGGTTCCGGTGCGCTCGCTTCGGTGGCTGAAGTTCATCTCCGGCTAATTAACAACTCGATTTATTCTTAATATTTTGATAAATTTCTAACATTTTCCACAATTACTTATTGTTTTTTGCGCCTAGAATTTGCATTTACAAGTGTATAATTTTAGTTGTAAATTTAGAGGTCAATTTATTAGAAAACTCGAATAGAAATAATGTAAAATACGGTGGTTCTTATTTTCTGTTTCTTAATTAAAAATTATTTAGCAAAGAATGTGTCTAATAAAGAGACAGGATGACGGGATCTGGCCGTATTTTACAAATGAAACAGTTCTTTTTCAATACTTCAAAAACCCCTGGAATTTTAACTGCCGCTTTCCAATTTTAGCCGCGATTTTTTGTGGTATTTATTGACAACAGAGTATAGAGAATAAGACAGTCAGAGAATTTTTTTGTTGACCAGAAACTTTCAAATTTACTTTTTTATTTTTTTGTCTTTTTTCATTGGCTTTGTTCCACGAAGTTAGATTAGTCGTATTTTACCCTGATTTACCTTGAAAATTTTTTGTCAAAAGATAAAACTTGTGCATTTTTCTGATCTAACAGGGGAAGATCAATATACTCCAAGTGCGACGCTCAAATTTTGATGAAACTTGGCACAAATTTAGAATAATTTTTTCTAAGATATATGCGAGAATCCTAGCTCGCGCTTTGCAGAAACAACCGAGATTTTTAGATTGAAAGTCGAACAAAATTTAGGACTTTTTGCCGAATATCGGCACAAAAAGTTTCATGCCTATTTCAACCGTAAAGGATAATGTTTCTACAAAAAATCAAATTTTTCCGCACGAAACTGCCAAAGTTATGGCCAAAAAGCGCTTTTCTCTCTGACCGTTCTCCACGTTTAGCGTGCTCTCTCGGCGGCAAAAATCGTTCGATATCTCGGCGGCGCCCACAAAGCGCGAGCTAAAACTTTCAGGAATTGATATTTAGTCTATTCCCGACATGTATGCAAAATTTAAAAAAAATCTGAGCGTCGCACTTGGAGTATTTCCCCTGTAAGAAGAGAATAAAACCTCCTACGAAATTGGATTAACCGTATTTTACCCTGATTTACCTTGAAAATTTTTTGTCAAAAGATAAAACTTGTGTATTTTTTTGATCTAAAAAGACAAGTCGTTTAGGTAGGGAACTCAGATTCAGTACATGTCAATCTATTTTCCGTTTGCGACGAAATGCCACATTGATTAAACCTCGGTGATGAAATATTTTCAACTACGCTGGATTGATGTGCAGTGAGACTTGGTAAGCAAACATTGCAAAAAAAATGTTTTCTTTTTTGATCAAAAAGTCCATACGGTTTTCCAGAAGCGTGAAATTTTGTAAAAACATCACGCTTCCTTTCCCTTTCCTAACATTTTCATCCATTAGCTTTGCGATCGCTCCGTAAAAATTAATTGTCACTCAAAAGCCAGTCAATCCTCTGTATGATGAACTCCATCCAATAAAACCTACCTGCCATACCGAACGGCTATCAGTGTGTCGGGAAAATAATGAGCACAATGTCGCTGAAGTGGAAAGCAATTTGATTTCTCCGCGCCACGATTTATTTTCTCGGCGGTGATGCGTTTTGCGATGCTACGGGGTGATCATTATTTCTCCGGCCGACTGACAAAACGCCTTAAAACATAATTTTAGGCTCAGTTCAACAAAACCTTTCTATAGCGATTACATTATTTTTTGGTTTGTTATGCAGAGGCTTGACTGCACTTTTCTTTTCTGTACTAATAAGCGTCAATAAACAATTCTACAGACAATACGAAACCCTATGGCCCTGAAAATCGATCCGCAACTCAAGTGATTAAATCGTTGACGTCATCCACAAATATACAACTTGCGATATCCACACAATGGCTGAAGCATAATTGGAGAACATCTTTTGTAATTTTCCCTCTGGCAATCTTATCCGCAATATTTTTCGAAGTTTATCTAAAAATGTTTGGCCAATAAAGCTATTCGTATTTTACAATGACAAAACAGGAATCGAGTTGACCATGACACTCAGTTTCCCAAAGATGGCAGCTCGGTTTTCTCCCATTATTACGTCAATGTAGCTGTCGTTACTCGTGTCCAAGACGGTGTTCAAAAAGTCCTTCAAATGGGTGATCCGTTTGTTTTGTTCGGTCAACTTCCAAGACATGTCAATACGGGCTTTCTGAAATTGAAAAGAAGTAAATGTAGAAGGTAAAAAAGGTAAGTGTCATCTTTGTTTGCGGGCATTTGAATTGAGACGTCGCTCACAATCAGACGAAATATAGGCCATTTTTTGCATACAGCTTTCCAGTAACTGTTGAAATTTTTTCATCAAAACTTTCGATTTTTTTGTAAATTCGGGTCAACACAAACCAAGAAAAAGGTCTTACAAATGTTTACAAGAGTTGTTAACGCCGCTTGAAGCATTGGAGACTCTCGGCGAAGACTTAGCGGAAGCTTGGCAAAGGCTTACAGCTTGAGATCTCCTTCAACTTTGGCTATTGCTAACCCTAATTTTCTTGACCCTAAGTTGTTGTAGCATAAGCTCGCTTCAAAAACAAAAACGCTTAGTCCTTACCGAGCTATTACCGACGTAATATAACACGTAAACACCTCAAAGTGGGTGATAATCTATCCTGGGGGGACTGTCAATCTCATGACTTCTAAATTAATAACTAGCAATTTTAATCCGGCGGGCCCACACTTGCGGGCAACCACTTTGCGGGCAGCTTGAAAAACCACGGAGATTCTGCGGACATCTTTTGAAATCAACCAAAATTTGTTTACAACAGGAAATTCTAACGATGAATTTGGCATTAGATGGTGCGGATTAAGCTTCCGGGTGTATAAGTGGCTTGAATAGTTACCAAAAGCTTATCCATGTATTTTTTACCGTTTTTTGAAAACAAACTCGTGTAACTTTGAAAGCAGTGAATGAATTTAATAGATTTCTGGATTTATCTGTACCAGAGAGTTGTCAATGTAAAATTTAAATCGCACTATGTAGATTACGGGAGGGAAATCGTAATTCGAAGCAAAAAATGTCGGCTGCCCGCAAAGGGGTTGCCCGCAAGTGTCGCGACGCCTTTAATACTTCTCCTAGCCTCCCTAATGAACAAAACGACAAATCGAGGCAACCCACAGTATCTTCTACCCGGACTGTCGTCGGGCCGAAAAGTCATAGTACCTACGTCAAAGACCTCCCCTGTAAGATTTTGCTTGGAACCGCAAGCAAACCTTCAGGGATTTATATTTGAATAGCTTATGCCAAAGCTGAAAGCCTAGTTATGAAATACTATTAAAAAACTCCATAATCCTTACCGTTTCATTTTCCAATTGATCCTTCATCTTCTTATAATCCACGTCCATCTGATCCGCCTTGATTTTTAACTCATCCAACTGAAAATAAGAGCAAACTCATCTTGAATTTCATCAACAACACGCTAATTAGTCATCAAACTTACTTCCTTATTCATCTTCATGATCTTCTCCTCATTTTCTTGAGCATCTCGTAATCTGAGATCCTCGCAATCTGCCAGTCTTTTCTCCGTTTGCTTCAACTTTTTCTCCGCTTCATCGTTAAAGTTTTGTAATATTTTGTCAACTCTTTTCTTCTCCATTTCGCTCTTCTTGGCCTCCTCTCTCATTATCTCAACTTCGGCTTCGGCTTTTCGTTTACTGCTCAGTAAACTGTCCCTTTCTCGTAGCGCCTTGTGCAGGTCGGCTTTGGCTTTTTTAACCAGCTGAAAGGAGGTTCGTATGTTGTGAGGTATTTTATTATACAAACGATTTTGTAGGTATGGGCTCCAAAAAAAGATATCCAAAAAACCCCAAAATTTGGTGCTGGCGGTAAAATTGAAATTTTAAGCGGGTAAATTGGTCAAATTTCAAATTGCCGGTCAGATAAGATAGGTTGATTAAGTTTGAAGCTGTCCCGTGAAATTCATTTTTCCAGGGTTAAGCCACAATTTGACGGGCCATATTCCCAAAATGGCCGGTCAAATTGGGCAAATTGCAATTTGACAGGTCAGATTTGGACAGATTGGGAAAGTTTAAAGTTGACCCGTCAAATTCATGTTTTCTCAAATAAACCACAATTTGACAGGTCATATGACCAAAAATTGGACAGATTGGGCAAATTGGGCAGATTGGGCAAATTATAATTTGCCCAGATAACGTCCAATAACCAAAATTTTTCGGTACTTACATGTTGATTGGCCTCCATATGTGCCATATTTTGAATGCGCATTTCCTTTTTCACTTTGATGATTTCTTCTTCGAACTCTTTTTCCAGCTCCTTTCGGACTCTGAAAATTTTTAAAATTGCAAAAAAATTAAAATTCAAAAAATTTTTTTCATGACATTGAGACCTCAGCACTCACTTTTCCGTGGTAATAATGATCAGCTCCCTCTCCTTGAGCTCCCTTTTTCCGATTTTTTCGTTTTTTTCCTCCAATTCCTTCTTCAAATCCTCAATTGTTTGCCGCATTTCCTTCAACTCCAAGTCCATTTGCTCCAAATTGCTGAGCTGGGTTTTCATCAACAAATTCTCAGAGTTCAATCGGTCCACTGCCAGTTTTAGTTCCTCCATTTCTTGCTGCGCTTTGAGTCTTTCTTTGACGATTTTTTCTTCGAAAAGTTTCTCGTTTTTGCCAATCGTCTCGTCGAGACGTTCAATCTGAATGTGAAATTGGGTTTTTGGGTAAAATACGACGAAAAAATTTTATTTTTAAAATGAAAAATTTCGAAAAAATTGAGTTTTTGAAATGAAAAAACATACTTTTTTGATTTTAATTTGACGAATTTGCGATAATTTTTCAATTTTTTTGGGTTGAATTTTTGAAAAAAAAAACATTTTCTCTTTTTTTAAGTCCGGAAAATATCAATTTTTTGTAATCGCAGAAGCTCCATTTTAAAATACGATATTGCCGATTTGGTGTATCTTTACGTGATCATGTAATTTTTGTTAAACTCTTACCCCAAATTTTTTTTTTCAACTTTCAAAAACTTGCCTGTTCATCCTGTTTTTCGATCGTCCGTTTGCAATAAATGAGGACATCTTTGAAGGAATGGGTGTTGTTAGCCAACTTCTGGTCTAATTGATTCTTTTGTTTGACCAATTCAACGAGAGCCAACTAAAATTGACAAAAAGGCTTCTTATTTTGTCAACAAAGCCATAAGCACATTACTTTGTCTACACTCAAAAAATGGAAAAAATTCGTCAAAGGTTCTGAAATCCACAAATTTTTGAAGACCAAGAAATTATCAAAGGCTCAAAGTTATTGCGTCCAAAAAAGTATCCCAAATACCGCCAAATACTCTGACTCCAAAAATACGTTAGTGTCGCTTTGCGGAGAGAGCAAAAATTTCCGTTTTTGGAGCCATTTGGCGGTATACGGATTGCTTCCACGATGCAATGGAAGCGCTCTTTATTAGGGAGTCCCCATGCAAAGTAAGGAGAGGTCAGTGTTATAACCAGAGATTTCCACGGTCAAAATTTCGGCTCCGGCTCCAGCTCTTAGCTTCCAGAGCCGGAGCCGAGGCCAAATTTGCAGCTCCGGCTCCGGCTCTTGGCTCCGTGCAAAATTTAAAAAGGCCTCCGGCTCCGATTCCCGGCTCCTATGCAAAATGTTTTTTTTTTTTTAATATTTTTCCTAAAATAAAAGTTATTAGTGATCATAAGATTATACAGCCAACGTTTTTGCAGTCAAGTCACATCCTCCGCAGTGTTTTTTCAAGCAATTTGGTTTAACAAGATCACGAAATTTTTACTTTTCTGACCGCTGGGAAGCCTGGCTCCGACTTTGGGCTCGGGAGCCGTGGCAATCTCTGGTTATAACAAGGCGTTAAAATACTCCGATCCCTCCTTCTAACCAGAGATTGCCACAGCTCCGGAGCCGGAGACCTTTTTAAAATTTGCACGGAGCCGGGAGCCGGAGCCCACATTTTGACCGTGGCAATCTCTGCCTCTAACCTAGCTTTTTTCTTAAAACCTGCCCCAGGAAATTCTGTTGAAAGAAGAAAAAAATTTCCCTCACCTGTAAAGTGGCGGACTCATTGTCATGTGAATGCCGTTTATCGAAGCGAATCGACCTCACTGATCTCCCAGAAATCGACGGACTTTTGTTTTTGGCCGTGGACAAAAGGTGTGGGAAAGGTAGTGGCAGATTTAGTTGAGGCAATTGGGGCGTCTTCGGATCACTGCCACCCTTCTTTAACGTTGGCTTCGGGGTTAGTCTTGACATTAAAATTTAGGTATAAAAATAAATGTTCAGGAGAGAAAAGGTCAAGAGAATAGGGCTCACGGATTTATATGTGCTTTCAATTTGCATGGTCCACCGAATCTAAAAGTTTCGACCGGGAATTTAGAAATGTCGAGAGGACAATTCGAAGGCAAAAAAAAGGCCCAATGGGAGAAAAAGGACGTTGCAAAATTTGTGTTTTTTGTTTCAGCTGTACAGGTAGAATCTTACCGGCATGGTACTTCAATTATAAACAAAAAATAAAATGAAATACTATGACATTTTTTAGAATATTTTAATTGTCTTTGTAATCGCAGATATTCAACAATCTTGCCACTGAATTATAATATAATGAACATGTCATGATGGCACATTTATTTTTCCGAGTTATGCCAACAATGATGTCTACTCATCGCAGATGGACTCTTAAATGTTTAGCTCACTCTATTCAAGTCTTGCGGAGATATTCAACGATCTTTGCAACGACTGTGAAAAATGAAGAGAGTCGGTCAGAGAAACAGTGTTTTTTGGCCATATCCTTGCCAGTATTGACAAGGAAAAATTTTGTTTTTGCAGAGACATTTTTTCTTCACAGTTGGTCCCCGAGTCTTACAATTAGTTGAAACATCGGAAATATAAATCTAAGGAATGGTAATTTTACTCTATGCCAAATTTCATCGAGTTACGGATACTTTTTTGCATTGAAAATGAATGCCTTTACAAAACATTTCTTACCATCTAACAATTGCATTTTATTTGTGACACATTACATTCCAAAAATATTGTCCAAACATTTTGAGGTGTACTGTATTCACATTCAATTTTTATTTCCCCCTCTCTTCTCCATCCGCTCTTCCCGCTTGTCGAATTCTATTGGAAGTCTCGTTCGGGGGATTGGGGAAGCGATTATTCGGTTTTTGGATATGTTAAAAATTGCGTCGAATTATTCCCCCGAGGCCGTGAAATATCGCTGCCCGCAAGATGTAAAACATTTCCCCGTTTTGGCCACTGATTGGTCCAAATAAACAAAGATTCGGGGAAGGGATAATAATTTGAGCGCCGGCCTCCGGGGACCCCTTCGGAATGGGATTTTTGTTGGGAAAGAATGTAAAAAAGCGCCTCAAATTGTTTAAAAATGGAAGCGATTACGGTAGGATTTTAGGTGGGGAAAGAATGTGTTGCGATTTGTGATTGTTGAGGAATTTTTTTTGAAAAAAGTTTATGAGCTAAGAAATTTCATGAAATAAAATTTTTACCAAATTTCGAAAAAAAAAATTTTTTTAATTTTTTTGAAATTTTTTGAATTTAAAACTTCTATATCTCAAAGATCGTCTCAAATAAACTCCTCAAACACTCAGAAAAGCCTGCAAAAATTATTGACTTGATATATGCCAGATTTCATCAAATTTGAAAATTTTGCCTCGGGCAATTTTCCGTTTGAGCGGCAGAAATGCTTGGATTTTGATGTAGTTGTTGCAAATTACGACTAGTAATTTGCAACATTATATAAATTGCATCCGAGATTTTTTTTTTAAATCAATGGATTGCAGAAGTGGTCGATTTTTTGGTCAAAAAGTTCAAAGATTTCTTGGCAATATAAACCCTCCAATATTTTGTTTCCAATATCGAATATCCGTCCCGAAAATCTTTGGGGAACTGCCGTTTTGGATTAGCATTCGAAAACGCTAATAGCTGCTAAACGATGGCCCCGCGGGGGATTCCGTATTTACATATCCCCGCGATTTTGGCGCAAATCCCATGAACATGTCATGAAGCGATGTCTGGTGCGTCGGAGATGCCATAATATATAAATTCATGAGGATGAAAAAGAGGGAACTGTAACATTACATCGTTTTTTGTTCATATTGGCATTTTCGGTAGCAAAAATAACATAAAAACCAAAAAAAAATTTATAAAATTTTCGTTAAAAAAATAGGTTTTTTAACTCACAAATTTTTTACATTTTTTAAATTTTTTTGCCAAAATTTCCCCCCCAAAAAATAATCATTTTTATACAGTAATCTTTTTCAAATTCCCATCTCCATACCGACCAATTTCACGGCCAAAACAACCGCCAAATATGGGCTGTTTTTCAACACTAACCAAATTAATATAAACCCCCAACGATTTAATTTCGCCCACAGAAAATAACAATTAATTTCCGCGCAGAAATTAATTGATTCCCCGCCGAAAAAGGAATCTCCTTCCCTTCGCCGCGTTTTTTGGGCCACCTTCCGCGAAAATATGTGGCCCGGAAATTGACTTTGGGCCGGAAATTTGCTCCCAATCTGTCGGCACAGACAGATCACATCGAATATGGGAGGTTGAATGTTGGGAAATAGTTAATTACTTTGGATTGTACATAATGTAGCAAAGCAAAAAAAAAATGAATTTTTGAAATCTTAAATTTTTTAAAATGATGGAAAATTACAAAAAAAAATAAAATTTAAAGTACAATTTTGGTCTGGCCTTATAAAAAATGAAAATTAAAATTTGCCCAAAAACGAAATTTTTGGAATTTAAAAAAGTCGAAAATCAAAAAAAAATGTTTTTTTAGTTTCAAACCTTGAAATTACTAGTCTGTTTTTGCATGATGAGTGTACCATCATCACAAAAAAATTATTTTTTTAAACGCGAAATTCTTAAAGCTATAGCCAAAAAAACTTTTTTTTCTTTGTCCGTTCTCCTCATTTTGCGTACTCTCTCGTCTGCAGAGATCTTATTTTCAGCTAACAGGGGAAGTACTCCAAGTGCGACGCTCAGGTTTTGATGAAACTTGGCACAAATTTAAAATTATTTTTTCTAAAATATATGCGAAAATCCTAGCTCGCGCTTTGCAGAAACAACCGAGATTTTTAGATCAAAAGTCGGCCAAAATTAAGGACATTTTGCCGTATTTCGGCACGAAAAGTTTCATGCCTATTTCTACCCTAGAGGGTAATGTTTCCACAAAAAATCAAATTTTTCCGCACGAAACTGCCAAAGTTATGGCCAAAAAGCGCTTTTCTCTCTGACCGCTCTCCACGTTTAACGTGCTCTCTCGGTGGCAAAAATCGTTCGATATCTCGGCGGCGCCTGCAAAGCGCGAGCTAAAACTTTCAGGAATTGATATTTAGTCCATACCCGACGTGTGTGCAAAATTTAAAGAAAATCTGAGCGTCGCACTTGGAGTACTTCCCCTGTGAGCGGAAAATTCATTTTTTTCCTACATCCTTTCAAATTTTTTTAAAGACTTGGAATTAAATATTTTTTCGGTTATCTTTACCCTCCAAGTTGTATAGTTTGTTTCCAATCCGAGGCCTCAAAGAGGTCATGCTTCCTTGTGAGAGATAAGTGATCAGGTAAACACCAAAAACTAAGTTCGCTCGGTTCGGTTTTCGAAAAGGTCACATTCTTTTCTTTTTTTCGGCAGTTGTTTTTTTACGAGTCAAAAATGTTGCTTTTTGGCGCGACAGACGTTTTCGGAGAAGTTCCGAAATGACAAAAAAATTTGAAAAAAGGGTCTTTTTATTTTCAAAAAAGTTTTAAAAATTCCCGAATCAAATTTAATAAAGTTTATTATTATCAAAAAGGAATAAAAATAACCCGTAAAAAGAAAAAAGTAGACGGAATATCGGAATAATGTAGCACCATGCATCACTGGTTTAGAGATCGGGCAATGTTAAAATAAAATAAAAAAATAATCAAAAATCGTTTTCAGAATTAGTTCAGATATTGTCTTGGACATCTATTTTTCAATGAAAAAATGAAGGAAATTTTTTAGAGGATCAAAATTTCAACAAAAATTTTGAAATTTTTTGAAGTTTATCGTCGTATATTTTGATGACTACTGAAAATTTTGAGCTAGCAATTTTTTAGAGACGTCATACAAGCATAAGGTTCATTTTACCTAAATTTTATGAAAATCGAAAAACTTTCATTTTTGGGATTTTTCGAAATTAAAACCCTTATATCTTGGCCAATTTTGAAGATTTTCGTCCAAAATTTCCCAAGGTTTTCTAGAAAACTTTGGCTTCAATTTCTGCCAAGTTTCATCAAAATCCAAGAAAATGCCCTGAGGCTATTTTTTGACCAAAATCAGTCGTTATTTTGCATCAATGTCCAAAAAATAGAGGCTAACTCCAAAAAAATTTGAAAATACAAAAAAAAAATTATAAAGTTATAAGTAGTACTACTGCTTAAGCACTCCAAATTGCATTTCAGACAGTGTTTTCCTCAAATTTAAAGGTCGCTCCAGTCGGTTGACTCATTTGAAACAACGGCAGCAAAAATGGCGACACACTTTTGCAGGCCTGAACCCGCGGATATTTGGCGTTCGGCCGTCTTCCTCGAGGCACTTTAGAGGCCGCTAAGATACTCTCCACACTGAATGAGCCTTTATTTGTGCTTTGTGGATCCGTCGAAGCCGATTGGTGATCTCGTTTGGCTGCAGTCGACTCTCCTCGAACCGAACGCTCTCTTTTTCTCCATTTGGCGCGACGATTTTGAAACCAGACCTGAAAAAATGGTGGTTCTGAGAGGTGAAGTAGCCATGGAATTTTTATAATTTTTAACAATTTTTTGAGGAAAAGATTTAACAAAAGTGTAAATCGCGTATTTTAACCCAAAAGTTGAAGAAATTTAGCTGTTTCTTTTCGATTTTCAAAATGAAAAATGGCGACTTATGTAGTAGAAAGATGAGACATGTGTAGTAGAACAAAAAAATCTGTTTCTCGCACATATAAAGTCCATAAGTCCATATCATGGCCAAAAAACGACTTTTTCTATATCCGCCTCCCCATTTTCCACAGTCTCTCATAAAAGGATTGTTATATCTCGGCTGAAATTGAAAATCGTATGCTAAAAATTCCGGAAAATAATTTGAGGCCTATAAAAATCATTTTGAAAAAAAAAATTAAAAATAAATATGTCATCATGACATATTTTTTGTAACTTCCTCAAAAAACGTTTTTTTCATTGAAAATTTTTTTTCTTCAAAAAAATCGTTGTGTAATTGCCTCGAAATTTCTCTTTGTCCCTCAAAAAACCACTAAAATATTTTCCAAAACTTTCCGTTCATCCATAATTTGCCTAACAAAGCCCCAAAAAATTAGCCAAAGTTTTTAAAATTCGAAATGGATCCGGACAAAAAAGTTTTGGCGCGCGATGAATAAAGGAGACCCGGACAAAGTAGCCAGCATTCCAATTGTTTTTTGAGTGAGGATTTAATTTTTTTGAGGAAAATGGGATTTTTTGGATGAAAAAACAGCATTTTCGCAACTTTTTTGAAAAAATATTTCTTGGAAATGGTGATATACTCACAGGGGAAGTACTCCAAGTGCGACGCTCAGATTTTCTCAAAATTTTGCGCACGCGTCGGACATGGACTAAATATCAATTCCTGAAAGTTTTAGCTCGCACTTTGCGGGCGCCGCCGAGATATTGAACGATTTTTGCCGCCGAGAGAGTACGCTAAACGTGGAGAGCGGTCAGAGAAAAGAGCGCTTTTTGGCCATAACTTTGGTAGTTTCGAGCGGAAAATTTTTATTTTTTGTAGAAACATTATCCTTTATGGTAGAAATAAGCATGCAACTTTTCATGCCGAAATTTAGCAAAAAGTCCTAAATTTTAACCGACTTTCGATCTAAAAATCTCGATTGTTTCTGCAAAGCGCGAGCTAGGATTCTCGCATATACTTTAGAAAAAATTATTCTAAATTTGTGCCAAGTTTCATCAAAATCTGAGCGTCGCACTTGGAGTACTTCCCCTGTCAGTATAAAAATATCTTTTATTGCTCATAATAATACTTGGTTTTGCATTTGATGTCATGATGACCGATTTTTTAATTTTTTATGAGATTTTTTGAAAAATTCTGTTTTTACCCACACAGGGAGCTCAAAATCACTTATAAAAACTTTTATTTACTTATAAAAACTTCAAGTTTTTATAAGTAAATAAAAGTTCTTTTCGAATCACTTATAGGTAATATTTCTTTTCGCCGTATTGGGAAAGTGCAATATAAAAAGTGGTCAAAGAAAGTTGGTAAAGATTTTTGACAATCCCTGGGTGATTCTTGTCATTTCCAAAGTAATGATGACATATTTTTTGAAAAAAAAATCTCAAAAAAAATCTTTTTAAATTTAAAAAAAATGTAAAATCAAATCGTCAAATGTGAGTATAACTAAACTTACTTGAACCCTGCTTTCCAGCAAATCCAAGCGCATAGCCAGAGCCTCTCTCATAAAAACGTCGGGATAATGGCTGGCTTCGAACGCATTTTCCAATTCCTCAAGTTGCCAAGCCGTAAAGTTGGTCCTAGTTCGACGCCGTTTACTTGCCAGGCTCTCGGCACATCCGTCGTGGGCTGGAAATGAAAATTTTTAGATTATTTTAGTTATTAACGTTTGGAAATTTGAAAATTTAGATTTATTTATTTTTTTTTTATTTTTTTTAAATATTTTAAAAAAATGTAATTGTAAACTATTACAATTACAACGATAAAAAATCAAAAAAAAAAATTTTTTTTTTTTTTGATCTTATCGTCAAAAAATTATATTACACTTACTTGAAGCGCTATTATTACTCTTCGGAAGTGCTGGGTACTCCAGAATCTCAGTCTCTGAAGAATTTGACGATGTGGACCAGGCCGAGTTCTCAGCAATAACACTGCTGTTCATCTGATTGAAGGAAGGCTGGGGTTGGAAAAAGGAAGAATTCGATAAATTCATCGAATTCTCTAATGCCCCCTTGGCCAGAACTTGCCAAAATGTCTCCATTCTCCTGAAAATTACTGTTAATTTTATTTAATTTGACCAAAAAAACTGTAAAATACGAAACGAAATTTTTTTTATAATCCAAAAAATTTCATGAAAAATAACGATTTTTTTGCAAAAAATTATGGTAAAATACGAAATTTGAATTGATAGGGGTGATAAAAATGTAGCACGACATTTTTGACTAAAATTTTGCGTCAAAAAATTGTCAAATTTCACAAATTTCGGATTTTTTTTTTGGCAAAAGAAAGAATTTTCAATGTTTTTTAACCCGCAAAAATCAATGTCAAAAACATTTTTGAGAGTTTAGAGACTGTATATTTCATCCGTTGTCACAATTTCAAAAAAAAAAAATTCGGAGTTTTGAAAAAAATTGAATTGAGATTTTTTTGTTTTTTCAAATTTTCTGGCCTCAAAATGGTTCAAAGACAAGATTTTTAGTTCAAAGTTATACCCAAATTTTTTTTCAAACGCTTTTGCAATCTCCAAGCTCACTAAAGATTTCAAAAAAAAAGTAAAATTTTCCAATTTTCCCCCAAAAAATCTCAAAAATCCTGAAAAAAAAATAAAAATCAAATTCAAACCCTCCTTTTTAATCCCCAAAATTCCTAAAAATCTTTTTTTCGGAGCTCTATTCTTGCGTATTTTACCAAAATCATCTGCATCTACCGTAACCCCGGAAAATAAAAGCTCCCCAAAAATTTATTGCCAATCCTCCGCCCGCAAAAAACAATCTTCCGAGCGCAAAGTTGCAAGGCCCATGCCGATCCGCCTCTTCCGAATTTTGATGCGCTTCCCAAAAAACCGGGCTTCTTCCTTCCTTTCCGCGGGCCACAACGGAAGGGGGCGGAGCCTATAATAAGATTAGAACCGGAGGGAAGGAAATTCTTTGATTGGATGGTTTTTCAGTTTATCTTGTGTTTATAAAGAAGTGGTAATAAATCAGCAAAGTAATTCACAATTTTAGTCGAATTATAAAGGAGATTGATGATGTTATTGTGGATGAATCAAAGTTTTTTGGAGGAAAATGTTTAAAAATCAAAAAATGCCAAAAAGATTTAATTCTGAGTGGACTGCTATTGCATGAAGAGTTTGAAAAATTGAGGTAAAATACGCCAAAGGTTAGATTGATGTTTAAAAAGATGTTTAAAACTTTATCCTTTACGGTAGAAATAGGCATGAAACTTTTCTTTCCGAAATTCGGCAAAAAGTCCTAAATTTTGGCCGACTTTCGATTTAAAAATCTCGGTTGTTTCTGCAACCAGGATTCTCGCATATATCTTAGAAAAAATTATTCTAAATTTGTGCCAAGTTTCAAAAAAATCTGAGATTCGCACTTGGAGTACTTCCCCTGTGAGTGGACTGTTCTTGTATTACAAGTTTGAAAAGTTGAGGTAAAATACGTTGAAAATCGGACAGACGTAAAAAAATAAAAAATTGTTTTTTTCAAGAGGAAATTGATCAAAGTGTGACACTCAGATCTTAGTGAAACCTGACACAAAATTCGATGTATAATAGTTGGGACGTATTCGACATTCCAAGCAAACATTTTCCAGAAATCACCAAGTTTTTTAGCCCGAGAGTTCGCCAAAATTTTATATTTTTTCCGGCTTATCCTTGATAATTTTAGCCATGTTTCTACCGAAGACAGCAGTGAATATCTCCTCTGTTATTTTCCTCTCGGATATACTCGCTCGAGGCTTAGCGAAGCTGTGATTTACAAGACAAGATTCCTAACTTTGAAGCAGTAGTTTCTCTCTGACCGCTCTCCGCATTTCGTGCGCTCTCTCGCCGACAAAGAGCGTGGAATATCTCGGCTCTCCCTGCAAGGCGCGAGCTAAAATTTTTAGAAATTAGTATGTGAGCTTGACTTAACCTGTGTGCAAAATTGAAAGGAAATCTGAGCGTCACAGCTGAGACTTTCTTTGCAAATTTCATCCAAATTTTAGCGTTCTTTTTTCTCAGCTGACCCTGCAAAGCGAGAGCTAAGATTTCTAGAGATTGATTTGTATCCTGTGTGCCATGCTTGAGAAAAATTTGAAGCCAATATGAATGCCGCGCTTTGAACACTTGCATTAATTTTTTAGAAAACTTTCAATTTCAACCCTAATTTTTGAACCAACCCGACTGTAAAGAGGTTAATTTTCCATTAACCTTTTATGCAAGTTCGTTCGAAATGCCGACATTCGAACTGTGCCGTAATTGTTTCGCGCCGATCTTGATCTCAGAGACCCCCAAAAAATTTGAAAGGCCAGACGGGTTTTCTCCGCAAAAAAGTTTCATCGACGGAATGCCCGAAAACAGAGATGAAACCCGTTGATGGCGGCAAAAAACCGGACTTTTTCTCGACCGTCCGAGGTTATGAACCGAAGAATGGCAACGGTGCGGTTTTTTTTGGAATTTGAATTGGACCATGGGGTACTGTAATTTTGAGAATTCAAATAAAGTGAAAAAAAAATAAAGACACTGCATTAAAATCAATCGTATTTTACAAACCAAAGATTTTAACACAAAATGAGTCATCCTGACGGGATTTTTTTTGAAAAAATTCAAAAAATTCAAATTTTCAAATTGAAAAAATTAATTCTAAAAAATTCGTCATAATGACAATTTTTTTTACAACATAAAAAAATCCGTCATGATGACATATTTTTTCGAATTTTTGTGTTAAAAAATTTGAATATTCAAATAAAAAATATATAAAATATAATTTTTTATCCCAAAAAATCGTTTAAAAATCAGTCATAATGACGTATTTTTTGACAATATCAAAAAATCCGTCATAATGACATATTTTTTCTTAATTTTTTTAGTTTCAAAAATTTGAATATTCAAATAAAAAAATATAATTTTTTAACCCAAAAAATCGTCTTAAAAATTCGTCATAATGACATATTTTTTGGCAACTTTCAAAAGTCAGATTTGAAAATTGACCGGTCAAAAAATTGCGTTACTATTTTGAGTTGCCGACGTGCAAACTTTTTACCTTGTTTTCTTTCCTCCGACGAAAAAAAATACATTTGTCTTGTCAGTCGCTTTCGGAGAAGTCGTTGAGGTCGATAGCGATCTGAGGATACATTTTTGTAATTTAATGATGACATGAGAAGAATCGGGGTTTTGTACGGGCCGAACTGGAAGTGCAGCAACTTTTGAATCAAAAGAGTTTCTTTTTGTCCGGCCGCGAAAACAAAGCCGGCCAAATTACAAGCAGGAAAATGATTTTCAGCAAGTTTGTAGAATGTCATCATATTTTCCAATCGACTTATTGCCAGAGATTGCCACGGTCAAAATTTCGGCTCCGGCTCCGGCACTTACAATTAGCTCCCAGAGCCGGAGCCGAGGCCAAATTTGCAGCTCCGGCTCCGGCTCATGAAAAACTTAAAAAGGTCTGCGGCTCCGGCTCCCGGCTCCCGTGCAAAAAAGTTTTTTAAAATATTTTTTCAAAGATAAACGTTATTAGTGCCAGAGATCATACAACCAACGTTTTTGCAATCAAGTTGTATGCAACGCATCCTTCCCAGTATTTTTCAAGCAATTTGGTTTAACAAGATCATGAAAATTTTACTTTTCTGAACGCTGAGAAGCCTGGCCGCTCCGGAGTCCGGAGCTGTGGCAATCTCTGCTTATCGCTACAGTGGATAAAAAAAATGTTTTTTTTTGGAATTTTATTTTCTACACCGTAAAAAGCACGGATAAAAGTAGCTGCTTTGTAGGCGTAAAGAAGACAATATTTCCATAAAAAATCTGTTTTTTCCGTTCTGAAGACAACGGTTTTTGGACAACAACCATTTTTTTGTCTGACCGACTCTCTTCGTGTCGGGTGCTCTCTCGCCGAGAAGACTCCCTCATAAAGGAAGTTATGACGTGGGGAAAAAAGTTGGCTGAAGGCTGTGTCAAATTTAGAACATCATTTTCTAAGAATTCTGAAAAATTATCCAGCTCGCGCTTTCCCGAAAACACCGAGATTTATTGCTCAAAATTTGCCCAAAAAAATTTTTGCGATTTTTTTGGCTTTCAAATTTCAGCCTGAATTACTATTGTGGCAAACAAATTTTCAACAAAAAATTAGATTTTTCCAAGCAGAAAAACAAATTATACCCTACAAAAAGTTATACGCTGTTTCTCGTCTGGACGACTCTCCTCATTCTAGGCGCTCTCTTAAAAAGAAGATTGTTGAATATTTCGGCCACTGAAGGGAAGTGCAACCTGACGTTCAAAAACTGACACAGTGTGGGACCTGATCCAGTGGCAAAAGACGTACCATTTTGCATCCGGGAAGTATCAAAAATGTGGCAAAATGCTTCCCTCTCCAAGTAAAAAAGCTCCGATTTGAAAGCGCGGACGGTCTTTTTGTGAGGGAAAGGGCGCGCCCTTCAAAACGATGTTTTTTCACTTGGAGTGAGAGGCATTTTGCCACATTTTTTATGCTTCCCGGATTGAAGATAGTACGTTTTTTGCCACTGGATCAGGTCCCCCACTGTACGTGGCTGGCTCTGACAAGGGAAGTCACTTTTTTCGCAGATCGATCCATACTGATGACCTAGTGGACAGTAAAGGCCTCAGGCTGTGTAAGAAGAATCTGGCGTCCAAAAGTGTTTACGGGCCCTGAGAGCAGAGTTATGGCTCATCAAAGTTCGCGCAAAAAAGGTTCCGAAAAGACCCTCCAAAAAACGGGATCGGAGAAGTTCTTACACAGCCTGAGGCCTTCACAGTCCACTAGATCACCAGTATGGATCGATCTGCGAAAAAAGTGACTTCCCTTATGAGTGCACAAGAAAAGCTTTGAGAAAATATGGGTACCTAACCTCATTCAGCAGAAAACTGGCCCATGTTCAGCGAAAAATACGACCTCGGAATTTTATGGATTGATTTCTGATTTATTTAGAGTACGGACTCAATCTAGCCGCCAGAAAAGTATCAGAAGCCTGCGAACACCGACCCGAAACGATAATATCACGCTCGGACTATGTTATTCTTTCCATGATGATTAATTGAGATGGCATTCCGAATGCAGCGACAAAAGGTCGCGTCCACTTTCAGTTTTCGTGAGCAGAAAAAGTAGCGAGGAAAAGTTGGTAATGACATTTATTGATTGAATTGTTTTCACCGGCCGGCTTTGAATTTTGAACTGTGGAGAAAACTGGTTTTACAGTAGGGGACGCGCGGAAAATAGTCGTATTTTATGTCTATTATAACGACAGACTGGTTTGTTTAAAATTCGGTCATTTCGGAGAACTTTTTTTTAAAGAAAAAACTTTTGTGTCGCCTCTAGTATACAATATATTGAAATATCCCAAATTTTATAAAATTTTGTAAAATATCAATTTACAATACTGTAAGAATATCCTGAAAATTTTGGCTCGCGTTATGCAGAAACAACAGAATTATAAGCGTTCAAAATTCAAAAAATTTCGTTTTGAAAATTTTTATACAACAAGAAAAAATTAATTTTTTAAATTTAAAAAATGCGTCGTGATGACATATTTTTTCAAAAAAATTTGTTTTTCATTTGTTGCCCCAAAATGGTAATAAATTTTAATTCCCGGCCCACTAATTAGATTAAACGCAGTCTATTTTAAATGCCCATATTAATTATTTTCAGGCTTTTCGTATCGCTGAGTATGTCACTTCAAATTTCAATCAACTTGGAATAAGTATTTACTTTCGACCACTCAAAATAAGGCCTTATTATTTTTTGAAAACCTAAAAAAGCTAACTAATAGGGGAACGCATCGTATTTTAAAAGTGCTTATCAAAAATGAAAAATTTTTAAAAAATGTGAAAAATTAATTTTTTGAGATTGACAGAGCTTACTTATGGCAGACTTACGAGGGCTCTCGTTCAAATCGCAAAGCCATTTAACCCTTGTTCCAAGAATCTTTCGGAGGGAACAGTGAGGGACCTGATCCAGTGGCAAAAAACGTACCATTTTGCATCCGGAAAGCATCAAAAATGTGGCAAAATCCTTCCCTCTCCAAGTGGAAAAACTTCGGTTTGAAGGGCGCGCACGGCAACCTGACATAGAAGAAAAATGTTTCCCGCCCACTTTTGAGTTCCGTCCAAACGAAGTGTCAAAATTGACAAAAGAAATAAAATAATTCCGAGAAAAATATTTTTCGGCCGGAAAATCTCACGAAAAATTCTTTTGCGACATTTTTTAATTTCAACCGATACAAAATGGGCGAAGTGTCGAAAGGAGCCAGAAACACTTCGGGTTGCCGTGGCGCGCCATTTCCCTCACAAAAAGAGCTTTTGAAATTGGAGTTTTTTCACTTGGAGAGGGAAGCATTTTGCCACATTCTTGATACTTTCCGGATGCAAATTGGTACGTTTTTTGCCATTGGATCAGGTCCCCCACTATATCTAGCGGCTTCTCCGGTCAAACTTTGTGGTCGATTTTCTCGAAAAAAGGGCACGGACACCAAAATTATCGTTTCTCTTACGGTTCTCAAATATGGAGATTCAAAATATACCGGTCTCAGAGCTCAACTCATTTGCGATTTGAACGCCTTCTCTCGTTAAGCCCCAAATAACTTATTTCCTGAATTAAGGCTTTGCAGAAGCAGCCGAGATTTTCTGCAATCTCCACTGACCAAAAAGTAATGAAAGCGGTCAGAGAAGAAACGTTTTGGCCAAAAAAGATCATCAAAACTGGAAAGATTTTTTGGTTGTTTGTTCATCAAAAGTTTCGGCCTTTTTTCTATCTAATGTAACAACGCTTCAACCAAAAATCTATTTTTTCCACCTAGACTTGGAAGAGGTATGGCTAAAATGAGTTTTCTCTCTGACCGCCCTCCGCATTTCGCGCATTCTCTCGCCTACAAGGAGCGTTGAATATCTCGTCTCTCCATGCCAAATGAGAGCTGAAATTTTCAGCAATTAGTCTGTGAGCTAGGCTTAGCCTAGGGGCAAAATTGAAGGGAAATCGGAGCCTCGCAATCCGGACTTCCTCTATATAAATTGCACACAATATCATCAAAATTTTCCCGTTCTGTTTTGACCACTTCCCCTGCAAGTACAAAGTGTATCAAAAATGTTTGCAACAAACAGTTGATGCGCATCATTTCTGATCGCACTCATCAATTTTGATCCGTTAATTAAAAAATTAATTGAAGTTTTGTTTACACTTTCAATCATATGCTCGACGCAAATAAATTCCCTGCAAGGTGATTTTACAACGGAAATTTTCACTATGAAAAAGTTGTTACAGGAGTTGAGGATGATATTACATCATTCAAATAATTTTTTGCAAAAAAAAAATTTATTTTATTTAAAAAATAAGAAAAATCGCTGAAAATCCGAAAAATATTGAAAATTGATGAAATTTGTCGCTACTATTTGGTAAATAGTAAGCTCTGCCATCATAATTATTGCAAAGATCTGTTTGACAGCATCTGGTACACTCCGTGTAGCCCAATCCATAGCCAGTTTCAGTGCACATTGGCTTACAAACTTCGTCACAGTCGCGCGAAACCTCCAGGAAATAACCGTTCAAATTGACGACGGTCGACTGAAAAGTGTGAATTTTTAGTTGAAATAATGTTTGGCATACAGTGGGGGACCTGATCCAATGGCAAAAAGACATACCATTTTGCATCCGGGAAGTATCAAAAATGTGGCAAAATGCTTCCCTCTCCAAGTGAAAAAAACCTTGTTTTGAAGGATTCGCGCCCTTCTTCCTCACAAAGAGAGCGGGCGCGTTTTTGAAATCTGAGTTTTTTCACTTGGAGAGGGAGGTATTTTGCCACATTTTTTGACGCTTCCTGGATGCAAAATGGTACGTTTTTTGCCACTGCCCTCCACTGTACTTGGACATTATTTTGGGCAAAAATATCAAAAAAAATTTTTTTTTCAAATTGAGATAACCCATGTTTAATATCCAGAAATAGATGAAATTTGGCTGGCATCAATATTATAATCCACAAAGATGCTATTGAAAAAATACAAAAATATAAAGCCCGCAAGAGCATAGCAAAAAACGCCTTTTCTCTGACCGCTCTCCGGACTTTGCGTGCTCTCTCATCTGCAAAAATTGTTTAATATCTCGACTGCGCTTGCAAAGAATCGGCTAAAATTTTCAGGAATTAACACACACCCTCTACAGAGTAATCATGCTAAATCTGGAGCATTATTGGTTGTCCCAGATCGAGAATTTTTCTTTCTAAAATCATCACCCATATCCCTCCAAAACAAGGTAAATTTTGGCCCTTTTCGAAATTTTTATTCGGAGATTCTCCAAAATACCTAGCAATCACCTCAAACTCACCACACAGTAAGGCTCCCGGCTGCTGCAGGTCCTCTTCGTTCCATTCATTACACTGAACATCTCGGCACTCATACATTCCGGATGCTGGTCCAATTTCTCCGCCACTTCTTTGTTCCTCAATGTGTGTCGACAAAAATAACATTCCAGGCACACTGTATTTTTCAAGAAAGCCAAAATTACACCAACAGTAAGATGATTTACTTTCATAAATGATAATAATCCAAAAAAGGAAGTCTAAAGGGTGGTGGAAGGTTTTCGGAGGGCGAAAATCGCCGCGGGACATTGCTTATGGCCATTATTTTGACGAACAAAGTGAGTGACATTCATGACCTTGCTGTACAAGGAGCTGCAGATCTTTAGAGCCATCAAAAACACCCTTTTTATATTGTTTTAGCCATCAAACCCAAAAAATTGAAAAAACTTGAATTTCTTCCAAAATTTCTTACCGAAATTAATTGTAAATTGAATTAATAGTAATCTGCAACATCATTAACGCCATAGCCATCCAAAAATCCAACATTTTAGATAACAAATTATCTTTTTATTCTAAAATTTCGCTTCCAAAAATATAGTCTGTATATAACACGCTCTAAATATACAATGCAACAGACGATTTACTCCTTCTTCTGTTTCTTTTGATAATCCTTCAATGCGGCTTGAATGGCGTCGTGAGCGAGCACTAAAATCAATATCCAATTATATTATCCATGATAAAGGATTTCTAAAATTTGAAAACAAAACTAATCAGAGTGAGACACTTACTAGAACAATGCAATTTGACTGGTGGCAAGCAGAGCTCCTTGGCAATGTCATCATTCTTTACTGTTTCAGCATAAGAAATCTTCTTTCCTTTGATCCATTCGGTGGCCAGAGAGGAGCTGGCAATCGCTGAACCACATCCAAATGTCTTGAACTTTGCGTCAATGATATTTCCCTTGTCGTCAACCTAAAATTTTATCGTTGAACTGGGCAAAACGTATTTTACCATCAAAACTTCGGATCTGATACCAAGTGTACTATAATTGGACTTTTAAATAAAAAAGATAAAAAATTAAAAGCTTAAATCTATTTCATGTGCAAAAGGATGCCTTAATCGACGAAGAGCCAAAATTTTAGCCTTCTACGACCATTATCTTATCCATGCCGACCAAAACCATCTGGCCTATCAGAAAATTGCAAGCATGCTTAAGAAAATTCGTTGTTTCTCCCCAAAATTCAACCTAAACAAATGAAAGCAAACATCGAAACACTTCCCTTGATCTGTAGTTTCATCACATCTCCACAAGCGGGCGCTCCGACGATTCCAGTACCAACTGTGGGATCATTTTTGTCCAGACTTCCAACATTTCGTGGGTTTTCGTAATGATCAATTACCTTCTCGTGATAAAAGCGAACTGAACTAGTTGTCGACGCCAATGGCGCTCTCAGAATGCTAGACCCAACTCGAGAAATCATTTCAGGTACCTAAAAATATTTAGAATCACAGAAAATCTGAAAAATTAGTTATCAGTGTCAAAGATAATATAAAATATAAGCCTCTTCAAAAGCAATGTGACTAGAAACGCCGTCTAGTTTGTGAAACAAAGATCACTTTATACCGCAAGGAAGAGGAAATTGTTGTTTACTGAAAAATGAAGAAATTTTCGCTGTTGAGACGGAATGCCAAAAGTTTTTGCTTGGCAATAATTTTGCGGGGAGTTTGAACCTGAATTTTGTTTGTGAAGGGAATTTGAGGGTTCCGAATGTAAGTACAGGTTATTCAATTTGTTTTGAGTCATTATTAAAGAGTGTTCAGCAAGATTTTTTGAAATTTAAAGACTTTTCTTCTTTTTTAAGTGTTTTTGCCATGGATAATATAAATTTATGCCAAAAAATTGATGAAAATTAATTTTGTAGACGGTCAAATTACTTTGCAGGTCTTTTCAGACCCTTTTCTGAGTTTTTTGTTTTATTTAAATTCTAATTTAACATAAATTTTTTACGCAACGTTCAAAAATAATGTTAGCCATGTCATCAAGTCCAAAAATCCTCAAATCAGCCTGCAAAAATCTCCAAACACTCGTCAAAGTGCACTTTATTCAATAAGCGATATCACAATCTCAATAGATATTCCGGTCGACATGATCTCCAAAGCCTTTGAACAACTCTGTAAGCAGCGCGACGTTCGAGGAAGCGGCCAGGTCCTTCCATCCTTTGGTCTGGATAAACTCTTTGTGATGGTCGATGAGGAACTCGATTATTCCGGCTTTGAACGCCTTCAGATGCATAATTGAAGGGTGTCCGGTGAGAATGTCACAAGCCAATTCGCATGTCATCGAGGACATTAATTTAATCGTGCAAAAATCGAGGAGATTCTGAAAAAATTTGGTAAAATTAGAGTGTAAAAATTTTTTAGAGTGTTTTAAAATACGGGGCTACTACTAGTCATCTTTAACACAAAAATTGAAAATTTGAAAGATTTTTCAAAAATTCCAAAAAATCCGTCATGATGACACATTTTTTTTCATCCTTTTGAGAAGTCAACAATCTTATAAGGTGTAAAATACGTTTTTTTCATCCCTTGTGACCTAAAACTGACAGTAGATTTACCAAAATTTACAAAAAAATCGGTAATGATGACTTATCTTTACGTACTGAAAATTTCAAAAAAACTGAGCGTAATTTTATTCATGGCTCAAAATAAAACCGTCAAAAATTTTAGTCCTTCTAATTTTCAATTTTTTTAGTCATCATGACATATTTTTTAATATTTTCAAAATCCACCCCAACCATTCCAAATTTCCACCAAAACAAACCTGAATATGATACTGATCGGCCAAGTAAAGCAACTCCCTTCCAACATCGTCAAATTGAGCAATTGAACCCGTATATAAGAATGACAACATGGCTTCAACAACATTGCCCCGCACATCCTCCAGATCAATAATTGAGCTCTTGGCATCGGCGAATGGCCCACTCAGCATTCGCTCGAACACCTTTGAACTGGCGGCTAGGATCAATTTGTGCGCCTGAAATTGGAATTTTAGGATTATTACCGAGTTTATTTTTCATCGAACCAATCATATTATTTCGGTTCGTAAATGTAGAAAAATGCAACTTCTACAACAATAAGCTACAAAACTCGTAATTCCGATGTACCGAGGTGAAGATTGAAATTTCAGGTTTTCGTGGTGGGACCCGCAAAACTTTTTAATACTGTAAAAAATGTTTTACTAGTATCTAAGACCATTGAGACTATATGTCACCCTTTTTCCGATGATTCTAACCTAAATTTGGGACATTACAAATCTTCTTGGTGGGACCCACAACCAAAACTTGAAAAATCGGTAAAGACATCAAAAAATACTCACTCTGAACACCTCCCCATCCGATCGTATCTCACAATCCGTAAAGGCCTGAGATTGCAGCATTCTCGTAAGCTGCGCACAAATTATTCTTGGTTGATTTCGCTCGACCGATGGCACCCTTGCTTGGGCATCTCTCAACGATTGGCGGATGACGATATGTCCGAACACACAAACAAAGTCGTCGCAATTTTTGAGGAATTCTTCGTTGTCAACCAGATCAATGGAAAATCGAATGGTCTCGTTGAGGACTCGAGACTTCTCTGAATTTTTTTTGTTCTTTTGATGACATTTGTAGGATTTTATTTTTTAGAGATTATTTATATTTATACTTGACTTTAGAGACAGTTTTTAAGCCTTCAGTGTGTTGTTTCTTTAATTTACTTGCCTAAACATATTTCAAATGTCTTAAAAACGCCTAGTGAAGCGATTTCCAATCAGAATTTTATCAAATCGGCCCGAAATTCAGTCAAAAATGTTTTCGTGTCGGGACCCAAAATTATCCGAACTGTTTCTCAAATTGCCGCACTTTATTTTTCTTTTTAAAGCTTAAAAGTGAACGAAGGGCCAAAATTGTCTACACTACTTCTCAATCCGTAAATTCGGCCTACTTTATTATGACCTCCGGGTCCCGCCACGAAAACTTTTTTCTCTCAAATTTTGCATTAGAGTCATTTCTTTGCCCTCCAAGCCTTCCATTAAGTCATTCTCAATGCCGTTCACTTAAACCCGATAGAAAATTTTTGGGAAAACAAACATAACACTCTTGAAAAAGAACGCCGCCGACAAGGATAATATAAAATAATATCCCATATGTCAAAACAGATGTTCCCATTACTCTTTCTATTTTTAAATAATATAGATCAAAAGTTCACGTACCGACTTCACAAAATTTCTTGTCACTCTGTCCATCCTGTAGCCATGTTTTTACAGTGATATAAAAGTTGACGTTAGCCGGAACGTTGAAATTGTTCCATCGAAATTGGATTTTGGCTCCATTTACAGTCGAAATGCCTTCTAATTTTAGATGGACTTGGTCGAAGGGAGCTCTCTCCACGGAATTGTTTTTGCTAAAATTGATTTCTTATAAAATCAGGTTTTCGTGGTGAGACCAAAAAATTGTAAAATTTGAAGTGTAAATTACCAAATTTTATATCAAAAAAATCATATTGGTTATGGGGACTTCTTATTTATCAATTTCCAGCCGATTTTTGATAAATTCAGATTTTCGTGGTGGGACCAAAACTTGTGATTTTAATATGCAAATAATTAATTTAAAAGTAAAAGTTGTATAAATTAGATCTCAATTTAACTATCCCTACCAGAAACAACATTTTTTCGGCGATTTTTGACCAATTCTATAAGCTTTTTCAAAAAAATTGTCTCACAACGAAAACATTCAAATATCCAAATTTGGCCCATTTTTTAAGAAGATAACTTACTTCAACGTCGGATTAGAAGAGCTTGGCTCCGCACCCTCGGAACTTAATGGGACCACCAGGCAGAAATCGAACTCATCAATCTTCGGAAATTGGTTTACTTCCTCCGGCACCATTGCACTGAAATATTTGAAATAAAATTTAGTACAGTCGAGAATAATAAATTCAACGGCAAGACACGTGATTTAAGTCAATATACAAACTTATTAATATAGAGAAAAAGGAATTTCAAGCGGAAAACTTTGAGATTTTTTGAAATTGAAAGCTCCATATCTCGATGAGTTTATGAAATTTTGGATCAAAATTTTTTGTATGTGTCCCTGTACAGTGTAATGTCAATGTTCGCGAAATTTCATCAAAATCCGATAGAAAAAATTTGGGATTTTTAAAAAATTCCCGGACCTATTTCTCCATCAATTTTGCAAATAGAAACCAAAAACTTTCCCAAGCCTCTCACAACACTCTAACGTATATCTACGTTAAATTTCACCAAATTCTAAGTTCTGCCCTTAGGGTAAATTTCATTAAACTTGCCCACATGTCGCAAAATTTTCGATTCCAACCTTCTTTTTGAACATCAAAAAACTTCGAAAGTGCAGCCGCGTGATCTGCTCAGCAGATCTTTAATTTTTAAAACACTTAAAATTCCAAAAAAAAAAGATTTTTTAAAATAAAACCACTTCTTTTCCAAATTTTTCAACTTTTCCCCCTCGAAACTCTTTTGAATTCGCCCGCGAATTTGGGGAATTCCCTAAATAAATAAGAGTGCTAGAGCCATTTAAAAACCCATAACAGTAGAAGAAAAGGTCAGCGCATCTCTCGAAATAAAACAAAAAAAAGAGCCCGAAGGTCATGTGAAAGGAATGGAAAAATTGGCGGAAATTAGCCGAAACAAATGGAAATGATATGCGGCATGGCGTGCCATGTGCGCTTCCGACCATTTTTTTATACATAGATCACGATTATATTACATTTAACGTGGATTTATGAAAAAAAAAATAGAATTTTCGGAAAATTTTGAAAAAAAATAGCAAAAAATGCGTCATCACGAATATGAAAAATCGAAAAAATATTTTTTACAGTGAGTAAATTTGTCATTGGTTATACTGACATCAAAATTGAAGTCAATTTGTAGTAATTAAAATATGTCATGATGACGGATTTTTTGGAATTTTGTCGGAAAATCAGCCATATGTTTGGGAAATGAGCCAAAAGTATACGTGTCGTAGTTATGGGCCTTCAATGTTTCTCTGTACACGACAAAAATACATGTATTTCCCCGCTATAACGGCTAAAAAAGAGTTTGGGAAACGAGCTGGGAACAAACGATTTCCGGCAAAAGCGAACGGATGAATCAGTGGAGGGAGGTAGACGAAAATAAATGCGGGTACCTCCATTGTTTTTCGTCTCCCTCGTTTTAGTGACCGGCTTTCCAGGTGGGGAAGGGGAATCGCTGGATTTATGGGGATTGGGTTGCGGATCAAATATCTGCTGCACTGTGCAGACAATAAAAAAAAATTTTTACAGCTGCAAAAATAGTTCATTCTAGTGGTAAAAAAGTAAAGTTAAAATGAAAAAAAAAATTTTCCTATAAGTCAAGTTTCTTATAACAAAAAATGATTTTACTTTAGTAATCGAAAGTACAATGATGACCGAATGTTTCTAATTTTGAGTGTCATACAAAATTTTAAGGTAAAATACGGCGCGTTAACCAGGGTTAAACTTTCTTCTGCATTCTTTGTTTTCCAAGAATTTTGAAAAAAATTCAAAACAGGATTTTCTGCATTTTATTTCCCCAAATTAACAACAAAATTATCAAAATTAGTGTTTGAAATTTTTATGGAATCTTGGAAAATTTTAATTTACATTTCCGAATTTTCATGACAATACGACCAAAAAAATTTTGAGATTTTTTGAATTTCAAAGCTTTATATTTTGACGAATTTTTAAAATATTGGTCTAAAATTTTTTATGGTACTTTAACAAACCCTAAGCTTAATCTCCAAAAATTTTCGAAAAATTGGACTGCAAATCTTAACATCTTACAGGGGAAGTACTCCAAGTGCAACGCTCAGATTTTCTTTAAATTTTGCACACATGTCGGGTATGGACTAGATATCAATTCCTGAAAGTTTTAGCTCGCGCTTTGCGGGTGCCGCCGAGATATCGAACGATTTTTGCCGCCGAGAGAGCACGCTAAACTGGAGAGCGACCAGAGAGAGAAAAACGCTTTTCGGCCATAACCTTGGCAGTTTCATGCGGAAAATTTTGATTTTTTGTAGAAACATAACCCTTTACGGTAGAAACAGGCATGAAACTTTTCGGCCGAAATTCTACAAAAAGTCCTAAATTTTAGCCGACTTTTGATCTAAAAATCTCGGTTGTTTCTGCAAAGCGTGAGCTAGGATTCCCGCATATATCTTAGAAAAAATTATTCTAAATTTGTGCCAAGTTTCATCAAAATCTGAGCGTCGCACTTGGAGTACTTCCCCTCTTAGTGCATCTTTAAAGTATTTACAATCATTGAGGGTACCACAGCAAATTCTAGGCTTAATTTCTGGCAGTTTTCGCAAAAATTGAATAGCAAATTTTAGTACTACAAGCGTCCCTACTACAATATAAATTTTTCAAGATTCCCCGAAAGATTTTATTTTTAATTCAACCCCTCCCTGCCAAGCTTAATCTAAAACGCACTAAAAATACTTTTACTATCAGGAGCGACCATCAGCGATAAAATGAAAACTTTTTTAAATTGACCTCCGTTCCCATCCCATAAAATTTCCCAAGAAATCCCGGAAAAAACTGCCCTTTATAATATAATGTCCCGTAATTCATTTCCCGAACAGCCCTGAAACTCTCGGACTTTTCGGTTTTGAGATATTTACCCTCAGGCAATAAGTGAAATGGATAAAAAAGAATCAATTCGATTTCTTTTTGCTTCGGGAAAAGAAGGCGGAAGAAATATCCCTCTCGTTTCGAGGAATGATTATCTTTTACTTAATTCTGTTTACAATAGAGTGAGAGGGAAGAATGGGGGAGTTCTGAAATGTAATTTGGTTAATTTTGGGAGGTTCGGAAAGCTATAAACAATATAAAAAAATTCAAAAAAAGTTTTTTTTCTAGCTGAAGTACTCCAAGTGAGACCCTCAGATTTTGATGAAACTTGCCTCAAATTTAGAGTAATTTTTTCCATATATATGAGATTCTTAGCCTGCATTTTGCATAAAAGACCAAGATTTTTAGGTCGAGAATTAGGAAAAATGTAAAAATTTTTACGAATTTGGCCGTGAAAAGTTTCATGGCTATTTCTACCGTAGAGTGTAATGTTTCTACGAAAAAACAATTTTTTCGGGCCAAACTGGCAAAGATATGGCCAAGAAATGTTTTCTCTCTGATAGCTCTCCGAAATTCGCCTAGTCTCTCGCCGCAAAGATTGTTGAATATCTCGGCAGCCTCTGCAAACAGTGAGCTAAAATTTTCAGAAGTTGGTATCTGCCCTATAGCCGAAATTTTTGCAAAATGCAGGAAAAATCTGATCGTCGCACTATGGGTAATTCCCTTGTCAGTTATGAAAATAAGAGCTTTTTCTTTGTCTTCAATTTTCACTGTAGTCTAATAAATGGGTATCACATATTTGGTGTTAAACAGACTTCAGTGGCGGACCTGATCCAGCCGCAAAAACATACCATTTTCGATCCGGGGAGTACCAAAAATGCAGCAAAAAGCTCCCTCCTCAACTACAAAATTCCGTTTTGAAGGGCGCGCGCGCGCCTTCAATGACAAAAAAGGGGGAACGCTTTTGAAATCGGAGTGCACTTGGAGAAGGAGGTATTTTGCCACATTTTTGATACTTCCCTAATGCAAAATGGTACGTTTATTGCCACTGGATCAGGTTCCCTCCGAAAGATTCTTGGAACAAGGGTTAAATGGCTTTGGATTTCAACGACTCCCCTCGTATGTTTGTCATCAGGTCCACTGCTATATATAATAGTGCCATAACCCAAAATTTACCTCTAATTAGATGTAAAACTAAACAAATCCAAAAAATAAATGAGCTTTTTTGATTCTTCTCCAGACAACCTCCAGAAAAGTGCAGCCATGTCTGTCTGAGCTCCTTCTCAGACCACAAAAGAAGTGCAATTACAAAAATTAAACGATGATTAGTCGACGGGAAATTTCACAATTTAGTAACCATTACTGCGATTAAATTTATCAAGTTACAAATCTTCGGAGAAAAGGAATGATTCAGAAGAAGAAGAATGCCGCGTTCGGCAAATTTGGCCTTGAAGGAGCGTCGAACAAGTTTTTTTTTGCAAAGAAAGGTGTGGAAGAAACTCAAGGCCGATTTTCAGAAGTCCTTATCAAAAATTGTAATGTCAATTTTCTTAGTTGCTTATAAGGAAAGTAGCAAGAATTACGACGCTCAGATTTTCTTTAAACTTTGTACACATGTTAGGCATAGCACACGTATCAATTTCTGAGAATTTTAGCTCCCGCTTTGCAGAGGCAGGCGAGATATTCAACAACCTTTTCGGCCGAGAAAGTATGAGATACGCGGAGAGCGGTCAGAGAAAACATTTTTTGGCAATATATTTGTCAGTTTTGCACTGAAAAAATTGATTTTTTGTAGAAACGTTACACTCTACAGTAAAAATACATATGAAGCTTATGGCCGAGAGAGTATAGGAAACGCAGTGCGGACAGAGAAAAAAAGGCTTTTTTCCTCATATTTCTGGCAATTTCGGCGGGAAAATGGCTAATTTTATGAAAAAAAAGATTGTGCTCTTTAGTGGAAATAAAGCTCTAACATTTCATTTCAAAGATAGCAAAAAACCAACATCTTTTTTAAAATTTTCGATGTAAAAATCTTCATCGTATTCTGCAAAGCGCGGATTAGGAGTACCACACATATTTTATAATTGAATTCTCTTAATTTGTTCCAAGTTTTCACGTAATTTCACCGTCACACCCCCGCGAAAAAATCAAAAAAAAATTGCTTTCCCAAAAAAATGATGACTAAACCTTCCAAGTTCAAGATCCCAAAATGGCTATTTCCATACACGCCAAAACAAAGCCCACACAACAGACCATTTGCTGTAAAAAAAGGATCGCCATAACTCAAAACTGCAGCCTCTTTTTCAAGGCCTGTTTTTCCCCGGCCGCCAATCCATCAAGCACAAAGATTGATAGTGAAAGATCTCCGAAAAACTCTTGGACTTTTACTAAAAAATGGACCTGGAAGAGTCTCAGAGAATCTCCTACATAAATATCCTTGGAAGCGGATATGTTTCAGATGGAAATTTACTGCTTCTTAAGACTCAATCTTCCCAAGAGAATTCCAAATTTGTTTCTGAAACAAGTTTAGGGACGGAAAAAGGATCTTGCAAGGATTTTTAGGGGATTTGAAGGCGGCAGAACTGTTGAAAACATTTGTTTTTTAGGGGAAAAAGATGTCATAGGCGATTTAACATCAAAAAAAGTAAAAAAATTTTTTAAAAATTTTTTAGTGTACCTCAAGTGCAACATTTGGATTCGCTTGAAATTTTGTATATACGTTCTACATATACTGTAGATAAGTCCCTAGAAATTGTAGCTTACTATTTCCATCCGTAGCTGAGATATTCAACGGTCTTTTCTTCGAGATTCTTATTTTGCGTGCTCGCGAGAGAGCACGCAAAATGAGGAGAGCGGGCAGAGAAAAATCAATGTTTGGCCCGTATCTTCGCCAGTTTCACTCGGAAAAAGATGATTTTTCGCAGAAAATTTTTTCTCAATCATTCTAATTGACATATGTTTTATCTCACATCTGAAATTTCAAAATAAAAAGACATAAAAAAATTATTGCTGATAAAAAATCTTTATTGAATAAATAAAATCCAATCAATGAAGGATCTCTGACTAATATTGTATTTGAATCAAAATCAGTCCATAAAATTCAAGGTTGTTCTTCGGGATCGGGTCCTGGGCTATGCGGTTCTCTAGCGGTGGACAGGGGTGGGGAGCGCTTGGTGGTGCTGGTCGTGGTGGAGCCTTCACGAGGGGTAGAGCTCGACAAACTCGAAGGGATCGGCTTCTGAAAGCAAAATTTCATCAAATTTAAAAAACTCAAAATTTGAAAAAATTCCAAAAATTCGGTCATTCTGATAAAAAAAAGCGAAAACATAGGTCTCAAATTGTAATGAAAATTTTTTACAGTCTACCTACAACATTGTAATCATAATGAATTTCAAAAAAATTGTCATAATTTGTCAAATGACATATTTTTTCAGGACGACATATTTTTTGGAAATTTGGAAAAATCATGTTTTAGAAGTCATGGTTTTGAATTCGAGCTACTGCTGGCCTTTTCGAACACCCAAAATTTCAAATGTAACGTCGAAATGACAATTAAGTCCGTCATAATGACGGATTTTCCAGAAATTTCGAAAAATTTCCTAACAAGGGATCGGCAAAAGCGCGCATCCTGGTTTTTTCTTGAAACATGTACCATTTGAAAGAGCGTAAAAAACTGGTCTAGGATCACATTTTATTAGCTGCTATTTTTGCTCTACGCCTTCGCTAGCGAGCATTCTTTAGTTCTAGGCTTATCCCACCCTTTTTCCGAGGAAACAAATCCGAACGATTTCCAAAGCACAGCGCAGCAGTGCTTCGGTGGCCTAGTGGGGTAAGGCGCTGAACGAGGCGAACCGGGTTCAAACCTCTTTTGATTTTTTTTTGATTTTCTTTATATTGCAAACCAAATAAGGCCTGGAAATAGTGTTTGAGTGTCGTGTAGACATTTGTGATATAATCGGAGTAGTTTTTTAAGAAAAAACGGAGATTTTTTAAATTCTTTCAAATTTGTAGTACTTGCACTTGAAGTGGGTATCTTCTATGGCTGGAACTTTCTACGACTTTCAGATTTTTACGAATTAAGCCCAGTAACGGAAAGTACGTGAAAATTGAGTCTGAAAACGGTTTACATGTTTTCTACCCGCTATGTTGCATTGGGTTACACGACCTAAAAGATCGCGTGATCACACATTGTGAACATGGACTTGGGTATCTCAAGGTCGGAAAAAAAGTGTGTATTCTTTGGCATAGGGTGAAGCGTTCGACGTCATAGGTACGTATGGGACATATGAAAAGTAATTATTGAATCTTTTTAGCCGTTCAGAAGCAAAGAGTCGTGAAATCCAACCGGGATTTTTTAAAAAATGCTCGCTAGCTAGGGCGTAGAGCAAAAATAGCAGCTAATAAAAGGTGATCCTAGACCAGTTTTTTACGCTCTTTCAAATGGTATATGTTTCAAGAAAAAACCAGGATGCGCGCTTTTGCCGATCCCTTGTAAGCCATTTTCCAATATTTCCCGTTAAAAATTAGCCCCCAAAAATTGCAAATCAACACCCTACCGCCTCATAGACAGCCTCCGCCGAGAGCGGTTCAGCTTCTCGGAACTTGGTCTGGCGTGGATTCTGCTGGGCAATGTGTCTCACATCCCACGGAGGCATCGCATTCATCTCCTCCTTCCTCATATCGAAGCATTCCGATTCCGAGGCCGGCATCGACTGAGACGCCTTCGCTCTCTCCTCGGACTGCGGAACCTTGATCGTCTGGAAAATCAGGGGAAAATTTTTTGAAAATATAATATTATTTAGACACACACATATAAAAATAAGTCTTTTATCCAAATTCTACACTTACTGGAGCCGTGGAAACGCTCTGAGTCGATTGCGCAGTAGATGGGGGCTTCTCATGGTCGGATTTCTTCAGCTCCTTCTCTGCTTTTGGCTTTGGACTGGGAACTTTGATAAATTTCTTCTTCGGCACTGATTTGTCATCACTGGGAGAAATGGTCTCGTCGAAGGTCGTAACTGACACTGTACGTGAGGCAATGGAGACTTTGCGTCCTAATGCTTTACATGTCTTCTCAGACTTGTCTTCTTCCTGAAAAGGCAACTGTCATGGATAATATAACTGATAATTTCACGTCAAAACATGAGCTTCTGGAGGTTCAAATCTCAGCTATGATATCTGTTAGAAATACTGAATATTATTTAAAATATTAAAAACAAAATTTTGGGTTACTGTATCATGTGTAATATAATTGATGTGATAGTCGATATAGGGTCATATTAGGACTTTCTGAAATTTCTACGACGATTTTTAGGCTTTTTTGACATATTGGATAAATCGTATTCTTAAAATTTCAAAATAAGGGTTACTGCAGCATGGATAATATAATTGGTGATTAAAACAATTCCAAGCGAAATTATAGCCTTTTTATGAGTAGCAAATGAAAACTAGGACCTATATTATGCGTTAGATATTATTTTAGACATAAAAAGTAAATTTATGGGTTACTGTAACAACCGGAACATGACCTAAAGAAATACAATTTTTTCGTCTAAAACAATGTCGGAATCACCGTAGAACCTCTCCAAAATGTGGAATAGAGCCCTTTCCGGTCAAAAATAGCCATAATTAACATATATCCTCTTACCGTGCTCAACAGCACATCGAACAGTGCTCCCCAATCCAAGGTCGCAAAATGAAAAACACACATAATGCTGGCGATCAAACACAGCGTAATGAAAAGCGCCGCGTAGAATACGTTTCCCGGGTCATCTAGATTGGGCCATTTTTCCTTGTGGATCTCCGCATTTCCTCTGCCATGGATATGATCCAAAATCGCCGACGATTGATGGAAAGTCCACAAAAATACGAGAAGAAGAAGGATGGAGCGGCTCATGTTTTCCGGCCGGCCTGTGGACTAGATTTGATTTCAAATGGAGTCATTTTTTGGTGTTGAAATTCGAAGATGAAAAATGAAATTTTTTTGAAAAAAATTGCATCAAACAACAAAATTTGTGCACGATAAGATTATCTCGATTTTGAAAAATCTCTAAAAATGTCTGTATACCACATTTTAACGCTACAGTAGCCCGCCTTCCCTAAAAACCGCAATTTCCAACGCAGAAAGGAACAGTTGACCCAAATGGGTCAAGTCTTCCCGCAAATTCCGCATTTTCTTGCCAACAAATGCCTCCTTTTTTATCGTTCCCGAGCGCGGGAGAAGAGCGTCGAGAGTGTAGAGGAGTGCTGTCTAGAAAGGAAACACTACTTTTTTGCTGCGTTTCGGCGCGCTTAAAAGTATTTTTTATGTGGGTGATGAGTCAGTAAATTTGCATATTTTCGTTGATATGTTTTAGGCTTCTTGAGGTGTCTGCGTGTTCGTTTAGACATGAAAAGCCTTATTCGCCTTTGTTTTACCTTCTTTTTCTTGTTTTGGTCATTTTTCGGCTCAAAATTTGATATTCTTGCTCGTGATGTCAAGTATAATGTTTGCCCAAATTTTGCCTAAAATTCTGAAGGGTTGGCAAATGTAGAACAAGACTTTCAAAGCCGTTCGAGATTTTTTAGAGTATTTTTGACAATTTTTTGTCTTTTTCGCGATTTTTTTATTTTGCACTTGGTTTACCTAAATTACCTAAAGATTTGTTCAGAAGAAGAGATAAGATAAGTTTCATTTGACGAAACGCCTCTTATGGGCAGGCTTAGATGCTCGATAAAACTTATTTTTTGCAATACATCCCGGAGCGCCATCACAAGCGAATTCTCGACGGCATGAACCGCAGAAGGGCCGGCTTCGCCGGAATGGAGGATTTTGAAGCCGAAACTCGAGCCAAGCTCCTCAAGTTCCGTTCCAGCAAAGATCAAGGTATGTTTTTTCTATTCCATTTTGAATTTTAGAAGCCAACGAGGATAAGATTTATTTTTGGCCCAATTTTAGAGGTTATCCTACCTCCAATGACCCGAACCGAACGAGCCATGGTCCATATGATTGCGCGAGAGTTTGATCTGCGGACTCATTCCTTCGGACACGAACCACATCGTCGTACACGAGTGACCAAACCGTTCTTCGATCGAGTTGTTGGCCTCACCGATACTCAAGATTTATTTTTGATCGAAGAGCAACGAGATCTGATCCGAGAAATGTTCCAGCAACGTCCATTGCAGCTGGATGAGCTGGAAGAGCATCAACGAGCTGATTTGAGGAGTAAGCTGGTTTCTTTTTATTGTGTTATATATTTAGTGCGACAAGTTCATCGACCGGGGATGGCCAACAAAAGCGCGGAACCAATAGTCCCTCCCGCAACAAAATGCAGTCCGGAGATGCGGAGATTCCGAGAAAATCTACCAACCTTCAAGTATAGAAGTCAGATTCTGACGGCTATCGATAGGAACAAAGTTACAATTGTTACGGGAGGCACTGGTTGTGGTAAAACCACTCAAGTTCCGCAGTTCCTATTAGAAGAAGCAAGTCAATGTCGCGAACCGATCAGAATTGTTTGTACGCAACCGAGAAGGTTGCCCGCGATTGCTGTGGCCGAAAGGGTTGCCAAGGAGCGAAATGAAAGGCTTGGCGACACTGTTGGATATCATATTAGACTTGAACAGAAGTAAGTTATATTGTAGTAGGTAAAATGAAGATTTTTGAGAATTTTTGATCTATGTAAGTACAAAAAAGATGTAAGGGGTCTTTTAACATGATTTCGAGGATATTAGAAGTCTTAATTTTTGATTTATAGATTATTTTTTTCTAGATAATACCTAAAGTAATATAATTTTTCTTTATTTTGTGCGGTTTGAAGTTTGAATAGATAAATTAGGGTCCAAAATTAAATATTAAAGCAATTTCAGCTCTTTAGTGACCTGAAAATATTATAAAATCGCCTGTTTTGCCTAAAGTAATATAATTTTTATAAAATTTTCTTCCAGAACCTCTCAAAACACGGCCCTCACTTACTGCACGAGTGGTGTTCTCCTTCGGATGCTCACGGTGGATGATATTGCCCGTGATATCACGCATATTATCCTTGACGAAGTCCATGAGCGAGAACAAAACACCGATTATCTCCTGATCGTCCTGCGACAAGCGTTGAGAAAACGTTCGGATCTGAAGGTGATTTTGATGTCAGCCACCATGGAAGGAAACCGGGAAACCTTTGCGAATTACTTCCAAAAATTCGAGCTGAGTTTTATAGAGAGTAAGTCAATTTTTTGTGTGTTATTCGATGTTTAGTCCCCTCTCGGCTCCATTCCGTCCAACGCTACTTCCTCGGTGATATCCTGGCCGCCACCGGCTACCAACCCCAATCCATGTTCTCCTCCGGTTTCGGCGACAGCTTCGGGAACACCTTTAGCGCCACGGAATTCGATTATCAAAAGCCATCTTCGAGTTACAACCAGTACTACGACCATCTTCACAGATCAACGACGGTCCCCACGAACCTGCAGGGATGCCATCAGACCATGGGACATCGGGGATATTATGATTCGACCTTTTTCGCCCCACAACATCTAGGTGCATATAATAATTATCCGGGATATGCAGGTCCTGTTGGAAATTATGGTGGACATGAATATGGAGGCAATATGATGGGGTAAGAGGAGTTTTGAAAGTTGTTTTGGGCAGGTTGGACGGTGGATTTGAGGTTTTGGATATTAATTTACCTAAAGTAATATAATTTAAATTTTTTGAGAAAATTTTGAGGTTATCAAAGGAAAATGTGAAAATTTTTGATCTCGATTTGTCGGATATGGTGTAATTTTGAAGTAAAAGTAGATTTTGTCAATTTACATGTGCTCGGAGACATTTTATACGATGAAATGTTTCGACGGAAAAAATTTATGGGTCAGCTCTAATAATGATCATTTTTAGCTCCGATTCCGCCCATTCATACGCCCCACAGATCAAAGGAGACTTTAATGCCCCATCCACCGCCAGATTCTTTGACCCCGCCTCGAATCGGTTCAATATGGCACCGCTGGCCAAGGAGAAACTAATCGATTCGTATCTCATGTCCGGAGGCGCCCAATGGACGGAATCCATCGATCCCGACCTCACCTTGGAAGTCATCCGGTTTTGTCTCGGCAGCCCGATCGAGGGCGCGATTTTGGTGTTCCTCCCCGGTTACGATGACATCATGACGATAAGGGATAAGGTCCGGGATCTGGGGGAAACCATATTCGAGCCAGTCATATTCACTCTACATAGTCAAATGAACAGCCAAGACCAGCAGAAAGTGTTTGATCCGGTGAGGCATGGGCAGAAGAAAGTGGTGAGTTTTTGTCATGGAGAATATAATTTTGATTGATTTTTTTGGGAAACGAGGGAAATTCAAGGAAGTTCAGGAAGTTTAAAGGCATTGTGGATAGATTTGGGGGGTTATTAGAGGATTTGAGGGAATTTTGAGACCAATTTTTATCATGGATAATATAATTTTTTAGCAATTTTTGAGGTATTTTGCAGGAATTAGAAAGTTTAGTGTATTCTATGACAATATTGGTAAATTTGAAGCTTTTTCAGAGGGGTTTCAAAAATGTTTAGAGTCGTTTTTTTTTTGTTATGGGTAATATGATTTTAAATAAAAATTTTTTGGTTTTTGTGATATGAAATAATATCCTTGTTCCAGATCCTCAGTACCAACATTGCCGAAGCCTCTCTGACCATTGATGACGTTGTTTTCGTTATCGATGGCGGGAAAGTGAAGGAAAAAACGTACGATCATGTGAGCCGAATCTCCCAGCTGAAGGTCTCCTGGATCGCCCGATCCAACGCCGAACAACGAGCGGGCCGTGCCGGACGTTGCCGTAACGGCTACTGTTTCCGACTCTACAGTTTGCGAGATTACGACCAAATGTCGGCCACCCAAATGGCCGAGATGAAACGAGTCGCCATCCACGACGTTTGCTTGCACGCCAAAATGTTCGCCCCCGACAATATGCCTGTCCGAAGATTCCTCGAATTGGCCCCCGAACCGCCGGTCCCCGGCGCCATCGATAAGTCCTTGGAGTTCCTGGAACAGCTCGGAGCATTGTTCACGTCCGACCGACTGGCCGCGTTCAAGTACAACCAGCAGAAACAGAAGGAACCCGAATTGACCGAACTCGGAAGACTGGTCGCTCATTTGCCTCTGGACCCGCAATTGGCCAGATTGTTGTTGTTCGGATTGGCTCTAAAATGTCTACATCCTGTCCTGGGACTGGTTGCCGCACTCTCACATCGAGATCCATGTAAGTAAAAAGATTTAGAGGGATCTAGATATTGTAGTAGGACCTATCCATTGAGCCTTTCAAAAAATCAATTTTTTCATTGAAAATATTGTTTCTTTGAGATGCTAGAAGCCGATACTGATATTTAGAGTAGATTGAAAGCGAATTTAATAGAAAAAATATGTTGGGAGCTCGTGATGTTGCAGTAGGTATATCAGAACAAAAATAAGAAAAAACAGTTTTTTGTCGTATAAAATGTCGGCTGTTAGTGTCATTATTGAAAGAGGGTGAGAATTAGAGTAGATTGAATGTCATTTTGGGAGAAAACTATGGCGATGATGGTTGATATTGTAGTAGGTAGATCTATGAAAAAATGCTGAAAAACAGATTTGATCGTATAAAATGTCGTCTGTTGATGTCAGCGAAGAATAATAAGGACGTTTAGGAAAGTATAAGTCTAAAATTTACTTTGTTTCTGAATATTGACGTCTAATTTCTACCTTATTTTAGTTATCTTACCACTCGGAGAAGATCGATCCGACGCGTTGGCGGCCCGCGACAAGTTCAGTCAAACCGACTTGTCAGACCACCTGATGCTCTTGCGAGCCCTCAACGTCTATTGCCAACAGCCCAACACCAACCGATCCGTCGCTTTCTGCCGCCAGAACTTTATCTCCTTCACGGCCATGAAGATGATCGTCGGGATCCGGAAACAACTCTTCCTGGAAATGCGACGCCTTCATCTCGTCCCACAGGACTGTATGTCCTCGGAGGACCCGGATCTGAACTTGTTTTCGCACTCTTGGCCCATGGTTCAAGGCGCAATCGTGGCCGGATGCTATCCAGGAGTGGCCTTTGTGAGATCGGGCACAAAACTGAGGAAAATCCGGACCAACACTGGGGCAATGTCAACTCTCCATCCCTCATCGTCCTTAAGAAGACAGGTCCAACAACCCAAGCGGACCGTGGAACCGGAAATTGAGTATCTGGCCTATCAGGAACTCTCCCGAATTGATGAAGGACTGACCCTAAGAACGGTGACTGCGGTCCCGCCGATGACTGTTGCCTTGTTTGCGGGCCCCGTCAAGATGAGCAAGGTCATTGTGGACGACTTTGAATTGGGTAAGGGAATCTGGAAGCGGTTTGAAAAGAACTTTGGGCAATTTTATATTGTAGTAGGTAGAAATGGGGAAGATTTGATTTTTTGTTGAAAAAGTGTGGATTTTGTTGGGATAAAAGGTAAGGAGCGGGAATTATAGGCCTGGTGATGTGTCATGAAAAAAATAAAAGTGAAAAAATCCGTCATCATGACGTATTTTTTGGAGGTTTGAGTTTTTTTGTAAATATTGGATTTTTTTTGGAAATTTTGTGTTTTATAATTTTTTGAGAGATATCAGAGGTAATTTTGACATTTTTCATAACTAGGATGACGTATTTTTTGGACTTTTGCCATTTTTTTTTGATTTTCAAGTTTTGAGATTTTTTGAGGATTTTTTTTTATTAAAATAATTTGTCTCGTATTTTAGCCGAGGATGAGTATGATGATGTTGCAAAGGAAGCGAAAGAAGCTGTCCCAGATCCTCTCCCCGAAAAAGACGAGATGGAAGTTGATTTTGACTCCCCAACTGACTACGATGCCCTGAAAGTGGAGCGAGATTATTACGTGGAGCTGGAGAACTGGCTCGGCTTCAAGGGAAAGTTCAAGGACCTCCAGCTGGTGCTCAGACTCCGTTTCCGGTTCATGAACTACTTTATGAACGTGCTGAAAAACCCGTTGAAGAGACTCAGCTCGGAACAGGAAGAGATCCTCAATACGGTCGCCAAAATTTTGGAAATGGATCATAAAAAAGCGACCTTCAATGCGGTGGAGGATGTGTATAAGCAGAGATATATAGTGAAGAGACCCAGTGATGAGAGAGTGGAGGAGATCAGAGAGGATGGTAAGGATTGGAGAGAAGAATTGGGATTTGGAGGGGTTTGAACCTAAAATAAGGTGAAATTATTAGATTTTCTTGAAATTTGAGCGGGAAATTGGGTTTAGAAAGTATAAATGGAGGTTAAATTGTATTTTAAAAGTGTTTGTTTTACTTTGAGACGTTAGATAAAAATTTTGGGTAATGTTTTATGTGCCAGACTTGAGTAAGGTAAAGCAATGTCAAATTTTGGTATTTTTGAGTGGGAAATGGTGGGTTTAGACCGGAAATGAGCAGAAATTTTAATATTGGAGACATTTGCTACCGATTTGACGATCGGACGTGATTTTGGGCTAAAATTATATTGCTCATGATCAAGGTAAAATAATGTCGTATTTTGCGATTTTTCAATAGATAAGGGTGAATCTAGACTAAAAATGACCTAGAAATAGAGTTGTGGTCACATTTTCTAGATGAAATTTAAGTTTAGCACCAAAATTTGGACTAAATTTATATTACGCTTGACATTTTCAGCTCCCGCTGAACACAAACCAAGATCAAGCTTCCTGAAAATCGACTCCCATCGAGAATCCGAGCCAATCCCTGCGGATCCATCCCCGAATGCGCGAGAAGAACCCGAGCCCTCGAGATTATCAACGAAACCGCATAGAAACCCATCGGAAAGGATCCTCCTCCAGCTCACCCAGGCCCAAAACAAAAGCCAGGATGGACGAAAGGAAGAGCAGAAGCTGTACAGACCACCCAAAAGTCAGATCAGAAGAGAGGAGAACAAGGAAAGGAAAGAAAAAGAGGAAAAGGACGAGAAATTCAAGAAGGAGAAGATAAAAAGTGAAGAAATTAAGAAGGAAAAGGTGCTGGATGATGTCGATGAGGTGAGATTTTTGAGTGTTAAGGTGCTATTGGGCTTGTGTTTGAATGGAAAATTGAATTTTTGGGAAAATCCGTCATCATGACGTGTTTTTTGGAATTTTTGAAATTTTGAGGTTTTTTGGTTAAAAATGGAATTTTTTGAAATTTTTATGTCAGAAATCGATTTTGAAGGCGTTGTGGATGGGTTTTAGAGCGGTTTCGATGTAAGGATGACGGAATTTTTGGATTTTCTTTTATTTTTTTGTCATGGATAATATAAAATTTTCAGAGGGGAAAACGGCGCTTCAGGAAGTCCAAGGGATTCCTGCTTCTGAGCTTTTCTTTGGCTGGAAAATAGAATTTTTGGAAAAATCCGTCATCATGACGGATTTTTTGGAATTTCTGAAATTTGAAATTTTTTGGTTAAAAACGGGATTTTTAAAAAAATGTGATGTCAGAAATAGATTTTTAAGGCTATCTGGAGGGATTTTAGAGGGTTTTTGATGCAAAGATGACAGATTTTTTGCGAATTTTTTTTTATGATTTTGAAATTTTGAGATTTTTTGGTTTAAAAATCTTATTTTTTGGGAATTTTAATGTCAGAAATAGATTTTGAAGGCGTTGTGGAAGAGTTTTAGAGGGTTTTTGATATTAAGATGACGGATTTTTTTGAATTTTTTGCCATGGATAATAGCAAATTTTTAGAAGGGAAAACGGCGCTTCAAGAAGTCCAAAGGATTCCTGAATGGCGCCAAAACCGCTGATTGCTCTGCAGATGCGGAAATTTTGCGAGAAAGAGAGAAAAAGGAGAACGAGAACAGCAAACAGACGGAAAGAGCCTCCACCTTCTTCAAAAGCGTCGGCATCAGAACGGAAACGGAGAGTCAGGACGTCAGAAATTGTGATATGAAACGCAAAGACAAGTACGTAATCCCAGCATGCCGAAGAGGCGAGAATTCGGGGACCGTCGGAAGTAATCTGGCCAAAAATGAGGACGGAAGAAGGAATAGGTTCAGGAATGAGGAGGAAAAAGGCACCAAGGAAGAGGTGGAAAGACGCAATGGTCAAGAAAATGAGAACATTCGACGCCCCACGGTCGCTCAGCGCCTCGAACAAGAGAGGAACGGCCGAAAGCCCTTCGAGAACGGGAAAAGCCGCGTTTTCAGGTCGAAAACGTACGCGCAGAAGAAGGAAAGACCAAAAGAAGAGTAGCAAATGAGTTTATTTATAAGTAGCTAGGTTGTGGAATCAAAAATTTGAGGTTAATTGCGGTTTTTGGATACTTTTTGAGACTTTTTTGGAGATTTTGGGAATTTTTTGAAATTTTTTAAATTTTTCGTATAAAATGTCGCCAAATTGGAAAAATTGAAATGTCAAAAAATTACATAAAGTATGAGAGAGCTCTAATGTTACTAGTTGATTTTTGAAGCCGATTTTCAAATGGAAAATTTTGGGATTTTTTGGAAAAATTTCGAAATTTTTTGAATTTTTCGTATAAAATGTCGCCAAATTGAAAAAATTGAAGTGTCAAGAAATTATATAAAGTATGAGAGAGCTCAAATGCTACTAGTTGATTTTTGAAGCCGATTTTTAAAAAAAAATTTTTTGGGATTTTTTGAAAAATTTTGAAATTTTTTGAACTTGTCGTATAAAATGTCGCCAAGTTGGAAAAATCAAAAACTAAAATTAATTTTTTTAATATTTAGATATTACTAGATAGCATTTGAAGCTGATTTTTAACCAGTAGTCACCTTAATTTAACGAAAATTTTGTGATTTCACGACCTAGATTACGCAGCCTTTCTTTTAATGGATAAATTATTATTTTTAACGCAAGATCTGTCCCCTTAGGATCCAAAATACCTTATACCCCCCGGATTTTTTTTATTTTTAGTTACAGTAACCCAAAAAATTGCCTTCCAACATGCAGGACTTTGTATTATATTCCCCTTAGGCGATTGTGATCCAATTCAATTATTTCTACGAATATTACCCCTTTCCTTATTTTTCTTTTCGAATTTTTTTGTTGTGAGTTTTTCTCTTTACTAATATTTTCGCTAAAATTCGGCTGAAATATTTTCCTCCAGGCTTTCTCCAACGCTACGTGTTGTTTAATAAATAATAAGACAAGGTTTGGAAGTGATTTTGAGCGGGTTTATGATGAAAGATAGTGGATTCAGTGGGCTTTGGAAGGAAAAATTGGAAAAATTTGAGCTGGATGTCAAGTGTAATATAAAAGTAAAAAAATTTGGGTTTTGAAGTGATTTTTGTGGAGAATTGGGGTGGATATGAAGTGAGTAGACCTGAAAGAGCTTTATTATTTCAGGAAACGAAAATTGGAATCAAAAATTGTATTAACCATGATACCAAAAAAAGGTCCCTTTTTTCGAAATATTCAAATTTTTTGCGAAGAGTGGCATTCGCAAAAAATGGCTCCGCGCCCAGACGAAGCTTTATTTTCATTCGAAAAGAGTCGCCGGGTCGGTTGAACTCCCGCAACGAACGTTTGCCCGTGCCAAAAATCCAGATGAAGAAAACGACGGAGAGGATCGAGGTGAGGAAGGATGGGATGGAATGCCCGTACGGGTACCCCGTGCCCATGAGCCTCATCCAAATTCATCAGCTCACTTTCAAGGTCAAGAAGGGCGAGGCGGTAAGTCGGCGGCAAAGTTTTGGGGAAAAGTTCCTTATTCTGGCCACAACATAGGCACTCTGCGAACTGCGCCCAAACTTTTGATCGAAAATGAGGAAAAAAGGCTTCGGCCTAGCTGGCACTGAATTACTATAGTAGCTCTACAGTTTTAAGGGTATCTACGAAGACTATAACGACTCACTTAATTCACACGGAGGCAATAAGTGTAGTTCCGGGCAGGTTTCATCGCATAAAGTGTAAAATCGCAGGCTGCAGCCGTTTTTGAAGGGTAAGGTGGTACTGAAAAAAGAAGGTACCCTCACTAACTAAATTCACAGTCGGGGCATTTTCAACGATGAATTGAGCCTGCAAGCCAAATTGGGGCTAATTCTGATCAGTTTCCGCAAAGTTATAAATTGTGGCCAGAATAAGGAACTTTTGCCAAGTTTTGAGCTCTGCCAGTCATTGTTAGTCGATGATGTTGTGAGGTGTAAAAAATCGTATTTCAACATGTTGTCAACAAGATTTCTTTAGAAAAAAGTGAATTTTTTTTCGTTTTTCAAGCCATTTTACTTGCAAACACAGCGGACCCAAATTGACTTATAAAAACATATAATGACTTATAATGAAATGATTTTTTTATAAGTCATTATCTGTTCTTATAAGTCATTTTAAATGACTTATATGTTCATATATGATTTTATAAGGGTTCTCTGTGCGCTCTTGTTGAATTGACTTATAATTTCATATATGTTTTTATAAGTCATTTTATTTATAACCGCACCGTGCAAAAAATGAAGATTTATTTCAATCTATAACTCAAACAATAAAGCGGCACAAGTAGAATAAGACTTCAATGCACGAAGGACCTGAGATTTTTTGATGGGGCGTTCGTCGCTTCTGTAGGCGACCGTAGATGTATATTATTGCTTCTAATGCTTCTGGTTTAAAACTGAAAATATTTGGAGATATTAGAAGTTTTTTTTCGGGAAACTATAATATGAGTTCGGCTTAAACTCAATTTTTTAGGCGTTACATACTAACAGTAAAACAGATGAATTTGAACTGCCTAAAAGGTTTCTGGCGGAAAATTTTTTAGACATGAAATTTGCGATATTGTACTAGGTCCAGGTGAATGCTATCAGTCATACCTGAAGCTACCGGATGTCATCTTTCTATTCATCGTGTATACATTGTCCATTGGATTCCTCCATGACCATTTTTGTAGTTATCTAAAACCCAACGGGTTCACCTGGACCTAGTACAATATAACAAAACTTTGTCTTGAAGTTTTTTCGAGACCTCTGAAATGTGGAAAACAGTTAAAAAACACCTACCAAAATTGAGCAAATGGATCCTTTAGCAATCCGTTGGTTGATCGTGCATGTTTATACATCTTCTGGGGATGGATCTTCTTCAGGCTGGCATGCTCCCTGCACGGGAAGGCTATTACGTTAGGGAACGTTCGGGACTTTTCATCTAAACACTCTAAACTCTTGCAAAACAAAAAAAGGCTGATTAAAAGCATCTTACTTTGATCGATCCAAGGTAGAAATACGTCGCGACGTTCCAAAAACTTAGAATTTCACAAGTCCAGCTCACGCGTGCACAAAGCAAAAAGCGTATTTGGCGCTCAAAAGTTTTCTTTGCAAAGAACTTATTTGTTATTATAAGTTCTTATTTGTTTTTATAAGTAAAGAGAAATAAGCCCCTCCTCTTTTGACGTTATTTTGACTTATAAGTCATTATCTGTTCATATAAGTCGTTATATGTCTTTATAAGTCAATTTGGGTCCGCTGTGAAGGAAGACCTCCAAGTGCGGCGCTCAGACTTCAATTTTCTTGAAACTTTTCACACACATTGAGCATAGGCCACGTGACAATTCCTCAAAATTTTAGCACGCCCTTTGCAGGGGCAGCCGAGATATTCAACGATCTTTTCGGACGAGAGAGTATGCCAAATGCGGAGAAGGGTCAGAGAGAAAACACCTTTTTGGCCATAACTTTGCCGGTTTTGCGCGGAAAAATTTGATTTTTTATGGAAACATTACCCTCTACGGTAGAAATATGTGCAAAAATTTTTATGCCAAAATTCGCAAAAAAATATCGCATTTTTGCCAATTTTCGACCAAAAAATCTTGGTTTTTTCTGCAAAACGTGAGCTAGAAATCTCGCATATTTCTCGGAAAAAGTTATTCTAAATTTGTGACAAGTTCCATCAAAATCCCAAAACTGCATTTGAAGCCTGTCCTCGTCGGTAATTTGGCCTGCATTTTAGGCCGGGATCCGAACGAATAACATGCTGACCGTCACCAAAATCGACATTGGTGGTGCCGCCGAGTCCGAAGTCAAGTTCGGCGACTGCATCCGGAAGCTGAATGACGTTGATGTGTGTCCGGATGGTATGAAAATCACGAGGAAATACAGTGTTTTTTAGGGAAAGCGAACCGTCAATTGTTCGTAGAGACGTTCCGGAAGCTGAATACCACCGACTTTACGGTAGGTCATCTTAAAAAAAAAATACTTTTGGCAATGATGATTTCTCAAGTAAAAGGATTTTTGGGAAAATTACTTACAGTGACCGACCTGATCCAGTGGAAGAAACGTACCATTTTGCATCCGGGAAGTATCAAAAATGTGGCAAAATGCCTCACTGGCCAAGTGAAAAAACTCCGTTTTGAAGGGCGCGCCCTTTCCTCCACAAAAAGATCGGCTTTTAAAATTGAAGTTTTTCACTTGGAGAGGGAGGCATTTTGCCACATTTTTGATACTTCCCGGATGCAAAATGGTACGTTTTTTGTCACTGGTTCGGCTCTGTAAGTGCAATGAAAATTACTTTTATTTTTAGTGTGAAATGACGGTTTATCGACCAGTTACCACCACCGAAGCGGCCAGTCGACTGGAGAAGGTCAAGAAACTTCCCGGATTCATTTACAAAGTCGCTGTAATGTTCTCCATCCCCGGCTGCAAACTGGCCCTCTGCATTCGAGGGGTGGATAACAAAGTCTACGTCTCGCAGGTAGGGGAGGGTGATGATTATTTGAGGCTGGGAAAAAAAGACATTTTGAAAATTGTAGCGGATTTGGGGGAGAAATTGATAACTTTTCGCAGATCGGCCACAAGTCAAAAAAAATGTAAAAGTGAATGCGAGCTGCGTCCAGAAAATAGAAAACTATGCGATTTACCGACAATAAATAGAAGCCTAAGCGCTAATAGAAGCCTAGGCTATGCCTAAACTAACAGGAGAAGTACCCCAAGTGCGACGCTCAGATTTTGATGAAACTTGGCACAAATTTAGAGTAATTTTTTCGAAAATATATGCGGCAATCCTAGCTCGCGCTTTGCAGAAACAACTGAGATTTTTAGATGGAAAGTTGGCGAAAATTTGACACTTTTTGCCGAATTTTGGCACGAAAGGTTTCATGCCCATTTCTACCATAGAGGGTAATATTTCCACAAAAAATTAATTTTTTCCGCGCGAAACTAGCAAAGTTATGGCCAAAAATTGTTTTTGTATTTGACCGCTCTCCACGTTTAAAGTATTCTCTCGGTGGCAAAAATCGTTCAATATCTCGGCGGCGCCTGCAAAGCGCGAGCTAAAACTTTCAGGAATTGATATTTACTCCATACCCGACGTGTGAGCAAAATTTAAAGAAAATCTGAGCGTCACACTTGGAGTACTTCCCTTGTAAACCTAAATTAATCTTAACCCGGCCAGAGACTGGATAACTTTTCGTATAAAATGTCATCCGCAGGTCGCGCCCCTATCATTCTCTAAAGGCTTTTTGGGGTTTTAAAATTTCAGGAAAACACTTGACAATGGGCGTGAAACTTGACTCAACCTAAAGGTTGTGGCCCATCTCAGTAGCTCTAAACCTGTTATTTCTACTAAATTTTTAATATTCACATTTTTATTTCTCTTCAGGTGACCGAATTCACGCTGGCTGGCCGTTGCCTTCTCCAAGGCGACGCCATTCTGGATGTGAATGAGACTCCGGTCACGGGGAACAAACAGTGCAGCGACAAGATCATGGAAGGGTTACAGTCCAAGGGCTATGTGACTATGGTGATTGAGCAGCCAGAGGACATCTTGAAGAAGGCGCAGGTCAGAAACGCGCTGCTTCAGGACAAAACCGTCGACATGGATCCGCCGTTGCCTCCGGATGTGAACGACATCTGTCAGCGAGAAGTGAATCGTTATAAGAAGGAGCCGGAGATGAAGCCCAAGAAGGAGGTTCTTCATGGCAAAGAGTGAGTTTGCGGGTTCACTGAGAGGTCTACTTTACCCTCCACAAGCAAAAAAAAGCCTTTTTCATGACTCTTCTTTAGCTACAAAACCCGTCCAGATGCAAGTCGCGTCAAGCTCGAAGAACAGGCACAAGATACGCCCATTGTCTCGGACCGCAACCCCCTGCTCCTCATCAACGTCCCCTCCGCCCCTCCCAGCACCAACTATCAATCCTTGGCGGCGCTGAGTCAGTCAAACAAGTGACGAGATTAACATGCAGAATGAGGGTTTAGGACTAGATTCATTAAACAACTTCTCATTTATTGGCGAGTATTTGAATTGTAATACTGAAAAGTTGGAATTTTTGCTTGTAAAAGAAATTGTCATCGAAAAAGGAACCGATGAAAACTTTAGTAATTTTCAGTACTGCTTAAAGCAAGTATGTAAAACATAGAAAAAATTGATTGAATTTCCTTACCATCGATTATCTTAAACTCCTCCAGATCTCGCTGACCGGGGAAGTACAATACCTCAAATGCAACGCTTAGATTTTGATGAAACTTGGCACAAATTAAGAATAATTTTTTTTAAGATATATGTGAAAATCCTAGCTCACGCTTTGCAGAAACAACCGAGATTTTTAGAGCACAAAAAGTTTCATACCTATTTCAACCGTAAAGTGTACAGTGAGGGACCGGATCCAGTGGCAAAAAACGTCCCAGTTTGCATCCCGGAAGGGACCAAAACGACTCCAAACCCTTCCCTTCTTTCCTTCAAGGCGGGCTTTTCAAAGCGGAGTTTTTTAGCTTAGAGAAGGGAAGGGTTTGGAGACGTTTTTTGCCACTGGATCCGGTCCCTCACTGTAATGTATTCACACAAAATCATTTTTTCCCGCGCAGAACTGGCAAAGATACGGTCAAAAAGTGTTTGCTCTCTGACCGCTCCCCGCGTTTCGCGCACTCTCTCGGCAGCAAAGGTCGTTCGGGATACCGTATTCTCGTTGTATGCAATGTCATTGATACTAGTCCGTTCGTAAAGTCGCTGGAATGTTTTCGGCGACATGCACTCCGCGAAAACGAAAGTTCACTTTGCACTGTGCAATTTTTGGCTTTTTGCACAGTGCAATAAGCTTTTTTGGGACGTCGCTCGCACCCCGAGTTTTCTTGCACAGTGCGCGTCGCCGAAATCATTCCAGCGACTTTACGGAAGGACTAGTAGGTGTTGATTTGAGCGATTTGTGAAGGGTACGTTGAATAAAATTTTTTATAGTAAATTGATTTTTTTTTTTGTTTTTGTAAAAGCAGTTAACTCAAAAATTGCAAAAAATTCTTGTCAAAACACATATTGGAAGATCAGTCTGCCTGCTCCGACATGTAACACCGTCATTTCGCAATTTTTTTTATTTCGCAAACCAGCGAATTCGAAGGGAATTCAAAATAATTCGGGGATAAATAATTGCTTCTTGATCCGAAGCCTTCAATTGTCTTACGAAATACAGGAAAGTCTTGTCGGAACTTCAATAAGATCAACTCGGAATTACTGTGAAAATAATGAAATTAAAAAAAATCGAATTCATTCATTAATTTTGAAATTTTTTTAGTAAAATATTTAAAATTTTGACCTAAAAAACCTCAAAAAAAATTTATCCAAATTTTATAAAATCCCGAAAAATAAACGTGAAATTGTAATGGCGTATTTTACAACAAAAAATTTTCTATTTCCAAGGAATTACTGTAACTTTTTTTTCAATTTGAATCGATTTCCTTCAAATTGAAGCTAAAAATCGTTGAAAAAGTTCAGTGGTTCATGTTTTAAGCATGAAAGAATACTATATACGGTTTTGCGACGCTTTCAAAATTACAATTTTCTCGATTTTGATCATTTTTTTACAAAGTTTTAAAAAATAATCATAGAAAAAAAAATTTTTTTTTCTGGTGTTTTTGATTTGTCATAAATTATGTGTATGACATTTTTACGACTTTTAAAAAATTTTTTTTTGCTCCGATTTTGTCTTACTGTAACATTTTTTTTCGTAATATTTCCCAAAAAAATTGTTAAAAATTTTTTTCTTTTTTGATATTTCAGTATGTCATAACTGCCATATACCACCTCTCTGTCACTTTAAAAATTTCCTTCTGCTATTTCCCAAGTCTTACTGTAACTTTTTTCTGGACGAAATTTTTCAAAATTTTTTCAAGATTTTTACCAAGTGTAATATCCGCAGGGGATTATGGAATGGTAAATGCATGCATCCTGGCGCCGCACACTCATTCAGCTCATTGTAACCCCCATTTCTTTATGCCAGCCTCCTCCGCTGACCTCTCCGTCAATAATTTCACTTTCGATATAAGGTAATTTTCGCCGTCCGAACTTCCACCGAATTCGATTAACTTTCGCTTTTCTATTGATTTTTTCTAGTGCCTGGCTTCATCACGCTGAATATCGACCGGGGATTTGTTGATAATTTTATTGATTTCGGGGCAATTGGACAAAATATTTTGTTTTTGATGATGATTTAAAATTTGGATATTGTACTTGATGATGACTTAAAACTAGCAATTTTATCGACCCTTCTAATAATACTTTTTTTAAAAGAAACATATTTTGTGTTAGGTTTATGTCGTATAACTTATATGCAAAAAATCAGAGATTTCCGCGAAGAAACAAAAAAGTTATGGGCAAAGTTTTTGTCATGTCCGAGTTACGCGTTCTCGTTACAAGCAATTTTCGAATATCATGACTGCCGCTGAAAGGGCGAGCTAGAACCTTCAAGTATTTGATTTGAGGCCACATTTGTGGTTTATTCAGGGTATTATCCACGCAAAAACCGGAGGTACCTTCTGAATGTCCCACCTGAAAAACCTCCCTCGAAAGTATACAAATCAACGTATCATATCGTTTGTCGTCTTTGTCGTTCCTTACAGCCCTGTTTTTAAGGCCCACTACAGTTATTTTTTACAACATCAGAATCAAAGTTTCTAGAAAATGAATCGCTGGCACTGTACCAAAAAAACGACGGAACACATTATGGTGACATTCCATTTTTTATTACACGTACATATTTTACTGATAATTATTTTACTGTTTAAAATTCTGCCCGCTCTGTCTTCACGGCAGGGCATTATAAAACCTTTTTTGACGCATACACCGCGATTCAAAAGTGGCTGTAACGGCTCTTTAATGTCTTTTGAGGCGTTGTCTTGAATCGATCAAACACTACAGATATTCTCAGCTTCCATCATTGCTAGGACTAGTGCTTTTTTGGAACTTTACTTTCCAAACGTTTTTGCATTATATGTAATCGCAATATGTAATCTATAGACTAATTAAAATCTTTTGAGCTCTTTAGTTCAAGATTTTTTGTTGTACCAGGGGCCTGTTTCACTAACATAAAAATAAATAAAAGAGAAGTAGGGGGGAGCGAGAGAGCATCGAAAACGCGTTTGCGAGCAAGAGAAACCGGACGAAAAGCAAAAGTAGCCTACTTCTCTTTCGGAGTGACTTTTTGCGTCCAAAAACCGGAGTTGGCCGCAGAATTTTGGCCATAACTTTTTTCTCAATTGGTATAGGAACACCCTTCAAAAAACCAAATAAAGCTGACGGTTGAGACTACAACATATCCAAATTTCGTTGTTTTATTTTCAAGAGTAGATTAGCTATATAGCTTAAAGTACAGAGTACATTTACACTGAAGATCCGAAATGTTTTATTTCTCGGTCAATTTCAAAATGTTGACGCTTTAATTTATACCAGTCGATAGCCCGTCTTTTTTTCTATGAGGCTTTTTTAGAGGGCCAATTGTAGGTCTTATTATGGCTGAGTTATGGCAAATTTACCTCCATTTTTGTCATAAAAAGAGCCCTCAAATCAAAGGAAGAGGAAAAGTTCGCCCCTTTCGGAACGACTTTTTATGGTCAAAAATGGAGGTTACCTTGATTTAATTGCCCGTAACTCTATCAATTTATGATATATCGCCACCCCTCAAAAAACATAATGTAGCTAAGAAACGTCTTTACACACTGATATGACATTTGTAATTATTCTTATAAAATTTGGTGAGAAAAATGCGTTTTTATTCCGCGAAGAAGAAAAAACGAGATGGTTGGCCGTACTACTGTAAAATTAGCGGTCCACCGGGCTATAAAAGGAATTCAAAACACATATTGTCTAAAACTACTTAAAAAATTCTATGTGTTGTTTTTTGGAGGGTTTCAATCCGAAAAGTTTTACCCAAGTTATGGGAATTTTAAGCTCAAATTTAGTCGGTTTTCTCAAAAATTAAAGCACGCGTACTTTACGATTTTTTTAAGGACGGGTTTTGGCGCCACAGCAATGAAAATAATCTTGGTGATAGCTGAAACTGTCAGCTTCATTGTAAATTTTGAAGGGTGTTCCTAGACCAACTGAGAAAAAAGTTATGGCCAAAATACTGCCGCGAACCGCGGTTTTGGACGTAAAAAGTCACTCCCGCAAAAGTAGGCTACTTCTGCTTTTCGTCCGGTTTCTCTTGCTCGCAAACGCGTTTTCGATGCTCTCTCGCTCCCCCCTACTTCTCTTTTATTTATTTTTATGTTAGTGAAACAGGCCCCAGCTTCTCGAACATTATGTTTCCTGGTTTCCAAAAACGAAATGTCAAAAAATTTTCCAGCCTTTATTATGTCCTGCTGCAATAAAGTCGACAAAATTGTAAGCAGCAAAAGAATTATTTATAAGTAAGCATATAGAAGTTGACCATAATTTTTTTGTCGTTTTTAATACCGTAGGCCATGAATCTTTTTTGGACACTTTGATCCTCGAGCCCTAAAAACCGCGATTCAAGTCTTGCGGCCTCTCACAAGTCTGTTCGTCTTTTTATTTCGGTTGATTGAAGCTCCTCCATCCATTTCGGCTTCTCCCATCGCACCTTGCCATCTCCATCCCCCTCACCTTGCCCTCCCTCCCCCTCACCTTGCCGTCTACACCGTCAAGTTTCCTTCGCTTCCAGATTTAATTACCGCCCTCAGCTTCTCCTCCGTCCCTACCTGTCGCCCCTCTTCCGCATCCATAATTCAAAATGCCGATCTACTTTTTTCGCAGCGCCCTTCTTATTATGGAGACCGGTTCTTTTCACTTTTTCTTTCTGCCACTTAAAATCCTCCGAAACTTAAGCATAATTAAGGTGCAGGTAATGAATCGCCCGCTACCGAACCCTTCAGAAATTCCGGAATCCTTTTTTTTGCGTCGCCCGTTGCATTCAAATGTAAGCGGAATTGGGCGTTTGCCGAAGAAAACTTAATTTTAAGCGAATTTTCATTGTATTTTAGTTGTTTGATTGAGAGTTGCGGGAGTTTGAAGGTGTTTTGAAATTGAAATAGCTGTTGTAGGGTAGCTTAGGGCATACTGTAAAATGTTTTATTTGAAAAAGGGAAGGGTCAGTGACTCTATGTATTCAAAAGTGAAGGGTCCCATGTGCGACGCTCAGATTTCCTTTCAATTTTGCACACCCATTGGGCATAGGCCACATATCAATTGTTCTAAATTTTAGCTCGCGCTTTGCAAAGAGAGCCGAGATATTCAACGATCTTTGCGGTCGAGAGAGTACGCGAAACGCGGAGAGCGGTCACAGAGACAAGGACGTTTTGGCCGTATTGTAGCTACTTTCAAGCGCTAAAAATTTATTTATGGTGGAAATGTTACCCTGTATGTTAGATAATAGGCATGAAACCTTTCGTCAAAAACCTCGCAATAAACTGTCGTATTTTCTTTGAACTTTCCATCTGAAAATCACGGCCGGTTCTGTAAATTTCAAGCTAGCAATCTCGCACGTGCCTCAGGAAACAATTGTCTAATTTTGTACTAACTTTCATTAAAATGTGAGCGTTGCACTATGAGCACTTTCCTTGTGTCATCATGTCAAAGGTAGCTAATTTTGCAAAAAACAGTTACATAGATGAGGTAATGTGTAGCCGGTATTGTATGAAGATACGTTTTGGTCTCCGATATGAAGACAGGTCACGACAAAAATGCATGAAGGTTCCAAAGTCCTCTAAATCTTGTTCTTCATCAGTCTAATCCCTGCAGAAGAAACTTTAGTTGCATTACAGTTTCTTCTCATCCAACTCGGGCTTTTCATTCTATGAACGTTGGACACCAAAAAAATGGTATTATATATGTATGCATATGGTCTTTAATTTCGGCATAGATTGGAAGATCATTCTTGAAACCATCAATTTCTTCGGTGCTGTATCTGTACTTTAGTTGGGGAAAACTGGTAAGCCTGAATAGGTCCAACAGGCTCGCCAAACTGCTATATTAGCCGTTTTTCAGCGAAATTGATGGTTTGGCTACCAATCCTACCTTTTGGCTAACAACAAGCACCATTTTTTCCTAGCACTTTCGATAGTATCGCTTCGTTTAACCAGCGTTTAAAAACCGTTGGACCACAAGCTAAAATGCCCTTGATTGGTTGACTTTTGATCTTTAAAGTTTTTCCCTACACTCTTTGAACTGTGGATGATGCCATTAGCCGACTCCGTAAGCCGCTCGTTAACCCTCCCTCTCCTTTTTTGCCCTCCCTCTCTTCCCATTGGTCGCTTTTTTCTGTCGCGCTTCTTACTGTCCACTCGAAGCCCCTCATCCAACGGTCCGCGGTGTGGGATTGCGGTTTCAAGTAGCCGTTAATTGCACTATGAATTACTTTTACTTTCCCCCCGTTCCATCCCCAACCCAAACATTAAACGTCTAGGATCCACGCGCAACCCCCCAATATATAGACGTATATAGCGGGCGCTACGTGGCTCCAGTATTGTTTTTGCTCGTATTTTGACTTGACGCGTCTGTGATTTTATTGTAGACATCTCTACGCGACTAAATGTTGAAATTTTTTATATTGTACTAGACAAAATTTGATTAATTTTTTCAATTTTTTTTAGATTTTTTCTGTCGTATTGATGAATAACGGATAAAGCAGGCCGCTGAAGACCATTTGAAGTGTTTATTGGCAATCTTTACCGCCGAAACCGAGGCAAATCAACCAGAAGGAGAGAAAAACGCAAAAATTATTATGCGGTTTCGGCGGAGAACATTAATACAGGTAAGAAGAGATAATTTCAAATAGTTTTTGGTTTAAAATACGAAGCTACAAAGTACACTTTTTTTGTTTTAAAACCCCACGACATAAAAATTTTTTTCTCTGACCGTCTCTCTCAATTTTCCATAGTCTCTCGTTTGAAAAGATCGTTGAATATCTCGGCTGTTCTTTGAAATAGGGGGCTAAAACTTTCAGAAATTAACTTGCAGGCTATTTACAGCATTGTTAAAAAATTTTAAGAAAATTGGAGGGTAAAATACGAAAAAAAATTTCATCGAAAAATTAAATTTTTTTAAAAAATTTAAAAAATCAAGTCAAACTGACCTTAAAATTAAAGACGCATACTTTCCAGGCCCTCCTGCTCCTCTTTCTCCCCAGTTTTTGCTCATCTGTGGCCATAGACAACGACCTGATTGGAGAGCCGGACATTGAATGCTTGGACTCGCAGATCCGGGTCTGGATCAAAACTCGGAAGCCATTTGCCGGTCGAATTTACGCAATGGGAAAGGCAGATGACGATGGATGTTTCAAAGATGATTTTAGTAAACATAAGTCGAAGAAACCGAGGTTCGATCTGCCATTGGGGAAGTGCGGAATGAAAAGTTTGAGAAGTGTAAGTTTTCGAGTATAAAAATTTTTAAAAATAGAAAAAATATTGCGAATTGAGAGAAAAAGTGGTATTTTTGAATTTCCTTTTTTTATTGTTGCATTTTTCAAAAATTTTAGAATCGCGTTTTGCAGAAATTTTTTTTGTTAAACTTGATGGCAAAAAAGTTTTTTTTCGATATCGAATCTTCAGCTCCTAAAAAATGTTCAAATTATTATGTAATGTAAATTTTGCTTCCCTCAAAAAATTTTTTTAATTTCACCGTGCAAAAATTTAAAATTTAAAAATACGTCACTAAAAATTTTGCACGGTGCAGTCACTTTTTTCCCTGGAAAATATTGCCCTGTGCAGGTTCGAAACTTTCAAACGATTTTTTTTTTTTTGATTTTTCAGGAGAAAGGGGGGTTTAAAAATTCGAAAAATACTTGATTTCCATGTGCACTGTGCAAAAATGAAAAAAATAATTTCAAAATTCAGCCCCAAAATTTTCAAAAATAGCAAAAAAAAATTGTTATTCCAATTTTCAGATGGATCCCCGTGGAATGTATTACGGAATCACGTTGGTTGTCTCGTTTCATCCACTTTTCATCACCAAAGTCGATCAGGCTTTCCATGTGAAATGCTTTTTCGAGGAGGTCAACAAGGGATTGACGGCTGAGTTGGGGGTCAGGTAAGATTGCTAAAATGTTTATTAGGCTTCTGAATTTAAGGTAAAATACGTATCGTCGAGTGGGAATTTTGGAATAAAAATAATTTTTTGCAAAAAATTTTGAAATTTTTTTATGTTATTCTGACAAAAAATATGGTCGATTAAACTGCTAAGAGGGTTTATAAGTACGGTAAAAGTATTTATTTTCCATTAGACCACCTTCTACAGCTAAAGTTTAGAGATTTCCCTCCAAAATTTTTAAAAAATCGTCAAATTTTGGTCCCGCAACGAAAACTTTCTAAAAGAATTTTTCCTAATTTTGCCTTTCAAAGGCTTTCTGAACCCTAATTCAACATGTTTTAGTATGATTGCCACCACCGAGATCGATGCTCGTCATGGAATTCCGGGCTGCAGCTACAGTATCCATCGGTCGTCCATTGAGGAATTGGACGAAGGTCAGCCGGCTGGGGCTCCAATTCAGTTCGCCAAAATTGGAGACAAGGTTTTGCATCAATGGCATTGCGATGACTGTGAGTTTTCTCAATTCTTTTTTGATTTTCTTGAGGAAAAAATTTAAAAAAAATGTGTCATGATGACTCATTTTTTTGAAATTTTCAAAAATCATGTCATGTCAGACATGTTTTCTCTCCAAGATTTTGACATTTTAGCAAAAAAAAATTTAAATTCGAAAAATTTTAAAAAAAATATGTCATGATGACATAATTTTCCGAAATTTAAAAAAAAAGATCTTTTTGTAAAAACTTTTAAAAATCGTATTTTAGCGTGTTTTAGTTCTCTAAAACCCCTGAATTTACCTACATTTTATTTTTTGAAATTTAATTTTTCCATATTTTAGCCATGTACGGCGTCCTCGTCCACAACTGTTACGTGACGGACGGTGTGAACACCAAGGCCGAGGTGATTGACTCCCGCGGATGTCCGGTGGATCCAATCCTGATCACGGGCATCCGATACTCGGCCGACTTGCAACGAGCCTACGCCGAGTCGCAGGTGTTCAAGTTCGCGGACAAGCCGGCCCTCTGGTTCTTCTGCCAGATTCGGATGTGCATGAAGAAGGACGGGAGATGCGATGGGGTTACGGTATGTTTGAAAATTGGTCAGAACAATGTTTTGAGTATTTTGAAAGGTTTATTTTTTAATGTTTCAAAATTTTTTGAGGGAGAAATTATATTATACTAGGAAAAATTGGCCTTTGGGTACAAAAAAACAGTCACACTTTAACCATATCGTATTTTACCTTTAAAAAAATAATATTGGCTAATGAAATTGTTTTTGCCAGTTCAAATTTGTACCAATTCCTCAAAATTTCGAGTTTTTAGTAAAATTTCCAGAAAATCCGTCATAATGACTTGTAAAATACGAATTATTCAAAGATTTCTTAACTTATTATTTATTTCATAGACCATATATATAATACATAAAAAGTTTCCAGTTCAAAAATCATCCCCTAAGGGAATTTTCAACATCTTTTTGACTATGATGACGGATTTTTTAGAAATTTTCCAAAAAAAAGCGATTTTCGGTGGTTTTCAAATTTGCACCGCTTGATAAACAAATTTTGCGCAAAATACGACCATTACCCATCTAATTTCAGCCACCTCCCTGCTCAACGAAAGAGGACAACGACAATGTTCATCTTTTGTCGGGAAAAAAAAGCGGAAATACCGATGAAAAAGAAGAGGAAGAAGAGAGTAACAACTCGGAAGATGAGGAAACGGAAACCACAGAGACTGAGGAAGAGATTGGTGAGGAATACGACGAGACCACACCTCCACCAACCACACGACAACGAAGTCCGTCGACCAAGAGACCGAAGAAACAGAAGACAACGACCAAAAAACCGACAGATCGGAAGAAGAAACAGTTTGAGTAAGTTGGAAATATGGAATTGAAGGTAAAATACGTTGTCCCCTTCTATAATTACACTATTTTTGTCGCTACTACACCACTTTCGAATATAAAAAGTATCAAAAAAATTAAATTTTTGGGCTAAACAAGGTCAAGTTCAAGGTGCTCTAGACGTCGCAATTTTAAAAGCAGTGTTATCAAAATTTAAACCCTTCAAAAACATGACCTGACAAGAGTATATTCTCAGTTTTGTTCAAATCCGATCACTCGGCGACAGTTTATACGATAATTTTTGTTCTAAACTTTTTTGGAGGTAAATATTGACGGTTTAGTTCAGAACGCTCTAGTGGTTGCAGTTTTCACAGTAAGGTTATAAACTTTTTGCTTGTGCAAGATAATGATGTCGTTAACGTATGTTAGAATTTTCACTCGAATCCAGTCGTTAGGCGACATTTTATACGATGATTTTTCTTGAAACCTTTTTTGATGACAAAAGTCAAAAAATTTTTACTTTTTCGGGAAAATTACTGGTTTAGAAGACGAAAATTGTAATGTACATGGAATTTTAGGATAGCAGGAGACCGAGCCATCAATTTTTTATTAATTTTTCCACATAAAACTTTCGTATTTCAGCGAAAAACCGCGCGGATTGTCCCCCATCGCGGAGCCCGCCCCAAGTCCCTCTCTCCCCTCTTCCGAGCATCCCGCCGTCCCCTACGGCGGCCTTCCACCATCTTCTCCGATTGTCGCCGACAGCAACGACAATGCTCCGACAGTGTTTGGACCCGGCTTCTCGCCGGACAAAGAGGCTTTCGGCGGCCAAGCCAAGGACTCCAACCGCCGGGAGGCGGCGCACACCGACTTTGAAACCAACGACGATCTGCATCCGGAGGACGGGAAGCAGTATGATCACCCGACCACGGCGTCGCAGGGCTCGGTCCGCCTGTCCAGCGCGCAGTCCAAAAAAGGTGGCTTTTTCGGAAGGTTCCTAGGTTGGTTTTTGGGCACCATTAATCAAAGATTTGTTTTCCATTTTTTCCATTTTATTTTTACATTTTCATTTTGAAGTGAGTTTTTATTTGTATTTTATGGGAAATTTGGAACGGTGAGGAGTGGTTAAGGATAGGTAAAGGTGTGAAAAATTGGAATTTGGGGCAAGAGGTGGCCAGAAAATTAAGTTTTCAGATTTTGTTGAAACTTGGCACATTCTATTTGACCAATCGACTAGAAATCCCTGCAAAAAATCAATGTTTTCCGACTAAAATTCAAAAAGTTACAGCCATTTTTTCTCCGGTATCAAGTACAATATAATTTTTTTAAATTTCTTTTGTTCTGCCGCTCTCTTCTAACTATCACTGCTTTTTTCTTTGAATTTCTGTTCCTTTTTATGTTTTCGTATATTTTATTCAATGTTTTTACACAAAATTTCAGACTACGTTGACTATGATTCCGATGTGACGATACCTCCAACTTTGACCGATTTGCTCGCCAATTTGCCCGATGATATTAATCGAGAGGGCATTCAGAAGATGCTCAAAGACTCGGTGACGGATCGAAGGGCATTGCTGAGTAGTATGGACGATCTTATGAGCAAGGTAAGCTGATTCTTATATTACACTTGGTATTTTAGAGCAAAAAATTATTTTTGAATGGTTTAAACTCACTGAATTCTTCTTTTTTAGCTTCGATCTGAAGGATTATCGGATGTGCGGAGGTCTCCGACCAGTCGATCGAAGAGGCGACCCGGCGAACGCATCGATCGGATGGAGGTTTGTTATCCATGAGGACTAATATAAAAGCTTCGAATTTTAGGTGTCCTGGGACTCGCATCGGATGCGAGATGCTCCCTTGCCCTTCGAAAGCGATGAGCCAATGATATCTGGGCAGTTGATGATCTACGATCTGGACGAAACTCCTCCTTTGGGAGCGACTTTGAGAGGTAGGTGTCTAGTGCAATATTGTCAAATTTGATACCTAAATCTCCTCTAAAAATCGACAAACAAATTCAAAATTACCTTTCAGAGTTTGGAGTCGAAGAAGAGCATGTTGAATCGACGGACGGTTGCGCCATCAGCCGACAGGGACTCCTCGTTTTGGCGATGAGCATGGGCTCGTTGATCTCCACTTTACTCTTCGTTCTGGCTGTCATGTGCATGAAACAGCGGAGAATCTGCAGAAAAAAGGCTAACGGATCATATGAGTAGTCATCAAGTTTATCTTTCTTCCATTAGACACCATCTATATTACACTTGACATCAAGTGTAATATAGGTGAATGTAGGATAATATATCCTATTCTGTCTTTCATTTCGACGATCTGCATGTTGTATTTTGTGTTCTTTCACTTTGTAGTAACTAAAACCCTTGCCAAGTTCTCATTTTTCTACCCTAATTCCATATTTTATATTGTACTACATACCAGTTTATTTATTGATAATTTCTAATATTTAATCTTGTGATTAATTGAATAAACTATACAAAATAATGTGTAAGTTTCGTTTTAGACTAGGATTCGACGCAAACTACAATAACTTTTATCTTATTCACCTTATATATACCTTGAAAATTGACGAAAAACTGCTCAAAAATAACCATAAAAAGTTTCAAAACTTTTCCAAACTATTCGTTACGGCATTTTACGTCGATAGCAACCTTTACAAAATTTTTGAACTGTTTAAACTTTTGTAAATAAGATAATTTTACTAAGGGTCACGTCCAATATGGATGGAAGGTCTGATCTTCAAGCGCAGGCGGCCGATCGTTTCTCATCTATTTCTGGCTCCTACTCTTGGCGTCGTCTCTCATACACATAGCCTTCCTTTACTTTGACACAATCTATTTGTGGCCATGGGGCGAATCGAGGGATCGGCCGGGGACTGAACCGGGGCTGCTGAACTTGGAGAAACGGCGGTGGCTGGGCTAAAAAATCGATGGAATAAATAAATTATGATAACTTTTATCTACTGCAACAACAATTGCCTCAATTTTTTCCACGAAAAATGAGCAGAGATTCGGCCAAAAAAGTTTTTTTCTGACTGCAATTCGAGAATGAACTTGATCATTATTACCACTCACCTTGATCCCGGCAATTCCACAAAAGGCTGAGGGAATCGGATTGACCCTTCCACATCACTTCCAATTCCAATTATCGATCCTTCAGCTACAATTAAGGCCGCTTCCCCGCCTGAAGAACCTCCGCAAGGCCGAAGTCTTCTATCCGGAAAACAAATCGCGGGCTTGGACCTAAAATAACAAAAAATTTTATATTGCACCAGGGAAAAATCGAAAGAGAGATAAAACTTACCGCTATACAATGTCATGTCCTGTTACTGGCTGTTATCGGGCGACAATTTATTGAAACAAGTTATGAATGGATGTCAATTTTTTCCGCTTGTACTGGCCCTTCAGGTGCGTCCCACCACGAAAAAATCAGAACGCCAGTATTATCGAATATTCCATCATCATTTGCATAAACGTGGACAAAATTCGTGTTGGCACTGCCGTTCTTGCCGTCCACTCCACGATTTTTGTACTAGAGACGCCGGCCGACCTTTTGATGCCGGATTTTTTTCAATAATGCCCGATTACCGTCCTTCTCTTCGCGTTGGATCCACTAAACTCGACACTACACGGTGATTTATATACGGTAAGGGTTTGAATTTCCTCTTGTTTTAGATTATTTTTGGTATGAATAATATAAAATTTGCTCAAGTTAATGATTTTTTTTGATTTCAGAGCTGCCAATCACTCTCCTCTAACTACTCAATGCGTTCATTTCTCCTTAGAGCCTGTTCCATCATCAGGAGTTCCGCTCTCAATGTATACTTCACTATCTCTGAATTTTCTGGACGTCGCTCAGGATCAAAAGGCACGTGGCATCAAATATTCTTGTAAGTTTTATTTTTGTTCTGTTTTTGCCGAGCTGCGTCCACAGTACTCGTTGCTTATTTATAGGTTGTTTTATCCTCTTATTAACTGCGTATTGTTGTAGACGTTTATTTTATTATATCGATTTACAGATTCCATCGGATCGTCACATCATCATAGCTTCAAATTCCTCTTCTCTTCAACATCCCGTCAAATATCGACCAATTATGGACCTCAACTGCAACAACAACATGCCGACCACAAAGGACCTCCACTTATAACAAGTGAAACTGGAGCTTGGACAACATCGTCAAACATGGACTGGTAATTTATTTATTGGATGCTGAATATATATTATTGTATAAGATGTAATAACATAGCTCTTTATTGGATAAGGTAGTCAGTAGTAGTAATCGGAGTATTTTCTTCTCTATCAAGGCCCAAAAGCCGGACTCAAGTTTCGGGGTATCAAAGTTGTGACCACAGTAGAGGGGGAGTCGGGGGTCTCGGAGCTGTTCGGCCTTGGGTGTCGGGAGAGTTGAACTCCCTCTTATACTTGGGACAAGTACCGGAGGTGACCAAGGGCTGGTAATCGGAGTACCCCGGGTTCCGTTGACCCGGAATTGGTACCCAATGCGGATCAGCGGCTCTGCTTTCACTAGTCCTTGTGAAAATGCTGGGAAAAGTGGGACGAACGCTGGGCTATCGGTTATAACAACCAAAAAAGTTGAGAAGTATATTGCGAATTGCCATCTTCCGAAACGAGCGGAGGCTGTTGATGTGGAAGATCGGTCGACCGATTGGATGCATGTTCAAGGCCTTGGCCAAACCTTTAAAAATCGACCTAACCCTGTGATGACGGCTGTTTCGGATAAACCAAGCTGGAGCCATCGATACGCCGCAGAGTTCGGTAATCGGTGGTGCTGAGACCTGGGGCGCTCGGCCGAAGTCCTCTTTCCCCTCCGAGCAGCCATGAGCGGGGGCCCTACGGCCGGCACGAAGTTAAGGCGGGTCAACGAGGTCCCCAACGTGGGTAATGTAGCGAAAGCTCGCCTCTATACCGCGGTCGTGCGCTATGGTTCCGGCTGAAAACGTCCCACGTGCCGGTACGGGTTATGAGGTCAAAACCACTTTGAAATTTCAGCTTCACTACGTAAGTTTGCGGAGGATCGTAGAGGTAAGTTTTGAGCAGTGCGCACAAAGTAGGGGGATGGCAAAATCGCATCAAATATACAGTTTTTATTTTGTTTTTTTTTTTGTTATAACCGATACTCCCAGAAAGTCATCCCACTTTTCCCAGCATTTTCGATCAACAAGGAGTAGTGAAAGGAGAATCGCGGTGAAGCAGATATAAGCCACGACTGGCAAAGCGGCAATACCGGCCGAAACGAGAAGTCCGCCGCTTGAACCGACGGGAAACACCCCAAGATAAGCTGGGATAGACCCTCCTTGACATCCCTGGCTCGGACAGTAAACCAGACCATGGGGTCTACACCACCAAAAAGTGGTGTAGACACTGGGGCCAAACGTGTTCGGCTTTGGGGGAGTGCTCCCTCCCTACTGTGGCCACAACGACGATGCCCAATAAAACTCGAGTCCTAGAAATTTTATATATTACCTTATATCATAAGGCATAAGAGAAGAAAATTTATTCCGAAATACTATTACTACTGCTAACAAGACTTTGAATTGTGATTTACTGTATTATATAATGTATTCCGATATTGTTATGATTCATGCGATATATTACTATACTTTTGATATTTTATTAATTTTCGAATTGTTTCTATGTTTTAAAATGAATTTACCTCTCTTTCGTATCTTGTTTTTTTGGATTGCATAAGTGCAATAACTCAATGTTGCGTATGTTCGGAATGATGTTTATTATTGAATATTCTGGGATATTTATAGTCATATATTATCTTATAAACTGAGGTATAGGCGGAGACAGGCAAAGTCGTATACGGCATGATTAGAAGCTGTCGAAGGACTGTTGGGATATGTCTCCATTGAATTTACTTATGGTTTTCAATAAACTCATACTTTCGGTATCGGTGACCATCGCCTCAGACTCGAAGTGCATGTTGTATTTTGTGTTCTTTCACTTTGTAGTAACTAACACCCCTGGCAAGTTCTCATTTTTCTACCCTAATTCCATATTTTATATTGTACTACATACCAGTTTATTTATTGATAATTTCTAATATTTAATCTTGTGATTAATTGAATAAACTATACAAATAATGTTTATAGAGCCTAAATTTCGTTTTAGACTAGGATTCGACGCAAACTACAATAAGTTTTATCTTATTCATCTTATATACACCTTGAAAATTGACGAAAAACTGCTCAAAAATAATCATAAAAAGTTTCAAAACTTTTCCAAACTACTTTTCACGGCATTTCAGGTTGACAGTAACCTTTGCAAAATTTTTGAACTGTTTAAACTTTTGTAAATAAGATAATTTTACTAAGGTTCATGTACAATATGGATGGAAGGTCTGATCTTCAAGCGCAGGCGGCCGATCGTTTCTCATCTATTTCTGGCTCCTGCTCTTGGCGTCGTCTCTCATACACATAGCCTTCCTTTCCTTTCACACAATCACGGGTTACTGTAACTTTTTCAATGTCACTTCCGGGGACTTCGAATTTGGCGACCAAAAGAACCTTTTCGATGATCGATCGGAGGGCTCGAGCGCCTGTCTTCCGCTCCAAGGCGAGGGCTGAGATCTCTTCCAGAGCTTCTTGATCAAAGTCTAGTTCTACCTAAAAATATATATTATACTAGACATCAGAAATAAATCATTGATTTTTCATGTGAAATCAACTGTAAACGATGCGAAATTTAATTGGAATGCACTTTAGGGCATTTGCTACTATCTAAATTTCAATTCGATCAAAAACTCGACGAAAATTATATTACACTAGACATCAGCTATACAAAACACCTAAAGATCATCTCAAATAAACCTCCAATGCCCACCAATCCCCTCCCAAATCTTCCTTACCCCATCCATCGCAAATTGAGTCTTCATCTGAGCCAGCAAGGAGTTCTTCGGCTCCGTCAGAACTCTCACCAACATCTCCCGATTAAACGAATGGAACGGGACGATCACAGGGAAACGGCCAACCAACTCGGGCACAATTCCAAATTTGATCAAGTCGCCTTGATCGGCTTCCGACAGAAGTTTATCACGTTTTTCGTTGATTTCAGCTTGAATTTTATCGTCTCCCGTGATTGAGTGGAAGTTGGAAGCTGACCCAAATCCAACCGAACGCTTGTCCAAACGTTGGCCAACAATCTTCTCGAGGCCGGTAAAGGCTCCAGACGACACAAACAGAATGTCAGTGGTGTCCATTTGAACCGTGTCCTGGAAAAATGACGTAACTTATATTGTACTAGACATTAGATACAAAAATGAATAGAACTGACCAAAAACAAGTTCAAAGCTTAATTTAAATTTTACAAATTACTCTATAAGCTTTCTAGTTTTTAATAAAATAACAATCTCCAAAGAATTCCATCATTTTCCATCTCTTTTCAGCAAAAACATCACCTAATACCTACTATAGCACAATTTTTCTTCCAAAACTCCCTAAAACCTCAATCCATCCCCTCCAAAAGTCCTTACCTGCTGTCCTGGAGCCTTTCTGCCACTCTTTACATTAGCCACTGTTCCCTCCACCAACTTCAATAAAGCATGTTGAACCCCTTCTCCAGCCACATCTCGATAAGCATGGCTGCCATTGTCGCCAGTTGCGGCGATTTTATCAACCTCGTCAAGGAATACGATGCCTTGTTGGGCTCTTTCAACATTTCCATTGGCATTTTGAAGGAGTTTCTGGAGGACCGATTCCACATCTTCTCCAACATAACCAGCTTGAGTCATGGATGTGCAATCACACAGAGCTATTGGGACGTCCAGAATGCGAGCTAGGACCTGAAATGGGATTATCATATCACTAGTAAAAATTGAATTCGATTTGAAGACACTTTTCGATATTACACTAGTTATTACGCTTTTTCAAAAGTGCAGACACATTTTCCGGCCGTTTTTGCACCGCACAGTGCAAGTTTCGTGTTCCCCGCGCACGGCAACCCGAAATAGAACAAAAAAGTCTCACGCCCCTTTTGTAGTTTCGTCTGAAACGAAGTGTCACAATCGATTAAAAAAATTAAATAATTCCAAAAAAAGATTGAGTAAATTGATGAAAATTCAAAAAATACGATTGTTTGAAGCTGTTAATCAGCCAGGATTTTAATAAATATGTTTGATCGATCTGCTGGACCATCCAAAAATTCATCTGGACAGATACCGTCCACTATCCGCCTCAATTCCAACGAATTAGAGCTCAAGGGAAGAATAAAGTTCCTGGAAACGCTTCTGGATCAGAAAACCAGACAGTTGGAATTAAAAAGAAGAGATTTGGACTATCCTGATAAACCCCAGAGTCAAACTACTTCAAAGAAGGTGAAGTTTGACAGGAAATCTCCGTATAATTGTTTGTCCAGGTCTATGGCATATAAAAGGTTAGTTATAACGTTATAATTCTTGTTTGACGTGTCTGTGTGTGCTTATGTTTGTGTGTTCCATTTTAGATTAGCTGAATTTATGGACGTTTTGTACTCCTGGGCTGGTTCGACGACTGGGGGTGAATTTTGCAAAGATTCCGCCAAGCTTCTGCTAAATCATGTGGCAAAACGACTGGGAATAGATTTATCCATGAGTTCCGATACTGAAGATGATCTCCTAAAGGTGAAACAATGCAAGAAAAAACACATACCTAAAGAAAATGTCCTGAACTTGAATGGTTGAATACCTAAAATCTGTAGTCGGAAAATTGCTACCTGTACCAGCCGAAAAGACTGCGGATGCAATATATAAATCCATTTTTAAACTAATACAGGTATAGATAAACCAGAGGTCGACAACTTTTTTCTCCTCGATATCGATGCGTTTTACAGCCTTTGACAGAGAAAAACAATTTTTTCGAGAAAAAAGACGCCGATAAACTTGTGACATTTCGTTTCAAATTCTATCGATACTAGGTGGGCAAAGTGGCAAAAGCCTGATGAGACACTTCACGTCAATCCAGCGCATTTCCTGAACCGTTTCGAAACTTCGTATCGTTTTCATTGGTTTAAATGAGAGACGAAATGTCGCGAAATTATCGGCACTTTTTCTTGCCCGAAATAATTGCTTTTTCTCGAAAAGGAAGAAGAAAGATAAGAAAATGCTTTTTATCATTTTGTTTTGAACGAATCACCAAAAAGGGGCGGGAAATTTTTTCTTCTATTTTGGATTGACGTGCACTTTGGGTTGCCGTGCCGCGCGACGCGATCCTTTTCGAAACATTTTGCACTGTGCAATTTCAAAAAATTCGCGCCGGCTCCGTTGAGAAAAGCTTGCGTCGCAGCGATATCCGGTTGCACAGTGCAAAAGGTCAAAATGCACCCCGCAAAAGGGAGTTTTGTGCACGGTGCGGCCCACGACAAAATGTGTCTGCACTTTTGAAAAAGCGTAATATGCCAACATAAAATCCTCAGAAATAGACAAAAATATCCTAATGACACCAGGCAAATCAAACTTTATATCATTTCCAAACTTTGTAGACCATTTTGCAACCTTATACTGCCCAAAATTCATATTCACCTTCTCATGGATAATATAAAATTTTTCAAAATCTGTTACAATTCCATTCCCCAAACTCTCAAAAAACCCCTACCTGTGTGACAAATGTTTTTCCGACTCCACTAGGGCCCAGGAGCATGATATTACTCTTCTCCAAACGGATCATCTCCTCGTCTTCCTTCATTCTCTTAAATGCGGACTCAAAGTCCGGAATATGGCTCTGAGGTTCGTTGGAGGTGATTGGAGGACCTCGGCTGGGATGGTACGTCAAATGGGTCACATTCGGCGTTGGATGAGATTCCGAAACTGTGAAATCTGCAAAAATTTCATGGAACACAGTTTATTGCCTAAAATCAGAGCAAAAAATCCAAAACTCACGGTCATGAAACTGATTTGGGATGGAACTTATATGAGGAGAGCCAAAAGTGCCATTAAATTGATTTGCGGGATGAATCCCTCCCATATTTACAGGCTGCACACCTTGCCCTTGTTGTTTTTGCAGTTTTCTCTCTATATTGTTTGCCAATCGGCGATAATGTTGGTACACACCGACAGCCAGAGTCCTCTTAGCGTCTCGTTGACCCACAACATATCTTTCCAAGTAATTGAAAATCTAAACATCAAAAAAATTAAGAAAAGTTCACCTGGTTGTATAACGTAAAAATTTATTTTTTTACCTCTTGAGGATATGGCGGACGCTTAAACACGTTATCCTGCTGTTTTATGCCATTTCCTTTTTGTTCGGAGCGACCTCGACCAGTAGAATAGAGTCGTTGGCATTCCGAACATCGCAGATAGTTACTTGAAGCTAAAACAAGGTCATAGTTCTCTCAAATCATTATGAATTAACCTAAACCTCAAGAAAAAGCAAGAACTACTCACAATTTACAGTTGGAGCACCCTTCAACGGTTTCCCGCAATGTGTGCAATCGGCGAATGCCGTTGCCGATAACGTTGCACCTTCCGGGACCGGAAGATTACCCGATTTTGGGGGTTTCTCACTTCCATCGTTGGAACCCGTCGACGAGAGTCTCACTGGTGAGGCAAGGACTCGGCATTGTCTTCTACATACATGCAACAAGGCTACCTGTCGTTTCATGCCTCTGAAATGATGTGTAAGATACATCAAATAAAATATCTTTAAAACACGCGAAATTTAATTATGATAGTAATCAATACAGTCCAACCAAAGTCCAACAGTCTTGAAATGCGATAAGTAGACAGATTGGCTCATATGATGATCAATGTCCACATCAGATAATCCAAAACAATATTTTAGACCAAGGACAACATCAAAGAACGCCGTGAAGCCTCAAATTTCTCCAACTGACCACGTAAACACTCGACTGGCACCAGACAACAATGCTCTCGATTGACGTGATGATCACATGAATATTTTCGCGGAAAAACGACCATAATTGACATAATGCCAAGGTTCTCTTGGCATTCAATCTTTGCGTGCCAGGACCCGATAAATTAAGTTATTACTCGATAATTGACATTGCGTCGTGCTGGAAAAAACAATAATGTGTGGAAAATAAAAAAGAGTAAATTATTGTAACAATTACTATATATATTTTGTCGACTGTAGTAACATTGTAATATAGATTATTTTGATGCCTAGTGTAACTTAAAAAGGAAGCGAAATGTTCTCGTTGGGACGAGGAATGTACCAGGAGATGGTACGGAAAGACGAGTTCTTCGTTCTGGTCTGTGGTGCCGAAGGAGTGGGCAAAACAGTAAGTATTTTAGCCAGTTTTCCTCTTTTTTGAATTTAGACAAGACTAGTATCAAGGATAATATCATTACCCAATCTTAAGGCTAAAATAAAGTCTTCAGACGTTCGCAGAACAAATCCGAGCCCAATGTGATCCTCGATTCAAAGCGCCGAAGAAACCGTCCAGCACAATTGGGTTAAACTGTAGGTTTACAACTTGCTTGTTATCGGTTTTAGGAAATTGAAGTTATCAGCAGTTTAAACCAATCGTAGCAGGTTAAATTTTCGAAAAACTTCTTGACAGTTTTACTGCCTCGGTTGTAAACTCGTTTAACGCAGAATAACATGTGAAGAATTTGCTTTTTCGACGTTTTTATATATTAACCATGAGCAATATCGGGTTTCAGTGGTAAAGTTCGAAACAGATGGATTTCTCTTGAACTTTTGGGATGTTGGAGGGAATGTGGAGTTGCAAGACCTCTGGAACCGGTATCTGGATGATTGTCACGCCATTATTTTTGTTGCGGAGACCACAGGGGATGAGGAGAAAATCGAAGAGTCCCTTCAAGCGTTCGGTAAGTGTAATACAGTTTTGTTGGTTAAAATTTAATTGATTAAAGTACGTTTTGTGAGTTATCGGGTGCGAAATCTCTTTGCTTTGTTCAAACAATGTTTTTGAACTTGGATTTGGAGTTACATAGATTCTTTTATATTATAGTAGACATTAATGTCAAAAATTTTTTTATACGTTGGTTTTTGGATCTGTGGGGTAAAAGTTCTGGGCGTTATAAGGCTTTACGGTCAATTTGGAAGGTTTTTCAACCCTTTTTTTACTTTTTTTTTATTAAAATTTTGTTTAAATTTGGTCCCGTTATAATTGCTTTAGGCCTAATTATTAGGGCTATTATCTGAGACATTGTCGGTAATTTTTTATTCAGATTTGTTATGAAAACCTTTTTTGGCCACATTTTCTTTAATTTGGACGACTTTTTTATATTATACTAGGCATTGATACCTAAAATTATCTGATTTTTTTGGGTCCTTTTGTATTTTCCCGACTTTCTAGCCGTTTTTTTAAATCAAGTTTATCTTTTACATCCACACAGTACAACTTTTTTACGTATATTTATTTCATTGTAAATCTTTTTTTTTTGTTCGCAAAACAAAATCCCGTAATAAATGGTAATTTTAGGTATGAAACTCCGAAACCAATTCGATATATAGAATGGAAAAGACTCGAGTAGAATAAGGTTATAATAATTAACAGTATTGTAGTATACAATGTCAGTGATAAGAGACGACTTTTTATATGATATAGATGCATGGAAGGTGACTCTCCGACTGTTTCAGAGAGAGTCCAGAAACACGAGCGAGCCTTGACGTTGCCCTTGTTGATATTGATGAACAAATCGGATCAACTGGAAGAGGAAAAAAATGGGGAAAATCATAAAATTGAAGAGGGAAAAGATGTCCAAGAGGCGCAAGGACCCTCGAGATTGGAGCCCAAGATCTCTAGAGACGACCTGTTTAAGTTCATCGAGAGACAGGAGAACACTCCCATCGGAATGGACGAAAGTTCGAGTCAGACGTCAAGTATAAGGTCCAGTCCCAGTCTCCAGGATCAGTGGAAAAAACGGAAGAAAAACGAAGTTGAAGAGAGTCCCAGGCCGGGGAGTCTGGTCCGCGGATGGACCGAGACCGACGACGAACGGTACGATCAGTTCAAGGCGTATGGATGGTCCAGCTGTGAAATGGAGGAAGAGCATGCATCGAATGGGGATAAGAGAAGGTTGGACTTGATGGAAGAGCTGAGAGAGCGCGCCGATAAGAGTCATCGGGCCGACCTCGCCGTCTTCTCGATCTCCGCTCTGAAAGCACATAATTTAGAGAGGTGCAGGTAAGGAGAAGATAAAATTGTTTTGAAAAATGGGTTTAATATTGTTAAATTTGATCTAGAAATAAAGCTAGTAGTCTATTGAGTCTAAAAAAGTCGTTAGGAAACAGTTTGAGGTTGCGTTTATGTTGCAGTAGGCAGAAGTTTACATCTTTATCAAATTTTTGTCAAAAACAATATAAAAAACATTTCAAAATGCTGGGAATTTTATAGATCTTGTTCTAAATATAATTTTATGTCTAATTAGAGATTGTTAAAACCAAAACTGCCCATCTTCTGTCTAATTTTTGTCTTGTATTACACACGGTGACCACCTTCCAAAAAATTTACTTAAATCCACGATTTTTAATGGACTTGTCCAAAATTTGAGACAAAGATTACATTTAAATGAAATTTTAATTGTTTTCAGAGCAGAAATTACTGAGTTTACACCAATCTTTGATATTATATTACACTAGGTATACCAACTGAATGAAACTCCTATATCTCCTAATTCCCCGGTCCAATACAACTGAAATTTTCAGAAAATGGCTTTCTCAACAATTACTTACATCCGCCGTGCACTCAGCTCCAACATGATCCGCTGGGATGGCTTCACCAGCTCCAAAGAGTCCCGTAAACCTGCCCATCTGCGTAGTCTCCCACTCCTGCCGTCTTCCCATTCGTCTAACGCTTCGACAGAACGAAGCAGGAATAATGTTGTCCGGTGGAGGCGATCGTCGTCCTGAAATTTTCTTGTTTTTACGGGTTTTAAGAGATTTTTATCCTATTTTGTCTAGTGTAATATCGGAATTCAAAATTCTAATTTTGTTATGGTGTCTAACAAGTAGCAGAAATGTAATAGATAGTAATTTTTTGATTTAGAGTAGGTTCGGTGATTAAAACCCGGGTCAATTGACATTTCATGTGATATTATTCATGTTTGTATAAAAAAGATGGATTTTTTGTGGATTTTGGTGGTTTACGGGGTGGGAAATGGTTGAAAATGAAAGAAGAGAGAAGGTTGGGTATGTAAAGTACGGGGATTAAATTAATTTTGACCTTTTTCGATTCAAAAATTGAATTTTTGGCAAAAGTAAGGCGAGGTTTTTTATAAATTATTTTTTTTTGTCTAAAAATCATGAAAAAATGGATGATCTTTCCGTATTTTACATTTCAAATTGCTCCCTACTCCTTTTTAAGCCTAAAGGTGTCTGAATTTCCGAGATTTAGACACCAAAACTACCATTTTTTCCTATATTATACTAGATAACCAAAGCCAAAAAAAAATTTAAGTTTTTCTCACCTTGAACTCTCCTAACGTCTCCAGCACCTCGCATCTGACTCCGGCCTCCTCCTCGACCTCTCTGAGCACTGCCTCGTCCATTTGTTCGCCCAATTCAATGCCTCCGCCCGGGATCACCCAACGATGGGGTCCTCGTTGGGCCGAGACCAGCAACAACTCCCACTCTCCGGCCTCGTTTCGGCGAGCACAAATCCCGGCGGCACGTAGTCGGTAGCCGCGAGCGTCCCGCAGGCGCTCTCCGTTCTTGGATTTCCATCGGCGACCCGCCTTGTTGTTGTTGTTGTTCAAAGCGATGGCTTGCGCGGCGTCCAACGGCGTCGCCGTCGACGGAATGATCACTGCTGAGGACGTAATGGTGGCGAAACTGAAATGCATCGAGAGTTAGATGGGTATGGCTTAGTTTTACATCAATGTTAAATGATTTTTTGCGAAAAATCATCAAAAATTTGATGGCGATTATATTAAAGTAGGCAGAAGAAGGCAAAAATAGACAAAAGAACCCTCAAACCGATTCAAAATAAAACACAGAGTATGATTTGCTTCTACCGAACGATTTACAGCATTATCAAATGATTTTTAATACCAGAAATAGGTAATATATTACACTAGACCTCAAGTGTAATATAAGCCAAATTAGCCCTCAAATTATCAAAAATTTGATGCCGATTGCCAACAAACGTCATTATAAGTCGCAAAGAACAGATTGCACCCCACTTTTACGCACTTGCCCAGCCAATGTTACATACATTTGACATCAAGTATAATATCAGATCCCCAGATCAGAAATCCGCTCTCCCCACCACATGCATCACCCCCAAATGAATCAAAGAGAAGTCGCGATCGATGAACGATGGTTTTCGGACGATGTTTCGCCGGGGATCCCATCCCTTTGGCGCCCTTTCGTCCGTCTGGACCCCAAGAAAAATGTGGGCCATTTCCGGTCGGGGACGCGTCCCGATTTGAAAAGAATTGGGAAGTTTTAAAGTCCGGGAAGACTACAAAAGTTTTCGGAGAAGTGGGAACGTATTGTATTGTGCAAAAATGGGGGTGGGAATTGACTTGGGAAAGGAGGTGGTTTTGGATGGCTAAAATAATATAAATTTGATGTCAAAAAATAAAAAAGAAGCTAGAAATTGTGTCTGATGAGGTAGAACGCCCTATCAATCGAAAATTGTCCAAAATCGACATAAAAATTTTGCGAAAATACAAGAAATCGTCAAAAATTGTAAAATTCCAGAAAATCCGTCATCCACCTATCTATATATCGAGGTAGTGAAAGTTCTATTACCGCGGACGCATGTCCATATACCGTATTTTACTTATCAACTTGAATTCAGTAACCTAATCGACCGAAACTCGTTAACTAAATGTGTCATCATGACGGATTTTCTAGAATATTTCAAAAAATGCGGGAAACTGTCGCTTCGAAAGACAGAAATGGATATTATATGTCACTTGCAGAATCAATAAATTGGTTGCATACGATATAAAACGCTCCACACACTAAAACTACCTTATTTTAGACATCTAATATCAAAAATTTCAGTTCACCTTAGATCCAAGAGAAAATCCGTTCTTCCGTTCGTTTCTTTGCAAACTTTACCCCTCAAAACCCCCTGTGCTCGGCCTCGCTTTACTCATGAGAAATTGGAGAAAACACAAGCGAAGGTTTAGTAAAGCCGGGCCCATCCCTTCCTTGGATTTTGTCAGCAAAAAAAAGAAAGCCCTGCCTTTCCTCTCTTGCAGAAAATTCGCGGCAGATCTAGCGAACGTATCGGTGATAACAGAGAAAAATTGCGATATCAAAAATCGGAATGACGAATTCTAAAGTTGGGTCTGGAAACTTCGAAAAGGTCATGGATAATATAAAAAGGGGTCGTAAGATTTGAACTGAAGGTAAATTTGAGTTGAAAACGATAAAAGACTAGATCTAACAAGTTGTTTTGACATTAAAATGATTTTTGAGTAAATAGCGACGCTTACAACAGAATGCCAAAATTGGCGGGAAGTTCAATTTTTGAAATTTTAATAGTTCTATGATTCAAAGTTTGATTTAAAATAAACGTAGTAATTTTTTAGGACCAAAATATTTTCATCAGAAGCCTCCTTATGTATTTTTTCTAGCATAACATCAAAGTGTCTAGTATAATATAAAAACGTGTGTTTCAAGTGTGCAAAATGTCAAGCTTGCTAACCCGGGGCCCCTAATCTATTCCTAGCCCCTCCAACCCACATCTTTTCGCGTCCAGCCTCATTCTTGCACAGGAAAAAACATGTTATTTGCATAATCGTAATGCGACTCCGCCCCGTTTCCGAAAGAAGAAAAAGATAATTGATCGCCGATTGATCTACAATTTCCGAAGAAGGCCGCTTTATATAAAGGCTCTCTGTTACACACATGGCTTTCAAAAACACGCCCTACAAATAAGACGGGGTTAAAAGTTTGGGGGAGAAATTACAATAGTGTTATTTATGGAGCAACATGTTGAAAAAAATTTTTGATAAACAACTTTGATTGTAAATATACAGTATACCGACGGGTTTAAGAAAACAAGCAAACCCGAAAAGTAAGCATTTTTGCAAGTTTTAAAAAAATTCCAAAAAATCCGTCATCCCGACGTCATTAATGATTGAATTAAACAAGTCATAGGTCTGAAAATTTTTTAGTAGAGTGCTTATGACACTATAAATTGATGTTCATATCAAAAATCATATTTTAATTCAGTACAAAAGACGTCATTATGACGGATTTTTTGGAAATTACCTGTAAAATGGCCTAAAATTCCAATTTTTGAAGGGAAATTGAGTTACAAAGTAAGCAAATGTGCTTTATTTTAAAAACTGACTAAAATTTTTTTCAAACAAGTATGCTATGATGACGGATTTTCTGGAAATTCCACAAGCTTCAACTCAAAAATTCCAAAGAGAAGATCGAAAATTTGCCCTACCAACCAAGCGTTACCCCTCATAAACTACAGTTCAAATCGCAATGCAAACGATTTCGCTCTTCTTCTTATCAAACAGCCCCTCCGGGCTTGACCGGCTCCCCGAAGACGTAGATAAGGAGACAAAACCCAACACTTGATGGCCAAAAAACTCGAACGCCGAAAGGGACAGCTGGCATTTGGAGACAACAAGTGGTGGGAGGATCAGTAAGATTGGTTTTGGTTCCATCTTGCTATTGACTTGCATATTTTGTTGGTTATTTCAACAAATTTTTAAAAAAATTGAAAATTTTGGGGGTATTAACAAAATAAATGACTAAAAATCAAAAAATAAATTATGTTTTTTTTCCAAAGACCAGATAAAAATTGATTTTCGGGGCTTAAAACCGTTTGTTTTGGACTTAAAATTTTCTTACCCTGAGGTTAAAAAATTTTTTTTTAATTTTTTAAACGAACCAAGTCATAAGATCACAAAACCCCTCCTCGTGCCGATTAAAAACCCCCCGAAACACGCGAGGAGAATCCCCCGTTTCGATAAGCGAACATCGTAAAAGCGCACGCTGATAAGGCGATTTTACTTTTTGATGACTTTTTGGAGTTCTAAAAGTGCGTCGTTAAAGTTTCGCAACAACTCAAACCACGATTCAATAGTATTACAGTGGACTTTTTATGCGACAAACATAATTTTAACTTCACTTCTAGTTAAATCAGAGATTTACAAAAAGTTTCCAGAAAATATGTCATGATGACACATTTAATGGTGTGAGTTGGGATGGTTCTAAAGGTAAAAACCATATCTCAGGGTCATAAATATAGTGTAGTAAATTTTTTGCACGCTCAAAATTTTTCAATTTTGAAAATCCGCTGGATTTCCAAAAAATCCGTCATTTTGATGACTAAATTTTAATAAAAAACTGTTATAAAAGCTTCAAATTTTTTTTCATGCCCTCCAATCTTACTGCTAAACTATATTTTATTACCAGAACTTTACTATCTTCACAAATTAAATGCGTCATCATGACGGATTTTCTGGAAATCCTCTCAAATTCCAAAAAAACCCCGTCTAAAACCCCCTTTTCCGTTCTTTTCAACTTCCACAATGCCCGTGGCTTTTCATAAACCAGACGTTTAGACCAAACGCATTCGCTTTTCAGTTCAAACAAACATTTTTTGCATCCGCCCAACTTCAAGGTGCATAAAATAAACAAAGAACTTACTTGACGGCGTCCATAGGATTCTTTGGCCCCGCTTAAGTGGCCCAACCAAGTTTTCTGTCGGTCCTTAGGCAGTACGGTCAATTTTCCATTGGGGAAATTTTTCGAATTTCGGGGAAAATTGTCAAAAATTGTCCATTTTCCGAAATTTTCCGGGGAAAAATCACCAACCCGAGGCGGTTACTGTGATAAAAACGAGCTATCAACCGGTCGGAGACGCTTTTTACAGCACTTTCCACGCACAAATTCGGGCCTAGCCCTGAGGGCCTAAAACGAAAAAAAGTGATAAAATGAATTCGAGAGGAGAGAAACATGAGAAAACACGTAAAAAACGGGTAATTATTCAAATTGGGCCGGGCCAGAAGGTCGGCGAGAACGTCAGAGGAGGGCCGGTTTTATTTTGGGTCACCTTTTGCGTGCGCACTGTGCAAATTTTTGCAAGGAAAAATTGGACCGCACTGTGCAGTATAATTCGACTTTTGAGCTGCACTGTGCAGTTTCATTCGACCTTTGAACTGCACTGTGCAGCATAATTCGAAATATGGACCGCACTGTGCAATTGAAATCGACCTTTGGTATGCACTGTGCAGTCTAATCTAACGTTTGAACTGCACTGTGCAGTCTAATTCGACCTTTGGACACCGCACTGTGCGATAAAAATTGGCTTCTGGACCGCACTGTGCAGTCGAATCAATTCACTTCCGATTTGCTATTGCACAGTGCAGACGACAAACTCCGCACGGTGCAAATTTTATCGCAGTCCAAATTGATCGCACCACTCAAAATTTTCAAATTGCACTGTGCAATCGCCAAAACAAAAACCTTCTGGTGACTGCACAGTGCAGGAACTGAAAAGGGCAGTTTGTTTGCACTGCACAGTGCAGTCAAACTTTTGCGAATACGGTACCCCTCCATGTGATACAATGTCCAAAGAGCAGTGCATGTTTTGTTCAGGTGCCGCCTCGTTTCGTCATGTTTATTGCCCCAGACACGGGTAACAGTTGGCCGGAAAGTGAGTTAACGTTTATTTTGACTGCAAAAAAAATAAACGAACCGCTCAAGTGTCCAAAAGAACTATAAGGGACCGTTGAAAATGGCGATGCACTGACGTCACGGCAGGATTTGAGCGATTTACAATGTTTACACTTCTTTTCAAAGGATTTTTCAACACGCACATCGCAATAAACTCTTTGATGAAAGAACGCAGTGTGCAAATTTTGAGCCAATTTGATTTGCACAATGCAAGAATCCAAAATCCGCACTGTGCAGTCATCAAATGACATTTCTCATCGCACAGTGCAGTGAGGTTGAGAGTCGCGCAGCGACAAACTTCGCAGACCAGCGACAAACTTCTTTCATTGCTCTTGCGACACTTTCACCGGACAAAACACCAGCGACAAACTTCGCAGTGCAGCGACAAGCTTCTTTCATTCTCTTGCGACACGTTCACTGGGCAAAACACAAAATTTTGCACGGTGCATCCATTTTTTTGTTCAATCTGCACAGTGCAGTGCAAACAATCGAAGTGATCTTGTCGCACTCTGCGGTCCATTGAATTGATCTTTTTCGATGCCTCCGCCTCGCGACAATTTCCATCCAACGAATGTTTCGAACAGCGCGACACCCGGAAGTGTCTCGCAACGGCAGCGCGATGACAAAAAATGCGACAAAGCTTCGTGTCGCACTTGCGAAATGAATTGCACCGTTCAAAATGCTCTCCGACAAAAGCAACGAGTGCACCGTGCAGAATGATTTCCCGCACTGTGCGAAAATTTCAAATTGTTTGGGTTGCACAGTGCAGTGAGATCAGAACAGATTGGGATTTATTTCGCACCGCACCGTGCGAATTTCGGTAAGGAGGCGGCACAGTGCAATCAGAGTTTTTCGAGGGGACTGCACAGTGCAAATTTTGTGATGTGGACTTGCTCTCAATTTGTCCTCAAATGACCTCAAAAAGTGCCGGTAAATCAAATAAATTTGTTGAAAATAACTCAAGGGGAAGTCCTGAATAAGAAGGAAGTGGAATTCAGCCATAAAATAGTCAAAAATGTTGGAAAATTAACCGGATTTTTTTACAATAGTTGTTCAGAAAGAAAATAATGGCTTTCTACGGCATTTTAGAGAATTTTAGATCGCGTTTTGCAGAAATATCCGGCATATTACACAAAAAAATTGAAATTTAAAGTTGAAAATAGAGTTTTTTGAAATTTTTGGCTCTTAAAAAAATTTTTTTAAATCATTTTAAGACCGAATTAGTCCTAAAATTTCATTTTCAATCTCATATTGCCAGAAAATGACAAAAAATTACTAATTTGCAAAAAAATTATATTACACTAGACAAAATCTGGGGAAAAATGCATATTTTAGGGCGTAAAAAGTAAAAAAAATTGGTGACAATAGGAAGAACAGCTCGTATTTTGTCCAAAAATATTGAAAATAGCAATTTTTCCTATCAGTTACAGCCCAAAAATCGATAAAAAGCAGTCAAAAATAGCATCACCAACAATCCTGCCAATCAAAAATGGTGTGTAAAATGTATGAAAACGGTTATTTGGGAACGCATTCTGGCCGTTGTGGCCGAAAAAAGTCCCCGCTTCGGGGAAAGCGCGGCCTTTCCCGTCTTTCTCTGCGCACTCTCCTCATTTCCAACGCTCTCTCGTTTTCTCCCAATCCCTGGCCGCTGCGCGCAATTCCGTGGCCCGAAAAAGTGTCTGAGAAGGTCGCGGGGTGTGTTGGCGAAAGTCGTTCCGTTCTCTCCGACCATTTGGCAATGTGACATTGTAAACAAGTAGGCCCTTACGCAGTAATACTACGATAATGCTATTTTGATATGGCAGAAGCGAAAAAACGGAGGAGCAACCGAGATTAGATGGCTGTAAATAGCGAGAGAGGGATTTCTAGGACAGCAAAAATTGTTTTGAAGATTAATTTTTGGTCGAAAAATTTAAATTACCAGTTGTAAATTTTACATTTTTACATTTGGGATTTTGATGAAACTTGGTGTAGATTAAGAACACAATTTTTTAAGACCTACCAGAAAGTTTTACACCGTATTTTACAAAATCAGCTGAGATATAGAGCACAAAAGTTCAAAAAATCTCAAAAAAATTGAGAAAAATTAGAAAAAATATAGAGTTGAAAAGCTTCTTAGAGCCTTGTAAAATACGCTAACAAATTTTTTGAGACAAAATTCCGGTCTCCCAACAAATTACAAGCCCTTGAACTTTAAAAAATCTCGTTTTCGATCACTAAAACGTGTCCGTTTCAGGCAAAACGGAACTTCCGGTTAGTTTAGCTGGGATAATCTTAATGTTTTCGATGAGAAAAAGTAATTTAAGATGCCATCTAAACCGCTAATCTCCGTTCTGCAGAGAAAATCCGATAATTTTAGGCATCAGATTTCGGTTCTTGCCTGAGGCAAAGTGCCCGGATTTTGTTCAAACTTGGCATAAAACCTCTTAAAGGCCACAAACCAACCTCTGAAACTTCCAGCTTGTCCTCAAGACGAGCTGAATTATTCAACGGGCTTTTCGAACGAGAGAGTACGGAAAAATGAGAGACGGTCAGAGAAAAATCTCTTTTTTTTTAGCTGTATCTCCGTGGATTTTGCGGGGAAAAAATGAGTTTTTGTGGAAATGTTGTACTTCTCAATAGAAACAGAAAGCAAAAATATTAACTTGAAAATGAAAAAAAAAATTAAATTTTTTGCATTTTTTGGACTAAAAATCTTGCGTGTTTCTGCATAGCGCAAGCTAAAAATTATAGAAAAATTGTCCTATAAAATTTAATATTAATTTACAACAAGTAGCAAAAAATCTAAGCTTTTTCGAAAAAACTTTTACAAAAAAAATACAGTAATATGTCTGCCGAAAAATTTCTCATTGAAAAATAAGTTCAAAAACCACTTTTTGCTTACTCATCCGCCGAGATAAGAGGCTTCATTGTAGTCTTGATGTCTCACATGTTCGCTTTTTTCGCCTTTTCAACAAATTCAGCGCAAGGCTTGGCCAAATATTTGCCCTGTCCACAAGGGTTACCGAAAGTTCTAGAAGGAAAAGTACTCCCGGATACAAGAAAATCATCTGGAACAGCAGTACAAAAACTCTCAGAGATTTTGGATGCAATTTTATTTCATTTTAGACCAAAAATTTACTGAAATATCAAAATCATCATGGATAATATAGCAAAACAGCTCGAAAAACTCAATATAAACATCCAAAAATTTTTTGAATTTTACAGAGTAACGTTAGAATCCCATTTGTCAGCTTCTTGACATCAAATTCACTCATCAAAAGTTTTCGTTGCGGGACCAAAATTAAAATTTTTTTAGGTGTGTCCTGAAATTTTTTTGCTTGGTATAAGCACAGAATTGCCTGATATAGTCACAATCACCCTTCCAAAGGAGTTTCTGGGTCTTTTCAGACTTAAAAATAACCAAAGAATCTAAATCATCATGGATAACATAACTGAAATTTCTCTAAAAATCGATCAAAAAGTCTCATAAATGTCCTTAAAATTATAGATTTTTCAAATTATCTGGCAACTCTCTTTGCTTTATTTCATTTTCTTTGAAAATTTGAGTCTCACCACGAAAACCTGGAATCTCCAAATTTAACAAAGTGCAACTCCCAGTGGCCAAAAAGCTATTTTAAGCAACATTAAACTATGTTTTACTGGATTTTCACACTGAAAATTCCTTTGTCTACCGTTTTTCACATAAATGTCACCCAAATCCCCCAATTCAATCCTAATTAGCTGTCTGGGCCAGCGAAGAAAAGAAAAAGAAGTTTAAAGGGAAATAAACAACAATCACAAGTCGTTTGGCCCCCGCAGATTTGGACAATTATCTACGTAAACCGGTGGCCGAAAGGAACTTTGGCCTCAAGGTTCGACTTTAGGGCATTTTCGGAAAATAGGTCATCATCAGGTCAAAAAAATATATAGAGTACGGTCAGGTCAAAAAAATATATAGAAAATAGCTAATATTCAAAGTGAAGGCCACAAAAATCACCGTAAACACCGAGTTCGCAGGTTTTGTGGCCATTAAAATGTGTTATGGCAACGGGTTGTTTAGAATATTGAAAATTTTTGCTCTTTTGACCTAAATTAAGAGATTACTGGGTAACAAATGGCTCCTAATTAATAGTTAGTGCCAGTTGGAGTATGCCAATTGCCCTAACTAGGTAGTAAAGCCAATTTGCGACGATAAAAAAGGCAAAAGATTAAACAAAAATTGATGATTTTAGCCAATTGCTGGATTTTGTGCCCTATAAAAAAAGGTGTCAATAAAGTATTAGACAGTAATCGTCATGACCAAGCCATCTGCTACATATTTGACCCCTTATATAGTTTGTTTACAACCTTGTTTGCCCTTAATTCACTTCCAGATTACGGTAGACAAAGGAGAGATCATGAAATAACTATGATAAACAGAAATAACCAAACCGCCATCTGCGGTAGCATCCTTTCCTTTCCCGTTTCTAAATCGGTTCACATTTGCCGCCCCCAATTACTGAAAATTAAAAGATTTTTGTAGAAGGTCGGTAATTAGCCTTGATTGATTGAAGCTTTACAAAACCGTCAATTGGTTAGGAATGCGTTCTTTGAGGCTTCATCCAGAGGAATGTACACCAGACCGGAAGACTTTCGACGAGCTGATATCAAGTGTAATATGAAAAAGGTCATAAAAGCCGCAGTCTCGAGAGTGAGGTCCAAAATTATAAAAGTTTAGAGATTTTAATGCCATTTTGACGATTATAAAGCATTTCCCCGCGTATGAAAAGGCCAACACCGTATTTTACCAAAAATTCCAGAAAACATGTCATGGTGACATCTTAATATGTAAAATTTTGAGATCGTCAAAACAGGAATCCTATTTACAATTCCATCATAAAGGTGGTGTAAAAATGACATTCCATCTACTTTACCGTGAGACCAGATACGACTTCAAGATGACGGATTTTCTGGAATTTAACAGGAAAACTTCAAAATCAAAAAAAAAGAATTGGATTCATGATAAAATACGTTTTCAAAAAGGAATTGGGAGCTCAATTTGTTCTCGGAATGCCACTTTTTTTTGTTTTCCCCCTAGAATTCACCAAAAAACTGTTCCCCGACCCATTTCCACCATGGATAATATAAATTTTTACCCGATTTTCCCACCGAAAAGATTATTTTCGCGGGTTTCTGAGAAGACGGTTGTCATGGAGAATATTTTCTTTCAATCTCTTTTTTAATTCTCTTTTGAATCGATAAATTTTTCGAGTTTTTATCTTCTTATACCCAAAATAACATCTTTTCAACAAATCCAACGAAATCTTTTATTATAATCTTAGCAACAGCTCGAGAGGGTTGAAAGTAATGGTGTTTTAATTTTTTTCGCAAGTGTTCCTTTGTTTTAGATTCGGTTTTGCGCGTGGAAAGGGGCCTTTGAAGAGATCTTTGTTGCCTCTGCCCCAAAACAAGCGCTCTCTTTTTTCGCAAAGGCCTTTTTCCCAGGTCCGATCGACAGGTCATGGAGATGTCTATCAGCGAGAAAATGCAGTTTGTTTTATGAGGGACTACTGATCTCTTACCAAGAACGATTAGTGCATTAAAATTTGATGGAAAAAGTAATATTTCTTTTTTATTTTTTTGTCGATTTAGGTGTAATGGAGAAGTAGAAGGCTGAATACAGCTATCTTTTGCTGTTAGATATAACTTATGATCAAAAATTCAGATGTTTTGGTGTTAATACCGCCAAAAAACCTGGTTTTGGACATCAGTACCTACTACAATAAACCGGCATGGCGAAAGTAATATTTTCTTTACTTGTTCTGTAATTTTAGGTAGAACAGACATTTATAAAGGAGTAGAGGATGCTAAATCAAGTCAAATACGCTCTTATCTTCCCGTTTTCTCTGTTATTCTTCTTCAACTGAGGACTCATCGCCTCAAGGGATAAGAAAATTCTGACAGAACTTTTTTCCGAAAATTTTTGTCGTTTATCATACAGGCACCTGAAAACTGATCAGAACTGAATCAACAATATGAATCTTACATTACTTTTTAATCTGGGATAAAAAATCGGACTTTAACTTATGATAATTTTATGAAAATCCGAACGAAATGTTTTCGAAACCCGACAAAACAATATAAATATGAGGCATGGCCGTGACTAACGGGTCAGTGGCTGTATGCTGGCCTTGTTTATAAAGGTTGTCAAACTGAAACGCGCTATGATTAAGTCGTATGTTTTGTTGTTTTAGTAACTGCTTCGGTTCAAATTTCTCTTTGTCCCAATGACCTATAGACTTTTTGAATATTATTAGAACATTAAACTAGTTCATATGCAAAAATTTTATAATCTCTGAAGTTAGTTTGTGCTTGAGATCGTATAGATCGATTTGAAATAAGGCTTTGAGGTTAGACTGCTTGTTAGGCCAATTTTATGTTAAGCATGACATTAATCTAATGTTATAAAGTAAAGTTTTGTGGATTTACTGCATTTCCTTCCACTTTCGGGTTTTGAAGTCTTTTGAGGACGTTAGAATTATCTCCTAAAGACCTTTTTATCAAATCTAGTACAATTTACCGCTTTATTTCCATATTTTTTGCGTTGGTCTATCAGACGCTTTGCTTTTCTCTATCTTGGCACTCCTAGCTATTCTCTAAGCGCATTTTCTGACATCGTTAAGCTGTTTACAGCACTGTTGACAGGGGTTTTATGTTATTTTAGCCTGTTTTCTCTGGTTTTTGGCCATTTCACGGTTAATTTTGAGAAACAAGCTGGTAAAAGAGCAGTTCTAAGCTCTGCAATCTTTCGAATGACTACCTAACACTTGATTTTTGGCGTCGCGACACTTGCGGGCAACCAGTTTGCGGGCAAAATTTGGGGGGTCACATTTACGGGCAGCCTGGGACATTTGCGGGCAACCGACATTTGCGGGAAACCGGCACCTGAGGGTAACAGGGTAGAGGTGGAAATATTACTGCGATATTTTGGAAATTTGCCGACATTTTCGGACAGCCGACACTTGCGGACAACAGGAAAAAACAATCACACAGATTGTATTGGAACTTTTTGAACTGTTGCCCGCAAATGTCGGAAAACTTCCAAAATATCGCCTTAATTTTTCCATCTCCACCTTGTTATCCTCAAGTGCCGGTTGCCCACAAATGTCGGCTGCCCACAAGTGTCGGCTGCCCGCAAATGTCCCAGGCTGCCCGCAAATGTGACCCCCCAAATTTTGCTCGCAAACTGGTTGCCCGCAAGTGTCGCGACGCCAAAAATCAAGTGTTAGGTAGTCATTCGAAAGATTGCAGACCTCAGAACTGCTCTTTTATCAGCTTGTTTCTCAAAATTCACCGTCTTCCAGGCTGCCCGCAACTGTCGACCCTGTCCGCAAATGTTCCAGGCTGCCCGCAAATGCCGGTGCTGGCCGCAAAAAATTTGCCCGCAAAGTGGTTGCCCGCAAGTGTGCGCCCGTCTGATTTTTGTCAGTTTGCCCGTTAACTTTACCCTTCACCCCAGTTTTTCCTTACACTGCCCCTTTTCCCATTTTTTCTTTGATTTCTCGACCTCTGGCCGGTGGCCACGTGAGCCTGACCACCCATATTTATGCTCCCGACAGCGAACACAATAGCCTCATTTACCCAACGACCTCCATTCAAAGCGATCAAATATATATGGGTTGTTGGTCTATTATAATATCGAACATACAAAAGAGGGACTGCCCCGAGGTCTAAAACGTGGAAAATCCCCCCTCTTCTGCGAATTTCGAACCGTGGCTTTCATTTTGAAATTTGCGGGGTTCACCTGAACGGACTCGATTTTCCGTTATTTTTTGGGCGATTTTAGTCGTAATTTGAATAAAAAACGGGGATAACTGGAAAATTTATTATAAAAAGAGGTCCATTCGGGAATTTGGTATATTTGTTAGCGCATCAGCTGTAGTTTAGAGCGAGGAAATGAAGTTTTGGCGAACTTTTTGGATATTGTACTAGGTAGATTTGCGTAAAGTTTGTTGATTTTGCCCTCAATTTTATTCGAAAATGTCTTAATTTCAACTCAAAGTTATGATCGAAGGATTAAAAATAATTTTGAGCCTAAGAATTGACTTTTTTAAGACGATCTGCCATCTGTAGGCTAAAATAATATAAAAATCCGGTTGTTGAACTAAAATGGGGTTCTTTCTATTGTTTCTGACGATTTCAGATTTTATGAAAAGAGATTTTTAATCAATTTATTTGTTCTCATGAATATTTATTCTGTATTCCGCGATTTTTCGACGCTTTTTAACCGTATTTTAGCCTAAAGTAATATAAAAAAATTATAATTTTTAATAATTTTTGCCCTCAATTTCAGCCCTCGGTGCTTCCCGCTTTTCCCATTTATCAATTCCACACGGTGCCGTCTCCATTCATCCATAATATAAGGGCCAAATTACAGTATCTCTAGTCTACAGAAATCCTCCAAAAAACGGGTCAAAACGAATGAAATTTTAACCGAAAATCATACTACCTCGCCAAAACCGACAGCTGAAAATCATGTTGAAGCTGCTGCTGATGATATCCATGTATTATCCGCTGTCCGTGGGCCTCACCTTCTACCAGAAATGGTTCATTCGGGTAGGTTTTGGGGGCTTGTTGGGGTGTTTTGGAGGTTTGACGGGGTAAAATACGATGTACAAATGGTTTTCCGGATCTTATAGAGATATGAGAGTAAAATTGGTGACGAAAATGGGATTTTAGAGGCCTTTTTATATATACTGGGTAATAACAGGAAAAAATTTTTCGATTTTTGGAATTCCGAGGATAAAAAAATAATAAAATACGGCTAGACTACGTTCAATTTTTATTTTTATTTCAGAATGCTTGGTTTTCTAGAGATTTTTATATTACACTAGGTAGTAATAGGTAAAAAATTTGAATTTTTTAGTGAATTTAGGATTTTTAGCTTGGTAAAATACGGGCAGTCGAAATTTTTTTTCTCTTGACATTATTTTCGAGCAAAATTTGGACAAAACTTAGTAAATTAGAGACATTTTTATAGTAGGTACATACTAGGTAATGATCATTATAATGATAAGCTAAATGGAGTATTTTTTGGTGATTTTGTAAATTTTGAAAGGTAAAATACGGTTTCAAGCTCATTTGAAAAAAATTTAGAAGAAAATCGAAGCCAAAGTGATAGATTTCAGATATTTTTATATTACACTAGGTAGTAATAGGTAAAAAATTTTGAATTTTTTAGTGAATTTAGGATTTTTAGTTTGGTAAAATACGGGAGACGACTTTTTTTTTCTGTTGACATTTTTTGCGAGCAAAATTTGGGAAATAATTGGGATTTTAGAGACATTTTTATATTAGTTTTATACTGGGTAATGATCATTATAATGATAAGCTAAATAGAATATTTTTTGGTGATTTTGTAAATTTTGGAAAACAAAATACGGTTTCTGGCTCATTTTGATGAAATTTTAGGAGAAAATCGGAGGCAATGTGATACCTTTCAGATATTTTTATATTATACTAGGTAATCATGATAAAAAGATGATTTTTTTTGCCGGTTCTAAGGGTTTGCTGGGGTAAAATACGGGCAAAACTTATATGTTATCTAGTCATTAAACGGGTTGTTGAAAAAAAGTTAGATAATAATCGATTTTAGAGATTTAAAAAGGGGTTCTTGCAGCTGACCTAGTGTAATATAAAAAATGGCCGAATAAGGGGTTACGTTTGAATTTGATTGCGATGTTTTGTATTCAGAAGATAGACAAGACTTTAAAAATGATTTTTGACCGGATCTTTTGGTCTTATATGAGCCTATTTTTTGTCTACAGCAGTTATATTACTCATGATGACGATTGAAAAATTGCTCAAAAATATCTTCTAAAATCTAAATTTAGTAAGTACATTGCGTTCGATATAACCTATGAATCATTTCACAGCAGTCTACGTCGATTTCAACAGCATTTCCAAGGTTATTCCGCCGTATTTTTATACCAGATACCTACCGTAATATAGTTTAATTTCACCTACCTTTTTCTCGGAACTCCGTTGACCACTGATTACACTCGATTGAAATATTACATTTCTCATCTTTTTACCCCACACTTTGGGGGCATTTTGTCAGCGTGGCTGCAGAATCCGTCATCGACACGCGGCGAAAAATCGACGAAAATTTAATTTTTCCGTCTCCCAAAGGAAGATTCTTGGTTTGAACCTTGTTGTTTATGCTTCGAAAATACCGTAACATAATTAAAACGGTGAATATCACACAAACTAAATGATGGAAGGTCAGAAAAAAGATTTTTCAACTATTTTGAACCTAAAATAATGTAAAATTTGAGGGAAAGGAGGAAAATGAAGGTGGATGGAGGGTAAAATACAGCTAGAGAAGCATGAAATTTAATTTGAAATTAAGTTTGAGACCTAAAACACGGCCAAAAAATTTTATGGCAAATTTTTATGTTACACTTGACGTCAGATGGAAAATTGTTGATTTTTGATCTAAAAAAGAGCTTTAAAGTATTTATTTTGGCGGACATGATGTAAAATACGGTCTATGTTATTGAAATGTTCAATAACGACTTCCCAGGAAAAAATTTTTTTTTGTTTTGCCCAATAGCTACCTAAAATAATAAAAAATTTGATGGAAATGAAGGTGGATGGAGGGTAAAATGCAGCTAGAGAAGCTTGAAATTTAATTTGAAATTAAGTTTGTGACCTAAAATACGGTCAAAAAAAATTTATCGCAAATTTTTATATTACACTTGATGTCAGATGGAAAATTGTCGATTTTGGATATAAAAAGGGCTTCAAATTATTTATTTTGATCGGATATGATGTAAAATACGGTCTATGATATTGGAATGTTCAATAACGACTTGCCAGGAAAAAGTGTTTTCTGTTTTGCCCAATAGCTACCTAAAATAATAAAAAATTTCATGGAAAGGAAGGAAATAAAGGTGGTTGAAGGGTAAAATACAGCTAGAGAAGCTCGAAATTTAATTTGAAATTAAGTTTGAGACCCAAAATACCGACAGAAAAATTTTATGGCAAATTTTTATATTACACTTGATGTCAGATGGAAAATCGTCGATTTTGGATCTAAAAATGGTCTTAAAATTATTTATTTTGGTCGGACATGATGTAAAACAAGATCTACGACATTTCGGAAGTGTTCAATAACGAATTGCCAAAAAAAATTTCTTTTTGTTTTCAGTTTTGCCCCAATGTCACCTAAAATAGTATAAATTTTCGGGAGCCGCGCTCCGCCGCGCCCCCTCTACATTAAGGGCTTCTGACCGTTTCCTCTTAACTTCAATTTTTTTCACTTTTTTTTCCATACATTCTTTTTTTTACTCTTTGTGATACCCAAATGACTTTTTTTTAGTGGCTGTCATTATCGACCGGTCGGTACTGAAAAATCGAGTTTTCTCCTTTCTTTTTGGAGCTATGCTGCCGATTTTTTTTTCAGAATTCGTGGAATGGAATTCTACACCTGAATATGGTACTCGTTTTTTCACCATAGTTGGAGTGTCATTTTGAAAATTGCAAAAAACCGACTTTTTAAAAAGTACCCCTTTTTTGAGCCACCTTTGCGGCTTTTTAAAGATAGTTAGCCAGGTCCCGTTCCGATAGATCTCTTGCAAAACACTTCAAATAGATTTTCAGAAATTTCTACATAACGCGGTCGCGTCCCCATCGCGGGCGGCTCTCGGGACTGGAAGGTTCCAAAAAGTCAAAAACGATTCGACATGAAAACGGCCAGCTATCCACACGTTTCCTTCATGCACTGTGGGTCATTTTTCACGCTGACTCCAAATCTGACATGCTTTTTGAACAAAAATTTGCATATCGGTTATATCCGGATTTCAAATCCAAAATCCGATTTTCGTATCTCGGGAACTAGGACCTTAATCAAAAATCGCTGCCATGGAAAGTTGCGGAGCGTTTTTTGGAAGCGCCTGAAGTGGTTTTCGGACGGCGGGTTACAGTCCCCGGTTCTAAACAATTCGCGAAGTGATTTTGTGACATACTCAAAAACATCTCGCGAGCGAAGCGAGCGCCGAGTTCCATTCTTTCTTTATCGGACGTGTTTTCTATTCCTTTCAAACTTTCTAATTGGATTCTTTCATGTAAATTCAAAACTACGGTTACTATAACATTTTCAATTTTTTCAACCCTTAGGCTACAGGTGTAGATGAAGGAAATTCCAAATTCTGATGCCAGATTCTGAATCTACGTGAAAAATCACCATCAGAAGTGGTATCATAGTCCTCCTATCTCGCCGATTTTTTTCGGCTTACTGTGGGTTACGGTAGCTTCTGCGCCGTAAGGCGCTTTTTCGCCATTTTCTCAGCGTTGACGCGATCGCGCCGGACAAAATTCACAGCACTGGTAGTACTCGTCATTACACGTCTTTCAAGGTGTATTTCACGGTTCCAGGTCTGTCGCTACACGAGGGATTACTGTAACAAGGTGTCTGGCTTAAAGTTACAGTATCTCGGTCAATTTTGATCGTATCCACCCGCCTCAAAAATCATTCTACTGTGTTTAAATAGCTCTTCAAAACATTAGTCGACGCGTTTCCGCCATTTCTTGAAACCGGGTTACTGTAACATCGTAAACATAAAAAGTACCGTAACTTTTGAACGAGTAGAGATACGAAGACGGGACCTGGCTCAATCGTTCGGAAATTGAAAACTCGATCAGGATAAGTGTAAAAATCTGCATATTTTTCTAAAATACGGTCTGGCCGAATTTAATTCTGGCCAAATTTTCCATTAATTATTTCACCCCGAAAAAGTCAAAACTTTTGGGTAAAAAACCCAAAATATGACGGCCCTCTAATTGTACTACAACGTGGTAGAATTTTTTTTCCGGGGGATTGAACCTCCGGGGACTTCAGATTGCCAGACTTCCGCGCTACCCACTGCGCCATGGGTGGCTCTCTCGGAATCAAAAAGGGACCGAGCGCGGGGGCTCCGCACTGTGCAAAAACACTTTCGAAAGGGTGCACTGTGCGGATTTTTGCTTTGTCGCGCAGCGACAAAGCCAAAATTCGCGCAGCGACAAAGCCAAAATTGGGATTCGCACTGTGCAAATTGAGAAAAAGCCTAGCTCATTGGGTAAAATGCAGAGTGCACGGTGCGTCTGGGGGGAAAGTGGGAAAATCAAAAGGGGGCCTGGGAAAAACGTTTGGAGGGTGTTTTTCGCACTGTGCAAAATGAAAAAAAGCCTACGAACGTAGGCTTTTTTGTTGATTGCACCGTGCAAATTTTTCCAAATTTCAGGTTTCGAAGGGGAGTGTCTGCAAAATCTTTTGCGACACTCCGCCAACAAATTTCGCACGGTGCAAATTGGGAAAGGCTTCGTTTGGCAAGATTGCACTGTGCAAACCGTGTCGCAACGTGGAAAAAGGGGCGTGGCAAAAGTTGATTTTCCATTTTCGTGAGAGAGCAAAAATTTCTTTAGCTTTCTCGTCGATTTCGGGTCCCAGTATTTTTCCGAGGGCGATATCGGTTGGGTTCGCGCGGGTTCGAAATTTTTTTATTTTCTCCGGGTTTTCGCGAGTGCACTGTGCGGTGAAAAGATGCACTGTGAGTTGATAAGGTGCACTGCGCGGTGCTTAGCGCATAGGCTTAGTTTGCTTAGCCGCTTAGGCTGCGTAGGCTTAGCTCAGGCTTAGTTTGCTTAGGCTGCTTAGCCGCTTAGGCGCTTAGGCTTAGTTTGCTTAGCCGCTTAGGCTGCTTAGGCTTAGGCTAATTAGGTGGCGCTTTGCGCGCACACCCGCGTTGGGAATGTAGGCTGACGAGTCGCGTAGCGACGTAGTCAGGCTACATCCCAACGCAGCTTGTCTATTTTCAGCACTACAGTCTCCCTCTTCTTGTCGTGTCTGGCCATTATCTGACCAAATTCTTCTTGGCGGTCACCATCCGCGCCATCCTTGAGTTCTTTACGGGTCAAAAAAGGCCTCGAGTCGCGTTCAAAGACCAGATCCGATGGCTTTTTCCGGTCGGATCCTGCGCTTCATTGGACATTGGCCTCTCGAATTGGGCATTGGAATATGTGACGGTCAGTCTGTACACAATGGCCAAGTCAAGGTGAGATTTTTCGATTTTTTTTTGAAAATTTAGATGTTTGAGGTTGAGATTTTTTGAAAAAAAACAGTTGATGATGGCTTTAAAATTTCTTGTCATAATTATGGGGTAATTATGACAAAGTTTGACAGTGTAATTTTGCAAGTTTTGTTGAAAATTTTAACTTTTTCTCCTTTTGTTATCTAAAACAATATCCGTTTCTAGTTCGATCCTGTTCATCGTCGGCTTCTCCCTCCTCCTCCGATTGGAACGTTGGCGACCTTCTCTCGGCGTGGCAGCCTCCTTCATCGCCGTCGGATTAGTCCTGTTCACCTGGCGAAGTGAACAACTTGACGTCCGCGGCCTCTGCCTGGTCGAGCTCGCCGCTCTCTGCACTGGTGTCCGATGGACCGTAAGCCAGCTGATTATGCAGTCAGATGACCAACCGAGCCCTCTGCGACACCCCCTGGACATGGTTGCCCATGTTCAGACGTGGATGTTCATGACGATCTTGCCCGTCGTCTACATGGTCGAAGGAGAAGATATCAATTGGACCTCGATTGCTTCGTTCGATCAAAGCTTCGAACCAATGACTATTGTTGTCCTGGTACTGTTTGGAGGAGTCTTGGCGTTTTGTATGGAGATGTCAGGTAAATTTGAGGGGTTGGACCTTATTTTAGGTATAAGTTATGATAAATTAGGAAAATTTTGATTGGTTTTTTAAATATTTGAGTAGGATTTTGGATCCTTGACCTATTTTAGGGCGTTTCAGAGAGTTTACTACAGGATTTTGAAATTTTTATCTCGAAGTTTTTGAGTTCTGACCTTATTTTTGACATTAGGTTTTTTAAGATTTTTGATTATTATTTTAACTTTTTTGAGGTAAAAATGATTCTTTTCAGAGTTCCTACTACTTGTCAATACCTCTGGAATTACTCTAAACATCCTCGGCATCATCAAGGTAAACTTTTTGAGATTTTTTGTTTTGAAATTTAGGTACAAAGGTGGCCAAAATTGAAAGAAATCGATCATTTGATTGAAAAAAGTGGAATGTGTAATTTTAGGAAGTGATCACCCTCCTCCTGGCTCACCAACTCCACGGCGATAGAATCACACCACTGAATATCATGGGTCTCGGGCTGACGTTGACCGGAATGCTGATCCACGGCATGACCAAGACGGCGGCCCAGCAACGAAAGCATTCCCGGCTCCAGAACGCGATGGAGTGCCGCGATTTGGATCGGTCCTGGTCCACAGGCCCTCTCAGCCCCAAGTCGGCGACCTCGGAGGACCGGGAGCGATTGTTGCAAGTTGCAGTGGATTAGGGGATTGTTTCGGGAAAGGATAATATAATTATATTATCCATGGGCTCATTCTGTATATAGCTGGCTATTTTGTTGTTGGAAAGTAACTTTGATTGTATCTAAGTGTCAAATTGAGCAAATCGGATCCAAATTTGGGAGTCTTGGGTGAAATTTTGGGAATTTCCAGAAAATCCGTCATCGTGACATATTTATTTCGCTGGAATGGAGAAGTTAGACGATGAAAATGAAATGAGAATGTAAAATACGGGGTTGATGATTTTCCGTTTATTAATTTTCATTTATTTATTTTGAAGATTTTAATTAAAAATAGTCATGATGACGGATTTTATGGAATTTCCGATTTCGCCCTGTTTTTGAGCGAATTTTTGAGTAATAAGTAGTTTACAGTAGCTTCTGCTTGATTTAGCCGTGTTTCTTACGCAATCATCACCCACATATTGCCTGAGGCAAAAGAAATGTCCGTTTTTGAGATTTTCGAAATTCTAATGTCATTCTTTTTTGCAGCAGCTTCCTCTTTGCACAATATCGTCTTGTCACATCGTCAAACCCCCATATCAATTGTTCCGGACCCTTTCTTCCCGCTAAAACTCGGTGTACTTGAGGAATTTATATTATCCATGCCATTAAAAAGTAACTGTTAAATTTAGAGGCTTCCTAGCTTCAGATCGTCTCCATTTTTTCGTCAACTATGGTCTAAAAGTAGCCTGGGTTGGATTTTTTAGCCAAATTTCCGATTGTTTCCCTATAAATTATTTATTGTAGTTAGTCGCCGATTATATTGTTTGTACAAAATTTACTTCAATAAATTTGAAAAGTGATGAAAAATAATGAAAACAGGATTACTTGCTACTCAAGGCGCAATTTCCACAGCAGAAATAGTTTTTGTTGCCATGCCAACAAAAATTTTTCCCGAAAATTTCAATTCCTGCCATGAATAAGATAAATTTGTTTCGAATGGAACGCTCAATTAGTGTTTGTGGGTAAATAGTAGTGCTAAAAGATGTCGCTGTTCCATTTTCAAGAATGGTTCTACTCGGAAGTGCCGGAGGGCCGCACAATTTGCTCAGCGAGGCTGGTCGGAAGAAGAGGTAAGGAGGGTAAATTTGAGGGAATTAAGATGTATAAGCCATGTTTTGGTACTTCATATAGGCTCTGGAGGTACTTTAGACCAAATTTGATCCGAATTTAGGGTCAAAGCTGAAAATAATTATATTACTTTGGGCAAGATTTCGATAAAAATGGACTAAAATAAGGTCGGGAATACAGTTTTAGTAAATAAAAAAGCTAAAAAAAAGCGAGTTAGAGTATTTACAGTCCGAATTTTATCTAAATTCTTCTAAATTTATATTACTTTAGGTAAAATTTTGATAAAAACTTGACTAAAGTAAAGTTGAAAATACCGTTTTAGCGAATAAAACGGCTCAAAAAAGTGAGTTAGACTATTTGCAGTTCGAATTTTATCCAAATTCTTCTAAATTTATATTACTTTAGGTAAAATTTTGATAAAAACCTACTAAAATCAACTCAAGTTTTTGATTTTTGGTCTTCAAATAGCATAATAGGACTGCTACAGCAATATCTAGAGTGAATTCCATCCAAGTTGAACTAAAATTTATATTATTTTAGACCAGATTCTGATCGGATCCCTCAATGGAACCCTATCAATTTTTGATCCCGGTAGAGAGCCGGAAAACCGTCAGGAAACCGCATTGATGTTGGAGAAAGATCTCAGCTCTCCAATCTTGGATATCAAGGTTGGAAAATTCTTGGGAAGTTACAATGAAGATCTGGTGGCGTGTTTGCACCCAAAAACGTTGAAATTCTTCAGATTGAACACTGGTAAGAGGGGAAAAAATATTGAAATTGTTGTAAAATACGATATTGGAGTTGATAGAGGGCTAAAGTTTAATTTTGAACTTTGAATTCAGAAAAAAAATCCATTTTGAAAAGTTCAGAAAAAAAATCTCGAAAAAATTTCAAATCCTCCTAAAATACGGGTTTTTTTATAGGTTGTTCAAAATGAGATGTCGGATTTTTTAATTTATTCGTATTTTTTTATAGGATAGCTCAATTCAAAAATGGAAAAAGGTATAGAGTAGTAAATTTTAAGAGGATTTTTTCTGTATATGTGCTATTCTTATAAAAGTTATCAAACGTTACCATAAGTTACCACGAAAGTACCCTAAACATGTTAGTATATTTTAAACCAATTTTTTTACATATTGTTTTGCGGTCTTATCCATTTTTGAAAATATTTTTATAAAATACGTTATATTCTATCAAAAAACAAAAAAACCCCCATTTTTGGCAAAGCGTTAAAACGCTATCCCAAAAATTCAAATTTCAGCAAATTTTACAAATCGTGTCATATCTTTTTTTAATAAGTCCAAAATAAAAAATTCTTTTTGCTTTCGATTAGTAACAACATTTTTAAGGCTTTCGTGAAAAAAAGACATCAAAATCTTGAATTTTATTTTTTGGTCAAAAAATGTCAAAAAAATAAATTTTTTGATTTTGATGTTTTTTGTCACAAAAATCTTAAAAATGTTGTTACTAATCAAAAACAAAAAGAATTTTTTATTTTGGACTTATTAAAAAAAAGATATGACACGATTTGTAAAATTTGCTGAAATTTGAATTTTTGGGATAGCGTTTTAACGCTTTGCCAAAAATGGGGGTTTTTTTGTTTTTTGATAGAATATAACGTATTTTATAAAAATATTTTCAAAAATGGATAAGACCGCAAAACAATATGTAAAAAAATTGGTTTAAAATATACTAACATGTTTAGGGTACTTTCGTGGTAACTTATGGTAACGTTTGATAACTTTTATAAGAATAGCACATATACAGAAAAAATCCTCTTAAAATTTACTACTCTATACCTTTTTCCATTTTTGAATTGAGCTATCCTATAAAAAAATACGAATAAATTAAAAAATCCGACATCTCATTTTGAACAACCTATATTTCGATTTTAAAAAAAGTCCACCCGCAAATCAATTTTTTTACGATTTGCCTTCCATTTTTTGATTCTCCCCTCCGAAATCTCCCCAAAAAATCGCAATTTTCAGCCGACGATGTTTCCTACACTCTGGACCAAATCTTCGAACACAAACTGAAAGGAACCCCGGCCTTCAACATGTGTTTGGGAGAGGCCACCAAAAATAATTACTTCCAAATCTACGTGCAGAGTATCAACTGCTCTCTGACCATCTACGAGGCCGAAAACCATGTTTTGGACCGCCAAATGCAGAACGCAATCCATCCGGGACCCATTTTGTACGCGCAGTCGTCGCAGACCCTGTACAATGCGAGTGGAGGGTATTTGTCGGCATATCCACATAGTAGTTTCACTACTATTAGTAATACTAACAAGAAGTTGTTGGTGAGTAACGTCAGTGGGGACCCAGAATTAAAAAAAATTAATTCGTATTTTAGGCGGAAATTTTGAAAACGTTTTCTCTATGATCAATATATCACTCCCTCAAAGATTTAGCCTCCTGCTCTTTACAGTTTCAACCGAGATATTCAACAATATTTGTTGACTAGAGAGTATGGAAAACGAGGAGAGACGTTTGAATTTTTAGAATTTTTTGAGCTAAAAATCTGGATAGTGGTAAAAAATTAAGAATTATTGATAGAATAGAAATGTGGGATTGGACATGGAAAGAAACATAAAATAAAAAAAGAATAAATAAAAACAACAAAAATTTTTTTTTCCAAAAAGTAGTAAAGTGACGGATCTGATCTAGTGGCAAAAAACGTACCATTTTGCATCCGGGAAGTATCAAAAAATGTACAAAATGCCTCCCTCTCCAAGTGAAAAAACTCCGATTTCAAAAGCTCTTTTTGTGAGGGAAAGGCGCGCTCTTCAAAACGGAGTTTTTTCACTTGGAGAGGGATGCATTTTGCTACATTTTTTGATTCTTCCTGGATACAAAATGGTACGTTTTTTGCCACTGGATCAAGTCCGTCACTCTACTGCTCTTTGAAAATTTTTTTTTGGAATTTTTATTTATTTTTTTTTATTTTATGTTTCTTTCTATGGCCAATCCCACATTTCTAATTCTCAATTTTTTACCACCATCCAGATTTTTAGCTCGAAAAATTCAAAAAATTCAAACGTTTCTCCTCGTTTTCCATCCTCTCTAGTCTACAAATATTGTTGAATATCTCGGTTGAAACTGCAAAGAGCAGGCTAAATCTTTGAGGGAGTGATATATGGACCATATAGAAAACATTTTCAAAATTTCCGCCTAAAATACGAATGAATTTTTTTTGAAAAAAAAAATTTTTTTTTGTTTAGTGCGAATGGACCTATAATTTGGGCGATACGGTGGTCGATATGGCCAATATGGATACTCCTCCGGTTCAGCCATCACTTGTAATTTTATGTCGAAGAATGTTGTATTGCATTACCCATGGGGGAACTCCCAGGTTTATGATACGCTTTCAATTCGTCGCAACAACCATTTTGGTTTATAAAACAAGTAAGTAAGGTCTAAAAATCATCAAAAACATCCAAAAAGGTTCAAAGGATTTTTTGGCACTTCGAAAAGTGAAATTTCTGAATTTAAAAAAAATTTTTGATTATTTTCATAATTTTTTTTTTCAGATGACTCTCCGGTAACTCAATTTTGTGTTGGAACTTCCACAAAAACCATGTTGTTTTATCAGGACACGACCATGGTGTGGTCAGCTCAATTTTCTTTTGTGCCGGTTGCAGGTAACAGATAATTTTAATTCAAAGACTGGCTCCCGCAACGAAAACTTGTAAATTCAAAAACGACCGTTTTTAACGATGAAAATGCGCTTCTAGTTTACAGTTTACGACAATTTTAATTGTTAACACAAACTTTTTTTTAATTTTTGAACTTTTTCGCAGTTTTGAGTCCCACCACGAAAACCTGAAAATTCAAAAAAAGCTTGTTTTCCAAACAAAAATGATTTAGCTTTGTCTTTTGTGACGCTGATATTCCTGTAACACACATTTTTAATATTTTGTGCACCAATTTTTGAGTCCCACCACGAAAACCCTGACCCTCAAGCCAACTCAAATTTTCAGTAAAAATCTGTTCGTTTACCGAAAATTACCGTGCCATGATGACAGTCCTCTCGGATGAATGTCGTCTGAGCGTCGGATATCTGGGCACAGAGCCGTCTTTGTTTCGAATGCCCATCACGGAGACAAGATTCATTGATTTCGAGTCGCGCCGCAAAGAAATGGAGGAATTCGAAAAAGTCATCAAACGATCCTCCAAAGAAACGACTAGTTTGGCCTCAGGAAGAGAGCTGGAACTTCAAATCGGAATCGTTATGGATGCGAATTCAGTGGCGATAGACACGTTCGAGGGCGCAACTTCCGCTACTATCAATATATCTGTCGAGTCTCAGGCCCCTAAAGTTGACGTAGTCTTCCAATCAGAGTGTTATACGAATCCGGAGAGCTTTTCGACTGGATCCGGTGAGTGAAAATGGGATTTCTTGGGTTTTTTGAGATTTGATGACATGGATAATATATTTCATGAAAAATTTAATGGAATTTTATCAAATTTTGCGTGCAGAAAATTGAAATAGTTATATTCTTTATTGTATAACAATTTCTAATACAAATCATCCAAAAAATATGAAAATTTAAAAAGTCATGATGATTGATTTTTTGGAATTTGGCCAAAAATTAGTGAAATAATCTAAATTTGGAAGTGCCAAAATTTTTATAGAACCTTATAAAGTCAGTAACCATGGTGGAAATCTCAAAATACTCTGTAAATCACCGTAAGTAGCTGTCACGATGACGCGTTTTCTGGAAATTCTATGTATCCTAAAATATCCTAAATTTTCAGGAAGATATGACGGAATGACGATGACAGCGTTCGTCCAAGGCCGACCTGTGATGGACAGTCGATTTGTAATCACCGCAGCGAGCTCTACTGGAGGTAAAATACGAAATATATGATTTTGAGCCAAATCTTTCAGAATCCTCGCTAATCGAAGGAAACTTGCCTCTAAACTTACTCTGTGCCGAAGTCGGAGCCCTTCGAACCGCTCAACACAAATTGTCACTGGACACACAGACTAGTGGGATCGAAATCAGAGAACTTTATCCAGGTGACATTTTATACGAAAATTTTTTTTATTTTATTTTTGATTATTTATGGTATTAAGAGTGAAGACAGAAGATTTCGGAGGAAAATTTTGAAAATTTTTCGAATTCACTTTTTTTTCGATTTTGGAGTAAAAATTTTTTTTACTCCCAAAAATGCCAAAAAAAAAGTAAACACGAAGTTTACTCCAAAATTTGAAAAAAATTTTGATTTTCGGGAGTAAACTGGGAGTTTACTCGCCGGGGCCGAGAAATCGAATGGCGGCGAGTAAATCTGGATTTTGCTCGCTTCCAATGCCGAATCCTGACTGGGAGCCTCCCAGTCAGGAATCCCGCGATTCCTGCAGTCAGGAATGTTTTTGACTGGGCGGCCTCCAAATCGACATCCCAGTCACCTGAGACGAAGAAACGGGGAGAAAAAACGAAGAGAGCGAGAGAAACGCGCGCTATTTCGTGCTCTCTCTGCCTCTCTGCGCCCTCTCCTCGTTTCCCGCTCTTTCGCTCTCTCTCTCCTTTTTTTGCGCTCTCTCGCTCTTTCTCCCGAAAAAGAGAGAGAGAGCGCGAAACGGAAAGAAGGCGCTGAGAGGCAGAGACAGCACGAAATAGCGCGCGTTTCTCTCGTTCTCTTCGTTTTTTCTCCCTATTTCTTCGTCCTAGTCAACAGTTATTGACCCCTCACCCAGTCAAGAATCGCGGGATTCCTGAATGGACCACAGTCAGGAAGTTTTGACTGTACGAAGAGTCAGGAACCCCGCGAATCCTGACTGGAGCCTCCCAGTCAGGATTCGGCAAAATTTTTCGAAAGTTAGGCGCGAATTACTAACGCAGATAAAAAAATTTTTTGCGCCCAGGGGTCAACTGTTCCCCGGGAGTAAACTCTGGATTTACTCGCCGGCACCTTCGGCGAGTAAATTCTGAGTTTACTCCAAAAAAAGGCGAAAAAAAAAGTAAACTCGGAATTCACTCCAAAAATGGAAATTTTGAAAGCTATTTCGATTCCTACTCGCCGACCCATAAAATTTCTCGATTTTTACTCTCTTTTTCAAAAAAAAGTGAATTCGAAAAATTTTCAAAATTTTCCTCCGAAATCTTCTGTCTTCACTCTTTATTGTTTAAATGGGAATTAGGTTGTTTTTGGATTAGTCATGTTGTAATGAGGGATTTTGTTGAATAAAATTATTAAAATTTTCAAAATCCAAATTATTTTATTTAACCACTTTTTTGATGACTAAAGTAATATAATTTCTTGATTTTTATGCCTCAATTTTTTAATTTAAAACTTTTAGTCTTCTTATTATTCAACAGCTGATGTTATGATGACGGGATTTCCTGAATTTTCAAAAATTTTCTCCAAAAAAGTTCGTTTTTTTGCCTGATGTCTAAACCAATATAATTTCTTTCAGAGTTTGAAACCGAAAACCAAAGTTCTTTGGGCCTTCAGCCCTTTGGATCCGACGTGGTGATCTCATTATTCAGCGCGGCCAAAAACGGCCGATATCGAATACAATCCGACTCCACGGACTTCCTTTATCTCATCTTTGAGGACCTCGTTCGGAGGATCAAAAAGAAACAGCCTGATGCCAAATTCAGCTGCCCAGTTCCTTTGCATCTGTTTGTCACCGGGATCGTCAAACAAGTTGAGGTAAGAGGGCACCATTTTTTAGTTTTAAAAAATCGACTTTTCATAGCTTTTTGGTAAAAAAAATTCGATTTTTTCTGCAAAGTGCGAGGTAAAATTTTCTATTATTACGTTTCGTACAGTAGCTATTTACATTTACAGTAAGTTTCATCAAGATCTGAGGTGAAATTTTGATGCCATTTTTTATGCACAGTGCAAATTTTAAAAATTTCAAAATCCGAAATTTTTGGATTTTGAAATTTTTTTAATCTCTACCCTCCATGATGTCTAATCGTAATTTTTCAGCTGGAAAAGCACCGTGAAAACGAGCGAAAGGAAGTCCAACGCGTATCGATTCAAATGCGGCACGTGGAGACGATGCTTTTGAACAAATTGAAAGCCGAACGCGACGAATCAATGGTCTCGATCAACGTCCTGGTCAACTATACATATCGCGAGCTTCTGACGGGAATGGATCGGCTGAAGAGCGCGGAAAAGGAGTGCGAAAACCATCGGATTCAAGTGCTGAAGCCGTTGTTGAACTTGATGAAGTTGGTGTTGGAGATGAGCGACATCAAGCTCCCGTTTGATGGGAGGATCTTGGAGGGAAATGATCAGGTAATTACACAATTTGATCTATTTTGTCATTAAAAATAATGATGACTATTCTTTGAGAAATTTCCAAAAAATCCGTCATGTTGACATATTTAATTGCAAAGTTTTTATGATGTCTTGGTTTGAAAATTGGCTTTTTGTATTAGGAGTCACATTGTAAACATCGTATTTTACCTGTAAATATGAATTTTCGGAAATTTCCAGAAAATCAGTCATGATGACATATTTTAATCATAAGTATTTTGAGATTTGATATGTAAGGATATGCTTGCTATGTGGTAGTCGTACTGCAAAAAATTCTTCACAGTGAGAGATCGCTTTAATCGGTCATTAAATACATAACGATGACGGATTTTCTAGAATTTACTTAAATTGGAGTAGTAACCCCAAATTTTGAAAATTTTTGATGACAAAAAGAAGTATAGCAGTAAATGCCTCATTTTTAGTCCCTAACCGAATCTTTGGCCCCTCTTCTTGGCCACACTGGCAATGCTTCGGACCTGAATGCAGAAGCGATGACTCAATTAATTGTTGGATTCTGCGAACAAGGCGGCAGATTGGCCAATATCACGGAAATGCCCGAAGAAGAGGAGGAGGAGCAGGTCGAGAACACAACCGACGACCTGGTCCAGCTGGAAACTGGAGCCATGGGAAGCAGTTTGATGAACAATAACAGTATCGGATAGAGGAATTAATTTATTATGTTGAGTTTGAGAGAGAATAAAATTAGCAAACTGATCAATATACTCTATTAGGAAGGCCAATTGACGTGAATGCCGGATGAGTCAAGTTTTGCACTTTTTGGGTCAAGTTTTTCTCTAACATTTTTTGCCGACATGGACAAAATGAATTGGAAAATTTGAATATTTCCCGCAAATAAATCGAGAAAATAAGACGTGGAACTGAAATATAGTTCATTTTGCTTTGTTTAGAAGAAATTCATCTCAAGTTTTGGTCGGGTTCAGTGGAGGAATTTGACGAAAATTTTTGGTCTACTACAACATGGGAAGAGTTTCGAAAATAAAGAAAATGAGACGGTTACATCTTCAGAAGGTTCGAGCGGCAATGTTGGAAGCCAAGAGAGCCAAGGAGGAAGAGCGTTTGAGACAACAGCCAGTGATTAGAGCACGAGTGGCGAAGGGCCTGGAAACAAAACGAATCAAGAAGGAGAAGAAGCAGGAGATGATCAAAAAGATGAAAGAAAAGCAACAAAAAAAGGCGGCTGAAGGGCAAGCAAAGCCTGTGAAGACTGAAGAAGCCCTTGATAATGTAGGTTACACAATTTTTGGTAAAAGTTCCTTATTTTGGCCACAACAAAGGTACTCCGCGAACTGCGCCCAAGCTTGGGCGCTAAAGTTAGGAAAAAACGCTTCGACCTAGCTGGCACTGAATTACTATTATAGCTCTATAGTTTTAAGGGTACCTACGAAGGCTGTGACGACTCATTTAGTTCCATACGGAGACAATAAGTTTAGTTCCGGACATGTTTCATCGTATAAAGTGTAAAATCACAGGCTGCAGCCGTTTTTGAAGGGTAAGGTGGTACTTAAAAAAGAAGGTAACTCACTAACTAAATCCACTGTCCGGGCATTGACAACGATGAATTGAGGGTGCATGCTAAATTTGGGCTAAATCCGACCAGTTTCCGCAAAGTTATAATTTGTGGCCAAAATAATGTTCCAAGATAAGGAACTTTTACCCAGTTTTTGTTTAGTTCATGAAGATGAAAGGGTTGTTTGCAAAAAGTGATTTTAATTTGTTTTTTTGTTTCAGAACTTGCTTGGAGACATGCCCCATCACGAAACCGAACTGTAGGTCGGAAAATCGTCAAGAAGCCAGGAAATTTTCAATAAAAATCATGAAAAGCTATTTTTGGAATAATTATTCAGTTTCTTGGTTATAAATTTTTGACCCGTTTTGGAACTGCTCCTTCTTCCAAAAAATCTTCACGAATAGCACTGTAATTTACCACATGAACTCCCACAACCAGAGATTGCCACGGTCAAAATTTCGGCTCCGGCTCTTAGCTCCCAGAGCCGGAGCCGAGGCCAAATTTGCAGCTCCGGCTACCGTGCAAATTTTAAAAAAGTCATCGGCTCCGAATCCCGGCTCCCGTGCAAACAATTTTTTGAAAACGTTTTTCCAAGAATAGAAGTTATTAGTGCCAGAGATCATACACCCTACGTTTTTGCAGCCAAGTCGTATGCAACACACCCTTCCCAGTATTTTTCAAGCAATTTGGTTTAACAAAATCACGAAATCTTTACTTTTCTGAACGCTGAGAAGCCTGGCTCCGACTTTGGGCTCGGGAGCCGAAGCCGCACCCAAAATTTCCGGCTCTGACTCCCGGCTCGGAGCCAAGAGCCGGCTCCGGAGCCGTGGCAATCTCTGCCCACAACACATACATCAGAGTGGGCGGAGTGTCGACAATCAGAGCAATTACTTCGGCTCTGTTAATAAATTGTTGTTGGACAAGTAAGAGGGGATTGTATTGATTTAGATGAGGTGTTTGTCAGGTTTTCGGAAGGACGGATATTTTCGAGGATGCTATGGAAAAATCAAGGGGTACTTGGAAGGAAAGAGAGGGTCTTGGTAGTCCATGAGCGATGCAAGGGGACTTACTTTGACCGAGCTAATAGTATGAAGATCGGAGTTGGCTGGGACTGAATTTTTTCACGGGAAAAATTTGATCTAGTCTAACAAGCGGAAAGCTTCCACGAACGACAAAAAATTCCCCTGCTTACAAACACCCCCACGGCCAAACATGGTGGGAAGCCGCAGCTGTGAAAGCGATAGAATGGCGTCGCACGGCAACCCAGGGAGTCTCCCGCCTCGTTTCGGCGCTTCGCCCACCTAGTATCGGTTGAATTCAAACGAAATGTCAAAAATGAATTTTTCATGTGGTTTTCGGACCGAAAAATATTTTTCTCGGAATTATTTTATTTCTTTTGGGAATTTTGACACTTCGTTTGGACGAAATTCAAAAGTGGGCGGGAGACATTTTTGTTCTATTTTGGGTTGCCGTGCGTCGCGACACTTGCGGGCAACCACTTTGCGGGCAACCAGTTTGCGGGCAAAATTTGGGGGGTCACATTTGCGGGCAGCTGAGACACTTGCGGGCAGCCTGGGACACTTGCGGGCAACCGGCACCGGAGGGTTACAGGGTGGAGGTGGAAACATTACTGCGATATTTTGGAAATTTGCCGACATTTGCGGGCAGCCGACACTTGCGGACAACAGGAAAAAACAATCACACAGACTGTATAGGAACTTTTGGAACTGTTGCCCGCAAATGTCGGTTTCCTGCAAGTATTGCCTGCCCGCAAATGTCGGAAAATTTCCAAAATATCGCAGTAATTTATCCACCTCCACCTTGTTATCCTCAAGTGCCGGTTGCCCGCAAATGTCGGCAAATTTCCAAAATATAATATCATAGTAATTTTTCCACGTCCATCCTGTTACCCTCACAATCAGGTGCCGGTTGCCCGCAAATGTCGGCTGCCCGCAAATCTTCCAGGCTGCCCGCAAATGTCCCAGGCTGCCCGCAAATGCCGGTGCTGGCCGCAAATGTCGGCTGCCCGCAAAAGATTTGCCCGCAAACTGGTTGCCCGCAAGTGTGCGCCCGCCGATAGAATTTGTCGCCCCGGTCGCCGGTTTTCGGGGGTTTACAGACAACCAGCATGGTGTGTTCACTGCTGAATTCGAGGAGCGTTGGGTGATGAATTTGCCATTTCTGGCTTCGATACACTATTCAAGCGACACAAGACGACAGAAATGGCGCTTATACGGCCGAAAAAAACAGACAAAAAAACAACCCACACTAATCGAACTGTCCGCCCTGGGGCACCTCCTCACCTATTATAATCAATCTTCTAGGCGAACCAGCTCAAAGTCCCCGCGGATATGGGTAATTTAGTTGATAAAACCGCAATCTGTATGCCGAAATTCACCCTTTCCCCAGTCAATAACTAAAGGAATTCCGTGTACCCCACACTCTCAGAGCAAATCGTCAATAGTCAGCTATCTAAAGGGGAAGTACTCATAGTGCGACGCTCAGATTTTGATGAAACTTGGCACAAATTTAGAGTATTTTTTTCTTCAATATATGCGAAAACTCCAGCTCGCGCTTTGCAGAAACAACCGAGATTTTTAGATCGAAAGTCGGCCAAAATTTAGGACTTTTTGCCGAATTTGGGCACAAAATGTTTCGTGCCTGTTTCTACCGTAAAGGATAATGTTTCTACAAAAAAATCAAATTTTTCCGCACGAAACTGCCAAAGTTATGGCCAAAAAGCGCTTTTCTCTCTGACCGCCTTCCACGTTTAGCGTGCTCTCTCGGCGGCAAAAATCGTTCGATATCTCGGCGGCGCCCGCAAAGCGCGAGCTAAAACTTTCAGGAATTGATATCTAGTCCATACCCGACGTGTGTGCAAAATTTAAAGAAAATCTGAGCGTCGCACTTGGAGTACTTCCGCTGTAAGCTATCTAAGCAACATGCTCCCTACTGGCCCAGAAATAAAAATTCATCATAAATGGCCCAACTATGTCATCATTTGCCCCTAATTCCGATTACCTACATTACCCACCCCTTTCGCACATTTCCCCTTCCCCTTTCAAAGCAAACAAAATAAAATAAAAAGCAACAACAAGTATGTAGATCAAATTAAAATCGTAGATTCTTCTTCTTCTTGGCAGGACAGTTTGATATTAGTGGGACCAGAGGAAATCTGAAAGACCAATAAATTAGGAGGCTAGAAATTTTTAAAAAATAAGGTCAATAACCTCATGAGTCACAGAAATATCGAAAAATTTAATCTGAGAGATCAAAAAATCAAACTTGCTGACGTCATGGGTAATACAGGGTGGGCCACTCGTCCTCTTTTTTTAGATTTCTCCGCGGAGACTCCGCCGATTTTCCTGAAATTTAGATTTTTCTGGAGCTGAGACTCGCCATTTTCAACCGATTGAATTTGAGGAAAAAATATTCTGAATTTACTTTACTATGCCTTCCCGATTTTGAAAATTATTTTCGTGCCGAAACCGCTAAAACTTGGAAAATTTTTGGAATGATTTTCAGTTGACTTTCTCGGACTTCGAAAAATCTCTGGCTTTTTTTTGGTAAAATCGTGGAGTAAAAAGTCCCCAGGTCTCCCTTTATTAATTAACAAAACTTCACTTACTTCCAAGCTTAAATACACCCTTCACCGCAAAGAAGCCGATCTTTTGCATGGATTCCAAGGCTCGGTAGGCTGGCTTGTCTTTGTTTACGGCCAATCTGAAAAAAAAAATTGTATTGATTTTTTACAAAATGAAACTTTTTTCACTTAAAATGCTAGTACCTTTCTATATCTTGATTGCCCAATTTACCACTTCCAACTGACCAACTTTTTTCTTCTTTTTTCCACGGTGCAGACCTCCAGAATGACATTGATTTCTCCATCTTCTCCAAGGCTCAAAGGAACGGACGTTCGACGTTTTCCATGAAAAAAAGAATATCAAAATAGAATGGGCAGTATCTGGACTTTTTACGAGAAAAAAAGGCTTAAAATTGGGTAAAAAAACTTACTTTAATCACCAAAGACCTGAAGGAGGGTGGCTTCTTTTCTTTTTTTTCATTTTTTATTTTTTTTTTTATTTTTTCTTTTTTTAATTCATTTATATTTTTTTATTTTTTTTTTATAATTTTTTTTCTTTTTTTTTTTTTTTTTTTTATTTTTTATCGAATTGAAATTGGGTTCCTGAGCGTGGGGGGTCTCTGAAAAATAAAAAAAAATTAATGCAAATATATTTTAAAAAGTCTAATTTCTTCAAATGCTAAAAACAACCCCAAAACTTACATTCTATAGTACGTTGTTTCAATTTTCGGAGCCATGGATTGCCGTCCTCTCCGGTGATGTTCTTGAAGATGTGCGGTCATGCTTTAGGAGGTGCCAATTCAAAGGTTGATTTTTCAATTTCTGAAAACAAAAGATGGATTACATAATCTTAAACTAAAGTCAATTCAAAACCAAGTATGAAACGACAACTTACACAAAAAATGGTGCAAAATAGGCGGGAAATGACAAGACGGATAGATACGAGGAAAGAAGATAATATTTTTTTTTCTATTTTTTCTTTTTTATATTTTTTTTTCTTTTTTTCTTTTTTATTTTTTTTTTATTTTTTTCTTTTTTATTTTTTTTTTTATTTTTTATCGGTTTGAAATTGGGTTCCTTAGAGTGGGGATCTCTGAAAAATAAAAAAAATTAACGCAAAAAACGTCGCAAAAAGAAGTGATTATAATTTTACAAAAGTCAAATTTCTTCAAATGCTAAAAACAACCCCAAAACTTACATTACGTTGTTTCAATTTTCGGAGCCATGGATTGCCGTCCTCTCCGGTGATGTTCTTGAAGATGTGCGGTCATGCTTTAGGAGGTGCCAATTCAAAGGTTGATTTTTGGATTTCTGAAAAAAAAAGATAGATTACATAATCTTAAACTAAAGTCAATTCAAAAACAATTACGAAACGACAACTTACACAAAAAAATGGTTAAAAATAGCCGGGAAATGAAAAGACGGATAGATACGAGGAAAGAAGATAATAAATATTTTTTTCTATTTTTTTCTTTTTTAAATTTTTTTTTCTTTTTTATAATTTTTCTTCTTTTTTTTCTTTTTTATATTTTTTTTTTATTTTTTTCTTTTTTATTTTTTTTTATTTTTTTCTTTTTTATTTTTTTTTATTTTTTATCGATCTGAAATTGGGTTCCTTAGCGTGGGGATCTCTGAAAAATAAAAAAAATGAATGCAAAAAACCTCGCAAAAAGAAGTGATCAAAATTTTAAAAAGCCTAATTTTTTCATATGCTAAAAACAACCCCAAAACTTACATTACGTTGTTTCAATTTTCGGAGCCATGGATTGCCGTCCTCTCCGGTGATGTTCTTGAAGATGTGCGGTCATGCTTTAAGGAGGTGCCAATTCAAAGGTTGATTTTTGGATTTCTGAAAACAAAAGATGGATTACATAATCTTAAACAAAAGTCAATTCAAAAACAAGTACGAAACGACAACTTACACAAAAAAATGGTGCAAAATAGCCGGGAAATGAAAAGACGGATAGATACGAGGAAAGAAGATAATAAATATTTTTTTCTATTTTTTCTTTTTTATATTTTTTTTTCTTTTTTATAATTTTTCTTCTTTTTTACCTTTTTTCTATTTTTTTTCTTTTTCTTATTTTTTTATATTTTTTCTTTTTTATAATCTTATTTTTTTTATTTTTTTTTATATTTTTTTTTTCTTTTTTTTCTTTTTCTTATTTTTTTATATTTCTTCTTTTTTATAATCTTATTTTTTTTATTTTTTTTTATATTTTTTTTTCTTTTTTTTCTTTTTCTTATTTTTCTTAATTTTTTTCTCGGGATGAAGTGCATCAAACAAGTGGCCCATAAATCCCTTCATCAAAACGTAGCACATGGCCGGTGGCGCTTTTGAGGACTGGAGCTGACTTCGTCTGAAAATAACTCACATTATATTACTTTAGTCTAAATTGATATCAAAAACTCCTCCAAACAGTAAAATCTTACGTTATTTGATTAAAAAAAAGCACACCCAATCGGATGCCAGAATTCACTGGTTTCCAATTCCAGTTTATCAAAGGGCTTTCAGTCGATTCCTTGATACGAGTCTCTTCTACCTAAACCAGCAAAAAATAAAACGAAAAATATAATTTCAACACGAAAACTTACCTAATTTGTCCCAAATTGGCCCAATCGAGGGGAAGATGGCACCCTTTAATTCTTCCAAAGGCCCCCCGGACTCATTCAGGGGGCCAGGGTGCCTGTCTTCCCTTTGGATCGGCCTTCACCTGAAAATATAATGAAATTATAATATATTACTTTAGTCATAGGTTAAGATCAAAACTCGTCAAAACAGCAAAATCTTACATTTATGGTCTAGCCGAGCACCCTTATTTTCCAGAAGGCCCCCCGGATCAAGTAGGGGGCCGGGGTGCTCCGGTTTCGACCATAGCATGTTCCACCTTGATGGAAACGGGGGAAGAGCACCCTTTTACAATCCAGAAGCCCCCCGGGCTCATTCAGGGGGCTAGGGTGCTCTCTCCCTCTCAGTGCAATGTCATTTGAACGACATCTGCAAAAAATAAAAAATGTAATTTCAACACGAAAACTTACCCAATTTGTCCAAATTGACCAAATTAAGGGGAAGATGGCACCCTTTATTTCTTCCAAAGGCCCCCCGGACTTATTCAGGGGGCCAGGGCGCCAGTCTTCCCTTTGGATCGGCCTTCACCTGAAAATATAATGAAATTACAATATATTACTTTAGTCATAGGTTAAGATCAAAACTCCTCAAAACAGCAAAATCTTACATTTATGGTCTAGCCGAGCACCCGTTTTTATTTTCCAGAAGGCCCCCCGGATCAAGTGGGGGGCCGGGGTGCTCCGGTTTCGACCATGAACCTTCCGCTTTGATGGAAGGGCGCGGCTGCTCGCTCTGGGGAAATAACCGGTAAATGAGCAAAATGAAAACGAAAATTTTGTGCATTTCGAATATGCAAATTTCGTTTTTTCTTGTGAAAATGCAAATTTCGTTTTTTCTTGTGACAAAATTTGGTCCCACCACGAAATCCCTGAGAAATCAAGGCCATTACAAAGCGTGAAAAAAAATAAAAAATAAAATTTCAAGATGGGCGATTCCAACTTCGGAAAGTCTTTGAGCTCAAACTTCCTTTGATGAGATCACTTTTTTGTTACATTACGCTTGTTCTCATCCGTCTTGCATCATTTGGTCTTTGGCTTTAGTGTAAAGTTAGATTTTATCTATAAAAGAGTGGGCATCGCGTGTTTTTATATCTCTTTTTCTCGTTTTTAGGTCAAGGTGGTCTTGAAGTTGCCGTCATTTGACAAATCTCTGTGAAGGGTTACTTTTTCGCGCATTTTGACTATTCAAGGACATCAAGATGTTGCCCATGTTAAAAGTCGTTGATTCTTGGTTGTAAATTGGTGTCTTTTCAGAGAATTGAGACGATGGCCGGCTCCAAACCCGCTTACAAAGTCGCCGATATTGCATTGGCCAACTTTGGCCGCAAGGAAATTATTATGGCCGAGAATGAAATGCCCGGTCTGATGGCGATGCGAGCCAAGTACGGTCCCAGCAAGCCGTTGAAGGGCGCCAGAATCGCGGGATGTCTGCACATGACTGTCCAGACCGCCGTTCTGATCGAAACCCTCCGGGAATTGGGTGCCGAAGTCCAATGGTCGTCCTGCAACATTTTCTCGACTCAGGATCATGCCGCCGCTGCGATTGCGGCCACTGGTGTTCCTGTGTATGCTTGGAAGGGGGAGACAGATGAGGAGTACGAATGGTGCATTCGTCAGGTAAGTCTTCGATATTTTTCCTTGGTTTTTTAGGTACGACCTAATGTAACATGAAAGTAACGGGGTATTGTTCTAGACCCTCATCTTTCCCGATGGAAAACCTTTGAACATGATTCTTGATGATGGTGGCGACCTCACCAACCTTGTTCACAAGGAGTATGCCGATCTTTTGCCAGGAATTTTCGGTTTGTCCGAGGAAACCACCACTGGAGTTCACAATTTGGCCAAGATGTTGACCGAGGGAACCCTGAAGGTCCCAGCTATCAATGTCAATGATTCTGTAACCAAATCCAAGTTCGACAATCTCTATGGAATCAGGGAATCCCTTCCGGATGGAATCAAGCGAGCCACTGATGTTATGTTAGCCGGAAAGACTGCTGTTGTTGCTGGTTATGGAGATGTTGGAAAAGGATCTGCTGCTGCTCTGAAGGCCTTCGGAGCCAGAGTTATTATTACTGAAGTTGATCCCATCAATGCCCTTCAAGCCGCCATGGAAGGTAATATATTTTATTATTTTATTGTTTGATATTTAGGATACCCTGTTCTTCGGCTCGAAGATGTTGCCTCTCAGGCTCAGATCATTGTTACGACCACCGGTTGCAAGTCGATCGTTCGTGGCGAACATTTGATCGAGCTTCCCGACGATTCCATCGTCTGTAATGTCGGACATTTCGACTGCGAGATCGATGTGAAATGGCTGAATGAGAACTGTGTCTCCAAGGACAATGTGAAGCCCCAAGTTGATCGTTACCTCCTCAAGAACGGTCGTCATGTTATCCTTCTTGCCGAGGGTCGTCTCTGCAATTTGGGATGTGCCACTGGACATCCATCGTTTGTCATGTCCGCTTCATTCACCAACCAAGTCCTCGCTCAAGTCGAACTCTACACCAAACACGGTACCGCTGATGAGTACAAGATTGGTCTTTATGTCCTTCCAAAAACCCTTGATGAGGAGGTTGCGCGTCTCCATCTCGACAAACTTGGTGTCCGTCTGACTCAACTCACTCAAGACCAAGCAGATTACCTCGGTGTCCCAGCCAACGGACCCTTCAAACCCGATCATTACCGCTATTAGGCCAAGTATAAGGTCCCAGCATCTAAACCAAGGTTGTTATTGTTCCCCTTTGTTCTCTAAACTGCAGTTTTGCATAAGAATAAACTTGTTGAGTTTTAATCAGTGCTTTTTATTATCAAAAAATCGCTAATGTTCGGGTCGCACTGAGATTCATCAACTCGTCGGGCATGCATCTGCGTCCCACCACGAAAAGCTTGCAAAGTCAGGGAATTTTGGAAATGCGTGCGATTGAGAAAAATATTCCGGAAATTTGTTGGACATGAGACTGGTGTAGACAACAAACGGGTTTCACTTTTTACAACTATTTCAGTCTTCAGATTGTACATATTGCACTTGATATTACACTAGCCGGATGGATCCCGAAGAATGTGAATTTTTAGCCGAAGAGGTGCCTTTACAAGTGAGTTTTGATTGGAAATTGATGTCTACAATCTTTAAAAGTTTTTTTGAGACGCTACTTTCTTATATCCGAAGTGATTTATGACATTATTCTAGGTTATTCCCAATTTCACCACCGAAGAGCCTCAAGAATTCTTTTGCGGACTGGTTGGACCTTTTGAGGCCGGAATCCCCGTCGAGTTGCCTTTGTGGATGGCTTTGTATCTTCGACGACGACATAAGGTCAAACTTGTTGTGAGTGTCGAACTTTTTTGGTATTGCACTTGGTTTTTAGGTCAAATTATTTTATGCTTTCTGATTTTAGCCTCCACCATGGTTAACAGTCGATGAACTGAAGCGAATGGTGTATGAGGAGAAGAATGCACCTGGTTTCACGAAGATCCATCCCCATTTCTTCGAAATCTCGAGGATTTTGATCTCAAAAGCAGCTCATGACATAACAGAACATGATCAAATGATGCCTTTGGTGCGAGATATGTGGGACCATAGGACGGCCAAGATGAGAACCTTGACGACCAAATTCCTCGGTCAGGTGAGTGCTTGTTTTCTTGTTTTTTATCTTTAGGAATTCTGCTGAGTTTATGTTATCGATGGAATTTTCAGACATCTCAAAACCATCTTCGATTGGATAACATCACGAAACTGGAATGCTGTTTAGCTCGACTTTTTATGAACGAAGTTACCTACAACATTGACCGGTTTACACAGTTTTTCAATGAGTGTGCGCCAGCCAACACTCAGTAGATGGGATTCATCTAAAATTATGTATCTTTGGTGGACATTTCTATTTATTTTTGCTTACTCCCGTCTAAAATCTCATAACCTCCAATACATCTCATTTCTTGCCACTTTCCAGATCTTTTTACGGGCATTGTTACAATAATTTATATTAAAGTGTCATGTGTAATATAATTTCCTTGTTGGAGAAGGCGCTAATTGATTACCGGTTTGCAACCGTCGATATTTTTAAAGCATTTCTGCTTTGTCAAATTTCAGTTGATAATTTGGCGATTTTCAGGACCTAAAACCATGTCATTGAACAGAATTGCTGCTGGCTCTCGGGTCTTCGCCCCGACTTTGAGGGCTCAAATTCAACCTGTAAGTTCTTTCTTTATGTGTTTTCCGCCTTTAGGAAGCCTACGGAATCAAAATGTTCATGTTTTGGAGGGTTTTTGTTTAGATTCTTATATTATAGTAGACGCAAGAGAACTGTTACTTTTGCAGAAACGCCAATCATCTGGTGGGTTCTACGCTCAGAACAACTTTGACGACTTCGGAAAGGAGCTGAAGCACAGTTTGAAGACTGCCGAACAGACCGCTTCCACCTGGAAGAAGATCTTTTTCGTGGCCTCCATCCCTTGTTTGGGTATCGCCATGTGGGCCGCTTACCGCGAGCACGAGAAGCACCACAACACCCCTCGTGCTGAATACATCGAGTACCCCTACTTGAACGTGCGCAACAAGCCCTTCCCTTGGGGCGATGGAAACCACAGCTTGTTCCACAACCCCTCTGAGAACTATGTCCCCGGCGTTGGCTACGAAAAGGACCGTCATCATTAAGATGTGCAAAAACATTACAAATAGTTTATGTCTTGCATTGAGATCCTGATTCAAGTGCGAATAAATCTTAATGCTCTGTATCGAGGGGCTTGAGGATATTACAGTTGATACTCAAACCAGAGATAAATAGTATTTATTTATTGGGTAATGATCGGTTAAAATAATCGGTATTGCTCAAGGACCGATTTCGCATCGTTCTTGGAGGTGCCGGGAGATCAATCTGTCCACATGATCACTGAAATTTAAGCTTATACCTAATGTAATATAAAAACTTTCGATTTTAGTGCGAATTATTTCATGTAATAACCAATAATGCAACTTACATCCAATTCTTGGGCACATTGGCCAGCTCAGTCCGCTCGCTTCTTTCTCTGGCCTCTTTTGTCTTCAGTTTCACAAATTGTTCGAGCGCGGCTTTGATTTCCTCGGGACTAACTGTCTCCTCCTCACCACACTCCGGACACTCGTATTTGTGGTTGGAGCAAGTCTCAAAAAGCTCCTTCATCAAAGCCAAGTTTTTTCTTCGCTGTTTTCGGAGTTCCTTCAGGATCAGACGGTATTCTTCGTCGTACTGCATGGCCCGTTTGATGCGTTCGTCGATCAGAGGGAGCGAGATTAACGCCATATCCATGTGTTTTTGTTCGTCACGGAGGAGCGTGGCTTGCGCTCGCACCTGGAACAGTAGGATTTATATAATATTTTTTACTTCATAGTTAGATCAAAACGAAAAAAAAGATGACGATTTTTTTGCAACTTTCAATTTGAAATTTTGACCGTCCCTTCGGTATGTTTAGTATACAATTTCGTCAAAAAATCATGTTTTTCCGAACGAAATGCGCGGAGATATCGCTGAAAAACAACTTTTTCTCTGACCGTCTCTCCTCATTCCGCATGCTCTCTCGTCTAAACATATAGTTGAATATCTCAGCTGTCGTTGCATGCAACAATCTCATATTTTCAACAATTGATACTAGATCCCGATAGAACGTATCTGCAAAATCTGACCGAAATCGGATCATCGTTCTCTGATCACTATTCATATTGTTTTAGTCATCAAAGACGTCCAATTTTTAAAATTTTCTTCTAAAATTCCCACAAAGAAAAATCAGGCGAATCATTAACAAAACACCAACAAGCTGAATAGAAAAAGTAAACGCACTTACAGCTTCAAAGTTGGCCACTAAATTGACGAAATGCATTTTGCTTCTTCCCTGAAGGATAACATAATGTTAAAACTCAAAGTAAAAAAGTCAAAATCAAGTGTCCAGAAAGATCACTGACCTCCTTCAGGTACTTTTTGTAGTCCTCATCGGTTCCTTTTTTGATGTTTGACTCCCAATATTCAGCCATTTTCGGCCGCTCGACCAAGACTCGGGATAAAATGAAAATCAAAAAAAAAAAATAAATAATAAATCAAAAGAAAATAGTCCAAAATACAGTTAAGATGATTTTATCACCCAAAAAACTTAACAATCTTTCATAAGCGATGGCAAATTGTAAAACTTAACAAGGTGAGGCAACAATTTAGCGTGGTCGGAAATGGCCGTTTTCCAGTTTTATCAGCTCCTTTTCCGCCTTTTCTTTGAGGTAGACTTGGATAACGGGGAGGCCTTGGATTATGGTGTGATCCTTGGTCGAAAGGGCTTCACGAAGAGTCTGTTCCGGGTGAATTTCAACAAGTTGTTCATCATCAAATACGTCCAACGGGAGGAAAAGACGGACATTGTCTCTGAAATCGGCAAATTAGATAAGTTTTGTCATCTTTGGACCAGATATTTATTACATTAAAAATAGCAAAATTTCCAGTTAAATCCAAAAATTATCCATTACCGGTCACTATCAGGGTGATAACACTTCAGATCTTCAAAAATATCACCTAACCAGAACAAATTTTATATTATCCATGACATCAATATCTTACCCATGATAAAATTTTACCCCAAAACCTCCAAAATAAACTCTCATAAGCCGCAAAAATCCCTAATCTATCCTCTATTGTCTTTCGTTCGTACCCTATTCACCCAACTTGCACTTTATCCATGTCCTTATATTACACTTACCTTCTAAAGTTCCACTCATCACGATCCCAAGGCGCCGGCTCCGAGAACACTGGCATCAACAACCTATCAAAGGTCAAGTCTTCATGTGAGTCCTTCACCATGTCGGTTTGCCCGGCTCCAACGTACTGTAACAAAACCGGCCACATCAATCCATCCGTCTCCTTATCAATATACACCCGTTCTTGGAGAAGCTCCTGCAATCATTGTGTCTTAATCGGTTCGTTCTTGCTCTAAAAACCAACAAAATTCAAAAACAAACGCATACTTTAGTATACGGCGACTTTCTACATAGATCATTCCAGTCCAATTCCTCGGGTTTGTCCAAGTCAATCGGCGGTCGAAACCGTAGCCCACGTTCTTTGAACATCCCACACAACGCTTTCTTCTCAGCAGCCTCTCGTTTTTCCTGCAAATTCGACAAAATTTATATTATCCATGATGTCTAATATTGTTGATGCAAATTTTTACTCACTTCTTGCGCTCTTCTTCTTGCATCTCGTTCTTCGACAACCTTCCGAGCTTCGGCCTTCTTTCTGATCTCTCCAATATCCTTTTTGAACTTATTCATCGCCTCTTCATCGATTAATTTCTCTTCTTTCTCCAATTTTTCCAGTGTCTCCTCAATTTTGGTTGCCAATTCCAAAGATTTTGCCGCATGCCCCAACTCCAAGAAGACCTCAACTCCTCGGAGAGCGGCTTTCAAATTCCTTGGGTTGAATTTCCACGCGAAAATGCAATCTTTCGCGCAAGTCTTCAGATTTCCGAGATGCCGATTGGATGCAGCGCGATTGCCATAGAGCTGAGAGTTGAGTTCCTTGTCCTGACAGAACGCCTTGATCCCCTTGGTGTATTGTTCGTTCGCCCATCTGTATTTCTTCAGCTGAAAGAACTTGTTTCCTTCTTTTTTGGCCTGCATAGCATCATCCAACGCGTCTTGAGCTGCATCATCGTCGTATTTTAGGGCCTAAAATAATAATTTTAATATATATATATAATGCCAATGTCTTATTGCGTCAGTATAAAGTCAACTCAACAAGATTCATAAAACTTTTCGGACAATTTCTTCAGAATTTTATATTATACTAGATGACGATAGAGAATCGGTCAATTCTCATTCTGCATGCCATCCGTGGAGATGAAACGAAACATAGAGTCAGCAAAAAGGCTGATTCAGCTAATCAAACCAAAAAATCGGTAATAGTTCAGTTTCTTCCTATCGAATCAACAATATTACACTAGACCTCGAGAGATCATCTAAAATCTCCTCGTTCTCCTTCATGAATCCCCTAAACTTTAAATTTTAAAATGAGAAGCACTTACTTGCAACGCTTGAACGTAATGTGAGTATTCTCCATTCTTTCCGGGCTTCAATTCCTTCATGAAGAAGGGATGTTGATCTAGCTCTTCTAGGAGGGCGTCCAAATCGAAGGGTTCCTTCTCTTTCTTTTCGTTCTTGGCTTTCTAAGATCAAGAGATACTAATTAACAACCAATACATACACTCTGTTCCGCCAATTCGTCCATGTATCGCTCCAGATCTTCATCGAGACGTTGACAAAGATTAGCTCTCTCCTCATCAGTCAATTTCTTTGGTTTCTCCATTTGAAAAAGTGCAAAACAAGCTGAAAATGTGACAGTGAGCCAATACCTTCTACAAAACCCTATTTGCCTGATGACATTTTTCAGGATGTTCCCGAATTATTTTTTCTCGCACGCCGCGCCCGAGGTTCTGCAACTTGTGAGAACGATTATGCAAGCCGCATGCTGCGCCCTGATTTTTGCCAGAAAATCTTTCGCGCTTTTCTGTATCGTTTGTTATCTCCTTGACACCTCGCGGTTTGGTGTTTATTTACAACCATGGACAGAGCAATCCTTCGAACAGTTAAGCATGTAAGTTACATTAATTTATATTATACCTATTCAATCTAATATTATTCTTGAATTTCCTCGAATTTTAGCTGAAATCCGATATCGAGTTGATCCTCGACGAAAATGCACATGAAGTCTTTCTGAGCGAGGAGCAGATCCGCGAGGAATATCGGGCCATGGATGGAAAAGAGTTAGAAGTAGGTTGTGCTTATATTATACTTGATACGAATATCTTCAAGTTATTGTTTTTGTGTTTAGGCCGTCTTGAGAAACGTCAATTTAACATTGGCGAAGATAATCGAGGATGTGAGGCCAAAAATGTACTCATTTGTTAATGACATTGAGACTCCGGGATATCTGAAACGAGAAGTGATCACGAGCCGAGGAATGATCGCAGGGCCTGGCAGAAACCGTCAACCAGCGGCGGAGTCTGCCAGCAATAAAGCCACTCCGATTCCATTTGTGGAGTCTCCAGTTGCTCCGCCTCCGGGATTCTCTTCCAATCCGGTGGATTCGGCCGAAACATCTAGATCTTCCTCGTTGGCCCCGGGCAGTAATCGCCCCAAACCCAATGGACAGCAAGTTGAAGATCCAACACAAAATGGCAGATCTTCGCCAAGTATTCCAATGAGCTTTGAGTAAGATTTTTTTATTATTCTTGGCAACTTTAGGTCAGCTTGTATGATTCGATTCAAAACTGTTTGTTTGACGTCGCGATGTGCGTCGGTTTTAAATTGAGTATCCATTAGAGGACTTGTCAGGCATTTTACGAAAGAAATGACAGCTGTTTGATATTTTTTCGAGATTGAAACGTCAAATTCGTCGAGGATAATATAACAAAGTCTTCAAAATGAGTTAATTAATGGTTTCATTTTAGTCTGCGTGAGAAGGAAAATCATGTTCCTGTTGTTACACTCCCAGCCAGCCGATCTCCCAGCATTGCATCTCATCAAGCATTCCAGGATATTAATCATATGGGACATGAACCTAAACCGGTGAGACCTTTTTGTCTTTGTGGAATTTTGTGTTTAGAAAGGCGCAACAAGGTGTTTTAGATGGCCTAAGAGCTTTTTGGGGTTATTTTGGGTTTAAAAGGGCTTGTTTTTAAATAATTTTTGTTTTATTTTAGTTGACGGACGAAGAGTTAAGAAGACATAGTGAAGTTCTTCTGGATGACTGCAAGAAAAACGGATACGGAGTAAGTAATTTTCTATTTGTTCTTCAACTTTTAGATACGAGTTGGACGAATTTTTCTCTTGTTTTTTTAACTTGTCTGTCAAGTATAATATAAATTAAGTTTGTTCCTCCCGTTTGTTAGTGTCTCTGTCTCCCGAAAATGACTTAGATAGCTGCCTGGTTTGATAATCCCTCCTTCTAAGTGGTTTCTTTTAGGACTTCTTCGATTTGAATACCCTGATGGGCCGTTTCCGCCATATCGTCGAAGCCGCTGCCAAAAACTCGATCTGATTGATACTTGTCTTTATATCCGTAGTCTGTAATTCTTATTTGCTAAGTAAACGGTGCTGTATTCTATTCGGAATTGTCTTACGGTCTGTCAGGGATGATCTTGGGAGTAGAGGCATGGATAAGGTGGGAATGGTGGATTAGTAGGGAAAATAAGAGCAAATAAGAGTGATGAGAGATCTGAGGGATCTTGTAGGAAAATTTGATGTGATATAGGGAATGATAAAGTCAATTTAATTTTGTTTTGTCATGGATAATATATTGTTTTGTCCGAAATGTCTAAAATAAGGTTGCTTTTTATTTTTTTCTCTGAATTTTTAGGGAAAACCTCTTTTTTGACACTTGAAATGCAATTTCTGATATTTTGACTCCTTTATGTTATGAGTCTTTTCAGAAATTTATATTACTTTAGTCAGGATTTGTATTTCTTTAGGATGACGATGAAGTGGAGATGATCCTGGACGGACTCCGGCGTGGCATGCATCCCGAACAGGAATCTCCGGTGGTTTCTGAGCCAGAACCAAGAGGGAAATGGCATTCGGTCTTGGATGGACAGTCCTACGGCAAGATCAATGAGCCCATTGGGCCCGCAACTCTGGCCCATCTCTCCAACGCGGAACAACACGCCATCCAGTGTGCGAACAGAGGACTGGATCAGGCCAACTTCAAGATCAGCATGGATCAAATGTTCTATTTGAACAAGTACTGGTCCATCAAAAACAGCGGGGATGTGAATGCCTACAGAAGCAACTATTTGATCCCTCATATCAAAAAAACGACGTAAGTTTGCGATGATTTTAAGGTTGGGATATGATAATGAGGGAATAAGATAAATAAGGAATAAGTTTGAGGGATTTTGACAGCAAAAATTTAAGAGAAAATAAGGGTTTTTTTGGATGAGCCATGATGGGCCATGGATAATATAAAAAATTGGCCGTAGAGCCGAGTTTTTGCATAAATTGTGATAAATATGGTGTTTATATGGCTATTAAGCTATTTTGAACTACAGTGATTGAGAAAGTTGGCGTATTTTACCATTTTTTTTATTAGCCATGAAGTCATCGTGGATAATTTAAAGTTTCTAAAAACGAAAAATTTTGGGTTTGTTATACGTGAAATAACATGGTTGTAAAAAAATTCTGTGTTTTTTACAGTTACGGACCTGATCCAGTGGCAAAAAAGTACCATTTTGCATCCGGGAATATCAAAAAATGTGGCAAAATACCTCCCTCTCCAGATAAAAAAAACTCCGTTTTGAAGGGCGCTCCCTTTACCTGACATGAGGCCTGACAAAAGAGCTTTTGAAACGGAGTTTTTTCACTTGGAGAGGGAGGCATTTTGCTACATTTTTCTGTACTTCCCGGATGCAAAATGGTACGTTTTTTGTCACTGTTTCAGGTCCGCCACTGTAACAAAGACAGAAATCTTTTACAATCATGTTTTTTTACGTATAATAAAACCAAAATTTTTCGTTTTTAATAAGCTTTAAATTATCCTATGACTTCATGGTTAATAAAAAATGGTAAAATACGGCAACTTTCTCCATCATTGTACTTCAAAACTGCTTTATAGCCATATAAACACCATATTTATCCCAATTTATGCAAAAACTCGGCTCTACGGCCAATTTTTTATGTTATCCATGGCTCATCCAAAAGATCCTTTTTTTCTCTTAAATTTTTGTTACAAAACAAAAAATGACTCTCATCATAAACTACCGTAATTTCAGTGTCTTGTACGAGACCCCAGCAAATGAAAAGCTCCTCAATTTCATCAACTGCCCCGACTATCACGCCGCGATCCTCTACATCCTCCAATTCCACGCGATGAGCTACCCCAAAGGCTCGGATGCCGAGGAATTGGAACATTTTGAGCGGGAGTTCCAGAAGGAAACCTCCCCATTCAAGCTGGGAGTGGACACGGCCATCTCATCGATGGCCGAGTGTGTCCGCAGAGGCCTCCTGATCAAGGAAGGAACCCTCACCAAGCCGTTGTTCCGCACGAACGACGCAATCCGATCCCTGGACTTGTGGCGATTACCTCCCGGACTTCCGTCCAATCTCTTCAGAGTCTTGAACACTTTTGGCGAACAAAAACTCTGCGAATTGGTCAGCAGGACGGACATTTGTCTCGATGCGAATGGAGATTTCCTCCGAGAAGAGCTACATATGTAAGTTTTGGCGCGGGGGTTTTGGATTTTGGTGGAGGTAGTCATGGTGAACATAGACATGGATAATATAAAAAGTGGGCTAAATTTATGAGATTTTGGACTATTTAGGACGGAAATGACCGGCGATTACATTTTTGAGCTTTGAAAATTGGATTTTGAATGAATTTTTTGGGCATGATTAGGCACACATTACATCATGGATAATATAAAAAGTAGCTTTAATGAGCGAAATTGTGGATTGGGTAGAGTAGAAATGGCGTAAAAATAAATGTTAGAGATCATTTAAAAAATTTTTTAGCTTTTTTTTGTCAAAGTGTAATATAAGGTATATCATGGTGAATATAAAAATTTGGTCCGAAGGACTGTATGTAGCCATTTGGTGGCGATAAATCCTCTGATAGTGAAGTCCAAGAGATGATTCTGCAATTTCAGGGCCGACTTTGTCCGTTTGGCCAACAATTTCCCGTTGGTTTTCCAGCTGAATTCCCATGATAAACAAGTTTGTGAGTCGATTTTTGTATAATTTTTGAGGTTAAAAATGAATGCAATGGGCTTTGTGAGACTTTACAAGACCTTTTCTTTATAGATTTTACAATTTTTCGATGGTATTTATATTGTTTTAGTAAGATTACTGTAATTTCAGACAGCCAAGAAGTGTTGACGTCGCTTCGACTGGAAAGAGAGTGCCCCACCTGGAAGGTCCTCTTGGACTGCCCCAATTACAGTGACAATATCTTCTTCTGTGACTGCAGAACTTGCTGCTCATTCACGCCGGTCACTTATGACTACAACAGCTGAGCAAAAAGCGGTCTAAATTTCTCTTGGTGAATAGTTTTTTTTGACGAATTACCTCAAAAGATTTCTGTATCATAGGTTGTAAATGCCTGAGCAGTAATTTTTAATTTTTAAAAGCCCTTCTTTGCACTTTAATTTTGCGATTTTATCTGAAATTACTGCAATTTTTGGTTCAAAACTTGAATTTTTATATTACACTTGCTCATTTTGCTTTAGATTTTTCTCAGATGGCATCAAAGATTGTCGTAGTGGCTTGTGAACACTGTTTTGATAATATTTACTTGCATTCAATGTATAATTACAATATTTTTTCTTTTGAAAATTGACTTACATTTTTATTTCTTAACCGTTTGGTTTTAATCGGAATTACGGGACCTGAATAAACTATCGTGCTGAATAAGTTTTTTTTTGACTTATTATCAAACATTTGGTAGCACACAGCGTTCTCTAATTTTTTGAAATGAATCGAACGCCGATTTTTTCAATTCTTTTCGTGATCGACATTTACTCGGGTATAGCGAGCGCATTCTATATACAGTGGGGGACCTGATCCAGTGGCAAAAAACGTACCATTTTGCATCCGGGAAGTATCAAAAATCTGGCAGAATACCTCCCTCTCCAAGTGAAAAAACTTCGTTTTGAACGGAGCGCCCTTTTTCCTCACAGAAAGAGCTTTTGAAAATCGAAGTCTTTTACTTGAAGAGGGAGGTATTTTGCCACATTTTTGATACTTTTCGGATGCAAAATGGCACGATTTTTGCCACTGTTTCAGGTCCGTCACTGTATAATGTAGCATGCGCTTGCTATACCCGCGTAAATGTCGATCACGAAAAAAAATTGAAAAACTCGGTGTTTGATTCATTTCGAAAAAGTACAGAACGCTGTGTATAATAGCAGTAGAAATCGATGTCTTTTCGGAAAATTTGGAATTTCGAGTTGTTTCTTGAAGATCAAACTTGTGTTCGCTGGTCTTTTGACAGCTCGCTAAAAACATAAAAATACCTCATCAATTTCTCCCCCCTCCGCATTCCAGTTACCATGTATAACATAAATTTTATGACTTTTCTTGAGTTTCAACTTATTCTAATGGGACTTGAGGTGGTCCGAGGCAAGACAATGTCTGAAAATACCACTCGTTTATTTTTGCTCTTTCAAAAACAAGTGACGTTACGTCGGAGCAAATAACTCTCACCAAAAAAATAAAACAATATTTTTTTGTCAGACAGTGTAAATTCCTTGCCTCCCTCTCTCCGGGAATTTCGAAAACAAGCCATTAGAAGGGTGGCCAGCTGATTATAGTACATCCCCGGAGGCAAGGAGGTATTTTTAGCGGCCTCTTTTCGGATCAAATGGACAATTGTTTTGGGCCAAAGGAATTCCAAGGATTTCGGCCGTTTGGAATTCGAATTGGTCACTCAACTGTTTAAACCGCTTTTGAAATCCCAATCAGGTTGCTTTTATTATTTCTCGGCGAATTCGCTAAAAATTTTATATTATCCATGGGGAAGTCGGTGGAATGTGATGAAATTGAGTGCGATTCGTCCACCTCAATGACGGATTCCTTTCTGTTTAATCGATATGAGCAGAAAGAGGAGGAAGAAGGTAATTTCGAATGGTTTTGAGATTAAAACAGTCGATCATGACGTTTATATGACCCATTATTCTTCAGAATCCACTGAATTCATGCCAAAAGGTCGATTGACGTTCGCCGAATGGGAGAGATTTGAGCAGAAACGGTTGGAAATGATCAATGAGGTAGGATTTTATTTTCTACAGTGGCTCTGATTACCGTAATCCCCAAAAATTAGAACCAGACAGGTTTCATCGTATAAAATGTCGTAAATCGTTAGAAACGGCCCTAATAATCTTGAAAAACTTGGTGAATGCAAAAATAGATCATAATAATTTATTGTCACCATATTTTTGACTATTACTATGTACATTATTGTAATTTACACGCTTCTAAAAGCAATTCAACGGCTTTTTCAAAGTTCTCCGCCACTAAAGCCCCCTTGGGCAACTCATTGAGATCCGTTTCCCGGAATTTACCAGTTTTCACTAAAATTGCATGGAGTCCAGCATCGACAGCGCCATTTATGTCGTCCCTAACATCGTCTCCAATCATCCAGATATTGGTTGACTCGAATTTCACTCCAGTTTCTTTTCGAATAGCATCCACAGCGGAGTTATAAAAGTCTTTGGAGGGTTTACCGACCAAATGGGCCTGAAAAAGGATGATTAAAATAATCATGTAAAGCAAAAATCGATTTTCAAGTACTTTTTGCCGTGGATAATATAAAAAGTGGAAATTCAAACGGAAATCTGTGAATTCTGCCATATTTCGGTTCAATAATCAGCAACATTGGCTATTTTAGTAATCTTACATCGCATTTTACCCTTTTACATTTCGAATTTATCTTTTTATAACCTTAATTTACCTTTTTTCCACTGGAAAACTCCAAAGCTTCGATAAACGGTCCGGGCCCCAAAGCCAATCCATCCCTCCGTCGATAATACCTCCCTTTGTGAACTGCGATAAGCTCCGTGTCTTCCCGCAGCAGCAATCTGAATGCTGTGTTCATATGATGATAGTTGAAATGGCCGGGCGATAGAGCAATAAGAACTGAATTCATTTCCCCATTTTGAACGATCCCCGAGAACTCTTCCATAGCTGCGTCATCTACCATCAGCAGCGGCTTGAGTTTTCGTTGGTCAATCAGTTGTCTTGCGGCCGAAAGCGAAGTGAAAAATTGAGATTTTTGCAAGTTTTTGAATCCGCACCGTGCCAATCGTTCCATCAGAATTCGAGTGCTCTCCTAAAGGCAAAAACTGCAAAATTCTGGAAAACAACTCACCTTTGTTGTGTTTGTGACAAATTTCACAGCGATTTCTTCGTGTTTTAGCAGTTTTTCCAACGCTGCCACTGCATTTGGGGTCGGCTCATCTTCCACATGTAAGGTGCCACTTAGATCAACTAGGACTGCAAATTTTGGGGGCATTCTAGGTTGTATAGAAGGGATACAACTCCAAATTACTTGTCAATTGAAGAAAAGGCCAAAGAATTTCCGATTCTCCGAGATTTTTATTTTGTTGCGAAATGTCACGGATTTATTGGAAGATTTTGGACGAAATGTCTAAAGAGGAATAATGGCCTAGATGACAAATTAGAGCGTCTGTTGGGTCATAGACTATTCGTTGAGCAATAAAAGCACATTTAACATATACTATTAATAGTCGAATTCCAAAAGTTTTCAAAAATTATATTATTCTTGATAAATTTTACAAAATTACTATAGAACTTTTGGCATTCATATCCGAATCTAAAGCTCTTCGCTTATGATAGCTGACCTATCAATCTTTGTATTTCAGGCCAAAGACCGCGCAGAATGCATGGAGAACACAATGAAATGGTGGGCCGAATGCACGGAGATGTGGAGGGAGAGGTGGTCTCGGGTCCGAGATGAGCGGAATCAAGCGAGAATCGCGATCGACAAACTAATCAAGACTTTGCATGAGGTTCAAGTGGGTTTTTCCTCATATTTTTGCTAAATTTGTCATCGAAATTTGGGAAAAAATAATCTTAAATTTTGTTTTAGGAGGACACTTTGAGGTATTTCGATGCAAAAGAAGAGGCCGACAAGGAGATCAAACGGCTGAGGGAGGAAGTTCAGCAACTTCGAAGTGAACTGGCTCATAATTAATCATAATTAATCTACCTCATGCTTCAAATTGATAAATATTTTATCTTTATTTAACAAGAAAGTGGAATACAAATTAATGTAATATTACCCTGGAAGTGAAAGCTTTTTTCGGGATGCATATCAAAAATAGATTCTCTAAACTCTATTCAATATGTTTACAAGCGATATACAGAAAAATGATCAGCAAATGAGACAATAAAACTAAAATTCGTGCAAGTGTCATGTACAATATAATCTTCCACAATTTACCGGTATAAACTTAGACCAAATTCAGCCAAGAACATCTAAAAACGTCTAAAAACTCTTTAGGAGTTCTCTTCAGCAACTTTTTTCTTGATCAGCCTTCCTCCATACAATCCAGCTACAGCTCCGCCAACTGCAGCTGCAACTCCGGCCACAGCTGATCCCGCGGCCACCGCTACCGGTCCTCCAGCGGCGAGTGAGCCCAGAGCGGCAGCATAGAAGGGTACTCGGGCTTGTTTGGTTTTGACGGCTTTCTTGAGCTCTCTATGACCAGCATGCACATCATGCACCGTGCGTTCCACCTGATCTTCAATTGAATCGACGAGTTCGTTTTGGCTATGGACCAGTTGGTGGAGGTCAATCATGATTTGATTTAGGTCTTCAATGTCCTGTAAATGCATTATTAGAAGTAAATTTCAATTATCAAAAACACTTTTGACCTAAAGAAAATTGATGCCTAGTATAATATAAAAATGATCAAAAATCCTTTCCAAAAATTTCAAAACAGTCTAAAACTAATACATTAGTCCATTTACAGTATACCAACCTAAATTTTCCATTAAATATTGGGCATATAAAAAATTATTGAAAGCTTTTTACATCGTTATCTAGTGTAATATCCAAAACTCCGCAAAAAATCGATTCGTTTGCAAATTTCAAAAGCTTTATCATGTTTAACTGACGTTCAACGTATTTTACCCTATATTTTCAAATCGCACCCAAAATTTTTTAGCCAAAACTTTCGTCTCGAGACTCAACTCACATCATTCAATTTTTTGGTCGCTTCAGCGTCCGCTCTGGCCTGTTCAGCCTTCAACTTCAGCTCAGCAATTCGTTTTTCCTTGAAGCTTCTCTCGGCTTCCACTTGAAGTTGTGCCTCATATTCCGAGGCCGCCCGATTGATCTGATCGTCATCAAAGCAGTCCTCAAAATAGTTCGAGTCGAATGGATTGCCCGTTCCCGTTGGTTTGAATGGATGTTCTGCAGGTCCTTTCTGGCCAATTCCATCGCCTGAACTTGTCGAAGTTCGCGGGCGATCCAGATTTTCGCGGATTTGTGTGGTTGTCCCTAATTTAGGTAATATCAATGTGATTGTCTGGGATATTCTCTTCGTGGTCCCTTCAATTCTCGCGTCAAACCGTTCCTTGGTGCTCTCATCCAGTTTGGAACGCAAGTTCAGCAACTAAAAAGGGAAAAAATAAAAAAAATTATATTGTACTTGCCTCATGAAGAGCGGTTTGGATATGATTTATCAATTCTTTGGCCGCTTCCTTCTCCACTGTCGCTCTTTCGTAATCTTTTTCTCTCTCACACTAAAAAATAAACAAACTTTAATCGATTTCATAGCAAAATCTTCAAATCTTTACTAAAACTTGACCAACTTTTTGAATGACCGTGTGTTTTTGCCGCAGTTCAGCCAAATTCTCGTCGCAAACTCGGATGAAACGGTCCACCGGGAACGATACTTGATTCCAATCCATATTATTCATCCATTTGAGGGCTGAAATTTTACAAATTATCTTATCCATCAACAGCTACAATAAGGTGGAAAAATCACCAAAAAAAATTTTCAAACACTAATGCAAATCAATGTAAAATCACATTTATTCCTCTGTGAATCTTCAGTGATCAAGTTATTATAGGTTCAACTTTACAACAAGCAGACTTTGATAATGACATAAATAATGATGACGATCAAGTATAATATAATTTTTTGTGAAAATTGGGACAACAACAACTAAGAAATAGAAGACACCGTATTGACGAATATTTCAACTTTTTCTGAGGGCCAGCAGAAGCCTTTCAATGAGCAAATTCAAAAAATTTTTACTTTTTTGTCTAAAACAAGGTAAAAAAATAAGATTTTTTGCCAATTTATCCAATTTACACATCCAAAACCACTTCCACAACCTCCAAAACTTATTATTACTCTTATTTCCGCCTCAAAATTACCCTAGAAATCTATTTCATGACACTTTTTGAAGCTGCCAACAAGGCTGCAATATCATCTTGTTGATGGTCATTCTTCCTCGATATCGTTGTCACGATTCCCCTCAAATGTTCTGGGATCCGCATCTCAAAATCTGTTAGTCCTTGGGCCTTTTCTTTAAGGGTTATCAACAATTTTCTGAAGATTCTTGACTTTGAGTTAAGGCTGGGGAAAGTGTTGACCAAATTGTTGATTTCCGAGGTGATCCTAAGGGTTTGCGTGGTGGATGATGGGTCATACTGGTGCTCAACTATCTCTGGAACAATAATCAGATTAGAAAACGGCAAAAAACAAAGCAAAAATACCAAAATTTTGCCTAAAAGCGACCAAAAATTTAAAAAATCGACCAAAAATTCAAAAAATCCCAAAAATCATTCCAAAATTTCAACTTACTAGTCAATTTCGGTATCAAAATTTTCTCCACAATATTGGGGATCAAGCCGATTATCACTTTATGATCTACATCAATCTCCGTGTTATCAAATCCCAGTCGTAACACAGCTTTATACCACTCCATTGAAGAAATTTTTGGGTTATTCGGAAGTAACGGATTCCACTCAAAAAGCTCCATTCTGACCAACGGTGTGATTAATTTCGGGATGCATTCATCAATGTAGGCGTCTTGGAATGTTTTGGGATCTTGAGTTAGCCAGTCGATGAATCGGCGATAAATTTGATTGAGATCATGGTATTCGGCGGAGGCATCGGCGAAGATGGTGGATGCTCGTTGATGGAATTTCGCTGAAAATAAAAGATTATCAACTTTTTTGATTAAATGTGTCATGATGACTTTTTTTTGGACAATCAAAAAATTCAAGGTGCAAAAAAAATATCTTGACTTTAGGGTCTAGCTTTAGGACCACTCTTGAAAAATTCGGAATTTCAAAATTTTTCCAAAAATGTGTCATAATGACTTATTTAATTTTTTTGGAAAAAAATCAAAAAATTTAGGGTGCAATAAAATTTTAGATTGTCTTTACGGCACCCCAACACACCTAAAAAACCAGTTTCAAAATTTTTTCAAAAAAATGTGTCATGATGACTTATTTTTAAATTTTTTTTGGAAAAATCAAAAAATTCAAGATGCAAAAATTTTTTATATTGTCTTTACCGTATACCACTCCACTTAAAAAGTTCAAAGTTTCAAAATTTTTCAAAAAATCCAAAAATTTCCAAAATCAAAAAAAACCACAGCCTACAGTTTTATCCACCTTAAAAACAAAATTTTCCATCCTCACTCCTCCCAAACTCACCAATATTTTCTCTGAGGGCCTCTGTCTCCGTGCTCTCTTCATTTTCACTGTTCCATTCCTCGTTCCTGTTGTATTTCGCGCGCCGTTTCGCTTCCGCCCTTCGTCTGCTGATGTCATCGGCGCGGGTTTTGTACAGATCCATAAAGAGGCCGTCGATTTCGTTGATCTCGTTCACCTTTTCATTCAGGCAGTCCATTACATTGTCCGTGAAAAATTTCATCTCCTGATATAATTTGTAGTACAATTCTAGCTTTCCATTCGACTCGGCTAGCTGGAAAACACTTTCCTGGTCGATTTTGAGGTTGCGCTGATTGTTTTCGTATTCATCTTTCTTCATTTGCAACAGTTCCAATTTTTTCCCTCTTCTGTAAAGGTCATGTGTAATATAATTGATAATTTCGGTAAAAAATCAAGTCTAAATTGTGGATTTTTTTTCTTCAAAATGTCTGCAAGGGTCTTACAGTTTATATTTGCGCCAAAAATTCATTTTTTTCAATCGAAAAATTACCAAAATTTTAAAATTTTTGACTCTGATACCTAAAAAATCCAAAAATCTCAACTCTTTCGGAAAACCAAACCCAATTTATATTCCAATCAGTAGAAAATGCCAATTAATCCTCTCTAAAACTACTCTTTCTACAAACTACTGTCCAAAAATATTATATTTATATTACCCATCACCTCACTACCTATAACTAAAAAATTTCAATTTTTTTCCTTTAAAACCACCTTTTCCAGCCAATTCAATCCACAAACATTCAACTTCACTTTCAAAGACTTACGATATTTCCAATTGCTCGATCAGATCGGCCATGCTGTGATATTTATGGCTGACTTTGTAGGTTCCATCCGGGTTGAAGAAGGCGGGCATTTGATGAGCTCCTTCTTGATCGATTTCCATGTCCTCATCATCCAGAATCATTCCCATGTCCTGCAGGGTGGCTGGGCCTTGATTAAAGCGTCTCGTGGCCGCATATTCGGTTTTGAATTCGGTGATCTAAAATTATATTATTTTAGGTATCCGATAAAAATAAAAACTGTTATTTCAATTGGGAAAGAGAGCAAAAAACTAATTGAGTTCAAATTCTCTATTTTGGAACAATGATTCATCAAATTACAATTAACATTTGACACAAATGGAGTCCATATGGGTCCCACCACGAAAACCTGAGACGGCAGATCTTCGTCGATTTTTTCTCAAAAAATGATATTTTGCCATGGACTGTGAGCTCATACATTTACAATATGAGATTTTACAGTTTTACAAAAATCAGGTTGCGTCCAAAAAAAAACAAGTTTAAAAACCAAAATTTGTGTCCCACCACGAAACCCTCTTTCATTTCGGAATTTAGCAGCAATTTTTGTTTAAAATACGTTTTCCATGTCTAGAAATTTAAAACCAAAACGAAATTTACCTCTAATTCCAAAAAACATGCTTAAAATCTAAATTTGGGTCCCGCCACGAAAACCTGAAACCCCCAATATCCTCCGGATTTCCTTCCAAACCAAGGCAAACCCTGTATTACTCACCTTCTTCTGACTAACAGCCTTTTTTTCCGTCTGTACTACTAATTTTAACGTTTTATAAAAAAAGATGTGTCCCGCCACGAAAACCTTTCATTTCGGAATTTAACCGCAATTTTTGTTTAAAATAAGCTGAAGCTTAAAAACAAAACAAAATCTACCCCTAATTCCAAAACACATGTTCAAAAATCAAAATTTGGGTCCCGCCACGAAAACCTGAATTTCCCCAAAATCCCCCGGATTTGCTTCCAAACCAAAGCAATCTCTCCACTACTCACTTTTTTCTGACTAACAGCCTTTTTGATCTGTTCCTGTTCCCATCTCTGGAGTTCTTCGTCATCCGATTCCTTCTGTTCTTCATCATCACTTCCCTGCTCCATTCTCAGCGCTTCCAGCTGTTCATTTCTCTTCTTCTGTTCCTCGTCCATCAACAAGTTGGATGATGAAATAAATCTCCCACTCTGTTCTTCATCGCTGAGGTCGTTTTCGTCTTCTCTGACCAGCCTCGAAGCCGAGGCCTTTTTGTCCAAACTGAGGGGTTCATCCAGGTTCAGAGCTCCCTGTTGTTCCATCTGTCCGCCCTCTCGCATGGCCTGGCGCCGTTTTCTGGCTTCGTAGATCATTTTCTCGTCCGGAATCGTGGAAAGCGAGGAGAATTTGGCTCGGGTGTCATCTGAATGTGCTGATGTTGATTGACTAATGGCTTGATATCGGTACGATTCTTCGTCTGGAATTCGGGTCGGGTCATTCTGAAAGCAAATTTATATTTATTCGTTCATCATGCATCTTCAAAAGGCACTTTTTTAAGCGATTTTTGTCTAAAAATCGCAAAAAAAACTTGGGATTTTCGATTTAAAAACCTCATATCTCAACTAATTCATGCTCTAGAAACCTCAGGAACGTCTTAAAGCAGTGTAAGCCTCATTTCGATCACTTTTCATCCACATTCATATATTACACTTGATCACTAAAATTTCAAAAAAAATAAAAAATTTCCAAATTTCTCACCTTTTTCTTCGGTTTTATCTCTTCTTCAATTATGATATCCTCTTCCTCTTCTATGATCTCTGTTTTTACATGCAATTTGTGATCTTCTTCATCTTCGGAGACCTCGCTTTTGACCCGTTTCCTGAGGCGATGCGATTTCTTCGTTTTAATTCCAGTCTTGTCCTTCTTCAATTTGAATGAGACTATGTCATCTTCTAAAACATAAACATGTTTTACCACAAAAAAAATTTTTTTAATTTCGAAAATTTATTTTTTTTTTTTTTGAAATTTCCAAGTTTTTCTCTCAAAAAATCAGCGCAAAATTATTTTTAGCTGTTCCAAAATCACCTTTCGAACCGGTGAAAAAAGTTTCAACAGTATTAAAAAAAAATTTTTTTTTTTTCAAAAAATCCCGAATTTCTGGCCTATCAAAAAAGCCCTAAAGCAAAGATTGGTCTCAAAATAAACCGACCTTCGCTTTCGTTAAAACTCAGAACCCCCTTAGGGAAACTGTCAGTGCGCACCTGCTCTGCTTTCGGCTCTTCTTTGGCTTGCTTTACGGGACTTTCGTCCGAATCATCCTCGTGGAAGTTGGTCTGTCTTTGGCGGATATTCCGGCTTTTCGGTTTGCGGAACATCACCTGAAACCTTTATAAATTCATCATAATACCATTTGTGACGTTAAAATCAAAGTCATCGGGTGTTTACACAGCTAGAAACGACTCAAGGACAAAAAAATCGCCTGTTTAGGTCAATTACAATGAAAAGTGGGGTATTCGAGGAGGAAGCTGGGCAAATAGGACAGAACGTTGACATCAAATTGTAGCTAGTGTGATTTGAATAAATCAGTTTTGGTTTTGGACCTAACATGAGGGGTTTGACGGTGGCCTTTGTCAGCTTTTTTTATATTGTACATGGTCAAAAACTTTGTCCGGATGGAAATGAAGCGTTTGCCAGTAAGAATGTAAAAAAATAACTTGGAAATCTTCGTATTTTAGCTTGCGAAGGGGTCTGCGACCTCGATCCAGAATTAAGTTGCCTTGATATTGGAGGAACTTCGTATTGTTGTATGTTCTTTTCAAGTTGATGTTAAGTATAATATAATATAAAAAAAAACTTGGTGCTAGGTGACGGAACTTTTCTCACGACAACTCCTACGACTCCAACCACTCCCACGACTCCTACAACACCGACATCAGCAAGTACGCCTACTACGCCAACAACCCCAACGACCCTATCGGTTACCCCATGTCCTATTCAGACTCAACCGGACACCACAAAGGATTGTGCGGTGAAATCTGGGCTGTGCAAGGTCCAGGTAAGATAATATAAAAATTTTTGATGAATATCGGGGAAATTGATATCACAGTCTGCCAAAACTACGTCAAATTTGTCTATTATACCTTTAAAAACTAAGCTGAAGCTATTTGGCCAAAGATTTTGGCTAATAATGACCAATTTTATATTACACTTGAGTTCAACTTGACGCATTGGATAAAAACTACTAAAAATAATCACTTCCCCCACAATTTCCTAAAAAACAACAATTAGTTACCCTCGACAATACATAATTTCACGATTTCAGACCTATCGAAATCTAATGGCAGCTATGTGTTCACAAACTTGTTGTTTACCACCAGGAACCAAGAAACCTTCCCAGAACAAGCCAACTCAACCCTCGAACAATCAGAATTGCGTTGACCCAGATCCCACATGCAGTCAGCGGGAAGCGTACTGCTTAGTGAAGGTACCTAAACTTCAGAAACAACAAATTAAAAACCTTACTTTCTAGTCGTATCAAAAACTGATGGATAAGAAATGCCCGAATACCTGTATCTGCAAAAGAAAGAAAAGCCAAGGCTAACATCATCAATGGGAAAAGCCAAGAGACGAACAGATTTTATTGACAATTCTACATTGCTTCAGACCGCAGAAGAACGAATAAACGTTAAAATTAACATGGATAATATAATAAAAAATTAATGGAGTATCAGAAGAGGAGAAAAACATAATAAACAGTGGGAAAACATATGATACATTATCACAACACCAACTTTCCTTTTTCCAGCAAAGGATTTCGCAAAAATAAGGGTTTTCCGTTCCGCGAGTTGCGCCCCGCATTTCTGCAGGTTGCACTTGTCAAATTATCCAAAAATAAAAAAATATTTTGCTTTTTCCAGTTTTGGCCAAAAAGTGAATAAGAAAGAACTGTTCTGTATCTACTCTTGTATTTTTTTAGAGAAGCCATTTTTTACGGGATAGTTTAATGTCATGCGTTTCGATATTACTCATGGCTTTGGCCAAAAATAACCGGTTTCTTGTCCTGTGCGACGTCGAACTCTTTCGGCCTGATGTTTTTGTAGGTGTAGTTCGTTGTTTTCAGGTAAAGAAAACGGGTGTAGTCGGACGTAATGGCGAATAAGAGAAACAACAGTGAGCAGGTCATCTTGAACAGACGATTGAAGCCGATCTATGGTAAGATTTTGACGAATTTTTGTTTTTCTGGGTTTAGAAAGGTGTGAAATGTTTGGTGAAAGGTTGTCTACGTCGTCATATTTGATAGGATTCAAGAAACAACGACTTTTTGTCTTATCATTGTGAGCAGATGGAGGATTTCCGTTTTAGATGCGGTGGACAACGGAAACAACAAGAAGGCCATTCAAGAAGCTGACAAATTACTGAAGAAGCATCCTGACACCTATACCGCCAAAGGTCTGAAGGCATTGGCACTGATTCGTCTCGAACGGAGTGCCGAAGCCTGGCCATTGGTTGAGACATGCGATGAGTACATTCGGAATGGAAATTTTGATGAAAACACAATCCAAGTGGTCATGCATTGCTATAAGGTGGGTGAATGACGTCTTGATATACCTGGGTATGTGAATTTTACTTTGCTTTTTCCACTTTTAGGAAGCCTACGTCCCTTCGAGAATAACTTTGCTTCTGGAAGAGGTGAATAAGATGTTTCCGGGCAACGAGAACCTCTTGATTGATCTTTTCACTTCGTATGCTCGAATAAAAGACTTCAAAAATCAACAGCGCATTGCGCAACTGCTTTCTAGAGACTTTAGCAAGCCGCAGTATGTGTTTTGGACCATCAGTAGTGTTGTCATGCAGGTATGTCTAGATTAATGTCGATTTTTGGCGTTTAGGCTAAAGTTATGGATACGATTTTTCATGAGGGAACAGAATGATCAGAATAATGTATTTTTCATTTTACAAGGAAAGTACTTTTATGGGGGCTCCTACTTTTTGACGGGACATATCTCAAAAAATCAGAAAAAATGCGCTGATCAAGGATATATAAATCTTAGCTGCCCATTTTAGGTTTTTAAGGGTGAAAATGCCAAAAAACTGGTTTAATTTCCCTACAAAAGGCAGACATTCGAAACGATAAAAAGAGCACTCGATCTCTTCCTTCGAAAGAGAGCGGTGTGGCCGAGTGGTTAGTGCCGTAGTCTGGGAATCAAGAGGGGGACGCCGCACAGGTTCGATTTCACTTTTGGGCTGAATCAACTTTTTTGAAGTTGAAGGTCGGAAAAATAAATTTTTGGGCCAAGACTGATTTATTACGTCTTAGAAACTCAATAAACACCATTTTAAGCCAAAATAAAAATTGTAAACCTTTGAAAAAATTAAGCGAAAAGGGGTTCATATAGGACTTTAAGTCAACTTCCGACTGAGTTTTCACCCCTAAAACCTAAAATGGGCAGCTAAGATCTATATATTCTTGATCAGCACATTTTTTCTGATTTTTTGAGATATGTCCCGTCAGAAAGTAGGAGCCCCCATAAAAGTACTTTCCTTGTTAAAACAGCTTTGTTTTAGGCGCTGAAAAATCCGACAATGGGACCTAAAGTACTTTATCCATTAGCTCAGAAGATGATCGAAAAAGCCCTTTCCAACATTATCGCCAAGCCAACTAGAAGTGGTAAGTTAATTTTTAAGCCTTTCAGTCTGTAATGGGGCAATAAAAACGTTGATTGTTTCCAGAAATCTTCCTCTACGTCCAAATTCTGGAGGGTCAAGCCAAGTATCAAGAATCATACGATTATCTCAAAAATCAGATAGAAAAAGGAAACCTTACCGTGGACGAAGGGAAAATGTTGATCTTACAGGCGCTGGAGAAATCAAAACAATACGAAAAATTGTTGTCGGAACTGGAAAAATACGCAGAAACCGTGCCTTATGACTTGCAGATCTGGCAGGAGCTCTTTAAATTGCTCGGCACTGTCAAAGATGATGAGAAATTGAGGTCTTTGTAAGTTTAATGGTAGCTATACAATATTTTTGTACTTTTGAAGGTGTTCAGAGCTGAGATTGGTTTGATTTTCTAATAGATATGACCTTAGTTTAGGACTCAACAGGCCACTGTGCGGATGATTAAAAAAGTGGAGGAAAAGGTGGACAAAAAATATGAAAAACACTCGCTACTCATCATCAAATGCATGTACCTCAAGAAATTGCAAACACTCGACTTATCGGATAATGCGGAAGGTCTAGGAAGTGTTTTGGAAAATGCCAAATCACTCATTGAAACCTCGTTGGATAAGCCCTACTGCTTCAAGGAGATGGCCCAATTCTTGGTCCTATTGAAAGACAATGAACAAGAAGACTTACTCTCTTATTTGAAAGCGAATGTGGGTGTGGATACTGTAAGTTTTTGAGGGATTTTTGATTTCTCCGATATTCACCATGATCTCGATTAAAAAAAGTGAAACATCAAAGTTAAAGGGTGAAATGTCTAAAATTTTTGTTTTCTAGGACAAGTTAACATATGGAACCATGTTATATCACCTGTTGAGATGCTCCTTCGGCCATATCGAAAGGGATTCCATCGAAGAAAGACGAAAAATGTCGGCGGATCTGGTGGGGAAACTTCAAAACCTCGAAAACGAAGATAATTATCTGGGAATGGCGGTGTCTCTGGTAATTTCCAATGCTCTGTGGAGTGCTCATCTAGAAGAGAGTAGGTTTAGAGGGTTATTTGGCATAAATCATAAAGAATTTATTAAAAATTTAGCCTGATTTTAAAATTTTTGGATTTTTAATGACAATAGTCTCAAATGACTGGTATATAGTCTGAAATGACCTGTAAAATTCTAGAAAGTGGCCCAGAACTCCTTCAAGAGCTCCTGGTCTACCTAGAATGGATTTATTCGGTATATTCCAACAGTTATATTACCGGTCTACTGTTGGTCCGAATCAACGCCGTTTTGGATAATCATTTACGAGTGGAAAAGCTCCTAAGGCAGTTGGATGTTAAGTATATTCAAAGAGATTCCCTGGCATATCTGAATTTTGGGATCGCCGAGAGTTCTGGTCTCTTCAAGGAGGCCATCTTGAACTACACAACTATGACGGCATTCGCTGATCAGAATGACCGAGAGGTAAGAGGGTGTTGTAAATAGATTTTCTAGGCTGGAAAAGATGTTTGGAGGTCCTGAGGGGAAATAATTTTACTTCTAAAAAAAGTTGTGCACGTTTTTTGTCCATTTGATGTCAAGTGTAATATACAATTAAAATTTTCTTTGAATTTGCTGAAAATTTTTCTTGATTTAGAAGCGAGGCAACAGATTGGTTACTAAAAATACTGTTTCAGATAGCCAGCTCGATCGTAGCCGCCTACAAGGCCGGTAGCGTGGATCAAATCGCATCCCTGGTGGAGTTTGCCAAAAATTGCGATGATTCTCTATATCTGACGGCTGCAGACGTCTCGAACCGCCTCATATCCTCCTGTCATGCGGTGGAGAGCCTTGAAATCGCGATCTTGACCCTGCAGGGAGATGAGCCGAAGATTGAATGGGACAATTTGAAAGACACCCGCGATTTCAATGTCCTCAATTCAATGGCTCTGTATAACCAGGATATCACGGAAAAAGTTAGGCAAATTACATATCAGGAGACGGTAGGGAGTGATTAAGCGATTGGACTTTTAATTTTAGCGGGATTTCGTCGAGCTTCGACATTATTTGTGCAAAGTTGTGAGCAACATCGGATGGAATGAGGCCCCCTTGGAGAATGTGAAAAATGATCTCAATGCGCTCAAAATCAAGCTAAAGGAATGCCAGTCCAAGTATAAAATTTCGGAAGCTGTAAGTTGGAGGATGAGTTGGTGGTCAAGTTATACGATGAAACATGTCTGGACGAAATTTTGTTTTTGAAAGTTTTGTCGTATAGAATGTCGCAAAGGTTGTATTTATTCAGCTAATATTGGTTTTTGACCACTTTGGAGTGTAATAGACATTTGAGTTTATAGGGACATTTTATACGGCGAAAAAAAAATTTTCGAAATTTTGCACTGGACATGTTTTTGTCGTATATAACGTCATTTTTACTAGAATAAGGTCTATTTTACTGTATTTCAGACAAGATACCTTCAAGGCTTCCTGGAGCCAGTACTACCCCTCATTGTGAACGGGCCCTACCTGGACCCCATAATTAATATCGCTGAAGCTGCCCTGAAAATTTCCGAGGTCCAAGAGTCCAATAAGAACGTCGAAGAAACTGTAGATGACCTCCGGAAGGCCTTGGAAACTTTGAATTTGGCGAAACTAGTTCCTGAAGGGAGTTTGATTATAAAATCGTCAAGTCAGGCAATTACAACTTTATCACTAGTCGAATTAACCCTCAAATTTGTCGGCGCAAAGTTGGATAGAGTACTGGGCGACAAGTCGGCGGCGATAAAGGTAATTTAAAGTCGATTTGGAATGTTAATATAATTTTTTTTTGATTTTAGAAGTCATCCACGGAAGCCTTGAAAACAGCTCATGATGAGGTTTATAAGACGTGTTCGGCGGTCGAAAAGTTGTTGCAAGAGAGAAAGGAGAATGGTTATGAAGCTATGGTTAATTCGGAGCACTTTGAGAAGGTAAATTGGATACTTTTTGATACTTTTATCATAAATTTTGAGGTTATAGCTATTTTTTTTTATTTTAGATTTTTTAAATATTTACGCCCCGAGGCATTAGATGAATTTGGTATGATTCGGTAGCTAAATGTCTGCTTTTTCAGCTGAATTTGAAATCTCAACTTGAGGAGGTCGAAACTTCGTGGAAACAATCGTTTTTGGCCTCGATCCAACACCTCTGCCAGTTCTCAACGAGGGTCCGCCAATTCATGGCTCAACTCAAATTGACCCAAACCAAGATCTGAACAGTTGTTGTAGAAGTATTTTTTGTTGCCAGTTGTTGATTTTTAGCCAAATAAATTCGTTTCAAAATCGCTCGAGACATTAGACTTGACACGGTTCAATAAACCCCGTATTTCTTGTTCTTTTTTTGTTTTTTGTTTAGGAATTTTTGATCTAATTGAAAGCCGAAGGCTTGTTTCTGGTTTTAGTTGCGTTTGCAACTTAATTTGAGCTGTAAATGTTGGGGTTTTGCCCGATATTATACTAGGTTATTAGGTGTAACATAAGTTTTTTTGAGTATTAAATTAAGCCTTATTTTTTTAGATCTCGCAAGGTCTTTTTTTCGCTCTATGTGGTCCGAAAATTTCGTCAAGTCACCGACGCTACGACCATAGTTATCAGGTTTTTTTATCCGGCCATGAACAACGAAAAAGACAATGTTTACATCTTTTGGGCATGTCTTTTTGAAGACGAAATATGTCAAACGTTGATGACGTTTACGGAAGAATGGAAATACTTGGCCCCATTGTTTCCGGAAGGCCAAATCGAAAATTATTGGGCAAGGTTGTCGGAAATTGGAGATATTGGAGAAGACGATGATCCAAAATGGGTGCAATTAAAGGATTTGATAAGAGAAATATGGTCGAATATGATAAACACAGCGAACGACAACAACTTTTACAACTCGTTGATGGAATATTTGAATAATTGTAAGTTGGGAGTTTGAGTCATTTTTATCGTATAAAATGTCGCTTACAACTGTCGTTGTGATTATGTACAAAAAATCACGAGTAATTAGAGCGTAAGATGTGATCTATAGGCAATAGCAGTTTTTTTTGAATTTTGCGACTGTTTATACGATGAAATATGTTTTTCAAAGTTTCATCGTATAAAATGTCGCTTACACTTATAGTTGTGATTATGTAAACATAATCGGTAGTAATTAGAGCGTAAGGTGTGATCTATAGGCTATATCAGTTTTTTCTGAATTTTTCGACAGCTTATACGATGAAATGTGTTTTTCAAAGTTTTTCGTATAAAATGTCGCACAGCCCTGAATTTGTAAAAAATAGTTTGTAACTGTAAAGTATTCAGCAGAATCAATTAGATGATGCAAACGTTCAAATATTCGCGACATCTTATACGATGAATCAAACCCCAAAGTTTTTCTTCGTATAAAATGTCACTCGACCGTCTGATTTCAGCGAATCCTCAAGTTCGTGATCTCATCGACATGACACCATCGGATCAATCGGATATGGAGACTGATCAGAGCGAAAAACCGTCAGTTTTAAGGTGGATCAAAGTTTTGAATGTGATCAAGGCATTTGAAGACGACATTGATGTAAGGACCTCTTTAAACTATATGATGGCGTACTCCGAATCCGTAAAAAGAACCCTATATCCGATTCTAAGCCAGCTGGAGGATGGGACAATCGATGAACTGACCGCGAAACGCAAGTTTCTGCGAAGCTCTGTTCTTTTCGGCCCAAATTCCGAATTACACCTGCTGAGAACGGTCTGGGAACGGGGCGAAGGGTACCACGGAAAAGTCCGGAAATTTATGCCACAGTTTGAGAAAATATACGGTAAGATTTGAACCGATTTTTGAGGGTTTAATCGATTTTTCTTTACAGAAATCGCGGTCTTCTCAGAAAGTCGCCGTAAGTTTTTATTTTTGGGGTTTTAAAGGGCTTAAAAGTTGATTTTTGTATTTTATAAAAGGAAAAAAACTGTTTTTGAATTTGAAAATTTGCCATATTTGCTTTATTTTTACAATTGTTAGACTTAAATTTATGTAATTTTCTGACATTTGATCCATTTTTTTAACGTTTTTAGCCAACCGACATTATATTCCAGCCGACACGCCGGCCCGCCAAGCGTTGAATGAGGTGTTTGACAAGCCAGAACGGCACGATCCGCTGGTTTCGGTGAAAATTCCGGACCTCCAAACGAGATCAATCGTGGTCGATATTGCAAAAGGTGGGCATTTTTCAAAATTGTTGAAAAAAATATAATTTTTTATTGATGTAGATTGTGTGGAGACTCTATTTAGCTAATTTGAGGGGAAACCCGGACAAAAAATTCAAATTTTCAAATTCCCGCCTAAATTGGCATTGTGTTTTTGAGCTTTAAAATGGGTTTAAAGTAACTCAAATAGAAATAGAAAGGTGTAAATGGGTTTGTAAAACAAAATTTTGGATGGTATTACGGCTTTCGGATATTTTTTTATATTATCCATGATATTTAATGTCATTTTTTAGCGCAAAAAACGACTTTTTTGGTGCTGTTGAAGCTAAATATTATGCCCAGGCATTCTAAAGGACAGTTAAAGTGATTTTGGCTACTTGATTTTCGTATGACATCAGATATTTGACATAAAATTTGATATTAATTTAAAAAAAAAATTTTTTAGAACGCCCAATAAACCTCCGAAACTATCAAGCGGAACTCACCGAGGGAGCTGTTGATGGTGAAAACACCTTGATTTGCGCCCCAACAAACAGTGGAAAGACTTTGACGGCCGTTTATATTTGCCGGAAAAGATGGTATGAGGCTCTGAAGAACCGAAGAAAATTCAAAGCCGTGTTGTTCGTGCCCACAAGAGTCCTGGTAGAACAGCAGTACAAGTATTTCCAGATGTATATGCAGCAATTAAAGGTCACTTTTTCGGGGTTTTTGTGATATTCATCATGGTGAAGGTCCGAAAAGGGAATTTTTTGGTTCGGAAAATTTTTTTGAATGTGTGTGGGTATTAGATTTCGATAGGTATCTGCAACAGATGCTGATTTTTTGCCAGAAGTTTGGTGAAATCCGCAAACATAAAAATTTCCATAAAATCCGTCATGATGACTTCTTTCTATAGTTCATTTCTTGGAGATTTTTGTGAACTGACTTAATGTCTAGGTCTTATGCTTTGAATATAAAAAAATTCACTCCGATCCGAGTGCGCCCTGAGGATTTATTAAGCTACGATGACGCATTTTTTGGAAATTCGGGAAAATCCTTTTATTACCATTATTTTCTTGCAGATTACGTCGATTTGCGGTGACGACAGCACCTCGCAACCTCATCGAGCCAAAATTCAGAACTCGGACGTCATCGTCATGACTCCCATGACCTTATTGTAGGTATCCGATATTGTACTTGACATTTTTTTTGAGTCACCCCCAAAACTTTATTGTTTTTTTATGTCATGAATTTTCAGGAACATCCTAAATTGTCCGAGTGAAACGGCGTCCGACCATATAACGTTGGATATGTTCACCTTGTTGATTTTTGATGAATGCCATCATACCAACGAAAAGTATCCATTCAACGGTAAGTGTATGTTGAATGGTCAATGTGTGTTACACATCCGTATCATTGTTTGGCAAAATCAGCTTTGAATTTGGCGGTTTTTGCAAATTTTCCAAAAAATCCGTCATGATGACACTCTTAATTATCGAAGTAATTAATTCTTTGATGTCAGGCTTTCGTTGTATGAACCATAAGTGTTTTGTAAAAAATCTGGTCATTTTTCATTCCTCGTATTTTACGAGTTCAGCAAGTCAGGATGACGGATTTTCTGGAATTTTTCAAAAAACCCGAATTTGTTTGAAAGGTGATGATAAATGGTTTTAGAGATCATGAATTTCTACCATGATCTCGTGCAGACCGGATCGGCATCGAGCTTGCCGCAGATTGTGGGCCTAACTGCTTCAATTGGTGCCAAGGAAGCGAAAGACGCCGGCCAAGCCAGAGATTATTGCGCAAAGATTTGTGCAAACTTGGATGTCCGAAGAATCAATCGAGTCCGAAGACACACCGAGGAACTCCTGGACTTCTCTCCGGTCGTTGTTGATGGTAAGATCAGTTTGAATATTAGTCAAGTGTAAGATAGGGATTCGAATGAAACTTGGTGAAAATGAAGTATAGAGTATTCCATGGAATTGTGAGAAGTTTCAGATCGCGTTATGCAGAAACAACCGAAATTTTAAGGTTTTAATTTCAAAAATTATTTGAATAAAAAATAAAAAAAATGCAAGTGGAAGAAGTTTTTTGGCCGTGAAATGAGCTGATTAGTATTTTTTCTTATCTTTGAGACCAATTCTAACCTTAAACCCCCATTTTTTGACCTAAATTTATATTACACTAGACTAATTTTTTTTGCAGAAATCTTCCTTGAACCCAACCCTATGGATGGTTGCTTTCAAATACTCACAGAAGAAGCAGAAACAGTGATTGCGGACTTATTGGAGCACCTTAAAGACGTCATAGAAGACAACGAAGTGCGTGGTTTAAAAGGAGAAATCAGACGAATGAATATCCATGCGCAAATATGCAGTCTGGAGACGCAATTGAGTCTAAAGGTGATGGAAGATTCGAAAAGGCAAAAAGCAACCGATATGATAACCTGGATCAAGGTAAACAAGAACTTTTTATAGTGCACTTGGCAAGTGTAATATAAAAATTTGATAGGCATGGGCTGAAAATGATGTAATTAGCTAAACACGGTGTGATTTCAAGATTAAGAGTGAATTTTTAATTTTAGATGGTAAACCAGGCAACTTGTATGGCCCGATTGACCGACAAATACACAATGTTGGAAGAGCTCAAAAAGGAAAATGCACACATGGAATTTAAAACCGGCTACTCGAAGAAACGTTTTCAAGGTGAGAAATAACTATTGTGGCTACTTTCGCCGCCATTGGACTGATTTTTTGCACTATTTTTTCATGATCATTATCAGATGGTGAAGTGTAATATAAAAAAGTGCCTTAACTGATGGGAAGGTTGTAGAAAGCGGTGAACTGCGGTATCGATGGTTTATGAGACATTTTTAAGCCTAATTTATTGATTTTGAAACCCAAAATTTTCAAATTTTCGAATTGCCGCCATTTTTTGGCATTGTGTTTCAAGCGCCGGAATTGGTGAATTGGCCATTGTAAGCGGGAAAGGGAAGCTGGAATGTGCGTTTAGAGCACGTAAAGAGGATATTGGGGCTGTAGATTTGAGAAATCCAGCAATTTTTTATATTATCCATGACGTTTTTTTTTACGTTTGGCAGAATCATTGGGATTCAAAAGGAAATTAGCCGTATGGGTCCTCAAATTGTTCGATAGTCTCTAATATTTATTTTATACCATTCTATTCTATTTTTACTACTTATTTTACTACTTTTTTTTATTTATTTGCAGCCACAATTTCCCGCCTTGAAGCCCACCCGGACTTCAAATCGACGCCGTTTGAGAAGCTCCTCTCAATCATCAGAGAAGAGTTTGCCAAAAATTCGGATACCCGAGTGTTGGCTTTTGTTGAGACGAGAGTACTCTGTCTGCTGTTGGCCGAACGCCTCCAACATTACACCGGAATCGAGACCAAACATCTGACGGGAAGCGCGTCCGCGGAAAACGCCGGCCTAAATAAGGCCAAACAAAATGAAGCCGTCAGGAGATTCAGGAACGGAGAAGTGAAAATCCTGTGCTGTACGTCCGTGGCGGATGAGGGATTGGACATCCCGGAGTGCAATGTGGTCGTCAAGTATAATGATACCACCAATGAGGTCGCTCATGTCCAAAGAAAAGGTAAATATTATGGGAGATTTGGCCGCTAAGGAGGGTAAAATGGTGTTCTAGACTTGGGAAATTTGAAATTTTGAAAAATATGATTTTTTGAAAATTTCCAAGAAATGTGTCATCGTGACCATTTTGCCCACTTTATGATGGTTTCAGTCGGATCAAAATTTTTTGAGACGTTGTTGATGATGCATAGATTGTAATTTCAAACTGAACTTTCGGATTGGCATCAAAATTAACGTGTCATCATGACGGATTTTCTGGATTTTTGAGATTTTTCGGATTTTGATGGCCTAAAGCGATTTGAAAAGGGAAAAAAATGATTTAAAACGCGTTTTGCCACACTTTGGAGCTTAGCCGAACAGAGGGCGGACATTGCTAAAATCGGGGTCTCAGAATTGAACGAAAATTGGTCAACTTAATCACTGATAGGCACAAAACATTCGCTTTCTTTGTTTTTGCCCAAAATTACCGTATGACGGCATACTGTAACATCTTTTTTTTAAAAAGATATGCCCTAATCGAGAAAACGAAGCGCCATTTCAGCGCAAATTGAGTTCAGGTATATGTTTTCGATCATGTAGAACATTTTTGTAATTGTCACCGAGAACTAAAAAGTACATCTAAGCTATGTTACACTTGAGGCAACATACCATTTCGGGTATAAAAAATGCAGTTTGGACGAGGCGCAGATTTTGAAACCGGAATACTAAACTTCAAACCTCGTCTAACAAACCATAAAAATTTCAGAAAGATCAAATGTATAGTTTTTGAGATATCGGACATTCAATGTCTCATGTGCAAGACCACCTTGACCCCGAAAAAATCTGGCATTCTTAGGTTTTTGGCAAGGCGCAGATTTTGAAAGTTTTCAATACATTTTTATGACATTTTAATAGGATACAGAAAGTTTCAGAGGAAAAAAATGAATAGTTTTTGAGAAATGTACCAAAATACTTTGTTTTAGGTCATCAGATGCCCGAAAAAATCTGGCATTCCTAGGCTTTTGGCTAGGCGCAGATTTTGAAAGTTTCCAGTACATTGTTATGACATTTTAAGAGGATACAGAAAGTTTCAGAGGGGAAAAATGAATAGTTTTTGAGAAATGGACCAAAATACCTTGTTTTAGGTCATCAGATGCCCGAAAAAATCTGGCATTCTTAGGTTTTTGGCTAGGCGCAGATTTTGAAAGTTTCCAGTACATTGTTATGACATTTTAAGAGGATGCAGAAAGTTTCAGAGGAAAAAAATGAATAGTTTTTGAGAAATGGACCAAAATACCTTGTTTTAGGTCATCAGATGCCCGAAAAAATCTGGCATTCTTAGGTTTTTGGCTAGGCGCAGATTTTGAAAGTTTCCAATACATTTTTATGACATTTTAAGAGGATACAGAAAGTTTCAGAGGAAAAAAATGAATAGTTTTTGAGAAATGGACCAAAATACCTTGTTTTAGGTCATCAGATGCCCGAAAAAATCTGGCATTCTTAGGTTTTTGGCTAGGCGCATATTTTGAAAGTTTCCAATACATTTTTATGACATTTTAAGAGGATACAGAAAGTTTCAGTGGAAAAAAGTGAATAGTTTTTGAGATATCGACCATGGTGAACCTGTTATAGGTCAAGTTGCTGGAAAATTCGACCAATTTTCTTCGGCATCTCTTTTTTTCCGAGATATATGTGTGTTACTGTTTTTTTCTCCAAATTGTCACAAATAAATTCGAGCTCTCTGCAAAACTTTTGTCAAATGTACGCCGAAGGGTACGATTCTGTGTTCTGATGACCTAAAACAAGGTATTTTGGTCCATTTCTCAAAAACTATTCATTTTTTTCCTCTGAAACTTTCTATATCCCCCTAAAATCTCATAAAAATGTTTTGGAAATTTTCAAAATCTGCGCCTAGCCAAAAACCTAAGAATGCCAGATTTTTTCGGGCATCTGATGACCTAAAACAAGGTATTTTGGTCCATTTCTCAAAAACTATTCATTTTTTTCCTCTGAAACTTTCTGTATCCTCTTAAAATGTCATAACAATGTACTGGAAACTTTCAAAATCTGCGCCTTGCCAAAAACCTAAGAATGCCAGATTTTTTCGGGGTCAAGGTGGTCTTGCACATGAGACATTTAATGTCCGATATCTCAAAAACTATATATTTGATCTTTCTGAAATTTTTATGGTTTGTTAGACGAGGCTTGAAGTTTATTATTCCGGTTTCAAAATCTGCGCCTCGTCCAAACTGCATTTTTTATGCCCGAAATGGTATGTTGCCTCATGTGTAACATAGCTTAGATGTAATTTTTGGTGTTCGGTGACAATTACAAAAATATTCAGCATCGTCGAAAACATACACTTGAACTCGATTTGCGCTAAAATAGCACTTTGTTTTCTCGTTTAGGGCATATCTTTTTTTTTAAAAAATGTTACAGTATGCCGTCATATAGTAATTTTGGGCAAAAATAAAGAAAGCGAATGTTTTGTGGCTATCAGTGATTAAGTTGACCAATTTTCGTTCAATTCTGAGACATCGATTTTAACAATGTCCGGGCCAAACTACGATTTGTAATAAAACGCGTTTTAAAGAGTCATAAGGAGCTGAGGTGGGACTGATTTTGTTGATTTGCAGGACGTGGTCGAGCTCAGGGAGCCAGGAGCATCTTAATCGCCGAAAATGAATGGATACAAAAAATGGAAGAAACGAATCAAGAACGAGTTCGTCTGATGAGAGCAGCCCTCGACCTCATCGACAACAACCTAGTTGATTTTCAGGACAAAGTAACAACTTTTTATATTACACTTGACATTTACATTACTTTAGGTGAAAGCGCAGATAAGCGCGAACAAAAATGAGCGAGATATGCGGCGGATTGAAGCCGAAGAGGCTAAGGAGGCGTTTTCGCGGAGAAAACACGATTATGTCGTGGCTTGCCGGTAAGAATTTGATGTTTTTTTTATTATACTAGGTGTAATGTGTAACAGCTAAAGTAATATTTCCAGTGGATGTAATGGGTTCCTAGTTCATTCCACGAAGATTTTCAAGAATGCCTCGCACTTCACAGCGGCGGATAGTCGCATTTGGATGAGGGTAGAAACGACAGAATACTTGAAGGCAGATCGAATCGATTCAACTGAGCCCACCGTTGGAAAGGTAAGGAAAAATAGGAGAATTAAAGTTGGTTTGGGGCCTAGAAAGTCTGTTGTTGTCTATGCTTTAGGTTAAAGCTGAAAAATTTGAGTGCAAATGGGAAATTTTGCGATTTTTCGCCTAAAATAAGGTCAAAATGATGATTTTTGGGCAAATCGACAATTTTTGCTTCGGAAACTATATTTTTTTATTGTTACTAGGTAGGATGAATAATTTTAAATATTCATTTAGCTCTTTGGATACTTGTTTTTACTATAGCCACTATTTTTTATAGATTTTTTCGAATTTTTCGCAATTTTTGCCTTATTTTTTAAAATAAAACTAATTTTTTCCTAAAAATTGGGTTGACTCTAGTCTAAAGATGATTTTTCAGTCTTCCATAAACTTATCTTGCTATACACGTTGTATATTTCCAGGTCTGACCTCTCTTTTCAGTTAAATCCCTCCTCGTTTTTTCAGATAAACTCTGGAAATTCCTCGAAAATCTTCAACCAATTTGAGGTAATTAGTCATAACACATTTCTATTGTTGTGAGCAGGTCACATCTATCTTATTTTACATCCATTTATGCATGTCTTTCCCGATTAACACGCTTTTTTCCAAATTTTTGACTAAAATAATATACTTTTAGATCCGATGTCAAAATCTGACTGATCACGGAAAATGCGGCCAAATTCTTGGCTCTGTTGTGATCTGCCGACTCAATGGGAAGGTGTTCCTGCCAATTCTGAAGTGCTCCCAGCTCGTCTTTGTGGAGGTTCCCCTCAATTATGATCAGCCGGTCACTCCGTTGGTGGGAAAGAGGGTTGTAAAAAAACAGTGGAAACAGATGGAGGAATTCTTTCGTCCGCGACCGATGACCAGCTATGAGTGGGCGGATATGGCCAGAGTCAAACCCACCATCTCGCTGAGCCCCGGACTACAGAGAGCCATGCAAAATTGGAGTGAAGGCGAGAGTATCGACAGCCCCGACCTTAGCCAAGATAGTGGTGTAGCAGAATAATATTGAGTGTAGTCTAGTCGAATTTAGTCTTATTACAAACTCTTATCCTTCTTCTTTCTATGTGATATTCATTTCTCCGATTTTTTCAAATCTTTTTTGGAGTTTGCCTTTATTTTATATTGTACTACCCTCCAGGTGGCTCTAAATCTTAAAACGCCGTCGAATTCACTTACTGTCTTGAGATTCTACGTTAAAACTTAAAGAATATAGATTTGTCTTCTCTAAAATGCATTGTGATCATCTGAAATCCTAGTGCATTTAACGTAACACTAGTTTTTTTGTTGGTTCATATCAGGTATTTCGGTGACCCAAATTTTATCCCAAGATCAAAAAACAAATCCCGATGTGCTTTAAAAATCACTTGAACATTGCCACGGTTATCTTTTATATCATTAGTCTACTTGGTTATATCATCATATCTCAAGAATTTTGTCCTAATTTATACTACTGTAACATACGAGTATTTTTTTGTAATAAATCATCGTGCTGTAAGTATCGTGGTCGCTAAAATTGTTTATAATACTGCTAAAGGCATGGTAAAGTCATTTCGATTAGTTTGCGGCCATTTTTTGGCTCACAAACAGAATGCCAATTCTTCGTTGCGTGATCCAAAACTGGCGCGCTCGTATTTCTTCAAAGTGAAAAAAGAAAAAAAATTTCGTCAAGGAGAACATTCTGTTCATCAACCAGTGTTTCGAGGATCTTCTTGACTTGTTTAATTTGAAATATGTCGGACAATCCAGGACGTGCACCTTCTCCGGCTCCTTCTATGCAAAGTGGTAAGTAATTGATCTTGTACATCGAAAGTTTAGGTTGAAATAGAGTGTGGGAGGAAGATAATACATAGGAGGAACTTTTACCACAAGTTTGCAGCGAGAATGTACCATAAACGTACCATTTTTGCAACTTTTTGATCTTCTGCCTAGTGCAATATAAAAAATGGTCGTTTGTCAAAACTCGATAATTTCCTTTTATTAGATAGCTTTCTAGTTGCTGATAAATGTATTTTGCAGGCCTTTCTTTCATTTTTATATTCTCTTTTTACTCTAACGACCTTATTTTAGAAGCCAGTGCTCTTCACTATGGCTCGGAGTTTGGCGGTTCCATGGTCTCGGCCTTTTCTCATGTCTCCTCCGGAACTAACAGATCTCAAGGTCGGCAAGGTCCTCGAGTCCGTGCTGACCTCTCCGGTCTCGCCAATCCTCATCATCGAACAATTCAAGTCAACGAAGCCGACGATCAACTCAACATGGAACTTGACGAAGAACAAGTCCCGGCAGGACAGAAAATGTACATCTGGGGTACTCGCATTGCTGTCGACGTTGTTCAAGCGCAATTCCGCGAGTTTATTAACAATTTCAAGGTGAGATTTTGTAAAGTTATATTGCACTTGACGTTTAGGTGTCTGCGAATGGAATTTTTGATAAAAAGATGTTGTTCTAGGCCGGCCAAGTGGATGAAGATGAGACTACAGCTGTCGGAGAAGATGGTAAACGGACTGAGATGAACCTCGACGAACCATATTACCTTCAACGTTTGGCCGAGATCAACATCTCTGAAATCCCAATTCTCAATTTGAATCTTGGCCATGTCAAACTCTACAAGGAGTCGTTGTATCGAATGGTGATCGCCTATCCCGCTGATGTGATTCCTTATTTGGACATGGTTGTGAACGAGATCTTCGAAGCAAAATACCGGAAGATTTTGAACTCTCCAATTGAAGTGCGCCCATTTAATGCTGAGCAGACCAAAAGTCTGAGGGATTTGAATCCTGAAGGTGAGTAGATTATCAGTTGTTTGATTGGCTTTTAGATATCGAACAGTTGATTACCACAAACGGGATGGTCGTCCGAATTTCTCCATTGATCCCAGAGATGAGACAGGCGTATTTCAAGTGCTCCGTCTGCAATTTCCCGGTGAGTAATGGGAAAACAAAGTTTATATGGGTGTCTAGTGAACCTTGAACCTGTTTTAGATGCATACAGAGATTGGTTTCATTGAGCTTTTGGGGTCTTTGGAATTATATTATCCATGGAGAGTATTAATATTTTTTAGCATGAATGTGACGTGGATCGTGGACGAATTGAAGAGCCCACTACCTGTACGAACTGCGGCAACACCTACTGCTTCCAACTCATCCACAATCTTTCCATCTTTTTGGACAAACAAATTGTGAAACTCCAGGAAATCCCCGGCGATGAGAACACCGGCCAGACCCAACACACTGTCAATTTGGTCGTCCATGGAGCCTTGGTGGAGAATGTGCATCCGGGAGACCGAGTTTCGGTCACCGGAATCTTCAGAGGAAATTTTAATCGGGTGCATCCGGCCAAAACGGCGTTGAATGCGATTTTGTCAACCTCCATCGATGTGCTACACTTTAGAAAGATGAATCAGAATCGACTTCATGACACGAATGATGGGTAAGGAGTGAATTGAAGGAGTTTTGGATGAGATTTGAGTGATTTTTGATTGGAAATAGCCAGATTTCTGATGGATAATACAGGGTGTTTCGAGAAATGTGCCGGAAAGTTTTTGTCGAGTTCTTGGCGCTCAGTGAAGATATCCAAAAAAATTCTTTTTGCGGAATAAAGAAGAAGATGGGCGGTTTTTTGCCCAAAATTATCATTTTCTCCGCCAACGCAGAAGGTAGTGTATTCGGCGGAGACTTTTGATCGCTTTTTTGGTCATCACACCGATCTTAAACGCTTTTTTTATGAATTTTGATGATGGAAAGGAGGATATTTGTGTATGTTCATGTTTATCAAGCATTCGGAGGAGGCCATGACTCGGCTTCGGGTAAGCAAATACAGTGAGGGACATGATCCAATGGCAAAAAACGTCTCATTTTGCATCCCGGAGGGGACCAAAAGGACTCCAAACCCTTCCCTTCTCTAATCTAAAAAACCCCGCTTTGAAGATCCCGCCTTGAAGGAAAGGGCGCGATTTTCAAAGCGGAGTTTTTTAGCTTAGAGAAGGGAAGGGTTTGGAGTCGTTTTGGTCCCTTCCGGGATGCAAAATGAGACGTTTTTTTCCATTGGATCCGGTCCCTCACTGTACATATTTATAAACATAAAAATACGCAAATGTCCCCTTTTCCGTCATCAAAATTCATAAAAAAAACTTTTAAGATTGGTGTGATGACCAAAAAAGCGATCAAAAATCTTCGCCGAATGTACTACCTTCTGCGTTGGCGGAGGAAATGATAATTTTGGGCCAAAAACCGCCCATCTTCTTCTTTACTCTGCAAAAGGATTTTTTTTTTTTGATATCTTCACTGAGCGCCAAGAAACCGACAAAAACTTTCCGGCACATTTCTCGGAACACCCTCTATTATCCATGGGAAAAATTGCTATTTCCAGTCAAAAAATCACCCAAATCTCATCCAAAACTCCTTCAATTCACTCCTTACCCATCATTCGTGTGAATTTTTGTTTTTTTTTCAGAAGTTATTTGTCCGAAGACCGAATCCAAGAAATTATCAACCTCTCCAAGCAGCCCGACATTATCCACCGGCTCTGTTCCGCATTGGCGCCTCAAATTTTTGGTCATGAAGATGTGAAACAAGGCCTCCTTTGCCAACTGTTTGGTGGTACTCGCAAACCAACCAAGGAAAACGAAAATCGCAGCAAATTGCGGGCCGAGATCAACGTCCTGCTGTGCGGAGATCCGGGAACAGCCAAGTCCCAACTGCTTCAATATATTTACAAGTTGATGCCCCGCTCCCAATACACCTCCGGAAAAGGCTCCTCGGCCGTCGGTCTGACCGCATCCATCGCCCGAGAGCCGGAAACAAAGGGAGTGGTCCTGCAGACCGGTGCGTTGGTCATGGCCGACAATGGAGTGTGCTGCATCGATGAGTTCGACAAAATGAGCGACTCCACCAGGTCCATCCTCCACGAAGTTATGGAACAACAGACCCTCAGTATCGCCAAAGCCGGCATCATTTGTCAGCTGAACGCCAGAACGTCCATCTTGGCCGCCGCAAATCCAATCGGATCCAAGTGGGATCAGAAGAAAACTATCATCGAAAACATCAACTTACCCCATACGTTGTTGTCCAGATTCGATTTGATCTTCTTAATCATCGATCCCAAAACAGAAGAGTATGATAGAAGACTGGCCAGGCATTTGGTCAACTTTTATGTGAATAGAGAGGACTTGGAAGAAGAGGTTCATGCAACTCTGGATATTGCATTGTTGAGGTTAGTGAAGGTTTAAAATTGAGGTGGAAAGGAGTTTAGAGCAGTTGGGGGGAGCTTTGAGGGTAAATCTGGGGTTCAAAGGGCTTTTGGAAGTTTTTTGGATATTGTAGTAGGTGGAGAAAAAATTTTCTTTAATTTTAGGTTTTTTTGGTATTGAAATTTTTTGTGAAGACCTAAAAAGTTGTTTTAGTTTGTTGAGAATGCTTTTTGAATGAATTGCTGATGATTTTTGGACATTGTAGTAGATACAAATGCACCTTATTATTTTTAAATTTTGATCATTTTTTGTCGAAAAATTGAACATGGCGAGTCTTCATTGATGTTTTAAGGGCATTGCCATACCTCTTTTGAAAGAATTTTATACCCTTTTTTCAGAGATTACATTGCCTATGCCAAGGACAACATCAACCCCAAACTGAGTCAGAATGCCGACCAAGCACTCCTCCAATACTATCTGGAGATGAGAGAAGCGGGCAAGAGGACTGGCCACATCACCGCCTATTCGAGGCAACTGGAGTCGTTGATTCGACTCTCCGAAGCCACGGCCAAAATGAGACTCAGTGAATGGGTGGAGAAGGAGGATGTGGACGAGGCATATCAGTAAGTTGATTGGTCGGTTTATAGGGGGAATTGAGAGGTTTGAACGGAATTTTGAATTTTTTTAGAATTCCAAAAAATGTGTCATCGATGAATTGAAAATCGGGGAAATTACAGTAATCTTGAAGTGAAAATATTTTTTGAGTATTGGTTTAGAGCGTGGAAAGTGTCTGCAGTTGAAAGGTATTAAAAATCTGGGGTTATAGAGGTGTCATGATGACGGATTTTTATAAATTTACATAAAAAATTAGGTTCTTGAAGTTTTCACAGTGACGGACCTGATACAGTGGCAAAAAACGCACCATTTTGCTTCCGGGAAGTATCAAAAAGTTTTGCAAAATGCTTCCCTCTCCAAGTGAAAAAACTCCGTTTTGAAGGGCGCGCTTTGAAAATAGAAGTTTTTCACTGGGAGAGGGAGGTATTTTTCTACATTTTTTGATACTTTCCGGATGCAAAATGGTACGTTTTATGCCACTGTGTCAGGTCCATCACTGTAAAAACTTCAAAAACCTAATTTTTCTAAATTTATAAAAAATCCATCATCATGACACCTCTATAACCCCAGATTTTGAATCCTTTCAACTGCAGACACTTTCCACGCTCTAAACCAAACCTCAAAAAAATATTTTCACTTCAAGATTACTGTAATTATGGTATGTTTTTTGCCACTGTATCGGGTCGGTCACTGTAACAAAGACAGATTTTTTTACAGTCATGTTATTTGTCTGTGTGTGTTTGGAGCAGGGTACTTCTCCTTTTCGCTTCTTTTAAAGCTATGATTTTTTCATTTCAGACTCTACATGAAGGCCCTGTGCCAATCGGCCGTCGACCCCGACACTGGCTTTGTTGATGTGGGCATCCTGGCGACCGGAGTGGCCGAATCCACTCGCCAACACGCCTCCGCCCTCTCGGAGAAGATTATCAAACTTTTCACGCAACGAAACGTCACCCAAATGAGTCTCCACAAACTTTTGAATGAAATGAGAGCCGATGATACGACGGTGGACAAGCATGTGTTCAATGAAGCCCTCCAACTACTGGTAAAGGAACAGAAAATCAACAAAACCAGTGACAAAGTTTCACTTGTTTTGTAATTTTACACTTTTTTCAAAGTTTAAGATCTCCTTCAATGTTATTCATGATAATTTACTCAATTTTTTTGAGATTTTTCGAATTTTAATGTAATTTTTCTAACTTTTTCAAATATCACTTACCATTGAATACTCCTCACGCTTGTAATTGTCTAAATAAAACGAGAATATTGAAAAAAATGGTTCTTATTATATTATAATAGAGATTTAGCCAAAATAAGTAGAAAACATTGGAAAAATATCGCAGATTCAAAAAGTATCACAGAATATGCAAGAAGAAGTTTGGAATGGACATCAGCAGTTGATACGCCATTAATATGAGACGTCGAACAGACGATTTATGATAATCTCCACCGACTCCGCGTCGTATTTGAGTTGGCGGTCCAGGTTGAAGTTGGAGGCTTCTTGGGAGTGTCTGAAAGGTCATAATGGGTTGTAAAATACGCTGCAGGATCTTTAAATCAACTTTGGACATCACAATTTAGCTTTATCTTCTATTAAAATTCAAAAAAGAGCTTTTTTAATAATTTTTTTATATTACCCTTGACAAAAGTTGATGTTTTAGGCATACTTTCTAATATTATTTTCTCAAATCTCTCCAAAAACAAACTCTAGACCACTTACTTGCTTGTGAATTCAATGTAGGGCGCTAAAACCATGTCTTTGATTCGTTGTCGGATGAATTCAGCAGTGGGAATGTCCACAACACAAAAATGTTTCTGGGCCGCGATTACACTGTCAAATTCTTTGTTGAAGTTCTGAAAATACATCAGTAATATACTTTAAGGACTCCTCTTTCATTCTACGCCAAAATTTTTCCTCTAGTGCCTGAGGGAATTTATCAAATTCCATTTAAAAAAACCCTCCTTACCGCATATTTCGATTTGACGGAGCTGTTCGAAGCGTCATTTAGCACTGTCAGAACGCGATTCCAGCTCTCCAAATACTTCTTCAGATAGCTTGTGATCTGTTGTTCATAGAATGATACCAGTTGAGCCGATTTCACATCCCTTGCAATCTTTTTGAGGGGATCTTCTTTTAGGCCATTATTGATGTAAGTGAAGTTATTGAAGAGGAACAACGCGGCAAGTGAAGGGTCCGCGTATGCTCCGGACTTGTTTTTGAGGTTAACTCCAAGCGCAGCGAGGATTTGAGCTAAAAATAAGGGCCTTTACAATCATCTTTCACCTAAAGTAATGTAATTTTAGGCCAAAGCTCCATTTTCTCCCTAAAATTTCAAAACAAAAATCTAAAAACTAACTTACAAAACAATTTCGGCAATACTGGCTCACTTCCATCCGCTTTCCCACTTCTGGTCATCACATTCACCACCACATTTTGATACTTCGCCAAGATTTTTAGGAAATTCATCGTGTTCGAAGTGATTTCATGGACATTTCCGTCCTCTGGGACGAATCTCATGTGCTCATTGGTGAGATGATCTATGAAATCGTTGATAACATGAGCTCCTTTGCTGAAAACATTGCGGCAAAAAGTTTGATAAAGCTCGGATTGGCCGGCATTTTGTGTCAGGGCCGTCAATTGAGTGGAATGGACCGTCAGCATCCTCACCAACGGAATCATGGAGACAAAATTCGCGTCGAATTGATTTATCGGTGCCTAAAATTCAAATAACAATCTGATTTTTGAAAAATTACCTTCTCCATGACCTCTTGAAGCGGCGGGCTTGCAATACTTCGAACCAATTGAGCCTCCACATCCACGTTCTGGAATATCTTAGCCACTACTTCAGTTTCAATCTAAAAATCGAAGAAATAAAAGTGAAAATTATATTACACTTGCCTGGACCATAGCCATGAGAATAGAAAACGAAATTGCCGTCAAAGTCATGACACTTTCTCCCCAAGGATCATCTGCTTGTCGTTCTCCACCTTTGCCTCGACGGAAGGTACTAAAATTGAGACAAAAATAACGTAAATTTGAAGATCAGGCACCTCATGGATAATATAATTTTTCTCTCCAAACCACTCAAAACTATTTCTAGTACCATCCAAATGACCTCTTACGTTTTTAAAAACTGAATTCTGGTCGATTTATTTTGCGCAAACCCGCGGAGTTGATCATTGGCCAACCTCAAAGTCTTCACAATATTTTGAGCCCGATGGTTTGCATAATACTGCAAATAATCGCGGTTCTTAGTGTTCTTATGAAGATATCGCCCGATTAACGCCAATTTCGAGGTGTCTTTGATGGTTTTAAGGTCCGACACTCGAGTCGATGGGATCTCTAAACATGAACAATATAAAATTTGATGGAAAACATACCATAATTCTCATCTAGACAGTCGGCAATCTTCACTGGATCCAAGGGAATGGTCTCTGATCGTACTGCATTGTTGAACTCCGTTTCCAGGAAGGAACATCCGGCTTCGAAACTGTCGCGCTAAAATAAGGTAAACTGTTGGTAAAACGAGGTAAGAAATGGTGTTTGATGGTTCAAAAAAGGTGTAACAATAAATGTCATGGTGTAAAATAGAAGAATTAATAAGATCTGAAAGAAATTTCAAAATGTGGAAGCATAAAAATATTACACTATTTTCAGGTGATACCCATCGAAAAACTTGACGATTTCAGCCTATTCCAAACCAAAATTATGTCTGAAATCGCAAAGTAAAGATAATTCAGCCTTTGTTCTACTCAAAACAAGTCATTTCCCCGGCATTTGTCGCGCTTTTCAGCCATTTTTTGCCCATTATATTACACTAGGTCAACAGAAGCCCGCTTGATTGAAAACTAATCCCGGACCGCACCCAATCCGAATATTTGCACAGACCATTGTATCCAGCTGCCCTTTATGGGCGGAATTGCGGCCAAAGAAAGCGATCGCTTCCCGCAGCCCATCCATTCGCTCCAGATATTCGGGCAGGGAAAAGTTGGCCGTCCCGCGACGGAAGGCCGACTCGAATTCCACCGTCTTCCCGTAGAATTGAATGCTCGCCTCGACAATCCCAAGCAGCTTCTTCACATCTGGAAATGGAAATGGAGATTGAGTTGAGTTTTGTAAGATTTTACGGGGGTCTTTGTGATTTTGATATTGTAGTAGGCAAAAGAGTTGTCAAGACTAGTACAATTGGACTTTTAAAAAGGAAAATAAAAGCTTTCATTAATAATAGAGGTCATTTCTGCACTTTAACTCATATTCTCCCTCTTTGGAACCAACTAGAAGATGATTTATATTGAGCTCAAGAAGCTAATGTCATGGTGAAGGTAAATCTCACATAAAACCATTTGTGGATCAAGCTGACATCCCTTACTGTTGTCATAGCTCTATTATGAGTCATTTCACCTGTATGAAAAGTATTGACCGCCAGAACTTGTTTGAACATCGGGCTCGCTTAGTTTTTATATTACACTAGGCTAGCTAGGCGTCTGATAGCAATTCATTCAAAACCTTTCTCATTTCCATAAATAGTCAAATAAGTCGTTTTCGAAAGCTGAATCAAGGCTTGCTCCAACTAATAGAACCAAAATAATATAGAATTCTTCACACAGTAACATCAACTTTCTTCACTCACTCTGTTGTTTCCTTTGAATGCTCGTGGTTTTGTTGCATAGTGGAGCAACCCGTGCCCTCAACTGGTCGATTTGCTGGGTAAAGTTGTCCAATCTCTTGCAGACTTCTTCGTTGATCGTCTCATTTTGTTTTTGGCACTTTTGGAACTCTTTTAGCCATGTTTCCTCCTAAAAATCAATCAAACCAATGAATAACAACATACCTTGGATAAATTCTGATGTAGTTCGTCAACTGTCGGGACGTTTCGGTCTGACACCATCGAGAAATCGACGATTTACTCCATGTTATTCTTGGAGTAAAAAAGAAAAAATTTGGTGACATTTTATACTATGAAAGTTTTCCAAAAGATTTTTGGAGAAGTTTTACAATTTTGGAGTTTGGAAGTCGCGTAAAATCTAAAGTAAAGTAGATTTTTTGATCTTGAGTGTCTATCCAACCTTTAATTTTTATTTTGAACGTCGTTTTTTCACTTTTGTTCTAACGAATCTAAACTTATTTTAATATTTTCTTTATTTTAGGTATGGGAAGTCGAGTTCGCGCCGCTGGTCTGCTGGTATACCGGGTTGTAGGTGAGAAGAAGTTCGAATACTTGCTTCTGCAAGCCTCTTATGAGCCACATCATTGGACTCCACCAAAAGGTAAGCATTTTTTATATTGTACTTGGTCTTTAGGTGAAATTCTGATGAATAACAACGATTATTTACCTGTAACAAGTAGTAAATGGCTCATTTAGGTCACGTTGATCCTGGTGAAGATGAGTGGCAAGCGGCACTTCGCGAAACTCAAGAAGAAGCTCATATTGAGCAATCACAATTGGAAATCGACAAGAACTTCAAGTATGAGATGTTTTATGAAGCCAATGGGAAACCAAAATCCGTTCATTATTGGCTGGCCAAGCTGAAGAACAACGATGCTGTCAAACTGAGTCATGAACATCAGAATTGGAAATGGGCTGAAGTGGCCGACGCCATAACAACAACCAAGTTCCCGGAGATGGAGAAGATGTTGAGGAAGGCCGAAGAATATCTTCAAAAGTAATAGATTACCTCGCTTGGAGGACTGTCGATGTTTTACATTCGGTTGTGACCTTATACTGGTAGAAAAGGACATTCGATTAAATTGTTTTGCATGTTTGTGATTTCGTTTAGGATTTTTAATTAGTAAATGAGTTTATTATTGTTTTGTGTATTATTCTGAAGGGTTGTAGAGGGAAATAAATTGACTTTCGCTTGTTTTAGAGCACGTTTCAAGAAAATTTTGTGTTGTTCTTGATGTTGACAGTAAATTTCCATCAAGATAATAGAAATCATGCTGAATTTGGTCTTCAATCTACGTGGATCACTGTCAGCCTTTTCACTTCGACATTACAAGGTTGGCCTCTTACAATTAGCCTTGCGGCATGGCCAAGCTTTATACGGTCAAACAACCAGCAACGCAAAAGAACCTCTGTTTTCAAAATCGGTTCCCGGAGCCCCGAGAACGCTTTCAAAAAATTAAGGTTTGCTCTAACACGAGTCTCGAAAGACCGGTCAGAAACGCCACGTACCTTAATGTACTGGGTAAAAACCGAAGAATGACCCGTTTCCTCGTCTCTTCTGCATTCTCCCATAACGCTTTCGGATGGGGAACTCGCACTTTGTGGAGTTAATTCTCTTCTCTCGAGGTCCCCGCTTCCAGCCAGCACTTTTCGGCAGCTTTAGTCATCTGCGCTCTCTCGGTTTTAATGGTCTTTAACGGAGGGCCGCTCGCGAGTCTGTGCGTATATGCCGGCTGTTATAAGAAGATGGTTCTTGCGGGTTGTGATGAAAGAGATTTCAAGGCCAAATTTTGAGGGAATGAAGAGAAAATCAAAACTAACGTAAAGCTAGGCAAGTGCAATCTTATAAAAAGGCGACAAATATGACGTAATTTATAGAAAATATACAGGAAATTTGCATACTGTAATATAAAATGAAATGCTATTTTATAATCCGAGAGGATTATTCGGGAACTTTAAAATGCCGGAAAGGTCTAAAATTGAGAGAAAATGACAAATTTGGCAAGTGTAATATAACGAATGTGCAAAAAGTTGATTTAGAATATCATTAGTATCAAAATTATTCTAGCCAAGGTCATGAAAGACTAAAACAAAGACTTTACAACCATAAAAATGACCAAGGAAGGATCAAATTACCTCGAATTACAGATGATGACAATTCGATAAAAAGTCGGAAAATTGCAAGTAATGGTGGATAAGGTGAATTGATGCTCCTCGATATTGTTCGAAGGGTCTAAGAATCATCATAGCCAAAAATCAACCAAATTTCGGGGATGTTTTTGTTGAGAAACGGGCTTATAATCAAATACATTTTTCATCATCTACTACAATATCGAAAATTCTTCTTTCTACTTTATCTTTTACCCACAAATGGTTAAAATTTTTTTACAAATCAAATTTACATGGCCCTTTGAGCCTCCAAGAACTCCATTCCATTTTATTGAATCCGTTTCGGTGGGACTGTTTGGCTGTTGTTCACTCTGCGAATTGGTTGGTCTTCTCTCGAGAAATGGGTGACCTAATTCAACTGGATCCTGGCTATAAGCTTGAAGGGAATTATACCGTAATCAAGAAGCTGGGAGAAGGAGCCTTCGGTAAGGAGATTGCAGAAATATTGAACTTTTTATATTATTCATGAGTTTTGGTGATGGATAATATAAAAAAAATGGCAAAATAATCCTTTAATAAAAAAGAACAGACACTGATGCTTCGTATTTTACCTTTAGAATATCATTCCTCGCGGAATTCCGACCCTAAATTCACGTAGAACGGAATGCCAAAATTGGCGGGAAATTCAAATTTGAATTTTTAATTTTGGCAAATTTTGATGATTGGTCTCTAAACCATTGGATAGGCTCTGAAAGAAGTTTTTTAGACAAAAATTATCAAAAAAATCTTCAAAATTTATATTACTCTAGTCTATACCCAGACCTTCCAACCCTTATAACTTCAGGAGCGGTTTACAAAGTGTCGGACAAAAACAACAATCTGTACGCCCTGAAAGTGGAAGGTGTGAACGAGCAGATCCAACTCCTCAAGATGGAAGTCTTCGTTCTCACCGAGCTGCGCAAAGCCGGCGGTCGGCATTTCTGTAAGATCGAGGACAAGGGAAAAATCGACAACTTCAACTACGTTGTGATGACTTTTGTCGGCGAGTCGTTGGCCGATTTGCGTCAGCGCGCCCCCGGCAAGAAGTTTTCGTTGGGGACGGCGCTGAGTGTGGGCATTCAAGCGCTCGAGGCGTTGGAGGATTTGCATGGAATCGGGTACTTGCATCGAGACGTGAAGCCGGCCAATTATACCATCGGAAGACCCGAAATCAACGAATTGAGAAAGGTAAAGGATGTCGAAATATTCCTAAAGAATCCTCACAGCTTTCTGCTGACTTATAGGATCTCTACGACACCTTTATTTGAGTTACGGCCAGAATTCTCCATCTTTTGCCTACTACAATATAAAAAAATGCTGTAACTTTTTTGCCATCTTATTTTTTGCCATGAATCTTTTTTCCTAGTAAAACAAATGTCTCTTAGGTATACGTACTTGACTTTGGAATGGCCCGCAAGTTTGTGCACGACGATGGGACCATCAAGAAACCGAGAGATGTCGCCGGATTCCGAGGAACTGTAAAGTACGCTCCGGTCTCCTGTCACGCTCAGAGAGAACTCTGCCGCCTGGATGATTGTGAGACCTGGCTCTACATGACTGCCGAGTTCACCAAAGGCAGTTTGCCCTGGAGGAATTTAAAGGTATCATCTTAGGTGTGACTAGTTGAATTAAGGGTAAAATACGCCGTAAAAAGAAGTTTCTGTAATATCAAATGAAGATATTGACATTTAAAGGCCTTATTAGCCGAAAGAATCGTTTACTTTCTTTTTGAAACCAAGAATGAAGCAAAATTATATTACACTTGATATTAGACTAGAACAAACTTGATTTTTTCTGCTTTCTTGAGGTTCTAGGAACTCAAGATATTGCAGAATGACAAATCAGGCTACAAGGAAGTTCGCGACTATTTTTTAGACTGAATTTTACTTTGGTTCCTAAAATACGACCATTTTTTGAAAATTTTCATAACTCGTATTTTAGCCAGCGAAAAGCCATAAAATTTGAAATTAAGGTAAAATACGTCCCACCAGGCGCATAACGTTTGAATAAATGTATATTTGAGCTCTGAGTTTGGTTTTTTTCTTCATCTTTTCCATCAGAAGCCCCATGGATAATATAATGATTTAGGACATGAACGAGATTGGAACTCTGAAGAGACGATGTCGAGGTGGTGTGGAAATGAAGATGCTGTTTGGGGGATGCCCGCGCGAGTACATTGACATCCTGCGAACCATTGACGGCGGAAAGTTTTTCGATGAGCCCAATTACCAGAAGATGTACAGTCTGATGAGACAGGCCATGAAAAACATGAATGTGCAGGTGAGTATTGGCTAGTAATCTATTTTCATCACTATTGCCTCAAATCCACTCAAAAAATAAAGAAATTTTCGATTTTAGGGCAATTTTTAAAAGCGTCTAGAAAATCCGTCATCGGGTATGTCAGAATCATACTAGTTGCAAAGATACGAAAAATTTTTTTTTTGATGAGGTTGGGCTAGTAAAAGTAACGCAATTTCTGATAAATTTTTGTTGATTACCTGAGGAATTAAAGGTGTCATCGTGACGGATTTTCTGGAATTTTGTAATTACGCGGTTTAAAATGGGTTACTGTAGCTGAAAGTGGTTTGGATAAGGTGAAAAATACACTTTTTTGTTTTTAGATTTATGAAAAATTTATATATTATATGTTTCTTGACATTTGACGTACAATATTTCCAGGAATATCCATACGATTGGGAGCGATGGGCCGAAGAAGACAAGAAGAGAAAGGAAGCCGAGGAAAAGAAGAAGAAGGAAGAAAAGGAGAAAAAGGACGACAAGAAGGATAAGAAAGACGAGAAAGAAAAGGAGGAGAAGAAGGACAAAAAGGAAGAAAAGAAAGAAGAGAAAAAGGAAAAGGATGAGAAGAAAGAGGATGAAAAGGAAGACGAGTAATTCTGTTGCAGTTTAGAATAAATGATTTGATTTTTTTGAACTTGTGCTGTGATTTTAACTTTGTTTTTCGCAGAAATTTGTTAGTGTAAAGTATCAAAAAGTCGTCCGAAAAAAGCGTTCAAAAGGCATTTAACCGCTACTCCAGACGCCTATCGATCAGAGCGAGTGGTCATTTACACACACAAATTGTAGTCCGAGCCTTTGTTCGCTAAAATTCTAATTTTCCCTCGAGCAAAATACGTTCAAAATAGTATTGAAAAGTATTCTAATCGGGTAGGAAAATGCCTCCACCCTCTGGAATCCATGTAATGAAGAGTGCTTCGAACCATTTGAGCCCCAAAAAGCATCCTTGGCACGCCTTTTCCAAGGATGGGGAAGACGAATTTCGGTGAGAAAATTTTGATTTTTTTAGTAAATTCAGGCAAATTCTGTTGAGATTCGTTGTGAAAATGACTTATTAAGGCCTTGGAAAATTTTACAGAGCTTATGGAAGGTTTAGGGATCAATTTTTATATTATCCATGACATTTTGACCAAAAATTTGATAAGCCCCAAATCAACATTTTTTCGACCTCAATTCTTATCAAAATTGATTTCCAATAAAACTAAATTGCTCTTCCTTTATCTGCACACACAATTTTTACTTCAAATCCGTGTTTTAGATTCGAAAAAATCCATATTCTCCGTCATGGCTGGGGTTATGGTGGAAATACGGCGGCGATTTCGCTGTACGCCGCTTTTCAAACAGTCCCAGCCGACATGATGTGTGCCAGCTTTCAGTCGCAGTTTATTCGACCGGTCGACAAGCCAACGGTCAAGGTTTTCGTGGAGAGATGTCGGGAAAGTTCGGCGGAGGTTCATCGGTTGGTGAAGTTGTATTGTGATGGGAAATTGGCGTATCGGATGGACTGTAGATTTTGTAAAAAGCATTTGGTACGCTTTTTAGGGTGGTTGAGATTGGTTCTAAAAAAATTTTAGAGCATTTTATGGGAAATCAAGTTTTCGCGGTGGGACTAAATTTTTTTGTTAAAAAGGGCCTAAAATACGAAAATTGGAGATTGTGTTAAAAAAATGTATTCCCAAAATGCCCTAAAATGGTTTTTTATTCTCTATGATTTTTAATTAGCCACTTTTCCTGTCATTTTTGGACATTTTAGACGTTTTCCCTGATCTTCAGGGATTTCGTGGTGGGACTCAAATTTGGTCTCAGAATTTTGTTAAGAGGTTTGTAAACATCTCTAAGATCAGTGTAAAAAAGATTTTAATAAGATTTGCAAATCGTATTTTACCCATTATTCTGAATTCTTCGAAATTTACATTACTACTTTCAGAACTTCACCAATATTCCTCAAACCCCACACAAATTTCCCAACGTCACCCCTCCAGAGTCTTGCCAGACGAGTTATGAGATCCTAAAGGATTATCAAAGCTCAGGAGGCGATCTCAGTGCCGTGCGAAACGTGACTTTCGCGGATGACCAGCCTCAAATTGATCATCGATTAACAAACGGAGTGAATGGAATTACCGGATACGACGAGAAGAAATATAGTCATACAATCTGGTCAAGGTACAAGCTAGAGAATCGTAGGTAAAACTAGGAATATTCTAGAATCTAGGAATTCATTTTTGGTGGAAGTTTGGAAAGCTCCAAAAAATCCGTCATCATAACGGTTTATTGGCCAAACTAGAAGGTTCCAAAATGCGAAAATTTTTTATAGCAATGTAAATTGCAGAAGGAATAAAAATTTGTAAAAATTGTTTTTGAAAATTGTGAATTGAACAAATCATGATGACGGATTTTCTGGAATTTCGTAAAAAGTCATCGTTTTTCCAAGCTTTTTGATGAAAATCATAGTCAAAATGAAGAACTGATAGATTTTGCCATCTTTTCAAAAAAAATTTCATTCTAAAATATCAAAAAATATGTCATCATGACCGATTTTTTGGAAACCGAAAAATTTTTTGTCTTGCCGAAATTTTCAATTTTAATTGAAGTAAGATATAGGATGCTGTATGAGGACTTTTCAGATGACATGGACCGAAATTTCGAGGAGCTGGTCCTCACAAACCTGTCGGATCTGGGGATGTGTTACGCGTCATGTTTAATGTTCCCGAAGCAATCGTTCAATCGCGTCGCCTCCCTCTCGTTATCCGTGTGGTTCCATTGTGCAAAGTGAGTCGATTAGCAACAGAATACGTCTGGCTGAGTTTCAGTTTCAACGCCAACGACTTTGTCCTTCAAAAACATGACGTCATCGGCCATAATCACAACCGATCTCTGACTTCGGGGCAAATGTGGTCGCGAGATGGTCGATTATTGGCTACAGCCATCCAAGAAGCTATTATTGAGGTGAATGAGGACAAGAAAGCAAAGTATTAGAGATCTTTATATTGTAGTAGACATCAGATGGAAAAATCAGAAAAATTCTTTGAAATTAAACTGTATAAATAAATTGTGGTGCCAAGAATGTATGAAAAGCCAGTATACATCATGTTGTATACATATGAAATCATAATTCGTAAAAATATGTCATCATGACGCAATTTTTGGAATTTGTTAAAATCGCCTATTTGGAAATGACAACTGGGTTTAAAATTCAAATCATAACTTCACAAAGCCCTATGCTTACCAAAAACTCTTTCAAACCACAAATTTGCCCCCAAACTCTTCGCTAAATTACTGTAAACTACTGGCTTACGCCACTTTTTTGATCAGTTTCCCCTTTAAAAAATCGAAAGTCTCTTTCGAGAAGAACCAAAAAGAAGTCAATTCATAAAGCGTGAAGGGAGTAAGTTGACAAAACTAGCCAAAAACGACCTTTACCTTGACGTTCCAACTAAAATAACATAAAGTTGGTGTGTTTTGTGCTCGATCTTGCGGGAGGTTCTGCACAGATTTTCGGAAAGGCTTCGAAACTTCCTAATCTTGTTTGTCAACACTGATCTGCTCTTTTGAACTGCGGGAACTGGATGATTTTGATGAAATTCCAGAAAATGTGTCATCGTGACATGTTGATCTTTGAGGTTTGTAAGGGTTCGAGTATAAAGTAAAGGGTTTTGTGTTGAATCGGACATGTTTTCAAAATTTGAGCCTTCCGAATGGCTGTTTATTTGATTTTTGGGGGTCAGAGATGACGTATTTTCTGGAAAAGTTTTTTTTTTCAAAATTTCGGGTTTTCTGGAATTTCAAAGTGGATCTGAAGATCAGAATAGCTTTATTACACCTTGTTGTCACTATTTTATTCAATTTTACCACCGAAATTGCCATTTTCCTCCCAAAAACCGACTTTTTTGATGTTGCACTAGGTCGCCCTCCTCCAAATCCGTCAAAACAGAATGTTCTTGAACCCAAACGGTCATAAATTATGATTCGACCGGTTTTTATCAATCCCACAAAGGGTTTGCCGGTTTTGCTATCCGTTTTTCTCGCAATGGATATCAGAATTTTTCTCGATCTTTTGTTGTTTGTGTTCGTTTTTAGAGCGTTTCAGAGGATTTTTTTGATAAATCAAAAAGTTGACGAAGTACAACAGGTGCACAATCATGTGTTCCATCATATACTTGTGGAGATTCAGAGCTAGTTTGAGCTGAAATTGACTGTTTTGCCGAATTTAGGTATAACTGTGAGGGAAAATGGATAGTAAACCCGATTTTTAACTTGAAGACAATGCGAATCGCAAGTATTTAGCTGAACTATTACTTATTCTTTCTATTGAGATCATTTTCACTTGCAAATTACATTGCCTTGATTCGCATGTTGCCATTTTCGTGAATTGATACCTAAAATAATATAATTTTTGTAATTTCAGGCCGGTAACCGCCGATTTTCGGCTTTTTTGGGTAAGCAGCTGCTAGAATGAGATCTCTGTGCAACATTTTGTCCATTGTCTTGTTGTTTGCCCTCACAATTGAAGCGGCATGGGAGTGCGGATCCGACAATGATGGATTTGGCGGTTTGTCCAAGGGATCCTCCCAATTCTTCGTCCAATTGAACTGTCCTGCACTCATGAGTAAGAAATTTGGTTTTAAAATACGTCTCACGCCGTTATTAGTTTCATTTCAATTGTTTTAGCGATGTTTTAGACATCTTCCCTGATTTTCAGGGAAATCGTGGTAGGACTCAGAAAGTTTCCCGAAAACTTCTTGTTTTGTAAATTCCCTGAGGTCTTCTGTTAGACTATTCTCTTACAAATTTATTTCTGACATTTTATTACCTCAAGTCAGGTAATTGTAAAATTATTTCAGATGGTATCAACAACTGTTGTATAAATCACGACGACTGCTACGACAAGCAACGAGGACAAAAGCATTGCGATGACACTTTCTGTCAATGCTCCAAGGTACGCGATTTTTTCAATTCTCATAAATTTTTTATATTTTTGATACATATTTACGATCTCTGCTAACAAATTTAACTTTTCCAGAATGCCGTTAAAGACCATCCACACTGTGGAAAGCTACGCGATGTGCTTTGCAAAGCCGTCAGGGATCATGGAGCCGCTGCTTATGCCGCGAGGTCAGTTTTTTTTTAATTGCAATCTTTTTTTTTATTTTTAGGCCATTTGATGACAAGTATAATATCGTGGCTTAAATTAGATGAAAATTTCTTTCTAAATTTTGCGATTTGGACAGAGGCAGAGTTGTTGTAGCATTGGGTACCGTTTCCAGTAAATTTTTGATGAATTTACGGGGTTATACGGTAAAGTCAGGGCGCAGCTCGCCACTATTTAAAATACGATTTTTTGAGGTCTAGGCTATCAAAATGCGTTTCAAACGTTTGTTGTAGCCTGCTGACAGTTTACACTCCTCATTTCAATCAATTATAGAGCTTTTTTCAGCGGTCGCCGAGGCTAATTTTCAATTTCATCAAGTGCAATGTCAACATTGCACCACTACAGCCGACTCATCACTTCTTGCCGCTTACTTACCATTCTCTACATAATATATCTTCTCATCACTGTAAATTAAATATCACTTCACTAATTTAGTTTTTTATACCGACGATAATATACTTGTATTTATTACGGAGAAATACACAATTAAAACTCTACAATTGGATATATAATGACGTTTTTACCCTAAATTTCAGTGTTTTGTTCAAGTTTTCATAAGAAAAAAAGGCATATGTTATAGTAGAGGTTGATGTCTAGTATAACATAAAAAACCACCGCTAAGACGTTTTGCTAATCGACCGATAGAGGAAAATTACCAGTATAATTCATTTCGTATAGTTGTGGGAGAAAATATCGGAATTTGGAGGCCTATATTACACTTGAGTCAGGTGTTACACTCTTGGGTCAAGTGTAACACTCTAACACCAATTGCAATATCGGACTTACGGGATAGGACACAGGGATAACTTGCATTTAAATAAGAGTAAACGGGGGTATTAGAAGTGGTTCCAGTCTAGGGCACTGTTGCGGATGTTGATTTCGTACTGATTGATCACTTCTTCCGCCACTTCCTGATGAAGCCAGAGGCGTTGCAGGCGTTTGTACAGCTCGGTGCTCAGGAACAGCGGGTTTCCGCGTCTGAAAGTTTCATTTTATTAAGTTTTCTGCAACATTCACTAGATTATTCAACAATTTTGACCAAAAATTATATTACACTAGACCAGCTTTCCTGGATCGTCTTCAATGCCAATATTATGCTTCTGCCATGTCAAGCAGGAAGACTGTAGAACGTATTTTACCTATGTCAACTTTTTTCCATTATTTTTACGCATAAAATTGCACTTCTCGGCATTACCTTATACTAGGTGTCTTTGCCAAAATTCGTGTATTTGGATTCAAATTACTGTGATTATTTCTTGGAAATTATATCCACAGAGCCCCTGAAGACCTATTTCACTCATTCCTCTCTTTCTATTCCAAAATTTCAATCAAATTTCGCCTTTTTTCACCTTATATTATACTTGACTATCCAGTCCAAAATAAATTTTCCAAACTTTCCCTACAGGATCCTCCCCTTTCAGAACATTCATCATGATCTCTTCTTCATTTTCTAGAACTTTCATCCTTCTTCTTCAACAGTAACCCCTCCAAACTTCCAATTTTCTCCTTACCTGAAGCCCCAGTCCGGTTCTCCAAATTGATCCACATACGGCGCGGACTTGATGCATCCACGCTTCGAAGACGTCAAGAAGATCACTTGACACTCCCGGATCCTCAAGAAAATACCCGTCTTCCCACTGCAGTAGTACATATGGTAGGTGCAGGACCCGACGTGTTCCGCTTTAATGGAGCGTTGGCAACAATACGACTGAGAGCACAGGAGTTCTCCGCAGACCAAACACATGGTGACTACAGCTCCGCACATTGAATCGGTTTTCACGCTGGGACATCGGTATTGCGCGGCCATATTGACAAGATCCGTGTAATCGTGGGGCAATTCGACCAGGGTGCGCGGAGCCAATGGACGGCGGACTTTTGTGAGGGCCTGAGGCAGGCGGATGTAGGAGGACCATCTGGAAAATATTTTTCACACCTCTAGGAACTCAAACACCATCGAAAAGTTACTGCTCAAAAAAATTTCGCAAAAAATACATCAATTTCCATCAAAATCCAAAATTTTCCGCAAAAAATCTCAAAACAATCAATTTCCGACCAAAATAGACCTTCCAAATTTCAAATACAACTCTCTGCTATCCTTCTCACACCACTATCCATCGAATCTCACCCATTCACATCAAAAAACCCTCAAAATTTTAAAAAATTTCCCAAAAACCCCATGGATAACATAATCAACCCCCAGATCCTGCTAAAACATCTCCAAATCCTCTTCAAATTAGAAATACAACTCTCTACTATCCTTCTCACACCACTATCACCTAGTTTCACCCATTCCCATCAAAAAACCATCAAAATTTCCAAAAATTTCCCAAGCCCCATGGATAATATAATCAACTCCCCAAAACCTGATAAAAAACATCCCCAAATATCGGTCTGTCGGGAAAAAAACGGCGGATCGTCGCGCCTCGGAGTCGCTCATCATCGCTTTGCGACTGCAAGCCGCGGCTTGGGATTTGGTGCGCGATAGCGGCGAGGCGAGACACTTTGCTGCGACGATCCGCCGTTATTTTCCAGACAGACTGATACCCCAAATCCTCTTCAAATTCCAACTCACAATTCAAACAGTCTTTCAACATGTTCTCCACTCAAAATTTCCTTCAGTCCCACCGGCATGTCCAAGTATCTGCACAATGGTTCGAACTCATCCAATGATGCATATTTCAGTACATCCGGTGGTGGGACCAAAGTCAAAGCATTGTAAAACACAGCCAGCGGTCTGAGGAATTCCACGATGCACTTTTTCAAATTCCTTCGCAGCTTTGACAGGTCGATTTCGGGGGTTTTCTCAATCTTCATCATGTTCAACAAGGTGTCCAATCTCTCTTCGATTTCAGGTCCACTTTCGGCGGCCGCCGCTTCTTCGGCCGCATTTTCAAGGCTCTGGTCTTGGTTGGCCTCCTCTTCGATTCGGATTCTCTCAACCTCATCGCTGATCGAGTGGCTGGAGGCGGAATTTCGGGGCTCGGCGTCCGCGAAACACACAATGGCTTGGAAAATGTGGGCCAAAAGACAGAGTTGGACCGAGTGGTGTTCGTCCACGGAGCCGTCCGGCACTCTGGTGGGGCCTTCGTCCACCTTTCCGATGTTGTGCAGGAACTGTTTGCCGCCTTTTATGACCGACCAGCCGCTCAGCATGGCCAGTTCGATGGCCATGCTGACCATGTCGACGTTGAGGATGTTGATGTCGACGAACGGGTTCTGGATGGCCTCGGTGACCGTGTACGGAGGGGTTGTGGACTCGGGCTCGAACACCGAGTGACTGGTGGAGGGGCCGGGCGAGGCGGGCGCCGTCGAGGATTGGGATTCGGGCTGGTCGGAGCGGCGTTTCTCCACGTCGTGGTGCCAGCGGAGGGGGTGGCTGCGGATCTGAAGGGTGTGATTCATCAATATTGAGGATCAATTTGGCAGGAAACTCAGCTTTCGATGAAAAATTTTCAAATTTCAACCAAAAAATTATCTTACACTAGAAATCAAAAAAAAAAAAAAAAATTTTTTTGATCTTTAAACTTATCAGATCATCCCAAAATTCCTTCAAATTTAATTTTACACCCACTAAAATTCCTCTACTTCGCCAATTCTTTCTTCACTCACCAAATTATTCAATTGTTTTCTGATCTCGACGATATTATTCAAGGTCCTGGCGGTGTACAAGTAAGCCGGGACGGGCCGGCTCGCACTCAATGGGAGCAAGAATGGGGACAGTAGTCGCGACATCAGCAGTCTCAGGGCGATTGGTTTTACCGTAAAGGCCGAGACGGCGCAAAGCCGGACCATTCCATTGATCGAGTCCAACTGGCGGGTATTCAAGGCTCCAAACAGGGGTTTCTTCTCGGTTTTGAGGACGGCACAAATTGCTCTGAGGACGTATCCGGTGGTCGTGTAGACGGTGATCAGGTCCACAATGTCGTCCGAGTCCTGAGGCGGCGGGGGCATGCCGACCGGCAATTTGGTGTGACGATCTTGGAGGGAGGCGAAGAAGGGGGACAAAGTGCGCCAGGCGGAGCCGCAGTTTTGTCTGGAATTAAAAAAATATAGTATTTATACAGTAATGCAGCTACTTATTCAATTGCAATAACCAAAATATTCAAAATCTCAAAATTTAAAAATAAGCTCGGGCGCAGCCTGCCAAGCAGAAATATAGCTTATATTCGAAAATAACTTTTATAACGGCTCTATATCATACTTATAAACACCGAAAATGCTTTAAAAATCCGCAATTTCGGACCAAGCTCGGGCGCAGCTCGCCAATCCCTTAAACTCAATTTTCGCGAGCTGCGCCCAGACATTTTTCAAAATCAACCATAAACCACGCTTGAATATTCCTTACAGCTTTTTCGCATCCGTTTTGCCGAGGAATCCCTTGATTGTGTCTAACGTCTCATGGAGGAACATGCTCAGCGAGTCGGTTGAAATTAACGAAGCACCGAGTGTGTCAACGGTTGACGTTGAAGTGGACAGGTTTCTGGAGGAGACACTCGCATTCTCCGAGGATGCGGACAACGAGCTGTTGAGTGAGCTGATCGAGAATGGGACACAGGACGAGCTGCTGGAGCCTTCTTTGGCCTGATCCTTTTTGAATTCGGCAAGCGAGCGCTCCGAGTGGGATCTGAAAACGGGTAATTTGCAATGAAAATTCACTACCAACGTCTGTACTATCCATGACAAAAAATTTCTCCTTCAATTCATAAGATTAAAGAACGCTTTCGCAAAAAATTATACGTCCGCCTACTACAATATAAAAATTGTTCAAAAAATATGCAAAAAGTCTCCAGATTTATCTCAATGTGTAGTACACGGCTCTATACATCCTCTATAACCATTACCTCCACACAAATCGCCTTACCGTTTTCTTGAATGCGCCTTGACCGGGTTGTCTCCATTATTGGCCGAGTACACTTTTTGTGAACACAGGTCTCTCATTCGTTGAACCCAATCCGCGAATTCTTCTTGGGGATTCTTTCGGTTCTCGGAGAACCTAAAAAACTCATTTATTACATCCAACTCCAAAAAATCTATTAATTTAACATTAATATTGTACTTGACTAAAAAGTTGAATTTCATCACAATCTTCAAAAATTATTTTTGTAAAATACGCCTCTCTTAATTTCCACCGCACTACTATCAAAAACCTGCAGTCATCTTCAGTCAATTTTCGGCTAAAATTTGATAAAACAAATTTTCGTGGCGGGACCCAATTCCCAAAAAATCAAAAAAAAACCACTCCAAATCTTTTTAAACCTCCTCTAAATAAATTTTCTTGGCCCCTCTACCGACTCTAAAAACTATTGAACTTACGGTACCACTCCTTTCAACTGCTCCAAAGTTGGCAATAATGGCATTGCGCAGTTGCACAACCGTTTACATAACGGGCAATTGTATTCATTTCTTTCCGTATCCAAAATACGCGGTGACATGGCTTGAGCGCGGTTTCTTTGCCGATCATTGGCTTTCATCACGCTCATCAAGGACATGTGGCACGAGAAATGCATGGTGTGGGCGCAGGTCGAGATATTGTTCCCAAAATACAGGTCAGATGGGGCATAATGGCGGTAGTCTTCGGTTCTATTTACATCGCTCTGCAAGTAATTATTATGACTCAAACATATTTTGATTTTTACAGCATTTCAAGGGGGCTCCTTGGAAATAAGGGTTTTCGTGGTGGGACCCAAAAAGGATTACTGTAACTTAATTAAAACTATTTAAACCCCTATAGAACGTCCTATCAAGCCCAGCCGACTCTTTAGGAACCATTCTATAACTAAATAGAGCCTTTCCCTGACCATCAGGGTTTTCGTGGTGGGACCCAAAATTTCTATAAAAATCTTTTCAACGATCACTTCAATTTCTCAAATTTTAACCAAGCTTCTGGGCATTTCAAACCACCTTCTCCCACTCTTAAAAACAACCCTCAACACTATTTTCCCTCAAATTTCACCTTTCCCTACTACAATATCACAAAATCTGCTTACCTCCACCTTGGTCTGCGCGAAGAGTCTGCTGCTCTCAATGTAGGCTGCGCACACAATTCCCGTCTCAAATGATAGGACTTCGTCTTCCTGACAGAGGATACACGTGATTCTTCGTTGGGCTTTCTGTTGTGCATGAAGTCGATTCGGGCCCAAACAGATGGGGAATCCGGCGTCGGGAGGTAGAATTCCGACCTCGGGTTCATCCTCAATCTCCAGACTTCTTTGAGGGTCTACTTCCATGACTTCGTCTTGGACTTCGGGGACCTTTGACGAGGATGGGCGATCCGTTTCTTCCGTGAAAAAGTCTTTGTGCTGATTTCGGAAGTTGTTCTGGAGTTTTTTCATGCGTTCCAAAGCCTGAAAAAAGGCATTTTTCATCTAATTACAGTTAAAAACAACAACCCAAAAAAATTAAAATTTATTTTTTTTTAAATTTCCAAGTTTTTTTTTTTTTTGAAATCCCAAAATATCTCAAATTTCAATGATTCCTCCCAAAACTATGCATCTACTGTAACTTCAACAAATTTTCCGTCAAAAAATCACTATACAAATCTCTCCCGTCTCCTCTTTTTACCTGATCTCTCTTCGCTTTCGCGATTTTGGCCCTTTTTGCGGCTTTATCCTCGGAATCCTCCGATTTTTCTTGCGTTTTCTCGACCGCCTTCTCTTCCTCCTGTTCTCCCTTCCACGCCTTGAGGGCCTGTTCGTATTTGGTCTTGGTCCACCACCACAGATCGCCGTATCCGTCTTTTTCGGCGCGAGCTTGGCACTTCTTCAGATGGTCCAGCAAGTTTTGCGCCTCCGCATTCTCCATGAACTTGAATTTCTCGGGGGCCGAGCGCTGCTGGGAATGGGCTTCTTGGCGTTCGGCTTCGTTGAGGAGTTGTTCGCTGATCGCGGCGCCACACAAGTAGAGGGCGCGGTGCATGAGGCTGTCGCTGGAGAAGCGGGATTGCTTCGCGTAGCGCTCGAAGGTGACGCGGAGGAGTTGGGACATCAGCCTGGAAGGCAAATCATGAGATTTCAATCAGGAATCGACATAGTGGCTCTTATGGTGGCGGTTTTTTTTTTGAGTTTTACTGTACAATATTTTTGACTGATTTTTTTGGAGAAAAATGGGGATTTTTTGAGATGAAACTGAGAAAAGGTAAGATTTTGATGAGGAAATGGTTGGAATAAGGTGTGAATGGAAGAGTTAAGTAGCATTTCTCAGTTGAAAATTCTTCTTGGCTGCTTTAAAAGTAGAATTTTGGAATTTTAATCCTGACTTTTGGCAGAATTGTATCTTGCCAAAATTTTTGCGCAGTGGCGGACCTGATCCAAAGGCCAAAACATACCATTTTGCATCCGGAAAGTATCAAAAATGCAGCAAAATACCTCGCTCTCCAAGTGAAAAAACTCCGTTTTTCAAAAAAAGCGGGCGCACTTTTGAAATTGGAGTTTTTTTCACTTGAAGAGGGAGGTATTTTGCTGCATTTTTGATATTTCTCGGATGCAAAATGGCACGTTTTTTGCAACTGGATCAGGTCCGCCACTGTGCAAAAATTTTGGCAAACTTCAATTCTGTCAAAAGCCACGATTTCCCGACAAAATTCCAAAATTTTTAATTTAAAATTGAACCAATAAGAATTTTCAGCCAAGTAATGCTACTTAGCTCTTCCAATCACACCTTATTCCATTCATTTCCTCATCGAAATCTTAGCTTTTCTCAGTTCACCTCAAAAAATCTTCTCTTAATTTTCCATTTTCCCCTATTTTTCTCCAAAAAAATCAGTCAAAATATTACACAGTAAAACTCCACCTCGTATTTTACCCTTCCCACTCATTAAAACAAAAAAAATCTCCCCCAAATTTCCACCTTCCTCTTCTCCTTACCTGCACTCCAACAGCCTCGTAATTGGCTGATAAAACGGTTCAAACTTGGGACAGACCGGTGGTGGGCATGCCTTGACCTCTCTGCTCTCCTGCACTCGGTCCTTCTTCTGTTGTTGTTCGGCTTGGCTGATGTTAACCCTCGAATAATGCCAAAAGAAGGCGTTGTATTGGGGTCGGAGATGGGGTTTGAGGGCGAAAACGCCGGTGGATTGGCCGGGTCGCTTGAAGTCGCCCACCTCTCGGATTATCTCGTCCAATGAGAGTTTTCTGTAGTTCTCGTTACCCACGATGAATCGCTCAACATGGCTGAATGGGCAGGGTCCCATGGACAACAAATGGATCACTTCGCGCTTCAGGGCTTCCTCCGTGCTCGCCTAAAACATGTCAAATGAGAGTTAAAAGCGATCTCCATATTTTAATTTTTATTTCAGTCTCGATTATTCAAAACATTTCAACTTTCGACCTTATTTTAGACATCTGCTAACCCGAGATCCCACAATTTTTCAATACTCAATTTTAAATATATTTCTTATCCAATAACATCCGTCATTCATTTACTGAAATTTCCAAATCAACTCGTCCAAAAAATGTCAATTTCTGACCTTACTTTAGGTATCAAAAATAAATCACTCTCAAGACTTTCTTTACGTTCTAAAACACACCAATCAATACATAAATCTTACAGCACATCTCAATACTGCTGCCGAAATCCATTTCAGCCAAAATTTATCATTCCTTCCCCAACCTCGACCTTACTTTAGATATCAGATATATCCAGTCATTACATTTTCCGTGTTGGTCATAAACACACCAAACAACTTCTAAATCCAACACAAGCCCTAATTCTCACTATACAATTCATATCAAGCACTGTCTTTCATCTACTATCTATTTACGACCTTATTTTAGACATCACCTCCACAAAAATCAAAATTTACCTGTCCAACCCCATTTTGATATCTCTCCATGACAATATAGATCAAAATCTGGAAGAACTCTTCAGCAAGAGTTACCGTAATCTTCGACAAGTCATCAAACGAAGCAGTCGGCGTAGACGGAGTGTTTTCCAAGGACTGGCTTAACCCCATGTCTTCAAATCCAAACGTCGCGAATCGAATCAACGAAAACCTGTCCAGCATCCGGATGAGGAACTTGTTCGGGTCTGTGACAGCGGCCATAGCCTGAAAATGAAAGAATACAATCAAAAAATTAAATAATGGACAAACCTGAAGCATAAGAACGTCCCGATCAAACATCTCGCATCTATACATCTGCTGCATATAGGAGTGAATTTGGTTTGCCAGGGAGAACCCGTTGCGCCGCCAGAGTTGAGCATTCACTTGGGCTCGGAGGACAATGCATCTTAAATTTAATTACGGTAATTTTCAAAAAAGATCAAATTAAAAAAAAATCGGGTCCCACAACGAAAACTTGAAAACCTTCTAAACAGTAAAAGAAGAAAAGATTTGACTAAACTGGGTCACCCATACTTTCAGCCCTTCAATTATCAACTATTCCAGCTCTAAAACTTCAATTTTCACAATGTCAATATTATTTCAGGTCCCGCCACGACTTCCCTGAAAATCAGGGATATCCCCCAAAACTCCACAAAACCTCTCAAAACTCCCAGTTCACCTCAAAGGCATCTCCATTAAGATAGTTCTGAGCCCTTTCAACGATCTTCTGGATGGCTTTTCATGCGGTTTCCACTTGATTTGTCCCACCTCATCCGTGATCTTTGGTAGATTAAAATCTGGATGATTTGGGTCGTCCTCACACACAATATTCTTCATAATCTCCGGGGGTGCGGTGAACAGTGCCGCGCAGTATCTCCAGAGTGGTTGCCAGATGGAAATGGGTTCTTTTGAGACGTCAAATTCGATGGAGACTGCTTCGAGGTCGTTGACTTTGACGAGGCGGCGTTTCTCTTGGAATTCGGCCATCTTGTCCGCTTGGTGGAGGATCTCTTGGATGCAGCGGGTCAGGACGTTGATGTGGACTTCCTCCTGAAATTGGAAAAATGGCTTTTAAATAGCCAAAAATCCAAAAATTAAAAAAACTCCAAAATTTCCCCCGAATTTCCCAAAAAAATCCTCCCTTACCCCACCCAACTCGCTCAAATTTCCCCAAACCCCTTCCAAACTCCCTCACATTCACCAAGCTCCATTTTATCATATCATGGAGGGCTTCCTGAACTCTGTACCAGGCAGTAAAGGCCGTTTCCCACTCGGCATCAGTGGCCTGATGTTCACTGTACTGTCTTTTCACTTCATCCATGTGTTGGAAGTCTCGAATGAACTTCATGAAAGCGGTGGTGCCTCTGAGGAAGGCCTCGCGCATTTCCTGGTCCCAGTCTTCGGGTTTGGGGACCGAGGAGAGGAGATATGCCACATCCGACATGGCTATCAGAGCCCGGTCCAGGACGGTCGGCGTGGTGTTGTTGGTAAAGTCTAGGACCGGCAGCCCTCTGTGGGAGCTCTTGACGTATTGTTGGAGGAAATTGCATTGGTATTCGATGATTATACTGAGCGCATCCTCCTCTTTTATCAGATACCTGGCAATGGTGGGGATGGTGAAGACTTGGACGGTCATGGCGACGATACTGAACTTGTACTCGTGGTCATCGTCTACGTAGTCATTATAGATGTCAGAAAAGTACTGAAAACACTCAAATTCAATTGACATTCCCTCATTATACCCCTCAACCATCAAAAAAATCAAATTTTCACCTCAAAATTACCTAAAATATAGACAAAACTCCTTCAAAATTCAAATACCTGAATAAAAAGCCGTCCGAAATTCTTCTTATGCTTGAAATCCATCAACAAAGCAGTCATGAACATCTGATGAATCGCGATTCGGGAGTGTTTCCACAGCCGTCGATCCATCAACATCAACCGTACACATGGAGACTTGTGGCCACACGTCGGCGAAATCAGGTTCGTGTCAAAGTCAATCGTGGGAATGGCATTGTCGCGGGAGAAATCCGGGGAATTTCGGCAATCCCTCGAGCATTCATGGAGAAGAACATTCCCGATAATTGTACCGATTGGAGCTGAAATTTTAAGGTAAAAATACGATGTAAAAATAAAATTCAACTCAAAATCACTTCCAGTTCAATCGTCAGGCTAACCGCCCTTTTTGGAACAGCGAAAAACAATTTTCGAGCAATGAAATTCGTCTCGTGTAGTCCTAGTACAATATAGTGAATATCACAACAGCTGGTGAACCAATCCAAAATTTGTTTTCCCACAAAAATCTGCAAGGAATTTCCTCTTGATCAAAACAAATTTCAGTTTCGGACCTCAAATATTTATTTAGAAACCGACCATTCAAAAATTCAATCAAGTGCTATGAAAGGTCAAGTATAATGCCCCAAAACTCCTTGGACACAAGAAAGATAACAAATTCCAAAAGCTCCACAGAAATCTACATCATATAGCCTTCAATTTGGAATACTAAGACCCTCGACATCTCTCTTCATTTTTCGAAACAACTGCTTGAAAATTGAAGATCAATTTTCTGATGTGCAATATAATAAAACCTTTCAAAATAAAGCAGCAACCACAAAATTTAAAATACAATGATTCCAAAACATCAAGTTAAACCTCATGCTCTTTAATTACAACCCGAAAAGTAACCTGTGCCCTTCAATTAACCTTATACTTACGGAAATTTTTGACCTGCGCGGTCAGCCAATGAAGCAGATGCACCGCCCACGACTGAGATGCGATAACCGAACTCCGCATCACCTTGACAAGTAAAGGACCCGATTTCTGAGTTCTTCTGTTCGAATCCTTCTGTGTTCTTCGTTGGACTGACTCCTTAACGCTTGTACATCGTTCTTCAGATCCAGCGAAGACAACCGTTCGGCCTTCCCTATCCACAGTGGCCGCCAATTTTTTGGCTTGATGATCGTCGCAGGCCACTGACATGGTCAGGGCTCTGATTACCTGCAATTAAACATTGACTTGGTCATCAATTTTGAGGCTAACCTAAACTTCAAACAACAAAACATCAAAAAATCTTACACTTTCATAGGTATGCGTTTCATCGTTAAACAAAATCGTCTGGAAATCGTCATTGACCACTTCTCGCATACTGCAAAGCAATAAACATTGGGTTGGCCAAAAAATTCGATCAAAATTTATATTATCCATGATGGATAACATAAACTTTATAAAGGTTCTTACTCAATGACTGTCGGGAATGACGATTCATTGTCCAATCCGCCATTGAGGACGTCCACAACAAACTTGATGCATATCAAGACCAACGAGTGAATTCGCGTATGGAGATCCTTGGGTAATTGCCTAAAAACCGAAAGGAAAAATATTAAAAAAGACTGACTTACTTGTCCAAATTGGCCTTCTCTTCCTGCGAAGGCAAATGCAGTTTGCACACTGGGTCATTCAAAAATGCTTCCGAGTCTCCACAATCACAGTAACCGTTCCCGTTGGTCGGATGCATCTTATACTTGTGATTTACGTGCTCCGAATTTTTAAAACAGTCATAGCAAAGGACACAGGTGGGGTCATTGGCACATTCCCTGAAATTACACAGGTTAAGTCTCAACTCTAAAATTTTGAAAAGACAAACTATAATAGACTTACTTGCAAGAATACGTTAATTCTCCAAATTTGAACATCCTTCCGCAAACTTGACCTCTGGTGATCAACGAATTCGTTGGCCTGAATCCGGAAGATTCGGCCAGATGATCCAGTGTCACTTCTCCATTCGATTTTCGGCACTTTGTGTCACCCGTCAACGCTAATGCTAATGGATAAAGTAGAAGCTCATCTGAAAATACCACGGGATAAAACTAGCGTCAAAACGTTTTAAACCTCATACAAAAACGGAATGAAACCTTCTTTACTAACAAGACACCGAAAAATAGGTAAAACTTATATTCTCCATGAGGTCATAGGGCGGAAACCAAAGAATTGCTTGTAGAGCAACAAAATTAGAACAAAAAAGGTACTTCTTCTAGAAGTGACCTTTTCCGACCTTTCTAGCACTACTCTAAAACTTTATATGACTTGAAAGCCCTCCAACACATCAATCTTTTCTTCAGTAGGCCTAAAAGTGTAAAACAACAAGAAAATAGCTTACTGATCTTTTTCTCGTCGTCCAATCGCTCCCACGGTTCATCTGGATCGACTTTGAAGCATTCCAAGACATTTTTCGACCAGGTCGAGTACAACAATTGAGTGACACGACTCCAATCCTCGGCTTTCGCGGCCTGCAGCACCTCCTCCGGTGCCATATTCGCCGCCCGTCGGCGACGCTTGTACTGGCCGGAGGTTGTTCGTGACAACTTGATAAACGAGGAGGAGGACTAGCTAAGAAAATGAATGCTAGCTTCAAATTTAGCAATGTGCAACTTCCTCCAACCTAAAATAAGATAAAATTAAATTGAAAAAATTTAAAACTTCAGCGATTCTAGGGTAAAAAGCAAATGTAAACTAGAATTAGCGGTTCGAACAGCTTTTTTACTTCTTATTCTACCTGACGAAACCCGTAATTAAAAAGCTCGGCCGGAGAGAAAGACATGTGATACCTAGTATAATATAAAAATCGATAGTCTGCCGCGAAATTCGAGTCAAGAAGTAAACCATAACAGTGATAATGGGAATAGATCCCATTAAGCACCATTTGATTAAGACTTGACGTCACGGTTTGCCCACATAGAACAAAAAACGACAAAAAAGCGCCCGAGCCCTTCGCACTTCGCGCCCGAGTCGTGAAAAATTCCGGAATTATAGGGTAAAAGTTTGCATGTAAAAGACAGCAAAGACTAACAGAAAGATAGAAAATAAGAGTAAAAATGAATTCTTGCACACTTCTTCTGTCGTATTGAATGTTTCCCCATCGTCCATGTCGAAACTCTGACTTGCCGTGAGCTTTCGAAAATGTGCAATTTTAAGGCGCTTTTTAGCGAGTCATATATGGCTTCTTAGAGGTGATTTTCAAGATGTTTGATTTTTGTTAGTTACACGACTATCAGAACAGCATATCTTGAAAATTTCATGCAATTTGGTGAATTTTGAAGGGTCATTTTCTGGACCCCAATGAAGGGTCCAAAAAGTACTTGGAAATTGATGTGTAAAACAACTTTACGTCGAAAAACCCGTTACAGCCGGTCTGGTCTGAGTGTCACTAGCATTTATCAAACCTGACTTGCATTTTCCACATCTACCCATTGATTTCTGGCATAGGTGTTCGGAGTGAGGGGTGTACGGAAGAAAAAATCGCAAAAAGTAGGCATTTTACAGTACTCTATAAATACTGTAGAACACAACATTGTGAAAATTTTTTAATTCTGTTAGACGAGGGATACACTAGAGTCAAATACTGGAAAGTTTCAGAATTCTAGCCCTAAAATTTAATTCGATTTTCTGGACCCCACTGAGAGCATCACCCCTTGAGTACAATAAGTTTTGCAAAAAAAAAATCATGATGGCTAGGGGATGTCGTGACGGTTCTCCTGGGCTGTACAACAAATAACTACACTGCTAGATGCAATTTTTTACTGTACCGTGGGTTTTAACAGCTTCTGTCATGACCAAAATCCCGTAGATATGGTATCAAAAACATAATGCCTTAAAAATTATTGACAAAAATGTTCGATACTGTCCTGATGTTTTAAAGATTTTGACGTGAGAAGATAAACAGCATTGAGGCAATATTACTTATGTGGTAACTGTGGAAAGGTAATCAGGAAAAAGAGTGTCATCATGGTGAAGATGACAAAACCATCGGGAAACTGGTAGTGGTAGTAGAAAAATGATTTAATGTCCCATTATGATGATCTTTATGGAAGGGCGGGCAGGTTTAATATTTGAAGAATGATGATTGTAGTTATATTATTGTTACATAATATAATATTAATTTTATTACGGAGAATAATTTTTCCGATTTTTCTGATGCACTGAGTATTGTGATATTTCAATTTTTTAAGCACAGTAGGACTGACAGGGAACGAGGGTAGCCCCCAAATGAACTAGAGACGGCGAAAAATGTGTTGATAGGGTGCAAGTCGAAGTAGATGAGTGTAACCAAAAAGCGTGGTGCATGTACAATATAAAAATAGGCAAAAATATAATAAAAATTCCGGTTTAATCCAAGAATTACGCAAAAAAAGTTGTGTTGTTGGCTACTTGGCCTATTCGTTACTCCATTGGCCAAGATAATATTTGTCTATTAACAAGACATTTTCTGATAATGTTGTGTTTCTTTATGCTAATTATATCAATCGCAATCTTCAGTAACGCTTAGAATGCCTTGCAAGGTGAACATCCCAGTTAGTTCTCTGAAACTTTGATCGTATAAAGTGGTTTTCGCAAAAAACAAGAAAAGTCTTTTCGGGCGTTTTTTGTCGTTTTGGGCAAACCGTGACGTCAGATGGACCACAAAAAAGTGAGGGGAGTAATGTTTGGAACAACATAAAAATACCAATAAAATTCAGTTTTTTTTGGAAGCAAAGAAAACGTGGAGATAATGCAGAACCTCGAGACATCTAAAACACACTCGTAAGAATTGTGCATGAACTTTGAAACGATCTTTTATAGACTAAAAGTTCAGAAAACAAGTCAGTTTACTCGAAGAAACATCTTGGAAGGCCGCGAGCTGCGCCCTGAGAACATGGGCAAAAACAAAGTAATTACTGAATACTTGGTAAAATTGTAAGTATAGAAAAACTTGTTTTTTGAACATTTTTAAACAACGTTTCAACCCAAATCCTTTGTTTCGTCAGTGCGGCAAGGTCTTATATTATACTTGATGAGCAAAATAATACAAAAGAAAATTTTGTTATGATAAATGTAAATTTTAACAAAAATACTGTCACTAGAATAAATTGAAGCCAGTTCTATACATTTTCAAAGAAGCGTTTCGCAAATTTCGATGTAATAAATGAGATATAAAAAATTTTTACAAATGACGAAGCCCCAAAAATAATATTCACAGATGCCAACCGTTGATTGTCAAGGCAACATGGATGCCAAAAATAGGGTTTTTGGCTCTCATGAGTTTTGTTTCATACCAAATCGATCAAAGCTATTGCTCATTACGACAAATTTTCAATGGTCAAAGGAATAGATCTCTACTACAATATAAAAATGTTACAAAATCATCAAAAATGAAACTTTGTTTTCTTCCAAAGTTAGGGTAAAAGACCGTACGTTTCATTAGAACTTGATTATCATCATCGAATCACCTCATGTCACGTTTTCCCTTCGTTTTTTCATCTAAAAACAAAAAAAGTGGCACATTTAAGCCCTGAGGCGATTTTTTCGCCTCACGTAATTCTAGCACAACCTGAGAGACAGTTCGAGTTTTTGCCTGAAGACCAGCCTTCGCCAAAACAAATGGTTTCTCAGCTGATTTCCGTCCGCTTTTTCGATTTTCATTTTTCGGAACGGGGAAATTGAAAAAAAAAATGAAAAAAAGGGGAGAAGAGGGGACTCGAGAGCCTGAGGCTTTTGAAAAATGGAAGTGGAGAGAGAGAGAGAGGCTTTTCCGTTCTTCTGTTACTTCTCTTTTGACCACCAAATTTTGAGGGTCTAAATGCGAAACAAACTTGTTTAATTCCCATGGGAATTACTGTAGGGCGCTCTTAAAGCATAGGTTATTCGAGGTTGGTGAAGAGTGAAATAGGGTTTGTGGAGCGTTTTCTGACTTATAGTACTAGAAATAGATGTTTTGCAATGCATATATTTCTTTTGGGGGCATTTTTTTGTCACCTGGATACCTGGTGTAATAGATACATATTATAAATTATGGCTTGAAATCATATATTTTTACTTTCAAAAGATACTGAATTACTGAAAAATCACTTCGGAACTTTCTTTTACAAGTCATTATGGTATTTTTTCTTTTTTCATTTGCCTTTATTTATCATAATTTTTTATCATTTTTGTAATCTTATATAAATTTACTCTGTAATAGTAACAATTTTTCTTCAAACCTGCAAATTCGACCTCAAAATCAAATTTCAATTGTCCTTGCTCTTTAAATTTGCGGCTTACGTCAAGAAAATCACTTGATTTTAATTTTACTCATCAAGTGCAACATCAATTTTTAGTGTCATAGGTATGTTTACCGATCTCAAAAGAAAGATAATTGTGTCAAAATATCATTTCAAAGCTTTACACGCCATATTTTGACCATATTCACCGGTTACACATAAAAATTTTCACCTTGATACCAAGTGTAATATCAATTTTCCTTCAAAATATTTTTATTTCCCTTTCCCAACGCTCAATATCCATTTTCTTCATAAACCCGATCTACTGTTCAAACCCAAAATCACTTCCAAAAATTCCCCAAAATCATCTCGAATATTGTAGTAGCACATTTATTGTTATATCCGTATCTCTCGTTGAAATTCATAGGAAAAATGCGAAACTTGCAAAACATGAAATTATGGCATGTTATGAGAGATGTAGAGGGGGCGATATACAGAAAAAAAAGACGAGAAAGTTATACTTGAGTTTTGGATATGAGGCAAGAAACGGCAAAGAAAATTATGCAAATTTCCGGAGGCTGAACAATGTTGTTTCGATTGGGAGACCCGTTAGGTTAGAAAAATGACAATGGCATACTGTAGTCTATTTATGGCATACTGTTTTCGATATGAATACAGTAACCCACAAATTACAGTAGCCTTGATTGTAGCTGCTGGGAAATGACATAACACAATAAAAAACGTTATAAAATTAAATTTACAGCTTATTTTGAGGTACTGTAACGCTAATAAACCCACAGATTTTTGAAAAATTAAAATCATCAAAATCAATTTTTGGTCCTGGCACGAAAATTTGAAAATCGGGGAAATTGAAAATTTCCAATGTCAAAATCACAAACGAGCTATAAAAAATTACTCAAAAAATTCTACATCTAAAAATTACAATAATCCCATTAAAATCCCAAAAATCAAAAATCCAAAAAATGTTACAGTACCCCAACCAAAAGAAATTCAAAAGAGGAATTGAAGACCAAAACAAAAAAGAAGCACCCCAATGATCCCATAAATAGCACAGTCGGTCCAGACATTTTCAGTGTTACAGTACCCAATTACAGTAGGACACTTAGTAGCAGCAGATGCATCGGATCAGGTTGACGAAGATGGAGAGGATGATCAGGACGACCATGATGGCGATCAGTAGGACAGCCCAGTCCTGCAGACGGAAACAACAGGCCGAGTTCATCTCGCCGCAACATTTGAAGTAGTAGAGGGGGTTGGACTCGGGGCATTGGCCGCCAACAACTGGGAGGGGGCATCCGAGGGGTGACTCTCTGAAAATTAGGCGTTGTAATTGAGGATATAAACCAAGAAACTGGTAGTTTACTCTTGTTTTTTGAATCGGCGAACTGTGCCTGAGCTTAAAAATGAATCATAAAGTGATAGATCTGATCCAGTCGCAAAAACGTACCATTTTCATCATGGCGAGCTGCGCCCTAGGTTAGTAAAAGATGTGTTATAGTAGGTGTCGTAGCTTGTAACGATTAGAAATGTGACTGGTAGAGTCGGATATGCATCGAAAACTTCAATTTTAGTTGCCTTAGCATCGAAATTTGTGTTCTTCTCGGCGCGGCTCGCCATACAGATATGACCGTATTACAGTGACAGACCTGATCCAGTGACAAAAACATACCATTTTGCATCCGGGAAATACCAAAAAATGTAGCAAAATCTCTCCCTCTCCAAGTGACAAACTCCTTTTTGAAGAGCGAGCCCTTTCCCTCACAAAAAGAGCTTTTGAAATCGGAGTTTTTTCACTTGGAGAGGAAGGTATTTTGCAACATTTTTTGATACCTCCCAGATGCAAAATGGTCTTTTTGTCATTGGATCAGGTCCGCCACTGTATTACAGTCATATCTGTATGGCGAGCCGCGCCGAGAAGTACACAAATTTCGATGCTAAGGCAATTCAAATTGAAGTTTTCGATGCATATCCGACTCTACCGTTCACATTTCTAATCGTTACAAGCCACGACACCTACTATAACACATCTTTTAATAACCTAGGGTGCAGCTCGCCAGAATGAAAACTGCCGTATTTTATGCTTTCAAAACATCACGGTATTCAAAAAATCACACTCATCGTATGAAAAACTGTTACAAAATCAAAAGAAGACTTACTGTAGTTTGGTGACATCCATCTTCTTGATTTCTTCGATCAGATCGGCGGCTTGAGTGGTCTGCACGTAAACCAAGGTGACAACGGTGAGTAAAGTGAATAGCTTGAACATCTTTGCAAGTCGACTGATCGATTACCTGGAGCAGGACAGAACCCTGGAAGTAGAAGGTAAAATACGAGACCTCAGATCATTGGCCATTGGTAATATAAAAAGCGAACTTTTCAGATAAAAAAAACTAAACACGGCAAAATTGATCAGCAAAAGGGATAAAGAGATAACTGAAAATCAATTTATCAATTTTTATCTCTCAAAAAATCGAAGAATTACAACTTCAAAGCAAATTTTTTAAAAACACATCGAAAGATAAAAAAAAAATTGTCGAAACAGGTGAAAACTTGTTTAGTAAGCTGCAGAATTCAAATATTTACCTTATTCATCTAACTCTAGACCAGTTCAAAGACAAATTTCAACAAAAATTTTGGAAAATCATCTTTTGATACCTAAAATAATATAAAATTGGTCAAAAATAAGCAAAATTTGCCGTTTTCGAGAAAAACTCTCGCTTAAAATACGAACAGCTGGATACTACAGCAGATAATCCCAAAATTCTCTTGGAAGCCCTTCAATTTTATATTATTTTATCCATTCCGAGGACGGAACGAGGGGAAAATTTCTCCCGAGAAATGGGCGAAAACCGAAAGAAACCTCACGAATTCCGCTCGAAAACGACCTTGGCTGGACGGGATAAAAACAGCTAATAGTCACACCTAATCCGCCCGTTCGTAAATCGATTATCTTATCCATGAGTCAGCGATGGAAAAAGTAGGTAGAAGCGGGGAAAAATAGATGAATTACCCAGATTGCTGGAAGCTGAATATATGTATTCTTCCATTTCCAGACTTATATCGGGGTGATAGAGAAGACTGAGCACTAGAATTTGCGATTTACCTTATTTTAGGTATAAAATTCGAAAAATTAGAAAAAAAATCTGTATTCTTGTTTGAATCAGCTGGGAAATGGGGAAATAAAACATGAACTACGATGAACAAGCAAGCACATCTCTATTTGAGGTGACTGCAACACTTTTACGACCAAAAAATGCCGAAAATTCCTAAACACTATGCCAATTTTTGAGTCCCACCACGAAAACATGAAAATCGCGGAAACTCAAATTATAGTGTCCAAATGGCTAATGAATGGTTTTAGAAGTCATATTCTAAAATTTTACCCCATAAAATCACAGTATCCCTATCAAAAATCGCCAAACTTTATCACTAAATCTTACAGTATCCCAGAACACGGAAAATTGCGTTCCCCTCAAGTCGAAATCACCGTTCAAGCCGCGGAAATCGATTTGTCATTCGATCCCCGGAAGGCGGATCCAGTTCTCTCGGTGTTTTTTCCAATTTTGGGATGAGAAAATCGGAGGGATTAAAAATCTCCGAGGAGGTTAATGGTTTCGCTCCTCGTATTTTAGCAGAAGATGCGCATTTTAGCCGGTTTTTTAGATTGAAAAGTAAACTCGGTAAATCTTAGAGTGGATTGTGCGGAAATTGGAAGCAAATTAAGATAAACCCCTCTTTTTTAAATGATTTTTTGAGGAAGGGATATCAAAAAACGGTAAAACGCAAATGTTGTATCTCCGTATTTTACCCTGAAACCATTTTAAAATGGCATGAAATAACTTAAAACATCATCCAAACTTATTTTAAGACTTGAAATAAAGATTTTTGGGGAGTTTTTTACAAGATGACCTAGTGTAATATAAGGTCATAAAAGTCGCAGGTCTTTATATTGCAAGTCGAAAAGCTTGATTCAAACTTATTCTTGAGCCTTATATTTGTTAATTAGACCATAAGAAGTCAAAAAAAGCAAAAAAAGAACATCTTCTTGTGTACAAAAGTGTATAGCAAAACCACTAAAAAATATCGTGTTTAATCAAAAAATTTTTTTTTGTAGACAGCTTATCTCATGCTTTATAATATGGTAAAGACATTGACATTCGTATTTTACAATTTTCTTTGAATAGTCATCATGTGTTATATGTATAATAGGTAATTTTAATGTAATTTTTGAAGAGTACTATTGTAAACAATATCCTGATACGCTTTTCTAAATTACCCTTTTCCGTATTTTAACTTATCTTTTTGACAAAAATTAATTTTTCTCCCCGCAAGACACACTGGAAATCAACAAGGGGTACATGCATTCCCAATACAAGCCTTTCAATTTACCTAAATTCTATGCATTAATTCCCAAGAAATCAGTCAAAATCTCCTCCCCGAAACTTTTGAAACGAAAAAGGAGAAAGTTCAAATCACAAGCCTCCACATTTTAGATCCACCTGTCCAGCTGGCTTCCTCCATTTACCAAAAGAAGAGACCGAAAATTGCTTTGTGCGCGAAATAAAACTCGAAAGCCTTTCTGTTTGTTTTTTCTCAAAATCAACTATTTTCCTTATTGCTGGGCGAATTGTGAAGTCTGGAGTGTAACAAAAACGACTTGACTGCATTACAATGTAAAAGGGGAAGATTAAAAACAAGTAATCGGAAAAATATTTGGGGTATTTGGAAATCTGATATCTAGTGTAAAATAAGGTTTTTTTCTATGATAGAACTTTTCGCTGATAAGCTAGATTATATCTACATAGCCTATAGCGTCAATATTTACTCAAATCTCGGCATATTAAACTTATTGAGCGCCTCAATTTATCACTTATATTATCCATGTCATCAAAAATTTCCGAGGCAAAATTTTTTGGTTATCTAAGGAAATACTTGGGTAAATTATGGTGGAGAGACTGTAACTAGTCTTCAGCTAACTTGTAGACTTGATTAGGAGCCATAATGTGGTTCAAATTTACCTTAATCATCAATTTTTCAACAAAGATTTTTTGGAACTTTCCTGAATTTTAATAAAAATTAAAGGTAAAATACGATAAAAGAAGCTCCATATTACTTAGTAAAGTGTCTGTAAAGGCTTGTCAAACGCAAAACCCAATGATTTTCACATTAACCATGCTTTTTTTCAAAAAATTTTCAATTTCAAAATTCTACTAAAAATCAAAAATTAATGTCTCAAAAACAATCCAAAGTACTTCTACACTCTTGCCAAACAATAATCTATCAAAACCCCTCGACGTTTCACCTTGTTTTACCATTAACTTCACCTTCTCCTTCGAGAGATGATAAAACTTCTAATTAAAACCCGAATTAATCACGATGGAATGCAAAAAAATGGATGTCAAATTGGGGGAAGGGACCGGAGAAACGGCATCGCAATCGATTTTTTGGTGGCAAAAGGTCGGAGCGGCGAAAAAACGACGCCAAAAACTTCTCGAAAATCGGGCAGAAAAACAGGTGAAATCGCGCAAGATCAAGGCGAAAAAAGGGGGTGTGGGGGGTTGAGAAGGGGTCGGAAGGTGTGTGGAGATTGACATCAAATTGAGATAAGTTGTAAAAACAAGAGGATATTTGAGTAAAAAGTGTCAAAACATTGTTTTTGATGACTTGAAAAATGGTCCAGAATATACTCATGATGACTTATTTAACTTAAAATTTGGTAAGTGGCGATTGGCGTCAGATTGAGATAAGTTGTAAAAAACGCCAGAAAATATGTCATGTTGACTTATTTAACTCAAAATTTGGGCTATGTAGGATCTGAGGGGGTGTGGAGATTGGCGTCAGATATACTCAAGTGGTGAAAACATACTTAAATTTACGGGGGAAGTACACCAAGTGCGACGCTCAGATTTTGATGAAACTTGTTGCAAATTTAGATCAATTTTTTCTAAGATGTATGTGAGTATCCTATTACGCTTTTTCAAAAGTACAGACACATTTTCCGGCCTTTTTTGCAACCGCACCGTGCATGTTGCGCGACGCGATCCTTTTCGAGCATTTTGCACTGTGCAATTTCCCCAAAGTTCGCGCCGCCTCCGTTGAGAAAAGCTTGCGTCGCAGCGATATTGCATTTGCACGGTGCAAAAGGACAAATGCACCCCGCAAAAAGGGGTTTTGTGCACGGTGCGGCTCACGACAAAATGTGTCTGCACTTTTGAAAAAGCGTAATAGCTCGCGCTTTGCAAGAACAACCGAGATTTTTAGGTCGAAAGTGGACCAAAATTTTAGACTTTTTGTCGAATGTCGACATCAAAAGTTGCATCCCTATTTCTACCGTAAGGTTTAATGTTTCCACGAAAAATTAATTTTTTCCGCACGAAACTGCCAAAGTTATGGCCAAAAAGCGGTTTTCTCTCTGACCGCTCTCCGCCTTTAGCGTACTCTCTCGGCCGAAAAGATCGTTGAATATCTCGGCGGCGCTTGCAAAGCGCGAGCTAAAACTTTCAAGAATTGATATTTAGTCTATGCCCGAAGTGTGTGCAAAATCTAAAGAAAATCTGAGCGTCGTAATTGGGGTACTTTCCCTGTTAGTTAACTCAAAATTTGTGTTAATGTGGGATATGATTGTGATTGGGTGCGGAGATTGGCAGCAGATTGAGATATGTTGTAAAAAAACGCCAAAAAACATGTCATGATGACTTATTTAACTCGAAATTTGGGCAATGTAGGATCTGAGGTTGGTGCGGAGATTGGCGTCAGACATACTCAATTGGTAAAAACATACTCAAATTTAGCGTAAAACATCAATGTTTTTTATCGATTTTGCTCGAAGTTGGTCATCTTTGAAGCTTCATAAAAACCGCTGTGTCAAGTCTTATCATGCAAAAAATATATCAGTAGATAGCGTTTTCAAAGCTCTTTCAGAAGATCTTAACAGAAATTAAAAAACCTTACAGCAACCTGTAAAAAAATGCAAAACAAAAAAACGGCGGAGTCATACTTTTAGACCTAATAGTTATTGAAATAAAGAGATGGTAAAATACGCCACACATGTTTTTGATGGAAAAATACGGTACACTAGATTTACTAGATTTGCAATCTTCATAGCTAAGAATGTAGCTGCGGAAAAAGACTGAATGTTAGAAAAAATAATTCAAAAAATTAATCAGAGTTGATTACTCAGAAAATGGCCGAATTTCGATGATTAGGACGTTCTGTTTGCATTTTTTTCGTTTTTTTTTGATTTTTGAGTCATCCCGGAACTTGTCA